TATCTCGTCTATCTTAGAGAAGTCGACTTACTTCCTATACCAATAGATAAGACTACGGTTAGCCGTCATAATATCTTATTAATCTTAGAGAAGTTGACTTACTTCCTATACCAATAAATAAGACCACGGTCAGCCGACACAATATCTCGTCTATCTTAGAGAAGTCGACTTACCCGCTATACCGATAAATAAGACCACGGTCAGCCGTCATAATATTTCGTCTATCTTAGAGAAGTCGACTTACCCGCTATACCAATAAATAAGACCACGGTCAGCCGTCATAGTACCTCGTCTATCTTAAAGAAGGGGACTTACTATCTATACCAATAAATAAGACCACGGTCAGCCATCACAGCATCTCGTCTATCTTAGAGAAGTCGACTTACTGCCTATAGCAATAAATAAGACTATGGTCAGCCGTCATAATATCTTATCTATCTTAGAGAAGTCGACTTACTTCCTATACCAATAAACAAGACCATGGTTAGCCGTCATAATATCTCGTCTATCTTAGAGAAGTCGACTTACCGCCTATACCAGTAGATAAGACCACGGTCAGCCGTCATAGCATCTCATCCATCTTAGAGAAGTCGACTTACTATCTATACCAATAAATAAGACCACGGTTAGCCGTTAAAATATCCAGTCTATCTTAGAGAAGTCGACTTACTTCCTATACCAATAAATAAGACCGTAGTCAGCCGTCAAAATATCTCGTCTATCTTAGAGAAGTCGACTTACTGCCTATAGCAATAAATAAGACCATGGTCAGCCGTCATAATATCTCGTCTATCTTAAGAAGTCGACTTACTTCCTATACCAGTAGATAAGACCACAGTTAGCCGTCATAATATTTCCTCTATCTTAGAGAAGTCGACTTACCCGCTATACCAATAAATAAGACTACGGTTAGCCGTCATAATATCTTACCTATCTTAGAGAAATCGACTTACTATCTATACCAGTAAATAAGACCACGGTCAGCCGTCATAGTATCTCGTCTATCTTAAAGAAGTCGACTTACCCACTATACCAATAAATAAGACCATGGTCAGCCGTCATAATATCTCGTCTATCTTAAAGGAGTCGACTTACTATCTATACCAATAAATAAGACCACGGTCAGCCGTCATAATATCTCGTTTATCTTAGAAGCCGACTTACTTCCTATCCCAATAAATAAGACCACGGTCAGCCGTCATAGCATCTCATCCATCTTAGAGAAGCCGACTTACCCGCTATACCAGTAAATAAGACCACGGTCAGCTGACATAGTATCTCGTCTATCTTAGAGAAGTCGACTTACTATCTATACCAATAAATAAGACCACGGTCAGCCGTCATAATATCCCGTCTATCTTAGAAAGGTCGACTTACTTCCTATACCAATAAATAAGACCATGGTTAGCTGTCATAGCATCTGGTCCATCTTAGACAGGTTGGCTTACGTGCTAAACCAGTGAGATGAACAGAGTTAGCGATTTATCGTTTCTTTACTTTCCTTTAACATCGATTTAGGAAGGCCAGATGAACTAAAAAGTACCTTAAACCCGTCATGAATCCAAGCCAGAGACATTTTTCACGTTATTCTGAATGCGTAGTATGCCGTTGCAAGTGAAGTGCATAGTAAATCTAAGGTGTTCTTCTGTAACAACAGACGAGAGGGGAGCTTCACATTTTATTTCAAGGTCATAACCGGTTCTTTGACCAGAATCCTGCAAAGTCGACATGTCGTTGACTCATTGGTCAACGACACCAGCTGCCTGCTGATTCTTCGGCCTCACTTTATTAAATTGAGTTCCGTTGAGCAGCGAATCGCGTATTAGCGTTCCGTGAACCCCGCACTAAAGCCAACCTCCAAACTGTCGCATTACGCGGGGGTGATGATTAAGCAAGTTCGCTGCTTAAGCTCAGTTACTGTGTAGACACAACGCATGTTGATATTATTAACGATTCCCATTGTGTCCCGAAAAGAGATCTCTAGCTAAACCGTTGAAGATATGTAAATATAGGAAATGAGTGGGCAGTCCTAAATAGGCTTAGCCTGGGGGTAATGGGCAGAAGAAGAATGCTGCGTGGTAGTAGAAACGAAGAGGGGCATCTTGCGACACGAACACCTATGAAAAGACAGCCTTTCGTAATGCTTCTATAAATGATTCGAGTACATTTTGACACGATCTGGATGTGCAAGGTCTGCGATCACCAAGTTCCATTAATCTAAACTAAAGAGACCGAGAGAAGAAATATCCCAGCGCCTTCGTGCGCGAGATAGTGACTCTCCCTTTACTGCCCTAATGGTTTTGGGGCACCGCTAGTAACGAAACGAGGGCGTTTCGCCCAGGCGGACAGGATGAGCGAGACAAGGGGCAGAATTACTCACCATTGGAATGGAGGGGCCTTTGAGAGGGGGGAACAGTCAAGTCGCATGAATCGAATGAAGGAGGTAGGCGGGGTGGCCGCCGCGAGAAAATGTCTGGTGGATCGTCAACACTCCTCACGCGGGCAGGCATAGTCACAGGGGTGAAAGTGGGCTGGTGGGCCGACGGAAACGAAGAGGGGAGGCAAGGAAGGCGGACAGGAAATGAATTTGTGAATGGGAAAAGATAGAGGAGAGCGGGTTTACGAGAGGGGGGGATAATAGAGGTATTTATGTTTGAAAGTTTTGGGAAGGTTGAAAACGGAAAAGAGCACTAATCCCGAACTGGCACGCTAGTCTCAAAGAGGCAGTCACAGGTCCTCAAATTACAGTAAAAACGGCGTCACAAACCGCCCAAAACGGAGGTCAATCTGCCGTCAGGTTGTTTAAAGGAGGTAACTATTATGTATATTCTTCTTCTGTTCATAACCAATATCCTGCATAGCCTAGAGGCAATCTACCCTTCAACCAGTGCCTTTGCTTCCTTAATAACATCTTATCCGTACATACCCTACAACACCTCGTCATCGTTCAGCTAGTTAGGAGTTGATAACTATTGGATATCAACCATCCTCTCTGTTGGATCGAAACGTGTCTTATTAAGAAACTTTACTCCGTAATAGCAATTTGATGTATAGGGGGGCCATTCCGGCGAATGTATGTATGCGTAGTACGGATATGAAACCCCAGAAATTATTCCTATCCGCATTTATACTAGAAGATACATATAAACATAGCTACCCTAGTAGAAACGCGATATTGCGCGATCATATCGGACCCTTTAGATCATTTCCTTTTCGAGTGTCAAGTTGAAGCTATTTAAGCACGAGATTTTCCTTCGGTTGTCTGAGGACCTTTGATTCTTTTACCACCCCTTTTGAGCGTCCCTTGGTAGCATCAACCCGAGAGCAATTTTTAAATTTATCTGAGATTACTGCCACAATGTCGTCCGTTGAGGAAGCTCTTAAAAGATTCAATACCTCCGTGGAGGAGACGAAGGTGGAGTATCGAAGACTGGGAAAGAGTGGCTTACGAGTGTCGGTCCCCATCCTGGGCGCCATGAGCTTTGGTACCTCCAACTGGTACGACCCTTAGACGAACGAATATCTCGACAGGAATAAAATTAACCAATGGCAGGTTGAACTGGGTAAAGGATGAGGATAAAGTACGCCTACTTAGCAGAATATCTCGAAGAAATTGATTTAAATTCTCTGAGGTATCCATCGACTAACGTCGGACGCTCAGGCTCTCCCACTCCTGAAACATGCCTACGATGTCGGCCTCAACACTTGGGACACAGGTACCAGGTTCCTGATCCATCTTACTCTCCATCGTACTTACTGTCTACAGCCAACTCCTACAGCAATGGCATCAGTGAGAAAGTTATCGGCAACGCCATCAAGAAATACAAAATTCCGCGCCATAAGCTTGTTATCCTGACCAAATGTTATGGCTATGTCTCCGAGGATCCCGCTTTCCGGACGGTCAATGTGGGTCCTCAGATTGCGAAATCGAAAGACTATGTCAATCAAGGAGGATTGTCACGCAAAGCGATATTCCAAGCCGTCAATAATTCTTTGGCGCGACTGCAAACCGATTACATTGACCTGCTGCAAATCCACCGCTTCGACCAAAACACCCCGATCGAGGAGACTATAGAAGCGTTGCATGATCTGGTGAAGTCCGGAAAAGTGCACTATATCGGTGCATCCTCCATGTGGACCTATCAATTCGCCTTGATGCAATTTGCCGCGGAGAAGAACGGATGGACAAAGTTTGTGTCAATGCAGAACCACTATAGCCTTCTCTATCGCGAAGAAGAACGAGAGATGAACCGATATTGCAATGAGACGGGCGTTGGTCTAATTCCGTGGGCGCCTCTTGCTCGTGGATGGCTTGCTCGCCCGCTGGAAGAGTCTGGGAAGACAGACAGGAGTTCAGGACCGCAGAACTTTGCGAATTGGTCAACAGAGGCAGATAAGGAAACGATTAAGAGAGTACAGGAGTTGGCGCAGAAGAAGGGATGGACTATGACACAGGTGACACTAGCATGGACGAATGCGAAGGTGGCGAGCCCAATTATTGGGTTCAGTAGCTTGGAGAGGATTGATGACGCAGTTGCAGCGACAGGGAAAACACTAACTGAAGAAGAGACGAAGTACTTAGAGGAGTTGTATGAGCCAAAATCTATTCAGGGACATATATGAATACAGAGAGAGAGAGAGAGACATTCATACGACCGTCAGGTCTCTCTGCGAGGCTCATGTGGGGAACTAGGGTTATAACAAATCATCATGCACGGCTTGGCGCTGTCGCTCCAGCGAAGCCGCCTTGCTCATCGATACAGGACAAATCTATATAATCTGGATCGAGAATGAGAATGACAGTCCGTTGCTGCTGAACATTCCAGGCTTTTTCGACGCATCGCAACGTGATGTTATTGATACTAGCACTGACCCTTACTCCACTAATAAAGTCCGGTGCGGTGTTGTCTCCGCTCCGAAGCCCATGATGCTCAGGAACTGAACCGAATTTCTACCGATGTGTGAACCCCGGCTGGCCCACTTTTCTTCTTTCAACCTCTATGTCCCTCTGCTCCAACTGCTGTTGTAAACAGAAAGTGATCTGAAGTAGTTAGATATATCTAAGTACCAGTACCTGTAACACATGCGCATTGCGGCAACTTAAGATCATCGGGTTGACAGTTACGTTCAATACTCCTTGTTGTCAATCGTGTTTCTTTGGTAAGTCATTATGATACATATCAATGAAATGGGGCCCTCATACTGGATAGGAACAATTACCAGTCTACCTACCACGGGGATATCGGCCACAGGGTTTCCTCACCCAACGCTATCGTCCCCTTCTTGGGCCTCCAATTATGACTTCAAACTTTCAAACCCTCGATCCAAAGGGGGATCTGACCCTTAATATTGCCTTCCCAGAAGAAGAGATCAAACTTGTGTCGTTCCTCGCCTCCTCACGTCATTTATCTGTGGCTTCTCCCTATTTCGATCGCATGTTTTCTGGCCCTTGGAAAGAGTCAGAGTCCGTAAAGTCTGGAAGCTTGGATGTCAGTGCCCTTCCTTCATGTGGACCAACCAGTTACTCGATCATTTTGAATGCAATGCACGGCCGATTTCGAAAAGTGCCCAAGTCGTTGCCGAAGGCGGAGCTGCTCCAGGTTGGAAAATTGGTCGATTACTACGAGTGCCTAGAAGTAATTGAATATCAGGCCGAGCGATGGGTGGATGACGCGTTCAAATGCGATGAACCTGCACTTGAAGGAGGCGAAATGAGTGCCGAGTGGCTCTTCCTCTCTTGGATTTTTCCTAATTCAGCCATTTTTGGTCTGGTTTCAAAGAACTGGGTTCGTAAGGCAGAAAACGCAGTCGATCCAGGAGAATACCCAACCCCTCAAGTCGTCACAGGTATGCCAAACGCGTCACGACTACAAGCAATGCTCTGACCCATTCTTAGATGCGATAGATCAGCGAAGAAAGAAAATTGTATCCAAAGTGATAGAGCGATTCGAAATGGCTTTCGATCGATTGGCTTCCGATCAATTTGATTCCCAATTCCCTCGCCCATCTTTCTGCCGACCAGAGATTTGTCCCACGCTGGACTGTCGACTTCATATGCTTGGTCAACTAGCCAGGCAGTTAACCGAGCTGCGAGTTCTCCCAACATTTAGAGGGCACGTAGAAGGCAGTTTTACATCGCGAGAACAGGGTTACGAAGGCATTTCATATGACGGGTTATTCAAGATCACTAACGAGTTTACTAAACCCTCTATGTGCAAAAGGAGCACACACTACAACGGGTACGGCAACACATGCGATACCATCGATTTCCTCAAGGGCATATTTTCGGAAAGCAGCACAAAGCTCTCTAGTCTTAATCTTCAGGCTCTTCAGAGTGTAAATCAGCGGAAAACGAATTCTACAAATGGCAAGGCTTGATGATTGTCTGATATCAACGTGGTTCAACAACATGTCATGTGTGTTGGATCGCACCACTGATATTGAACCTCAATCCCCTGTACATCATCATCAGAGCATTACGAGAGTCCTCTAAGCTCTTGTCTTGAAGATGTATTGCTCTGCATAGCATACGTGGCTGTTGGAATGGGATGGTCGCCGATTCCATATTACTACTACGGGAGGACATGAGCGGACGACTATCTGGGATGAGCGGCAAGTTGTGCCTGAAGGAGTGGCCGGGGAGTTGCGGACATCTGGCACAGTGTATTCCGTCCATGTGGGTGTGAGAGTCCTCCATGGATATTGCGGAGACTGACAATACTGGAGTTGATGCGAATCGTTTAGGCCATGTACCAGTTCATTATATCTGCCGCTTCTCAAACCCGAGGAGGACGCAGTAAAGCTTTAAGAATGAACTTCCACCAGGGGTCGCCAAAATTGGAGAGCTCCCAGTGACGGCCATACGGGCCGCGAGCCTCTATAAATCTAGAAGACATTAATTAGAGCTGCTACCTAACTGGCTTAAAAAGAAGCATAATACATATGCCTACTCTTTGTCTTCAGGTGATGCGTCCCAAACATTAATGCCATGGCTTCTTCAGGCGTACAATCTGGATTGGGAAGGCAAACATCATTTCAACAACAATTCATGGTTTCCATATTGTAACTTTGGCTAGCACTTCAATACCCGATTGCCGTTGTTTGGCCTGGATGTCTGGAGAGACCACATTTGCTCTATTAAGCTACTATATAAATCCGGCACAAGAACATTTTTCTGCAAACAGCCCACAAATTGGAAATTAGCTGAGATTAGGATCGTAATCGATTCTTCACACTTCATTGAACTATAATCAACTATTGCAGCCTTCTCAGCTATTATGGTTGGAGGGCGCATGAGGGGGAAAGGCCCGGTGATCGGATGTTCCCCTCTGGGCCCTCAGCCTTATGAGTTATGAGAGATCAAGACAATACAGGTGGCACGTGATATCCAGGGTTCCCGAAAAAATTGACCTAATTTGCCTCAGGCCGCAATTTGTCATCGCGGCCAGACTCACCACCCGACCACCGCATGCTGCGATGTCCCCCTCCGCCACCACTTCCAGCAGCTTCTATTACTTGACTTCAGAGGCTCCAAGCCCGTACGTGTCCACTGCCTGCCGGCGGACATTAATCATCGTTGGCCGCTTATATATTCTCGTCAAATTTCCATCACTTCCGCCATGGCCCTGCCAAAAGATTCCAACTCATCCTCGGCGGAAGCGTCAAGTTATAGCAAGATGGCAGTTGGCGATGTCGAAGCGATCGGTGCCCACTGTCAGATGGCGTTCTGCCACCAACTGGATTTCCTCCCTTTCCGCTGCGAATCTTGCAAAGGCACGTTCTGCCTGGATCACCGAACCGAGTCGACCCATTCCTGCACCAACGCGGGGGCCTGGGCTCGAGCACGACGAGAAGCACTGTCTCCGTCAGGAAACCGTGCATCGACAAAACCGAGTCTTCTTACACATGAGCAACAATGCAGCGAACCATCATGCAAAACCTTGGTCGACACGCCGCTCACTCCGGGCGTCCACTGCGCGACCTGTAACCGCACCTACTGCCTCAAGCATCGCATGAACGAGGACCACGGTTGCTCGAAACTTACTCCCCGAGGGGCTCGCCCCGGATCGGAGCAGCAAAAGAGCAAAGAAAAAGGACTGGCCGCCCTGCAGAGACTCCGCGCGTGGGGTGCCGCCAAGAAGACGGTGGCCAAAGATGGAATCACGTCGTCAACCAAAACGTTGTCTTCCCCGTTCAAACCCAAGGCGTCCTCCACATCTCCCGCCGCTCAAGCACAGGCTCTGGCAGAGTTGAAGCGCTCAGCAAAGGGGGACGCCAAAGTACCTCAGGAAAAGAGAATATATTTGCATGTGGAAGCGTCGGCGGACACCACCACCGCGAAACACCCGACGGGGAAGTTCTACTACAGTGCGGACTGGACCATCGGTCGCGTTCTGGATGCGGCAAGCAAAACGCTCCAAGTGGAAAACGTGAATAATCGACGGGAAGGGGAAGGGGACAAGTTGAGGGTTTTCCACGTGGAAGCTGGACGGCTCTTGGAATTTTCCGAGAAACTGGGCGAGGTTTGCAAGTCCGGTAATATGATTGTCCTGCTCCGCGGTGTTGGCCCTCCAGCTCCAGATCTGATTGAACTCTGAGTAGTTGGATTGAGGATTTAGCGCATGCGGTGGTTTATTGGAGAGGGTGGCATAGCGACGGCGTTGCATGATATTTTGATCGGATTCAACTCGACGATATCCCAATCTTGCATTACAGAAGCCTAATGATATTTGAAGGAGGGTGTGATTCACGGCAATGAAAGTTCTTTATATTTTGTTATTATCATGTCTGTTGCAAATCATCCTCCCCTGTTGCAGATATCAAGACCTTCACGCAGTATCTCCGAGAGTCTGGTCAATAAGATGGACTTAGAAGGATGCTACCCTCTTTATTCCAGCGTGACCTGGCGAGAAAGACATCACAAAAGCCCAATAGTCCATGATCTCCATGAGTGCAATCCCTGCTCCAACAATCGGATAGTCTGGGCGCAATTATCCAGTGAATGTGGCGATGTCTCGGAGGCTATTCTGATGCGCTGATACTTTCACTGAGTATGCCATTTGTCCCTCTGTCGAAGCCGCCTTGGATCTCCGGGTCGATGTGTCCGAACATAGTAATTGGAACATTATTTGACTCGATGGGGCAGTAGCGAGAATGGGAGCAACGATTTGAAGCAAATAGAAGCGGCTTTATATATTGAAAGTATGATATCTGGCCAACAAAGTACCATCGAGACCGAGAAAGATTTGACTTGATACTATACTAAAGCTTGCTAGGAGGGAGAAAACAAAGTCCCACACCTCCAGTCCTTAACCAGGTTCATAGGCAGGATAAATGACCTGGCAGGGTGCCGTCCGTCTGTCGAACGGTACCAATCCGGACCCTTCATTGCACAATATGCCTGCTTAGTGGCATTGAAAGGTGAGCAATTAGCATGATCGGAGACACGGAGCTATAAGAGCACTGGTCTATTCATCTCATCTCTAAACTTTGGGGTCGACATGAAAGGCCATAGGCGTGGAGCTGATATGCCATCTTCCGGGAAATATACCTTCGAGAACGAGGAACAGAATTGCATAATGAATATACTGGACTTGAAACACAGCAAGGGCAAGCGACTGAGAGATAGGAAGCATCTATAATTATGCTGAGGAAAATTCATAAATACTCATCCCAAACCGATAGGATCGATATCATTGAGCAGATACGGAGTTTTCGGGAACGATCTGTCACCGTGACCAAGCAGACTCGGATGCTACTGTCCGAGCCCTGACACATAAAGAGAAAACTTGAGAGTTGAGGGTTGAGACGCGTGTCAATATTGTGACTTGTGAGAACGAATTGCGTCAGCAGTCAACTTTGTGGATCCTGTGCTCAACTTATTCTTAGGACGTCGATTATAGCTAGGGAATTTCGGTAAAAACCAAAATATAGAGTTAAAGCAATACCTGGTATGTGAAATGTCAATCTCGTGAACTAACCGGATTGGTCGATGGCATACGGATACATTGTGGCTTGCATCCGTCGTTCTCCCTGTCGCAGGATTCAGACCATTTGTCAATAGTGAATATGGTAGAAGGTCGAAGAGGATGAGATGGCATGATGGAATAGAGCTTCGACATAGACCTGCGTATCCCTTATTCGTACGGAGTACTCGGCACCGGCATTTGATTTTTGTAGTTTGTGGACATGACAGCAAGCAGGACAATTTCTAAGGAGGACAAGAAAAACACATGGCTTTGACAATACCGCACACAAATCCGCGACTTTGGGTTCCATGATCTGTCGCTGATCCATGCAAGGACGAGAAAACAGGAATCTGGATGCTTTATTAGCTCCTGCAGGTTTGCAGCAGCCAGCAGGCGTTCATTTGGATGAGTTCCCATTCATCAATTACCATCGTCATGCTACCCCCCTGGCAATCTCGACAAATTGTGTGGATGGATTGTGGAAAGTCGAACAGATGAAACAGTCGCGCAAAGGCCAGGATATCCCTAGTTCGCATAAAAGGCCACATTCCTGCCAACGCCTCAAAATAATCTAATTCTCTGGCTCAGTTGCTTTCGTCCACATTCCACAGTTCCAAGTTCGAAGGAAGCGAAACTACATAGGAATGATACGAACAAAACTCAAAGCTCCCAATAGCATTTCGTACAGATCGGGTTCCACTACAAGCGGCGAAAGTGGCTGTCTTTGCACACGAGACACGATGATCTTGCTAAGGAGGTTATAACTTGCAACAACTGGCTGAATAGCCGATCAAACCGTCGGGCGGTCGGGGACATCACCAGACGCTTGGACGAGTTCGAAATCTCATCTCGTGTTTCGCGATTTGGTTGACATATTTGATATTCATCTCCTTGCTTGACAATGAGTGGCGGGATAGCGTGAGGTGACGGTTCGCTCCGAGTCTGGGTCTGGATTGTTCCGTATATACGGCGAAGAGTGACGGTTTCTGTTTGAGCTCCTGGTGACTAGCAACATTCCAGACTTCGGACTAGAAGGAGTTCATGCTGTAAGTAGCTTGAAGGGCTTTGGGGAGGCGACTGGAGTTTTTTGAAGGTTAGGTATGTACCTGGCAGGCTTCCAGGAACATTTGGGCTCCTTGCCTCCATCCCACGTCGGTTGGCCACGTTTTGCACACCAAGCAAAAGTATATGAATATGGAAACGTTTAAGGGAGATCATGATTTCAATTTAATCATGGCCAATGGTTAGGCAAGGCGTGAGAATCAACAATAGGCAATACACATCCATAATATTGTTGGTGTCTTCTCAAATAGGGCAACAGATATTGAAATATCTAACCCCCCACAGATTGGCCATATCGCGAGACGGGAGAGGGGCACAAGGTTGTCATTATTAGACATCTTAAATCCTACTGTACTCCATACCACCCGGACAGTGTATCAAGAACACAACCAGTTGGCACGTGGTAGGAAGGAATAAGAGACGTCGTAAGATTCTAAATCAATGCAGTGTAATGATGGACAACCAGATATGAATTCGAGAGTTGAAACCAAATCCGATAGTCGATGCGTTTGAATCAATAATTACGGATTGCGAATTGCAATGATCATATCACGATGCTCAATGAACCCGTGGAACAGGAACTGAAGCCCGGGAATTCAGTTGTAAGAAGGAGGAGCATGGGCCATAGAACGACTGGAAGCACCCTTCACCCTGTTTTATTGGATCTTATGTCATCTGTTATTGGTCGGCTTAACATCAGGTACCCACAATGAAAGCTTAGAGAGAACTGATTGGGTTAGACTAAGCCGGGGTAATAAACTAGCGCTGTTTACTTTTCGCTGGTCATCTCTCTTTTTCTGTACATATTGCACAGGGCAGTGTTCATTCCCCTGCAGTCATCCCTGCGGCCATCCCTACCGTCGTCAGGGTCTCTGCATCGGAGAATGAAAGTTGCAATTTCCGACGCCTGGTCCCATTCTCCATCCTTCCATCCAGTCTGTTCTTCAGAAGACCAGAATCCAGGCCTCCTATGGGCTATGGCCGATGGAAGTACTGTCGCTGGATTCACGTTGTGCCTGTACACACAGGCGGACTTCCGATTATTACCACGCCGAAGCAACGAGGCACGAATTGGTCTACCGGAAGGTTTTTGAGTTTTGAGTTTTGAGTTTTGAGTTTTGATGTCCGACATGAACTCCCACAGCCACAGACAACGGTGGTCAAGGTCAGTCTCCACTCTCCACACGTCAAAATAGGACATGTAAAAGGAGACAGGAGTTAAATTGAACCGGAACCCTCGCTCCTCCTTTCCCGTTATGCCATACTATGAACTGCTAGTGGCTAGGGGCTTGATGTTGGATTGACGATTGATGTATTTCAGTAACTATTTGCCCATACTGTACAAGTGTACATGCGCAAATACACGTGTGTGGACCTGGACTCCATAACACTTTCCTCCTCTGGAGAAGGGTCACTGGGTTCCTTGGCTTTGGGCGCTGGCTCCTTCCGCGACCCCCTGCCGTACCCCCTGCAATATCCCTGTATCACCCCTGGCTTAGATAATGAATACGTGCCTGCCCCTGTGGCCATTCAACCGCCATTTGGCATTTGCACATCCTTGGCAGCCACTTGCTCGCTCCATCGTTCGTTGCTTGCCCGGCTCCGCCAGTCTCTCCCTCTCCTCTGCGGTTCTACTGTTCTCGCTCTCCACGCACTGCCCCAGGCGCTCCAGTCACCCAGCTGCTCACCTCACCTCGTCCGGCTCTCGTGCTTCCTCGCTCTCTCTCTCTTTTGAGTTTTTCCATTTCCCTTCATCCTCACAGCGTCCTTTCCACCGATCCCATCCTTTTGCTGTCCTCCTTACTCCTTCGGTCCAACGGGACCTATACATCTCGACAACACGCCCGCACTGCCTGGAGTCGCGCGCAGTGTTGGGTCGTTACCGCTAAAGGTCGGCCGTGAGAGATCCATTTGCGACCTGTCTATCCCACTGCAACCGTCCTCCACTTCCATCGCCTATCTTTGAGCGCCTGTCGTCTCCGCCACTCGTTTTACGACCCATCTTCATTGGCAATTTCGCTTTGCGAATCGCCCGACACTCATTTGATTCACTATTTTTTTACGAGTTTCCTCTGCGAACCGTCCTTCCGTCAACCCGTCCCGAGCTCGCTCGACAACCCGAGTCCGAACCGTTTATACGCCTCGACACAAAGCGATCACGACAAGTTTAAACGCAACAAAGTAAACGAAAAGAGTGTCCGGGATCTGGATCAACGTCTATTTGTCAACCACACCATCGCCATACTTAGGAGAAGGTTGAGATTCGAGACGAACAAAGCCCTCGATCCTCTCTGCATTGCCTCCAAGTTGACGCGAAGCAATTTTCTCTTTGTCTGCCTGCGAGGTTCTTCCATTGCCAACACAAGGACCTAATTCCATTCTGAAGACAGGGAATCCTGTGACATTGATTTGGGTGTCGAAATACCTTGATCAGGGACCGACCCTCTGCGACTCATTTTTCCCCTCAATTTGGGCGTCAATCGTCAATCGTCAATCATCAATCGTTCGAGAGCTTCGATTCTTCCGTGTCTTTTTTCGATTCGCCAGTCTGTCCAAAAGTTCTGGAGCAGAATGGTTGTATAGTTTGGTTCCTTGGGCCTTCGAAACCACTGTCGATATACTCGCATTTATCCAAAGTTTTCAACATAGAATACTGCTTCGCAGTCTAGTAAGCTACTCTTTCCTCAACCTCACAAACGTCGAACCCCCACGACCATTGCTGTCATGCGAATTGGACGGTTCCTAACTTTTTCAGATATCTGATTATCAGTCTTGACTCGTCAAGTACACTCGTTTATACAAATATCCTGACATTGTAAGTTTCTGTGAAATCGTCGAACATTCTCCCGTATTGACATTATATTTCTAGTCGTTCCATATACATCTTTTCCAGCGGCATCATTTCCATTGCATCTTGTTCGGACGTATTGATTTCACGATGGTGCAGTCTCGAGGATTTCTAGCGGCCTCTATGGCCATGGTCTCATTCTGCGGGCCACTATTAACATACGCCGAAGCCGCACCGGCCCCTCCCAATACCAGAGACCCCGACCGTCCGCGGTACTATTTTCCCCGGGTTGTCAAGAGACAGATCGGCAATTTGAGTGCATTGCTACCTGTACCAGACGCCCAGGAGTCAGACTTCTCGGGTCTGATCAGTAACATCGCAAGCGACTTGACGGAGGAGACAACATCTTCGGATGCTGTCACGACTATCGTAGTGAGTTCGACAAGTGTCTTCGTATTCGATCCGATGGCCACTCCGACCGCCGAAGGTATCCTGCCCCCAAGTGGCGCCGCAGAGTCAGGGACCGCCGATGGTATCCTTCTCCCAAGCGGTTCCGCAGAGTCGGGGACTACCGATGGTATCCTTCCCCCAAGTGGTGTCGCAGAGTCAGGGACCGCGCCGGTGGTGCCGGAGACTTCCGAGACGCCGACCTCCCCCATTCTAGACCTAGGTATTGGAATCGGATCGAATGGACTCTCCCTTCCCACCCTCCTACCGACACCATCTCTAGAAAGCTCATTATCTAATTCGGAGAGCGACCCGAGCAGCGGCGGGGGAGTTCCGTCGAGTATCATACTTCCAAGTTTATCGGTCCCCTTCGGCGGTGCTTTCTTTGAATCCAGCACCGGTGGAACACCCGAGACGGTCTTGCAACCATCAAGTACACCGGACCCGTCATCCGAAACTGCACCTTCGACGTCAGAGTCACCCACTGGCATCATTGTAGGGCTCTCCACAGTCATCAGCTCGGCGTCGGATTCGGTCATATCGACTTCAGCTTCTGAGCCATCGGATCTCGCTACTCCCACCTCCTCATCGGGTGATTTCTTGGATGGGATCATCGGATCTCTAACAGGAGGAGTCTTCCCAACTGGCGCGCTGGGAACCGGTGCTTCCAGCTCGATTGAAGCACTTCCGTCCGGGTCTGAATCCTTCCCACCAGACTCGATTCCCACTTCATCAGCTCCACCGGAGACCACTTCACCACCCGACCCAGGAGATGTTATCTCTTCAATCGCGTCCGAAGCGTCCAGTGCGTTGGGCGATTTGACGAGCTCTCCGACGCCCTCAGAGTCTCTTAGTGAGGACATCTCTAGCATCTTGTCCTCAGCCGCGTCCGAATTTTCAGGCATCAGTTCCTCGCCGAATCCCACGGACCCTGTGGCCCCGACCCAAGATCTGTCATTGATCCTGTCCTCTATTGCATCGGAGGCCTCGTCAATTGTATCTGAGGTCCCCCCGGAAACCTCGGATCCGGCCTTTCCCACGTCGACGCCAGATAACTCGACAGAGAGCTCATTTATCGCGAACCCGACGGCACCACCTGTCAGCACTCCGACCTTGGAAAGCACCTCAAGTACGCTTCCGACCGACCTGCCTATCAGCAACTCTACTATTCCAGTATCTGATCCAACGGGACCCATTTCATTATCGGAATCACCTTCTAGCTCCCTACCAGTGAGCTCATCGTCGGTTAGTGGTATCGTGGACCCTTCCCTATCCGCTACCAGTTCTGCGACATCTCAAATCGAGACCCCGTCAACTGTGGTTCCCGGACCAACCACGTTAAGCGAGGCGCCCGTATTTAGCGTCATCCCCACCGGGTCCGATACGCTCAGCACGCAATTTGTTCCGAGCAGCATCGTTGCCGAACCGACGTCGAACACGGTTACACTGACTGCGGTCGAGACGGGCATCCCGTCTACCATGCCAAAACTCATCAAGCCGCCTGGAGGCACGCCAGAAGCCCCGAAGGATTCGACTCTTGTTCAAGTTGGTTTCAGTTATCCGCTCAATTTCCCATTCGTGTCGTCGAGCTCAGTTAGCAGACGCCAAATTTACCGCTTCCTTCCCGAAGGTATCGCCTTTGGCCTGAAAATTCCACGGGAGCAGGTGGTTTTCTACGCGTTGCAACCCTATGACACGACCGAAGATCTTCAATACATCACCACGCTTGCCCTCTTTTACGTTGCGTCCGACAAGGTGAGCCAGCTCGGTGCAGACCTGCTTTCGCCCGTCAGCCAATTGTACGGAAACCCGGACGAATCGGCGCGAACGTTAATGGGCTTGATCAACCCGTCCATTCCTCTCCTACCTGGCCAACTCTTGGACGATAACAGGGGCACGGGGCCTAACAATCCATCGGCATCGTCGCCCACCAAAGCCGATGGCGGTTCCGCGTTTGGGGGCGATGCATCGTCCTCGTCTCCAGTAAAATCCACCTCCGTGGCCGTTGGTGTGTCAGCGGCAGTCGGCGCAGTGCTGTACGGAGGTGCCATGGTCCTCGTCGCACGGCGGTACAAGCAACGCAAGGCACGACGGCACCAGCGAACCAGCTCCGTTCAAAGCGGTAGCCAGGAGGGCGGACCATGGATGACGGGTGCAGGCCACGACAGAGTCACCCCCGGAATGAGCGGACGCCAGAGCCGATACTCCGACCGAAGCGGCCTGTCTGGCAGTTCCGCAGGCCAGAGCGGAAGTAGCCAGGGCCGGAGCATTCGTACGACCCAGATCAGCGCGCCGGTCATGAGCGAAAACAGCTTGGGATGGAATTGAGCCAGATCCATCGAGCCGGAACGAGTCGATTCCTCTCATCCGTAATATCAGCCCTGCCAACCATCGACACGCAGCCACCATTTAGTTCCGAACCGGACAACCATTTCACTATATTAGCACGTCATGTCCCATATTCTTATTCGATTTGGACCCCGATTTCGGGGATTAGATACCAGGTCTACCCCGTGCCACGGGTGCCGACCATTTCATTTATCTGTTCTGATTATCGGAGAGCGATTGAGTGAGCGATGTGACGAGAGGGGGAATTGTACATATGTGTCCAATGTATAGTGAAGCTGATGTCACCGAAGCGGGATTCCGCCTCTTTGCTTGTGTAATTGTGATAGTCCGCATCCTCATCGCCTCATTGTAGCATCCTGAGAGGTCGTTGTAGGGAGTACGGTGGGGAGGCAAACTCCGCCGCAAATGAATAGATCACGTGACAACCCTATAGCTGTGCCTTTGTAAGCGACGCTATTCCATATGAGGAAATGGACACCTCCCACCAGCCAGCGGAACTGCGGTCTGTGAGAGTCAACGACAAGTCCAAGTGTCCAAGTGTCCAAGTCCACTGGTCGAGCAATTCGGATACTTTTGCTGGTCTGCGTAAATCAAATCGCTGATTTGATCCTCATTATTCGATTTGAAACTTGAAACCCTGGTCTCCAATTGTTCACCATCTAGCCTTCAAACCTCGCATGTGAGCCACAGTCCTGTACGACGCAGCGCAAATGCTCCTGCTGTAACCTTGTGTCCCTTACCTCCTCCGCATTGGGAACTCAGCATCGTGATTGAGCGCCCTTCACGATGAGGTTAGACGTCAAGGTATGCGCTACACTGCCCTTCAACAACCATCGTCTCTTACTCCCGACGACGCTCATCCAGCAACATGAGCGGAGCTAACATCATCTCTCTGAACCTCCAGAGACAGCTATTTGCGCGATCCGAGCGGGTCAAGGGGATCGACTTCCATCCGACCGAGCCATGGATCCTCACGACCCTCTACAGCGGCCATGTTTACATCTGGTCCTACGAAACCCAGGCGATCGTCAAGACCTTCGAGCTGACCGATGTCCCGGTTCGAGCGGGCCGCTTCATCGCCCGCAAGAATTGGCTGGTCTGCGGCTCTGATGATTTCCAACTGCGCGTCTACAATTACAACACATCGGAGAAAATCACCTCGTTCGAAGCCCACCCGGATTATATCCGAGCGATTGTGGTCCACCCGTCACAACCATTTGTCCTGACCGCCAGCGATGATATGACTATCAAGCTATGGGACTGGGAGAAAAGCTGGAAATGTGTTCAAGTGTTCGAAGGGCACTCCCACTATGTCATGGGACTGGCCATTAACCCGAAGGACACGAATACCTTTGCCAGTGCGTGCTTGGACCGCACGGTGAAGATCTGGAATCTGGGCAGCGGTACACCGAATTTCACCCTAGAAGCGCATGAAACGAAAGGGGTCAATCATGTCGAATATTACCCGCACTCCGACAAACCGTACCTTCTTACCACATCCGATGACAAGACCGTCAAGGTCTGGGACTATACGACCAAGGGTCTCATCGCCACCCTGGAAGGCCACTCGAGCAATGTCAGCTTCGCATGCTATCATCCCGAGCTTCCCGTGATTATTTCCGGATCCGAGGACGGGACGGTGAAGATCTGGCATGCCAACACCTATCGACTGGAGCAAACCCTCAATTACGGGCTGGAGCGAGCCTGGTGCGTCAGCTATCAAAAGGGCAAGCAAGGCGTCGCCGTTGGGTTCGATGATGGCGCGGTCGTCGTAAAGATGGGCCAGGAGGAACCCGCTGTGTCCATGGATGGGAGCGGAAAGGTGATTTGGGCGAAGCACGCGGAGATTTTGTCCGCCGTCATCAAGGGAGGAGGTAATTTCCATGGCATCCACTGCGAGTCTTCATCTAACAATGTCAGACAAAACCCTTAAAGATGGTGACCGTCTTACAATAACCGCGAAGGACCTTGGCTCCGCCGAAATTTACCCCCAAACCCTGGTACATTCGCCAAATGGTCGCTTCGTTGCGGTGTGCGGCGATGGAGAGTACATCATCTATACCGCATTGGCCCTACGGAATTCTGCCTACGGCAAAGCGTTGGACTTTGTATGGGGCAGCAAGGAGAATGACAAAGACTTTGCGATCCGAGAAAGTACGACGAGCGTCAAACTGTTCCGCAACCTCAAGGAGCGGGGGGGCGGGGGCCTTGATGTCGGGTTCTCTGCTGAAGGGCTGAGCGGCGGTACCCTCCTTGGCGTGAGAGGACAAGGCGGAATTGGACTCTTCGACTGGGAAACTGGCGGATTGGTGCGAAGAATCGAAGTGGAGCCAAAGAGCGTAAGTTAGGTTTCCCCCGGATCGTCTCTATATGCTGACTTGACTTAGGTTTATTGGTCGGAAAGTGGCGAGCTGTTTACTCTTGCCTGCGAAGATACCTTTTACGTCCTTCGTTTTTCGAGAGAAAACTACGTCGCGGCCCTACAGAACGGCGAGGTGGAGCAAGACGGTGTCGAGTCGGCCATCGAAGTCATTACTGACATCAATGAGAGGTAAGTAGATATTCTAGCATATCGGGGAATCGAAGCTGACTCTGTGCAGTGTGCGAACCGGTCAATGGGTTGGCGATGCATTCATTTATACCAACACCACAAATCGGTTGAATTACCTGGTTGGCACCACGACCCACACCCTCGCATCGTCCGATGCTCCGTTATACCTGCTCGGTTATCTCCCTCGAGACTCGAGGGTGTACGTTTGCGACAAGGACATCAATATCACTTCATACGCCCTCTCCTTGGCCGTCGTGGAATACCAAACATTAATCCTTCGCGAAGACATGGAGTCGGCAGCCGAGGTTCTTGCCGAAGTTCCGAAAGACCAGATGGCTCGGATTGCTCGATTTTTGGAGGGCCTCGGCCACAAAGAGCTTGCCCTGGAAGTTGCAACTGACGGAGAACAGCGGTTTGAGCTGGCATTGAACCTTGCGCGATTGGACATTGCAGAGGATATCGCTCGGGAGGAAGACAAGGAGGGCAAATGGCGCCTTCTAGGTGACAAAGCTCTCGAGATGTGGGATCTGCGGTTAGCCTCCGAATGTTTCGATCGAGGCAATGATCTTGGAAGTCTCCTCCTTCTCTACACTTCTGCGTCCGACCCGAAGGGGTTGCGAAGCCTGGCGGAGAGGGCATCGGCAGCTGGCGCCCGCAACGTTGCATTTGAATGCTTGTGGGCTCTTGGTGATGTCGACGGCGTTCTGGAGCTGCTCGAGCAGACCGGCAGGCTCCCGGAGGCAGTCCTCGCCAGCTTGACGTTCAAGCCCAGTGTCACCCCAGAGCTTTTCCAGAAGTGGAGAACGGACCTCGAGAAGGGGGGTAAGGGTCGTGTTTCTCGACTGCTAGGGGTGCCCCCTGGCGGAGAACGAGAAGGGGAAGAGGCGGATGAAGAGATGTGGCCGGACTGGCAATTGTGGTTGGATGCGGAGAAGAAGGGGGAAAGCCTGGTGGATCATGGTGCAGCGGAGGCGGCGGAGGATGCTACTGATGGCGATGTGGATGACGAGGCCAATGGAGTGGAGGAGGAAGAGGAGGAAGATGGTGAGGAGATGGAAGAGGTGGAGGAGTGAGGAGGGATTTGGCACGTCTCCATTATCTAGCTAGTGTTATGGATGGTAGGAGCATATGGAAAATTCAGCGGGAGTAGCTTGGATGTGGCCTTCATGGGTAGCTAGACAGTTATTCAATGCTATCCGTTAATGGATATCTTTCATTTCCATGCGTCGCGTAGGTTTCGTACAGTGTCAGTGTCATACCTTCTACGATCTCAACGGACCTGAACTGATAACTCGAGGGGGCGAACTGGAATTTTATTACCGGAGTTTACCCGCACAATGTCCCTGTCGGAGTGGACTTCAACCGCGAGTCTCAGTCCCGCGATAATATTTTGATATCCGAACGGATTGAGCAATTAGTAGTATCCTGGGATATTTCCATATGGTCGCTCGCTATGGTCCTCGGGCGACGCCGTTCTGGGGCCATGCCCCTCGAGTGAGATCCGTCACCAGGTGTGGTGTGCGACCACTTGCCACAGTCGCGACCGATACACAGTAAGGAATTGTCCAGGGAGTTCTCGTATACATGGCCCCGCCAGCTAACATTGTGCAGTGCGTTTGATGTTCTCGTCATCGGCGGAGGCCATGCTGGTACCGAAGCCTGCGCTGCAGCAGCCCGTACGGGTGCCCGAACTGCACTTATCACGCCGTCCATCAACAACCTCGGCGTATGCTCCTGCAATCCTAGTTTCGGCGGCATTGGGAAGGGCGCGATGGTTCGGGAGATCGATGCACTCGATGGGGTAGTCGGTCGAATCGTGGACAAGGCCGGAACACACTTCCGTGTTCTGAACCGCAAGAAAGGGCCAGCGGTGTGGGGTCCTCGGGCACAAATTGATCGATCGCTGTACGCTCGGTATATGCAAGAAGAGATGCGGAGCTACGAAGGGTTGACCATCATCGAGAATAAGGTTGCGGACATTGTGGTGGACAAACAAATGGAGCACGAAGGCAGATCAGGACGGATCGCCGGCGTCAGACTGGAAACCGGGGAAGTGGTTCCGTCGAAATGCGTGATCATTACAACCGGAACATTCCTAGGTGGAGAAATCCATGTCGGTAGGTCTTTGGGTCACTGAAACCTGTGGTGCATGTATTAATTGTTCCACAGGTATGAAAGTCACGCCGGCCGGCAGAATGGGTGAAGCCGCAACTACAGGACTGAGCAAATCTTTAAAAGAGGCCGGCTTCGAGCTCGGGAGACTCAAAACAGGGACGCCTCCTCGGTTGGACAAATCAACAATCGATTTCAGTGACCTTCTGGAGCAACCAGGCGATTCCCCTCCGGTCCCATTCAGCTACCTCAACCGACGGGTTGAGGTCGAAAACCAGCTGATTACTTACCAAACCGCTACGAATGAGAAGGCCCACGAGATTGTTCGCCAGAATCTGGGACGAACTTTGAAATATATCAAAGAAGATATTCAAGGCCCGCGATACTGTCCTTCGCTAGAAGCAAAGGTGACCAAGTTTGCGAACAAATCTTCGCATATCATCTGGCTAGAACCCGAGGGGTTCGACAACAAGGTGATATACCCCAACGGCATATCGACGTCGATCCCGGAGGACGCACAACTTACGATGCTGAGAACTATCAAAGGGCTGGAGAAGGTGCAAATGCTCCAGCCGGGATACGGTGTGGAATATGATTACATCGATCCACGTAACCTCCGGATGACTTTGGAGACGAAACCGATCAAAGGCCTATTCCTTGCAGGCCAGATCAATGGAACGACGGGGTATGAGGAGGCTGCTGCGCAGGGCATCATCGCGGGCGCCAACGCAGGACTGCTTTCGCAAAATCGAGACTCCCTTTCGTTGTCCAGGGCAGATGGATACATTGGAGTCATGATCGATGACCTGGTCACGAAGGGGGTGACGGAGCCGTACCGAATGTTTACTTCCCGCTCGGAATACCGCATGTCGGCCCGAACCGACAACGCCGACACGCGACTGACGCCTTTGGGATATGCTGCTGGCATTATATCCGAATCACGCTGGCATGCATATCAAACGGAATCGTCCCAAATCGCTGAGTTATCCGCCATTTTGCGTGCTGACGTCCGCTCAGCCCAGTCCTGGCAGTCCATTGGCGTCAACGTGCGGAGCGACACAACGAACCGCTCGGCCTACGACGTCCTCCGTGTCACCGGGGTGACGCTGGAGTCGCTCATTGATCATATTCCTCAGATTCCATCCTTCCCAGAACCAATCCAACGTCGTGTCGATATCGAGGCTAAATATGCCCCGCATGTTGCACAACAGCAAGCTCGGATCAAAGTATTCCTGAGAGACGAGAACGTGAAGCTCCCTCCGGATCTGGATTACAACGCCATCCACGGCTTGAGTCACGAGGAGAGGATATCTCTGGCAGCAGTGCAGCCCGAAAGTATTGGCCAGGCGCGGAGAATTGAGGGCATGACGCCTAACGGGGCTTTGAGATTGCTGGGCTATGTGAAGAGAGGGAAGAACAGAGCACTTGAAGATGCCATCGAACGTGCTCCGGCAAGCGTTGGAGCGGCTCTTCCTTGAGTGGAGCAACAGTCTCCAAGAAATGTTGCTCCTGAATCAGTAGCATTGTCGCTGTGCACGATATGTAAATAAGGACATGTAGGATTAAGGAATTACGAAGTGCGGATCTAAGTTTGTCTGTTGCGGCATGACCTGCATGCAAGTCACTGGTGATATCCCCGGATACCGGCTCTCAGCGGATGTGCTTCGGTGTTGAAGACCCATGTGTTCTTCCCGTTCTTCGGGACTTGCCACTCGTCATCCTACTGAGCGTTAGATATGCGTAAAGTGCAGCAGCGTAACCTTTTCCATCTTACCTCGGCAAAGATCAAATAAGCATACTTGAACACCTCTGCAAACAAGAAGCTCTCTTGCATATCCAACTTTTTGCCACCACCGGGTACATCCACATCCGAAATGCTGGAAAACCCACTGGCTGTTCTTGTCGTCGCGTTGATTGCTACGAACGCATCCCATGCCCACTCCTGGTATTGCTGATCGCCCGTTGCGCGATATGCGTAGTAATAGCTCTCAATAACTTCTGGACGCAATGCATATGATCCGCCAGTGATGTAGAAGCCATGAGTCTTGAAATCTTCGTCCTTTGGCTTGAGAATGGCACTCGTGTCCCAACTGAAACCCTCCGGCCCGATTCGAGTAGCCGTTGCAACGTACGTTTGGTGGCAGCCATTCACAAGCTTGAGGCCGAAGTCGATGTAGGCAGTCCGGTTGAGCACCAACCCTCCCAGGATGAAGTTGCCTCCATGGAAACATGCCAAATGCGAACTGCTGTTGATTGGGGTTGTTCCATGGAAAGCAGCGACAAAAGTCAGGTCGGGTCGAGATGAGGGATGTGACTGGAGGTAAGTGATTGTAGAGTCCACTGCCAATATCCATCGATCTCTGTAGACAGAAAAACGTTGGGGATCGTAAGTGTACATCTTGATTAAATACTCATAGAATGAGTCGTCTCCACCTCCCCAACTGCCGCTTGACTCCATAATCTCACCGGTTGAGATATTGACAGTGGTTCCAATTAGCCCAGGGAACGGCTCTCCAGCAGGTGGTTGAGGATCCAAAAGATACGACTCCGCTTTCTCGGCAAGACTACCATACTTCGGATCGCCCAAAATATCACTGAGGCGGGTCCATTCTAGGACAAGAGTTCCAATTGTGGCAATGTGATTCGTCCCATCGCCAACCAGTCCATTGTCGGTGATATTCAAGCGATTGAAAGGTATACCAGTACGCGTACGAAATGCGACGCTCAATATATCTGCAAGATTCTGTGCCTGATCCAACAAGCCATTGACGAGTTCTTGCTATGGAGAGGTCAGCGTGCTTAGAGCTGGTATTCCAGTACATCTCACAGCAACCGGAAGGCGTCGAGCTGCTTACATCTAGGCATAAATCGGAGAGCGGACCGGTCAGAAGGTCATACCCTGACAGCAGACCACCGAGATACCTAATTGTCGTCTCAAAGAGATTCACAAGGTCACCCGTCCTTGAGAAATTGACCTCGGAAACGTGTTTCAGGATTGTGTCGATAACTTCTGGAAGTCGCATAATGCACGCAGTACTCAGGGAATCGACTGCTGAGGCGCCCCATCCATTTCTGGCTTGTATTAGCAGGCGACTTCGAAAAAACCCAAACTGTCAAACCTTGAGTTGCTATATGTATTCGACACCGGTCGAAGCTCATCGTTAGGATAGGCGTACTTAAAGTAGCCATCCCAAGCGAATTGAAAAGCCTCTTTGACTGCACCTGCTCGATCCTCAGGTGCAGGATTGGAATTGACCGTTCGTCCAAACGATGGTGAGGATAATGATAGGCATACTATTGTTCCGGCAAGTAAAAGAGACGACGGTCGCATGGCGCCAATGTGAAATCGCAACGATTTGACAATAGTACGTTGAAAGCCGCCACTGAAGTTAGATCTCGTTACCAGCGGCGGAACGAAGGTGTAAATAATGGGCGACAACGCTGTTGTTCTGACTTTGCACAAAGTAAGCGTATGAATAGTCTTGATCAATATTAGAATCGTGGTGTGGTGTAAGACGTTAAATGTCTGGGAATGGGATGATCCCAATTGCAGGTCAGATACCTATGCATTGCTGGCTCCATTGCAGCTGATGAAAACGGATGAGACGTGCTTGCCTTACCCAGCCTGCAGACTCAAAGGGACATTACAAGCGTGAAGTGATGAGAGCAGCATATTTCGATAGTATGCCGATGCCTTCCTTCAGGGATAGATCAAATGGCCCGGGTTGGAAATAGGGGACTTCAGACTCGGCGACGTCGTTCTTCCGTATGTGAAAGGTATGGCATGGAATTTAGGCTCTAGTGATCTGACGAGGGTTGGTTTAGAACTTTAAGGAAGAGCACGAAAGAGAGCAGCGGCACATATGAGGCAGTACGAAAAGACTCTGAACACAGCGGCATATTGTGGTAACGATCTACTGTCTTCCGGGTTCTAGGTAGGGATAATTGCCAGGCGTCCTCTTCATCTAGGACCGAGAGCGCTCGCCAAGTTATGCGTACAACCCGCACGGAACCCAGACGATCCTTCAGCTGGGGTTTTATAAAAAAGATAGGTGATCAACCGTGTAATGGGAAGACAACCGTCCCGACTCGAAAACATGATAGGTGAGGGGGAGACTTAGACAAGGAGAGACCAACTCTGAATACAGTAGTCGGATCTTTCAATGGGCATCCATCATAGGGGAATTATGTTCTTTGTTCTTAGATGGAGAAGGATTAAATTGATCTGGCCTGGGATGAAATGAAATATTTCATACGGAATACTGGCGGTGAAAAGGCAAATCCAAAGAGAGTGACCGATCAGATTTCAGGGGAACAATGGGATGTTTGTGTGGCTGGCTCAGGCTCGGGCCAAGGGCTCTACGCCTGCGCCTGCGCCTGCGCTACTGCTAAGGCCCCAAGGCGTCAAGGCGTCAATATTGATTGCCGATTAACAAAGTTTGGTCCCTCGACCTAAGTTCATTCTCTCTTTACAACTAATCTCCATCACACTCTTTTTGCTAATATCCGGCATCTTATCGTCCATGGTTTTTGCGAGACCTTGCTTGAACAATAATCTACTCTAACTGTCCAGATTGGACCACATAAACCAATGGAGCCTCTAATACCCAGTATCTTCAGGACGCGTTTCAAGATTTTACGCGTAGCAGTTGGGACAGGTTCGCGGAGCTCGCCGGCTTTTAATATTGGTGGGAGACGATATCATAGTCTAGCAAAAAATGTACAGTCCTCGGGCACTGCCATCAGGATTCCGCTGAAATGCCGATCTTTCCTCTTGAACTCATCATACCAGCCACGATCGGTCCATCCAACTTGGACACGCCAGAGTAGCTCAAAGCATGAGAATGAGAAGGGAAGACAGGTTGATTCGAGTGTATCTAACTCAGAGCCAAAAGTAAGTCGAATTTCCAAGTTCATGGATACAATCTTGTAATCGCAAATCAATTCCCTTGCTATCAAGACAGCCGATATATTCCAATCATGCTCGAATCTATGTAATTTGCAAAGAACTGGGAAATATCCATAGGAATTCTCAATCGCCTAAAACATAGACTTACTCCTGAATAGGGACCGTCCTCTGCTCTCAAGAGACAGTCGGATAAGCTGCGATCCCAGGTCCGCTCTTTACTTCCAGCCCATGAGAATATCTACACCATCCCGAATTTGCTTACATTCTCCCGCCTCATTGCGACACCTTGCATCGGCTACCTTATCCTGACAGACCGTCATGTACTGGCTGTGTCTCTGTTTGTGTACGCTGGCGTCACCGACTTATTGGATGGCTGGATCGCACGGAAATACAACTCCCAGACCGTGGTCGGGTCTGTTATTGACCCACTAGCGGACAAAACGCTTATGACGGTCCTCGTTGGAAGTCTAGCAGCCAAAGGAGCCCTCCCGCTACCACTCGCCATAATTATTTTAGGAAGAGATGTGAGCCTCGCCGCTGCCGCGCTCTACTTCCGCTATGCAAGTCTGCCACCACCGAAGACTTTAGCACGGTATTGGGATTTTAGTCTGCCTAGCGCCGAGGTCCATCCGACGACTGTATCGAAGTACAACACCTTCCTGCAGCTGGTCCTAATCGGGCTGACGGTTGTCCAACCTATTGTCGCAAATCCAGGCCTCCTTCCAGGCGCGTTGCAAGGTGGCGAGATTGGTTTCCTAAGCGAAGCAGTGGCGCCGATGCAGTACCTTGTCGCTGCAACAACCTTGTGGAGTGGTCTCAGTTATGTCTTCAATCAGAAGGCTGTTACAATCCTTGGAAACGACGAGAAACTAAAAAAGAAGCAGGGCTGGCGTGGACGAGCAATCATTGGTGTTTTCTACAGCACCTTCATCGTTCTGGCGGGCTATTTCGTGCTGAATCCACCAGAACGGGTCGATGACGAGTCCCATCAAGAGTATGGTACGAAGAATAACGGAGATCAGCAATGATCAGTCTTCAAGAGATAGCATTGAAATTGGGACCGAATGTGGACCCCTCAAAAGATATGCCACCATTCAAAGCAAGGGGGATAGTCCAAACACAACACCGGGTTTCAGTGCATCGCTCAACTATTCCCTTTTCTCAGGTACTTCCACAGACTTCGAGACGGGAGCCTGCTCGATATCACCGCTGGTGCCAGAGTGGCTATTGCTAGTCCTTTCCAAGGGCTTAATGGGTGGAACTCCCTCGTCTTCGGGAAGTTCGGCGTCGTCCTCGATTTCTTCGGGCAAGACGAGGTTGAGGACCAAGCTCAAAAACGCCGCCAAGGCAAACCCGGTCTCCATGAGCAACTCAATCGCATTATAAAATCCCATCAAAGCACGATTCTCTCCGTCGTATGTGAATACGTAATCAAACCATTCCGGAACCAAAGTGGCCCCAAATCCCACAGCGAAGGCACACGTGAGGATAAATCGGTTTCGACGATCGAGTGGGACCGTAGACACGATTCGAATACCGGAGACGGCGACAGCGGAGAACAGGAAGGTTGTCATACCACCGAGCACTGCTGGTGGGATCGCAACAAGAGCGGCGGCAAATTTGGAGAAAATTCCCATTACGACAAGCCAGAAGCAGCAGGCGTAGCCGGCCTTGCGGTTGGCGCAACGTGTTAGGGCAATGACCCCGTTGTTCTGCGCAAAGGTGGACATCGGAGTAATGGTGCAAAGCCCAGCCAATATGCCATTCAGTCCGTCAGCCAGGACACCCCCTTGAATGCGGGAATCAAAAAGCGGTCCGGCAACCTCCAAGCGCGAAACATCGCAAGTGGCCGTGACATCTCCGATGACTTCCATTGCTAAGACGATATACACCGCTAGTAGCGGTAGCACGATAGGGCCGTAGAAAGACAGTTTAAATGTATGGACCCAAATAAACGAAACCGCTGGAGCGCGGTCGATACCGGACCGGTCGAAATATCCTGTTGCAGCGATGATGCAACCGACGAGCAAACCGATGACAACGGAAGTCGACTTCATGATCGGCGAACCGAATCTCTCGCAGAGAATGATCGTAACGAAAACGCTGAATCCAAGGCCGATGAATTCCGCTGAGCCCCAAGGAAGTGGCCGTGGGGCATTGATGTTCGGGCAAAGGCGGAAGAGACCGGTGGATGGGCTTGTAGCAGTCATTGTTGCTTCCCGCCCAGTTCTTGAGCGCCGACTCGATCAATTTGACACCGATCAAGCACACAGTTGGACCGGTCACAATGGGCGGGAAAAGCTTCTTGAGCATCCGCGGGCTGGTAAAGCTCATGGCAACTTCGAGAAGAGCGCAAAAGCACGCAGTCCCCAAAATCGCACCGTAGCCATCTGGGCAGGGAAGCTTGGTACCGTTTGCGCCTTTAGGGCAGTACCCAATGTCATACATCTGTTGAAGAGCTCCTTGCGCCACAGGAATGGTTGCGAATGATGTGCCAACCACCGAAATCAAGCCCGTTCCGATGTAGTACGGAGACTTGTAGATATGGAACCGGGTGATCTGGATGGATGAGAGCAACCCGCACACGATGAGGGATGTCGAGACGAGGTACTGCGAGACGTCAAGGCTCAAATTCGCCGCCCCGGTACCCGAAACTACGGTGCATTAGCATTCGGCCTGTTCTCCTCGAGTCGCGTCGTGTCTGGATGGCTCACGGATGATGGGCGGGGTAATGACACCTGCCAACATTGCCAGAGCATGTTGGAACCCCAGAAGAAGAGCGAGGAACACGGGCATCTTATCATTTAGACCGAAGAAGGGGGCAGCACGCCGGGCGCGCTTCAGGAAAGGGATATTTGGGGTGAAGAGAAAGGCATAGTCGTATGAGCCAACGAGGCCCTCCCTGGACCACTCAGTTAACACTTGCTCTCTACTTAATTCAAAGGCTCATTTCAGTCGTGTCGAGCAACTCGAGTAAGTATGATTGTAAAGGCACCTAGGACGACCCACTTTGTTGTAAATGCTTTGCGAACATGTCTCAACTTTCCAGTCCATTTCTCCTCCCGGGTCATTGAAGGACCGATTTGATCGGGACCTGGCTCATCCATCGAATGACTTTGAAGCTACGCAGTGAGGGAGGTGGTCTAGGGTAACGAAATTGATAATGGAATCCCAAGTGATCAAGTGCAGTACTGATCGAATGTAAGAGCTTAAAGTCGGGGCTGCACTTAAACCCCGCCGCCCGAGGACGAACCCAGGTATTTCTATACGCAGAGCGATCCTACAGATGACGGATACCATTTGGAGAGAATACGAGACAGTTGAGATAAGGTTCTACCGACGAAGTATGTCGCTCGGTCCCGGCCTGGGCCAGGTATGGTCTACTCATGTTGAGCTCCGATGCAGTGATAAGAACGAGGGAACTGAATTGAAGGGTGGCAATTGGATAAGAAAAGTGGTGGCTTGCCAATACCGTGATGAGTTGCACAGTTACTCGGCGCCAGGGCGGACAAGATGTCTTCGCCACGCAATGCAATGCCAATTCAGACATGGAAGAAGCAAAGTCTCGATGCATGGCGAGAGGATGCCGTGGCATGGGTGAACAGTGTATTTCGACAATCAGGATAACATCCCCGCTATGGCGCCGCAAGGGCCGGATAGTTTGGTTGGTGATAGCTCATATCCGAGCCGGAAAAGGAAGAAAGTATTGACATATGGAGGAAGAGAGATATTTTGGACTTGGCGATAGGTGCGATGCGGCTGATGTGGTGTGACCGGATCACTGACCGTGGGTGATATCTTAGTTGTTCATGCAATCGAATTATGTCTTCTCGTATGTGGAGCATTCGCATCATGCTTGCCCCAATTTGATTGCAATACCAATATCTAGGAATTGAAGTGTCGAGTAAGTATAACTACACATTTAACTTTCAAACATATGCCCTCTGCGTAGGATTTCAATTCCTCATACTGTTAATCACGGTGTTTATGGCTGCTGGCAATCAGAAACGGACGGGATTTTGCATTTGGACGGTCTATCAGTAGCAGTCATATATCGTGAAGTTCCCACGGTCAATGAAGGCACCGGTTCACCGGCAGTGAACCCTAGGGGAGACTAAGGAACGAAACGAGTTCATCGTTCTGCCAGGGAACCGTTTCACCGCTGGTGTTCTTCCTACCATGCCAGAGACAAATCATACCAGGCCACCACGTATTCTTAGGTGATAAAGGGCAGAGGGGAGAATTGGGTAAATGGTCGGGTATCATCCATTCGAACTCCGATTTCCAGTGCTCGAACGCTTCACCTCCCATCTCCTCTCCCATCACGTCTTCTACTTTACGCCGGAAGAAATCGTCTTCTCTCCCCTTTGTGTTCAAGTGGTTGGAACGATCTCTCTCCTTAACCTCGCCGACTGAAGACCACTTTTTCAAATCAAAGAAGAATCCGCCAAAGATGCTGCCCCTGGTTCCGGTCCATTTCTTCTTGAACATAGGAGGCGTATGGATACGAGTAGCGCCAGTCGGGGGTGTTGGGATCCTGTATTTTGGTGAGGGATATTTTATCCTGATAGCAGGAACCATAACTGATCTGGTCTTCTCAACCGGCCCGGACTTGCTCGGCCCAGCCTCATCCCGTAATGCCAGTGTCCTGCAGGGTTGCACAGGTTTTGGGTGATGAAGAGTGATTCGGTCCCTAGTTTCTATTATACCCCGTCGCCGCAGCTCTTTGGACTCCACACGTATGACCGCCGGCGGCATCGATCGTGACCGTTCTCTAAAGGCCCTGGCCAGTGATTTCCTGCGAAGTTCGAATTTCGGTTCCAGAACGGATTCAGGGGTTCCTTGCCTGTAATTCCCAGTAATATCGCTGCGTGAAATGGGCCAATTTAATGACGCTGCCCGGGGGGTCCGTGGAGGATGTAACGGATCCGTAGAAACGAATCGGATACCGGTTGCAGGACACGATGGTTCACTGGCAGGCGCGAGAATACAAGCCGAGTGTGAAGCGGAAACGTTTTCAGAATCCGATGCCGGTTCCTCATCCGAGTGATACTCCATGCTAGACTGAATAGGACTGCTGGAACTTTTCTTGAACGATTGTCTGATGCGACTCACAACCGGGAACCGCACGGATCTCATTCTCCGCACTCGAGAATCCGAAGAATCGAAATGCTGGTCGGATTCATCGCGTACTACTCGTTTGCCTTGAGATTTCCAGCTACACTCGGTTCGTGGCTCGTTGCTTATGTCTAGATGGAAAGGTACTTGCCAATGCGGCGGCCATGGTGATGAAAATATGTCCACGATTTGCTCTTCGAGCGGTTCCTTTTTGATTTCCTCCGAACTCGATGTCCGGTGCCCTGCATGACGTCGTTCTCCCATGGAGGATGAGGAAGGCTGATGTGACCTACGTGACGGGCGATGTTGCGCATAGGAATCCGATTGCCTTGGCTTTTGCTTTTGCTTCGGCGACTTTGATGACCCCTTGCTTCGCGAAGAAGAGGTTTCCTGCATCTTCGATCGAGATCGGGTGCCACTTTGGAGATTCGCAGCCGACGAATAGAAACGGATTGCCCCTGGAGCGGATTGTGTTCGAGCGGGAGGCGGCCGATCAGGGTCATAGAGACCGCCTCGCCTTTGCAGTCTTAGCAACCTGAAGTTGGGCCTATCTCCAACCCGGAATAGTCTTCCTTCCTGATCATTGGGCTCGAGATCACCAGCCAGCCTCCTATTCGCCTGGGTAATTAAGCGGGGCTCATAATCCTTCTCAATTTGTGCAGCGAGCTCACACGGTGTCTCCGGAGTGATGCGTCCTGGTCTCCAGATATCCGGGTGGTTGCAAGTGAACCCGGTTCGATATTTGTCTCCAAGGACGAGCGTGTTGCAATACAGACAGCGTCCACAATGCAAGCAAACTCGTTGCGGGTCGTGAGGTCCCTTTTGTACCGGGTGTAGGGACTGAGTGGTCTCAATAGGAACCCGCGGGAGGTTTAGCATGATAGAAGGACACGATGAGGTTTTTTGCGGCATCATGTAGCTGGTGCGATTGGGATCGACCTGGGCCCGTTTCGCGATATCATCTAACTGCTCAGAAACCCATTTCTGCTCTTGATAGGCCTTGGGCCGGCGCGTCCAGTATTTGGCACTTTCGGCAAACATGCTCTTCATAACCAATCCAGAAGAAAGGCCGGGCACACAATTGGATGTATATGGAGAAGGCACCTGACGGTGGGAGAAACAATGGCGAAGAGAAATATCGGAACAAATACCGCCTCGTGCTGTGGAACGACGCAAACCCTGCCCACTCAGAAAGAAATAATGCAAGACTTATTCAGGACGAAAACAATATTACTCAACTTTTTAGAGAGATTTGTTTATATTCCCGGCTCTACTATATCACTGCACCATAAGCCGACTGCGCCTGCTAGATAGGAATAGTCATCCTGGGCACGCATCACATGCAGGTCGCAACAGCAAACAAGAGACAAACACAAAAGTAGTAGTGAATCACCCCCGAGGTTAATATTAGCCTCGTCCATGGCCAGAATGATATAGCTTCAATTATTGAAGTTCAGACTATTACACATGAGTGCCAGACGGATCCTTCTCGTACCAAGAGGAAGCTTTGATTGTTGATACATCCAGAAAGCAAACTGAAATATCCTTGTAATGGCTCTCTCAATAGCGATGTGGCATGGGAGATTCTTCGCGACTCTAGAATAAATCCTTCTGAATGGACGGCATAGGTCGCGGAATTCCGCGATATGAGAAACCTGTTGCAACCACGAGGGTTTCGCGGTTGAAACTTCGATTCGACCTCGACGTAGAGAGCCTTTTCGTTCAGAAGTTTGGCGGTCTCTACGACTGCCACATATGTTCGCTAAGCTGAAGCAAGTGGTCATCGAGCCCTCGGCGGGCCTGGACAGCCATTTCTCTCCTCGTGGACTGTAGTGCTTCTGAATAGTAGAGCTCAATAATTGGCTTCAGCTCATCGTAACTGAAGCCCATGTCTTTGCCGGATGATTCCTTTGCTTGGGCGATAATTTCGTCCGGTCCGGCGGCAAAATAATCAAACAGTTGGGCACTGCGCGAGAGAAGGGCATTCGGCTCAATGTTCTTCAAGTTTTGTTGCAAAACCAGAATGTTGAGCTGCATCCGGCCACAGCCATTGTCGTTCATGACGGGGATCTTTGCAGCGTTGTGGACGAGCACTTGGTCCATAAGAGCACCGATTCCGCACTTTACATATCTGGGTCCTTTAGCTGATGGAAGTGCAAAATATTCAAAGCAACTTACTCATGTTGAGACGGTTGGAGCAGCGTTCCAAGCTCTTCGTCATATGAAACCAAGTCATCGTTCAGGGCAGTGACCTCAGGATCGGGCTCATCGATCAATTCCTCGAGTTGGTAGGTTCGCTCCAATGACTTTCGAAGATACAGCATGATATGACAACGAATTTCAATATGCAATACTCGCAACACTTTCGTGGCAAGTTCTTGATATGAACGGACAACACCATCAAAAGCACTAGGACAGTATGTTAGATGTAGGGCTACAGTACCATGGAGATATACGTACTCTGCTGTCTCTCGATTCAGGGGGAGGTACGGAGAATCTTCGTCCGACACGAATTCCGATGCAACGAGGGTCCATCGTTGCTGGAGTCCTCGTGTCGAATCTCTTCTGGAAGTGTCGGTGGTTCGATCACTGATCCTACGAAGCTGGTTCATCTTTGTGGATAGCCATTTCTAGGTCTTATTAGAGAGAACTTGTATAGAGGGCAAACCATACTGACCATGCTGTTGTACAACAGGCAAAGCGACCCGATATTCTTCCGATCTTGTATGATATCAAATTCATCGATCGGGTCGTTGCTGAATCGATCTATCAGGATTGATGTCTCCTAGAGAATGGTGAGTCGTTTGGCATTGTTAATCAAAAGAGTTAGTCCTTACTTTGTCATTCAATGCCGCCAGCTCGTCCGCTTGGGACAACGTCATGGTGGATAAAATGCCTTGGATTTCATCATCCTCAACTAAAAAGGCAGCAGCTTTACCCCGTTGCCCCGATCCTGTCTTTGGTTGGGACCGAGTCAACATTGCCTTAAGCCAACCGTAGCATTTGTCATAGTAGGTGACGAGCTGGGAGATTATCAGTTGCGTAAAGGCTTGATCATGAGGAAGTCGATCCAGCATCCCACAGAATGACTCCAGGACGGCAAAGAATTTTGAGCACCCCTTGAAGATGGGCTTCGATGCCCTCTGGTTCCATTTCGAGTCTTTTTGGAACGCGTCGACTTCGACTAAGATCATTCCCAAAATCTCGGTGAGGGTCTCGTCCAGTTGAGGTAAGAACACATTGACGAGAAAATCGTCTAGGAAAGATGTCAGGGTACTAATGACGATATCGGAGCCCATGGGCACCACCTCCTTGAGCTTGTTTAGGAACGTCAAAGATGGGGGTAGAAGCACCCCCATATTGAAAACACTCGGATCGACGAGGAGCTTGTGCCCGGTTGCACTCCCGTCGCCCCCTCCAGAGGTGATGCCTTGAGTACCAATCGAAGGTAGCTTTGCATCAGAAACAAGACCAGGTACTGACGACTTCAAGATTGCGTTTAGCTCGTCTTTCTCCGAAGCGATCTCGGCTGACTTGACGTCTACATCAGTAAGGTGGAAAAGCGGTCTAGTTTTGTCACGCTGTTTTCGCGCGAAGATGTTACCGCCAGCGCCAAGACTCAAACCACTGCGCAGCGACGAATTTCCATCGCTTGCAAGATAATCATGGAGGAGCGAACGTATTTCACTCTGATAGAGCTTCCACAACTCTCGAAAGCCTCGCGTCAACCCGGACGCTTCTCGGACGCCTTCACGCTTCGTGATGCCAACGATAACATCGTGGACAACCCGATGGCCTTCTGCTATGGCCTCGAACCGGGCATAAAGTGTCCACAACAGATCGGTCAGGACTATGCGGTTGCGGTAGCTTTCCGGGTCTACGGCCGGAGAGTGGCGGCCTCGGACGGTTCGCAAACGGCCCGGGTGGCGTTGATCGACCTCGTTGTTGCACCGTTCGACCACGCGGAACAGCTCTACCGGCATCCTGTGTTCAATGGTTTCCACCGCCACGTCGAGTCGGCTCATGTTATTCAATGCCTCGACAAGAAGCTGAATGTATTGAAAGGTGTCTGCTTCCGGGTTCCTGGAAGGGTCCTCGACCATGGTAGCGGATGTGTCCAGCTTGTCCAGAAATTGAAATAGCGTTCTTACGCGGGTATCTATGGACGCGCTGTTTCGTTCCGTACCCGGAATTCTACCTTGGTTCGGAGCATACTGCTTCCATCTGGCCTCACAGTAGGGGGATTTGAGGTACAGATGACTGTGTAGTTCTTCGATCAGGATGTCGGTCAAAGAGTGCTCCTGGTTGCTGAGGTACACTCTCAAATCGCTCAATCCCACGATGTTGTCCATTTCTGCTTTTCTAATGGTCCGGAGACCATCCTGTAAAAGCTCTACAGCGCTTAGAAAGCGCTTCTCTGACACACGGGCCTCGAGCTTCTCCGGAATGCCTTGTAGATGCTCCGTTGTTGCGAGCAGCAAAAGCATGTCGTCGTACGTTTGTGAGGCGACCGCTAGCGCGCTTAGTTCGGGCTTGGAGGAGGATAGGTTCGTTTTGCCTTGCACAAGCGCCTCCTTTAAAAACCGAATCCGCGATTGGGAATCCTGTATGCTGGACTGGATGTTGTGAAAGGTTCCGATCGAGCTGTTGAACCCTTGATGGTGTTCGTTCACGATACTTCGCAGTGCCGATTGAAGCTGACCGTGGGTATCTCGGAAGTGGGAGTGTCGCGAGGCAAGACCCAGCGAGCTGGTGTCCATGAGCTGAAGGGCAACTTGCATGGGTATACACTTGTCGTCCGTCATGAAGTCCCAATCCTGCCGGATATAATCCAGCACATCCCCAATCTGACTACCCCCATCTCCAACGCCACCGGGAGCTCGAGCACCGTTACCCTGGCGGTCATAGGCCGGGCTCCGTCGTCTCGCTTGCCGGCGCTCTAGACTTGTTGGTCGCTGTGTTTGGACTTCCTGTGGCCTGTCATAGTCGCCATATCCCTCGTATCCGCCGTGATTGCCACGATCGTTGGTGGGTTGAGTCCGTGCGCGATTGTCGTTGTATGTAGCATAAGGGTTTCGATCCTCGTCGTCAGCTTGTTCGTATCTGTCCCCCCCACTCTCTTGTCCATAACCGTTCGCGTATGGATTGTAGCCGTTGGCTCTGGACTTAGGAGGTTCTCCGTAACGAGACATTAGGTCGGGGGCCCGGAGCGATTCCGAGTGTTGAGAGCTTGAATGCCGGTGGGCACCAGAGATCACCGGTGGAAATCAGAGGCGTCACGTGGGAAGCGTATAGACTGTAGGATGCTTAACATGACGTATGTACAGACGTAGTCCCCAATGTGTAGGTTAATATTATTATAGAGTACAGCATGGTTCAACTTCAGTTGACGTTGTTGTCCTGTTGCTCTCCTTCACGGCTGTCATGGATGTTCAGGTGTGGCTGTGTATTAGGCGTGGCTGGTGAGTTGAGGTCAAAGATCACCTGACTTGGCAGCATGTGACGTGGTCAGGTGATCTTGGATCCGTCTGCATGGAATTTCAGGCATCAACACGAGATGTGATGCCGAACAGCCTGGGTTGGCTGCTAGCCGACACCAGACGGCGACACACCATCAGGATACGACCAACTCTCCAACAACTGGGCTGAAGCATAAATATGATAATTACAGGTATTGTGGCTTGAGTACAGAAACCAAAGAAATCTCTGATACCGGCACCATACGAAATACTCGTTTTAATTATCGTCCACTGCACCTGTATGATTTATTACAGAATTCAATCCTGCGGAGCGGGCCGCTTCCTAGTCTACCGAGGAGCAACTTTGGAACTTGGGGGAGATCTACGCAGAACATATTAATTATTACGGTCTACGGAGTATGTACGGAATTGTCCTTGCTTCGGAAACGCTATCTCGCGACGGACCGGGACTGCTTTGCCATTTATCCAGTCGATTACGGCCATCGGATGCGCTAAATTCCTCGCAAGTCGCAAGCACAATCGGAGCCCGATGTGACAAGGCGTGTATGGAGCAATGTGTCCCAATCTAAGAGGCTTTGAACGGACGACTAAGCATCTTAGCACTTGAAATTGGTCTTGTTAGCCTGTGGAGGCGAAGCAAAGACGAACAGCCGGTGGTGGGCAGAGGGGCGGGTGGCAAGCTCGGTATGGAGGACTTGAACCTTGAGGTTGATGAGGTCAGATCCAAGAAATAGGCTGCATCTTGGGCCTGGAGGGTGGGTGGTGTGAGATCGGAGCGGACCTTTTTTGTATTGAGGGACACCTGGAGACAAAGAGAATGAGGAGAATATTATCGGAGAGGCGAAGAAACTTCGAAGACAGCACGGGGGGCCTGAAATCTCTGGTGGTAGGGGATCGGTTGCTTCATGCTTGGGCTCTGCGCTGTCGTTTCTCATTTGATGATTTCGTCTTTCGATGATGCTTGAGGCTTCTGAGGTCGGAGGATGCTTTTGGTCCCGCTCCCCCGCGTCGTCAATCGCCGTGGCGCCCCCAAGGCCATGCTCCCATGGACTTTCGCAATCGAATCAGCATCACGGTCGCTACCACTATCCCGTTGTAGGTAATTCGCCGTGGCCCGTCCCTATATGCCATCCCACGTCTTCCGAATGTCTCCTCACCCGCAAATGCGGCCTCTGCCCTAATACACCTACCAATCCGGTTCCTCTGGTCCTCTCTCGCGCTTGTATATCTTCTCACTCCCCCCATGGTGCGCTCGTCGTGCCGCAATGCTCACCAACGGCGTTATATGAACACGACAGCGAAACTATGAATACCGAAATCCACTGGAAAGACCAGCAACCGAGCGACGCGAGCATCCCGAGCACAGCGCCCAAAGGTAGTGTTGGTTCCTATGATACACATAGCACCGCCCCAACCGAGGACTCTCGCCCAATCCATATTCCCCGGTCCGAGACTTGTTACGGTCGGCTGGAAGGGCGAGGAGTTGCGAAACATCAAAGTCACAGAACCGATCCACGATTCGACAGCCGTTCGTCTGTGGTAACTTACACGTCCACCATCGCATCGGAGGAAGAGCCCAAAGAAGAGGATTCAGTCGAAAGTGAATACGACATAAGAGTCGAGCCGCGTCCGATCCATCCGACCTCTGCCATTGCCGCGACCCCTCGAGACTTTGCAGATGTATTTCCCGCCTCCAAACGGCTCCTGATTGGCCATGATGATTCCACGAGCGATGGGAATCTGAACCTCCGGCTCGACTCCGAAGTCACGGTGAGGGGCTCTAAACGGCTGCTGACCCTCTTTCACCTCCGAATGTACGATCTTCGGGATCGAGAGATGTCGTTCCGACGGTATTGTCGCGATAGCGGGCGTGAGGTGTGCCGATCGCGCCGTTTACATCAGAATGTCGCCGACGGCAAAGGGCGGTCCCCTCTGCAAAAAAAACTCGGAGGCGCCCTCGCCAACTTCTGGCCCAAGCCTGGATCCAAAGACGGCGTTTTCGCCGCCAAGCGCCATGACTCGGGTTATGCATCGTCTCCAGTCCTCGATCTCGAGACGTCGAGTCTCTCTTCGTCGGGCTCAAGCACTAAGGCACTGCCGGAAACTAACACCATCAAGATGGAATTCTCCAATTATGCTCTTGTGGATCTCAAAAGAAGGGGAGCCAGTGCAGGACAAGGAAAGCGCTACGAGTTCGAATACTGGGGCTACCTTTACGAGTGGAAACGCCATGTCGCCCGTGATAACGATAGAGATGAAGAAGAGGTATCATTCCACCTTTTCCGTTCGGATGGCGACGATGAACTTGCGCGCATCACTCCTTTGCATTTGAGCGAGGCGCAAATCCGCCACGAACAACGGAATGGGGGATGGATTTCCCCCTGTATCATGGAACTTTTGGATCAGGATTTGCAAAGCTCCCAGGACGTGTCTGAGTAAGTGACGTTGAAAATGAGGCTTCTCCGTGCGTTCCACGACGCTAACCATGGGAACCAGTGTCGTCGTTGCAACCGGGTTGATTGCCCTCGTTGACGATTCTTTGAAAAGAAGAAGCGGGGCGAAGCGGTCGCGCCCACTCATCCTCCCCCTATACAGGAGCGCGTCATTCCGGTTGAATATGGAGTTCGTGGGACCCAAGCGGCTCCTGAACGAGGCTCTCCACCGTCCTGGTCACAGTCGGACTGCGTCTGGCAATCCTACTTCGCTGCGTCGTGTGTCCGTCGAAGCCCGAGGCGACCGGACTCCGAATTGATGAACTTAATCTCCCCGTTCATTGCACTGGGCTCAGGACCCGTAACCTTCTTGTAGATACCTGTAGGCTTGCTTGGTTTTGTGGTGGTACCGGCACTGGGAGATCGAAACGAGACCCACCTCCCCAACGGACTGGGCCAGTTGCCACGGGGAATGGGGCAGTTTTGATGTTTGCTCAATGGAGTAGATGTAACCAGGGCATTGCATGTTTGGTGTTTGGGAGTTCGTGGCTTTTCGATATTGATGATGGGGTCCTCCATACGCACTCGGTGATTTTGATGGATTGAGGTCCTTGAGGTTTTCGAGGGACGCATATCAGGATCTTGAATGAAATGCCTGCGCCTATCCTTTGTCCAGGGCCGGTGATTATTCAATGAGGACATGAATCATAACATGAATCATGGCAACCCAAGGGGTTTCTGTAGGGAGTATGGAATATAATACCCAACGATCTACGCTGCTTGTGCAGTGGAATGCGACGAGGAACGATGATGCCTCACTCCAATTCCCCAATATTCCAATATTCCAATATTCCAATATTCCATCTTGAAATGCAGCAAGCGATGTCTTGCAGTAGTTTGTCTCTGCATTTGCGTTTCGGTTACCTGCCGCCAGAATGGACAGACCCGAATGTTCCTGTATTGGGAGCGACTGTGTGTTGCAGCTGGTGGATTCCAACACACGTGCCCAACGCCTCACAGCGTGAAGTTACACCTGCTGTCCTTGGTAAACTGCAAACCTCCAGTCCTTTCGGTTGTGAACGTGGAACTGAAGTGTTCATATATGCCTGCACCAATCGGTACGTACAATCCGGGAGGTACAGGTAATCCATCAGTAGGTGGCACGATAACCATCCAACTGCAGGCATGGTAACTTGAAATCCATAACCATGGTTCTCGACTCTCTTCCCTCGTTTGCCTTGAAAGCCCCATCTCCGTCTCACGTCTTCCGGGGAATTGGGACGCGTGCAACCTCAAATATTACCTGATATCAGAGTCAAAGCAAGGTGCATGAAACATTCGGTAGGTACCCGATATATCCACGGCTACCGTCCCGTGCGAGGCTGCAGTGCCGTATACGTGTGCCCTCGTTGGCAACAACGCGACCGCGCTGCCAACGCATCACAAGCATCGTATTAATTCTTCTCTTCATCGTACTCCAACATGGAGCCACGTCAGTAGAGCAGCCCCTGCAGCGAGACTGTAAAGTAATTGTCCGGACCCCCCGTTAAGATGCAGCCATCCATTGCTACGGTCAACGGAGTACAGTCAGTTCCGTGGTGGCCGTTTCCAGGGACCAACGAGATGGCAGCAGGGAAGGATTCCTTGGGGCATTTATGCGTTTGTGTTAACGTCAAGATCCTCACTAGGATGACCTGGGACCGAGTGATGGAGTAGAGCAGCGAGGTCGTTTCATTATGCTTGCCTAGGATCAAGACGAGAGACTTGGGCGGATGTCCACGCCTGCCCGGGTGGCTAAGGAGGAAAGATTCTGTAATTGAGGCCAACGCAGCACCCATCCTCGTGAAGGGTTCGCCCAACCCGTTTATTTTGGACGATTGATATTCGGGCAGCAGCATGAGGGAAGGATGCGATGTCAAACAAGCAATGTGTGAGGATCCAGCTGAATGGGTGCAGCGCAGTGGCCGATATAAGATGACTTCTGCTGCATGAGACTCCCGGCGATTTCGTTTTCACATCCTATAGTCCCGCAGTGGTTTCCATCGGCCAATTTTCGTCCTGTCATCAGTATTCGTTACTTGCTTCTGCTGATCGAGCTACGAGTTGAGTCGGCCATTCATCTTCAATACCCTTCATCCTTCACTGCCTTCACTCAAATGTCTTCAACCCCGACCAGCATCTGCTACTATTCGAACGGCTCCATGTCGTCTGTGGACAGCACATCCCAAAGGAACCGGCATCAAGATGCCCTGAAAGGTTGGTCGCAGACTACTCTTCGCCCTCTGGCTAATCCATTTGGCTAACTCGGCGACTGTTAGAATACTGTACTCAATGGGGCTGGCGAAGTCCCGTGTACTCAATTGTGTCGGATCGAAGAGGCAAGTCTGATTTTCTCCGCACTGCTTCGTTGCCCGCATGTCCTTCATCCTCAATCCATTCCGCAAGCGCCCCAGCCGTGACAAGTAATCCTTGCTTTCTCCTGGCTCCAGATCACCTCCGCCACCCTTCCCCGAGTGTGGTGGATCCACTTGTTGGTTCATATCGATAGAATTCGGATTGACCGTGACCCCATCATTGGCCTGGTCATGCAGGTTGCGCAATTTAGTTACACGCCAGCGCTAACACCATCGCAGGCGGCCGCACTGCTTGGTCGTCCTCGGTAGAAGTGCAAGGAACGAAGTTTAATGCTCGATTCTGGTACGACGGTGCCTTTGTCGAGCAGAGCAAGGAAGACTGCGCAGAAGTGGCTTTACGGTACTTCTACAATGCCGCTCAACAATCTTCGAGTGAAGATTAGTGTTGGAGAAACGACGGCCATCTTGGCGTTTTCCAGCGGAGGCGTTCTTCTGGGGCCACAGTTCTTTAATTTATTGTATTCGATTCGTCTTATCCAGCGCGCTGATGCGGGCTCCCCTACTATTGGCGGATTCTCCTCCATTGGATCAGCTTGAAATGGGGACAGCTCCATTGTCTGACGCATTGAAAGTTGGTGCCGTACGATGCACAGAAAGGCGCAATGGAGTTGGATCATAAGAATATGCTCGGCCAGGTGATGCACGGTTTAGCTTTTGTGGCACTCGGAAATAGGCCGAAAGGAGGGTTTTGATTGTATAACTAAGATTTCTTATACGTCGAATTTCAGTGTCATTCAGCCACAGTGACGGGCTGGTATAAGGAGGACCTGGTCAGGTGGAAGCAGAGTGCAAGGGAGTCTCCATGTACGCGATTTTCTAAGACTCCGTAGTAGCGAAGTCTCATTTGCATCAAAATACAGATAGTGGTATCCGTCACCGCATCCAGAGTATTTATTCACTGTCCCAACTACATCTCCTGATCACAAGTCTTCGCTAACTGCAGCCCCCTTGAAGCCTGGTCCTTTGATGCCTTTAGGCCCCGCCATCTTTTCCGCAACCGAAGCTTCACAACATTCCCCGCCTCTGAATGAAGTCGAATCTATCGGCGGATAACGCAAGCGGTGAAGATATATTATCATTTGATCACCGAGATTCTGGCACGGCCACTGGTCGACTGAATCAGTGCTGGGAAACAGCCTACTTATCGCAGGATCATGAGAATCTATAACAAACGTCTAATCAGGACTGTCACGTCTGACCGAAGAATTTTGGCTCTTCAAAAGGGCTCATGAGAGCGAATAGTACAATCTCGGAGGGAGTTTGATCATGAAGTTTGATTTCAAAAGCTACAGGAGAAGGCCAGCAAACGTCTGAGATGCGCTGCTTGGGTAACTCTCGCTACCGTATTGAATAGGATGTTGGTCATCACTCTGTGCATCTTATTATTTTATGAAGTTAACCAGTTCTCTAGGAGCTGGCAAAGGTCACAATCAATCGTGACAGCGCCATGCGAAGTCAGGATCCTCCCTCCAGATAGCTCGACCCACCGGACGCAATCAAGCCCCTACATTATCTGCGGATCGCCATCCACTATACAAAATGCTGTTGTCTGTGGTGCTACCGTTCTGGTAGACCGGTGGGATGTACCCGGAGGAAGACACTTCCAGAGCTCCCCGCTAGTCTCCGGCCGACTCCGGTCAGGCTCTGCTATATATTTGAAAGGATTGAAAAGGTCCACGGCTCGCCTAGGGATTCTGAACGGCAACAAGAGGTGCATTGGAGCAGCGGAAGCCGATCGTGATGTTCCGAATGTTCGTTTCGATGATAGGAGAATGAGAACCTTGCCTGTTGTCGGAATGAATGGCACTGGATGGTAATGCTTCGAATTGTCTGGCCGTGCGGTTAGTCATAGGTTTCGGGCGGAATAAACAGTCATAAAAGCCTATCAATTGGATGGTTCGACTCAACTACGGCATCACGAACGATAAGCACAGACTGGTGCACGACCGGCAACATGTATCCGCAGCATATGAGCCAGGCATACAAGACGTCGCGGAACTTAAGCTAGAACGACGAATACTTATAAATGAATGGCAAATGATGACAAGTGAGGGCAATGACAGGAAGTATGGGTAAGCCAGGGCGCTGTGATGCTGATAGCTAGGTCCTAACTACCCCTAGGAGACGGAAAAGAGAAAAGATAAAAAGCGACTGCTGGTAGATTCGATAAACGGCCATGCTATCAAGAAGCTGACACAGAAAATTCCGAGCGTATCCTGATACGGTCTGCCGTTAAGGAATTGTTGTAACTTTCGAAATGGAAAGAGGGACGACCAAAAGAGACTCAGAACTTGACGGAAAGCAAGCCAAGGACATGATGGACTAATGCTTTAGGCGAACACGAACCGCAATTGATGATCTCCTTGCCGACTGTCCCTTTCACGAGGAATTGAGCCGCTGGACTTCCCTTTTTAGCCCAGGGCTGACCACCAACGGAACCTGGTCCTTGTTACTCAAGTGCCAGCGAGGCAATTTACGAGACACATCACAAGTGCGGCATGTAATTGTATCGATGACGGCATCCACGAAAACTAGAAGCCGCTCGGAGACTATACAGTCAACCACCGCTATAACGATTACCGCTACAGCGATATTCGCGTTATAGCGATAAGATTCCCTGCACGGATTCTCAATCAATGCAGCCAAGAAAATTCGTTTTAGCGATATCCGCGTTATAACGATTGGATTCGCCTGTACGGATTCAATCGTTATAGCGAAGGTTGACTGTAGTAGGAAATGGAGGACCATGGAAGCCACCAACATTATCTAAACCTTGCAGGGGTCGGTGTGTTTGAGAAGACCAGACGAGATCTTTGCCCCCAAGAGCTTGGTGAGAAACCTATCGATTGACGCTATTAGTGTAAAGACTCGGATCCATGCGTCTGGAGAGTCCCGGCAATAAAAATGGGTTTACGGGAACAATGTCGAGTCAACTAGCCGCAACATTCCCTTCTTCTGGCAGGAGTGCTAGAGGGATTGAAGTTGAAGATCCAGAATTCCAGATGCGCTGGGGAATCCCCGGAGCACGGCTCGGTCCCTCCCTCCCGTGGTTTGCCCGTCCTTCCGGGCTGGCCGCTGGCGGCATATGAACGGTGGAGGGGGGAGCTTAAGCCTGCAACATACATCCAAGCTGGCTTAATACCAGATTAGGGCATATGATGGCATGCCTGGCAGAGCCTGCGTGTCAAAAACGGCAACGGTACGGCCCTGTGCCGTGGCGTTGACAACAGAACGATGAACTGGCGGACGCTGCATGAGCCATAGACGCATGAACGCATCAGATGAACGCTGACCTGGCAGCGCCACCGCGTGAGTATACCATACAGAAGTCGGCCGATACGCATGGTGTAGATCAAGGAAGGATGGTGGAATTTTACGGAGCAGCTTTGTACCGATTTTGTAGCCAGGCCTTAGGGGGAACGTGGCACCACGTGGCTGGAGTGTTGGTTCTTTAGCTTTAGCCCTTTCGGTCCAGTCATACCAGTGACCAGCCATTCGGTTAGATGAATGGAGGTACTTAGTAAATATTATCAATTATTATTCCCATTCCAGGTCGCTCACGTCGCGTTCGAGCTGTTAACTGCTGTTTGGACTTCCGGTGGTTGGTTTGTTACGCATGACTTGATACTTCATCGGCTGAACTGTCTACCTGACTCATGATTTTATGTAGGACATCCATGCTTGCATTGCAGCAGCCTGGGTGCCCCTCCAGGCTTCAGGTCAAGACAACCAGACACTATGTGGTCAAGTGGGATGAAAGCAAGATATCTGTAGGTAATTGCATGCCCGAATGAGAAATGAGACGAAATTTAACCTCCTCAATTTGGAATAATTTCACCAAGGATTGCCATTGAAAAACGTATTACCATATATCTACCCGACGATGGCTCCGCGAGCAATCCCACGAGCGCCATCTGAAGTGGTCGATATGCCCAAGGAAAATCATCTTCCCCTTTCGCCATTGCTAATCGATTGATTCCGTCCACTTTGCAGATACCAGAACATCGGAAGGGAGTCGTTGGAGGAGTCGTGGCAAAGTGGAGGTCCAAATATCTGGTGCTCAACTGACATAATAAAGTTTCATACTGTTCACGACCCGCCGTCGACAGACCGGGCAGTTGTCCATGCGTTTCGCGCAGGGGAGGCAGGCAACTACGTGGCCGCAGTCGTAGAAAGCAGCATCGGCTGCCTCCTCCCAGCAAACACGGCACATCCTTTCCATCTCTTGAGCGACCTTCCATTTCGTCACCCCTTCGCCAAACCGTCGGTCGTTCTTCCAGCCCCCTTCATAAGCGTTCCCGGTGGATGATTCGATAAACGTTCCATTGCCATCCTTCGAGTCGTTCAGCCACTCGCCGTCGTACCGGTCCCCATTGGCATATATCATGATTCCACGGCCGCTGCGCTTGCCGAGGACGAAGGAACCTTCGTAGATGTCTCCGGAGAAGTAGGTCTTCTTGCCGAGCCCGTGGGGTATGCGGAAGCGCACTTCGCCTTCGTACTGCTCGGCCGAAAAATAGTCGAACGTGAAGTTCCCGGAGGCCATGTCGGCGAAATTCCGCAGTTCGACTTGAGCCTGGAGATAGGCTTCGGGTTCATGGAATGCCCCTCGCTCAGCCAAGGCTCGCTTCTGTACGTCGTCTGGAGGGTTGGGATGTGCTATCACGATGCTGTTCCCGTGGATAGCCGCCTGGCTGAACGTGTGCCTTTTTGCGTGAATCGGTGTGGCGGTTCCGAGATCCTCCTCTTCATAAAATTTGACGGCGCTCTTGTCTGGAAGCCCGAGAATCTTGAGAATCGTGACGTCCGCTCTCCATTGCTTTTTGGCGATATAGCTGCCGTGACACCGGAGTTGTTGAGAGTCGTGATCGAATACTTTCAAGAAGAAGTAAACATCGTCAACGGACGAGGGAGGCGCAAGAGGCATTGGCGGCACAGCCGACACGGCCATGAGCGTTCGCACGCTTTGAGGAATCGGTGGAGGTGGCGCCGAGGTTCCTGGAGGAAATGGCGGCGGTGTCGTCCAGGTTTCCAAGTCGCCATTCACGCCCAATTGGATCAATGTCTCAATAGCGTCAGGTGGGGCCTCAACTATGGGAGGCACTACCTCGTTGTCATTTTCGCTAGGAGCATCGCTCATCACTGTATCTTCATTCGGTATGGTCGAACCGTCATCCGCCCCGTTCTGACTAGCAGTAGGCTCGGTCACTCGGTCGGTTCGCTGGCTGATGGTGTTTTTGGATGGGGTTGCTGAATTCGAAGACTCCGGGTCCTGGGGGCTATCAACAACGTGTAGCCAAATGGTCCGCTCCGAACTTTGGGTCTGGAGCTTAGCTGCCGTCCAGTCCATAACTGCCATGGGCCCGCCTGATATCTCCGGATTTCCTCTTAATAGTAGGGTGGGGCGCAATTCCGTCCCTAGATATGAATCGAGCATCCAAAGCTTGCACTGCTCGGGGTCGGAGATACCTTTCACGATCCTAGCAATCGCCTTTCGGATGTCCTTGAGAGTGGCCGTGGACTTCACCGATAGCTTGTAGACATGTTCGTTGCTGCCAGGAGTCCATTTTGGGTCAAACACGTCGATTATTCCGGGACCGCTATGGTCGCAGAAAGCCCTGGAACTGATGATTTTGAAGTCGACTATTGTGTCCTCTCCAGGCTCCTTCGCCTTTAGTTTGATACCATTTGCAGGTGGCATAGGTGGCGGGAGTCCTGTGTGAGCAGGGTCTGACATTGCAACATCCTCATCAAATGACCAGGGCCGTTGAGACCTGTCTATCTCTTCTATAATCCATGATGGAATGTTCCAGGCAGGCTCAATTTTGCTGTCGAAAGCGGCTGCGCAGATGTCGTCATGTATGTAGAGGGCGATGTACGCGACCGGGTCGGCCTCCCCTCTCTTGTCGGACGATTTCCACCCTTCATGGGCCTCGATAGCTTGACGTTGGGTAAGGCATGTAACCTTGCTGTGCTCGCGTTCATCGAAGAACGCATACCACTTTGTACCAGGGCCTTCGGGTCGGAGGACTGGGTAGTAGTTCCCTGACTGAAGCCCTCCTTTGTGGACGATCAGTCCATAGAGTGTGTATCCGGTGCCACCGAATGATATGTGCTCATCAATCTTGACCCGATCAGTCACACGCACCCATGACCTCTTCTTTTCGTCGTATTCTTGCCTTCGAAGCTCAATGGCAAGAAGCCCAGGTTTTACGATGCCTTCGGGAAGCTTTCGGAGCGTCTTGTTTAAAGCATTCTGAATGCTCGTTCGCCCTCGGATGGAGACACGCAATGATTTAGGAGTAGTGGTAGGCTTCATTTGGGCCCAATCGCCGATCAAATTGGCGACCTTGTCGGGGGCTTGGGGATCGATGAGTGAGAATTCTTCTATCAGCTTGAGACGAATCATCTCCCACACCTCCACCACATCCCACTTCTCAATACACTCGTCCATTCCATACCACGCCCAAGCATCTTGAAGTGGCTCTAAGCTCACTGGCCAGGCGCCCAATTTGGGTGTCCGAAGCGAGATGACAATCTTTTGAAGGGCTACAACCATAGGCATGCATCTCGCCGGCGCGTTTCCGACTGGGTTCGGAACGGGAATGCTGTACAGGAGTTGGCGGAAGGGCTTGAACAACATCCACGAAGAGACTGCTGCCACTAAATTGCCCCCATAAATGACTCCTCGACGCGGTCGGTCCCAACCGGTAGGATCGCCCCCAGGCTCCGCCGTCAGACCACGCAGTCCAGTCATCTTGACACTGTCCCACACTGGCTCATCTCGCACGTCTTCCTCGTCATGGTGAGTGTCGGCACCACCAGAGCTTCCCGAGGTCCCGGGGCCGTGCTCCCACAGCACTCCGGTCTGGTCATCGACGACCCGGATCATGGCTCGCAGGGCAAGCCTATCTTTCTGCAGCAGTGGAGCCTGACGAGTCCGCGTTCTCATCCCAAGTTCCCGTCGAGGGCCACAAAACCGTGTCCAGCCCCAATCCGGGGAGTTCTTCGTGAAACGGTGGCGAGCGCAATGGAACTGCCAGGCGGTGGGATTGGAAGGATTGTATACGATTACAGAAACCTGGGCGGGGACTGCAGTCCCGGCCTCAATCGGAGGAGTTCCTGGGAGGGCAGTAATCGGATGGTGCACGAAAGGGCCCTCGTTAGGGGTGTCAGGAAGGGTCGACGAGGAGCCTGATTCTGAACCGGATTCGTTGTGCGCGTCCGACGAGGACAGGGTGGTACATTCAATGTAGACACTCAGGTAATCCGAGTCGTTCCCACGCGGGTATAACTTGATCTGCCACTCGTGGTTCCCAATCCGAACCATCGGAGACCTCATCAACAACTCTCGATTTGGATTTTCCGCTGTCCCATTAAAGTGCTCGATTGGCCAGTCAATATGGCCTGAGTCAGATGATGTGTACTCGGGGTCCTCAAGGGCGGTGAATGTCTGCTTTTCCCAGTGGCCTCCTAGAAAATTCCCGTTAGCCTCGACACTTGTAGGCAGCGGTGATCTTATCCCACGTTCAAGTGCGCTTCTCTCCCCCAGTCTCTCGATCTCCCGCAGTTCATGCTCATCCGGCGGGGTGGTATCTTCTACGATCGGCTGCCAGATATAATCGTCGTCCTCGTCTTCAGTGTCGCTATCGTCTTCATCTTCGCTTCTGTCGGGTGGATTCGGAGGCGCTGCATCAGGATGCGGTGACGGCGGCACAGGAGTACCACGGTTGCTATTCGGGGGAAGGGTCGAGTGATGTGAGCCTGGTGAGGTGGCAGAAACGAGGACGGGAGGCGGAATGGTAGCAAATGGTGGTGCATCTACTGGATTGGTGGGATCATGAACGGTTGCTTCGTGATTGTCTTCGGCGGCTTGACCTTCGGCGGTGCCGGGGATCGGTGTCATGTCTGGAGTTGTATCCATGGCATCGTCCGAGTCGGAGTCGAGCTCATGGTGCTCATGGTCAGCGGAAGAGGCTTCATCATTCCCTTGATGTCCTCCATCGCTAATTTGGCCGTCTTCTCTATCATGGTTCTGTCCATTTGGATGCGGGGAGGCGGAGGTGCTCATGGTCTCATTCGGGTTTCGTAGGTATAGCAAGCAAGCCTTTGGAGACCAAAACAACGGCACGGACTGTTGTCGGCTTGAAATCGCTGGAATGGATTCAATAAAAGCTTTCAAGGGACTTCCTACTTCAAGCAGGCCTGAAGGGATCTCACTGCTGCCTGTTTGTAGGGTCTTGCCGCACAGCCTCCAAAACTGGACTTGATGAGGATCGGTCGTACAACAATAATGAAAGATGGTTCTCCCAAACAAGATTCCGGGTTAAGTTTCAACTTGTTCACAGTGGGTGATCGTTCATTCTTCTGAGAGTGATGTGTTGCTTGTTCGGTATGCGGCAGCTTATCACTGATGGAGTGCTTAGCTGCAGAATAATGGAGAGAAGAGGGAAGACGGGGGGAGCAAGATGGGCGTGATATGATAGATGATGAAGTAAATATGTGAAAGTAACAGAGAGAATAACGGAGAGGTCTATGGGTATGTCGTGATTGTGGTCGTTGTCGTCGTGAGTCGTTCAGCGTGGTGGAAGTGGATAGTTACAGTCCCGTACCAAGTATTAATACGTAGAGCTGTACATAGTTAGTACATAGTGGATCCTAACTTGACGCCCCCGTCACATGCAGGGGCCTTGATCCGCTGAGTCATACCAAAAGGGTACAAGTTCAACAAGTGTGTCGTTGGGCAGGGTTCAGCTACAGGGTATGAGTGGAGGAAGGGCGGGGCGGAGTGGCGGGGCAGCGGAAAAGCGGGGATGCGGAGATATGCCGGGGCGGTGGAGGGGTGGGAGGATTACCCACGAGTGTTCAGAGCCCCTTTACATGTAAGTACTTTGAATTCTTGCTTCCTTCATTTCTAGCATAAATCAGGTATTGTACAGCTCGTGGCAGAATCGATGTTTCGCGATACCGCGGCGCTATATCTTTCATTGGTAACTTCATTATGGACCGAAGCTGTAACCGACAGCAATTATACAAGTTTCGGTAGAGCCAGTGTATCATTGCTCCTCAAAGTACCGACTTCGAACTGCTTCGTGACTCTTTTGAGCAGCTGCCCTTCGAGGCTGCCGCCTTGTCGGTTCCGAGCTGCCCCCGTCCGTTTCGCCAACTTTTCCTGTCTTCTTTCCGGCATTCCCAATCACCACTTCAACCTTATCCGATTTGCCCACATCTCCTGCGGATGCCTTCCTGTGACGCTTGTCTTTGGACCTACGATCTGGTGCGTTATAGTTGCTTTCCCGAAAATCCACCTGATGTCGGCCCTCTCCTGCCATCGTCTCGTTGGTAGGTTGATCCTCCTTTTCCGATCCCAGTTCGCTAGGAGAGAGACGTTCATTTTCACGTGATTCTCTCAGGGACTTTGGCATCCGTGATGCTGCTTCATCCATACCAGGCTGACCCGATGATCTACGTTTGCCATGGCCATCCATCTCCTTCTCCACGATCAAGCCCACGCCAGCACCTCCCGGTTTAGGAGTATCTGCTTCAGACGATGCATCGCGAATAAATCCGCCTGCTAATTCCGTGGTTGCCGATGCCCGATGTTTGATCTCGGCTGCCAGGTGGGTTTGATCTTCTTCCCCGTACGTGTTCTTAACCCGCTCCCAAACCACCAATCCTCGTGCAAACTTCGCCCACAATGTCAGCAGCTTCTTCCTCATTTTGGCCTTCTCTTTCTGCTCCTTCTCCTTCATATCATGCCGCCATGCATCCGTGACCAGTCCTACGTTGTCTTCCGCGACAACGACGCCATGAAGAATGGGAACGGCAATTCTTCCTCCAAATTCAAACCCAACACAAGCTTCAGCGTGATCGATGCCAAGCTTCTTGCATACTCGAGCAGCACCCCTGAGTTTTAAGTGCACTGCACCTCTGGGCACCATTGTTGGGACGTAAACGTCGATGTTTCCAAATGAGTTGCGCGGAATTTTGCCATCTTCAATAGGATCAGGGATGATCCATTCCGTCTGATCCTTCGAATAGAGACCTTGCGTAGGCGCCTCGCCTGTTTGGGCTCGAATCTCTTCCAGAGCCCGTTTCCGCAAGATGGTCACCGCGCGGGTTGGAACCATTTTCAAAGGATCTGTTCCTGCGATCACTTGCCTTCCTTCTTTATGCCAGGACTCTGCTGTCCGGCATGCCAGCACATCTTTCCTAAAGTAAACCGGTTCCGGTTTAACGGGCGGCTTTTCATCTCCTTTTTTGGAGCGGACGTTCGGAATGAAATGTCTGACTGGACGCACCCCTGGGCGGATTGCTTCTTCCCGCCGTAGATGGCGCTCAAGGACAAACTCGGCAGATGTTTTGTACCACTGAAGAGTCTCCTCTTTCGCTTTTAATTGTTTGGCGTCGTCCTCCACTGGCTTCAGCTCCTCATTGTCTTCCAATTCGTCGGCATCTGTTCGCATAGCCGACGGTCTCGCGTAAGCCCGGAGAATGTGGCTAAACCAGTCAAAATCCTGTACTCGGATAACTTTCCCTCGAGAATTATACAACGGGATTTTCTCGATAGGAACTCGAAATCCTTTCGCCTTGCCCGGTAAACGCCGATTCTTAAGGTAGCGGACCGTGACGTCCTTTGCTGAGCCATCCGTCGAGAATGCCACCACGTAAGCAATCGTTTGCTTGCTTTCATTAGCGGCTTTCCCTCGAGCTATGAATGCATCGAGATCATCACTTTGTCCTACGAGGATGTTCGGAAAAACGGATACCGGGATGTAGCGGTTCGTAACGGGCGACAGGACCTCTACCCAGTAATTGGGAGCGGTGAGATCGTTATCGATCTTCTTTGGTCGATAGGGGAACTCCTTTTCGCCTAAAGAGAGCTCGTCCGAACCTTCTGCAGGGACAGGTTCTCGGCCGCTTCTGGACGCCTTCCCTCCAGCTTCCGACTCCTTCTGCTGAGCTGAGCGCACTTTTCGTAGCTTTTTCGCGTCAACGTCCTCAATTTTACTCCATCCAAAGCCCAACGGCTGTAAGTTGCAGGACAAACGAGCTTCAAATCCCAGTTCGCGCAGCAAAGAAACGAATAGTTGCGTCCCCAGGTCCCGACTGCCGGTCAAGCTCTCCGCATGTGCCTTGAACTCATCCAGGCTTTCTATATGTTCCCCAAACCTATCGTGGAAGTCATGGCTTTGTTGGAAGCTTTTGATTTCGGTCTCTACGTCTTTGACTGACAGATAACCCCGTTTCCGCAGTCCAGGGGCGGTGATCCGAAACCTCTTCCGCCAGTGGGAAGCAATATATCGTAAGAAACGAGATGTCGGGTCTCCGCGACTTAAGTCCGGTTTTCCTTCTTCTGTTCGAGATGCAGACCCCGACCAATCCTGTGATCGGCGGTCTCTGTCTGGCGTCTCATGGTTTGCTCCCTTCTTTTGTCCCGAGCCAACGGAAGATCGTCCTTGTCGACGTTTTGATGCATTTTGGTTCAGCGGAATATCCGACGATGTTCCTTTGCCACGGTTGACTTCCTGAGGAGCCTGCCCCTGTACCTCAGCTCCGGCCATCCCCATTGATCGTTTCCAATTATTGATCTCCTCCTTCACGGATCCGCTGAGGTTCCGCATGAGGGCATCTCTCACGGCCTGGTCATTCATCCACCAATTCCGAAGGAAGTTGTGGTAGAGAAGGAAAACAACGTGTACCTTGTGAATGAGGATCCGCATTTCGCGCTCTGTCTTGCTCGGTCCCTTTCTCCCAGAGACATTGATCTCGGGGATATAGGTAGTGCTTGCGTCAGGCAACGTGAGTTCAAGGTCCATTGGTTCTCCACGCACTTCGTCAGTGTTCTCCAGCACATGGTTGTCGTGATCGCCCCTTGATTCCATTGCGTCTTCCCAATCCTCTTCGTCCTCATCCTCGGCTGGATCAGCAGCGGGCTGCTTGACGTCTTCGAACTCGTCGCTGCTGATGTCGCTCAGTGATTCATCGTCGCTGGTCGACAGGGTTGTTAGAGGCGGTCCCCGAGAGTCTTCGTAATTTTTACGGTCTGTTGCTGCGTCCACGGCATCAAAGACGGTCTGTTTCGCCTTCCTGTGGAGCGTCGGCTTGGGAGGCGACCGCTTTGAAGCCGATGTGTCCTCATCTCCGTCACCGACGTATTTTCTCTTAGTCGGAACAACGGGACCCATGGTTATGGCATTCAGAGCAGTTTCTACGCTAATACCGCGTGCATTGTCGGAGAGAGATCATCCTGAGAGGTTGGTAATCCAAGCACTGCGGTAAAACTTCAGTTTCGGGAAGTTGTGGAAGTGGCAAATGGGTTCGTTCTCTTTCTTGTTCCGCGCTTGAAACCGGTACTGTATCTGAGCGAGAAGTCGGAAAGATGAGCTTGACATTTGACACGATGAACTACAACTGACAACCTCATAAAGTCATAATTAATACTCTTTCTGTTCCATTGATGTATCTGATGACACATCCGACGCGTCGGAGATATCAGGCCTTGCTGCCTCAGGCATAAAATATGGCCATTGACCATTCAATTACAGATTGATATCAATTAAATCACCCAAGTATCGACCGAGAAACGACCGGAAGCCTTGGGGACGGAGATGGCAGCAGCAACATCAAATCGATTCGCACCACTATCATCGCCTACGACAGCAGTAGCAAGTCGGAGCAACTCACCATCGCGACATGACGTCTCCCCGATCACAAAGCGCGTCACCAACACCATCCGACCACCCGGCACCAGCTCGAACTATTTTAGGTCGCTTGAAGACCTACCCGTCAACATGGGCATATCCAGATCTATCTCCGCAGCAGCTGACGACCTGTGGGTTTTCCTATTTCGCGGGCTCCCGGAGAGCTACTTGCCTCTGCGATGTCTGTGGGAAAAGATATCGCGTACAATGTATGATCTATGAGGGAGGATCGAGCAATGACGATCTCATAGACTTCCACGCGGACGATTGCCTCCTAGCCGATACAATATTCGATCTACTTTTTAATGCTGAGGACATCTAATTCGCCTACTAGCCGACCTCAATCCCTAGCCCTAGAGACATCGCTATCATTACTACCATCCCAATCATCCACTCCGAGTCCGCCCCGAGCATGCACCACCCGAATCCGCTGCTGCCACTCCTCCCCCGGTCCAATCTCAGCGGATATGCCCACCAAGTCGCCCTTCGAATCCCGCCCGGCTTCACCTACCCGTCCCCCATATATAACAGTGGCGTCCCGCCATTGCCCGACTCCCTCAGGGATGTCGAAACCTGATCGATCCGTAGCTTCCCCTCAACCTACCCCAATGACGACAATACGCACTCCTAGAACCTCCTCATCTGCACCAGCGAGTACGACACAACGCCGCGCACCGCACGCATCATTGCCCGTCCTCTCAATACACGACCTAGAACGCCGATACCAGAATAAATCAAGCGCCTCGTACGACTGGAACCCACGCGAACCTTCAAGCAACCCCCCTAGCGATGCCTTAACTCGACTTTTGCACGCTGTCGCTGACTTGCTTGGATTGTATAACCCCGGCTATCATTCGTATAGACTTTAGACCTAGATGATATGCCGAGATGTCATCGATTGTAAAGCAACGCTGCGCCGTGAGCAAGAACAGCGTTCCCATAGCACATATCCTAAAGAGCCCTCGTCATTGGCCATCTCGGCCAAAATGAGTAACAGGAAGTTGACGAGATCAAACACGGACAATAAGTTTTATATTAGAATGTAAATTAATTAGCTACTGTAGTTCCCCACGTGGCCTAACCGATGTTGGCCCGAACAAGCCCAGGTATCAATCAATCAATCAATCAATCACCCAAGTAATGTAGGTCTTCATGATGCACCGTACGATGACCAAAGGCCAAGTTCATTGCTCGCCTCCTATCATTAGTCTAACTTCGGGTATCTAGATATCTATCTAACAAATTGTACATCAATCATTCTAACATACAAGATCCAAACAGCTATCCACAGCATGCTCCAGCTCCAGAACTCGTTGCTCCAGCCAAGCGTTTCGTTCAGCTAGATTGCCATTGCCCACGGATGAGTGCTGTCCTCCCGAACCGGCGGGCCGAAACTCTCTTTTATAGAGGTGGTTTGGGTTTTCCTTCTTTCTCATCACATCCAAGACATCATCAAACATCGATCGGCGATTGTATTCGGTAGAAGGAAGGTCTCGAGGTGTTTCGTGATCGTCCCACGTAGTGTCGGTCGATGGGATTGAGGCCACTCCACTGGTTTTGGAAAATATACTCCCAGAACTGCTTTCAGCTTCAGATTCGAATCCGGAATCGGTTGTTGGTGTCGTTGAACCGCTTTCACCCCGGTAACAGCGTATATGCTTCGTCCCAGGAAGCTCGGGGCTATCTGATGCTCGGTCAAATGGGCTGGCAACAAGGTTCAGGCTTCTTTTTCGAGCCGATTCTCGTAGAGCGGTTTCCTGTTGCTCTTGGTTCAGAAGATCTCGTAATTCCCGCTTTTCCGCCTCGCTGCGTTCGACTTGGGATGCCATGTCATGCAATTGCAACTTTAGGTGCTTGGACCGTGTTTCCATTTCTGCAAACTCCTCCAATAGAGCCGAGTGTTCAGCTCGCACGCTGTCCATCTGGGCATGCTGCGCACGGTACGCAGACTGGAAAGTGGCGAGGAGACTAGTCGACGAGTCGACGAGATCGTGGAACGAATGAGGTGCTAATGGATCCGGATGGCCGTGAGGGAATAGCACGTTCGCAATCGACATAGTGAGAAGCGGATCGTTATCCTCAACCGACGAAGCAGGAATTGTCTCTGGTGTCTGGGAACCGTTGGATCGTGTGAACCACGCAAATCGACTTGATCGATCAGAGATCGTGGATGTTCTGCCGAGAGAACCTTGACTTCTGTTGTGAACCGAATGGGTACCCTTTACAGGGATGGGCCTTCGTGCACGCTGGGGTGCTCGAGTGTAGATTCCATCCATCTCTGTCTCTTCCTCGCTTTCTTCCTCGCTATTGTCGTCCTGGATGAAGCCAATGTTAATTGGCGCAGATGATCCACTGAAAAGATCGCCGAAGAAGAGGTTACTCTGGCGTCGGGGGTCTTGGTCTGAGGATGAAATGAAAGAGTTGGCAAACGCAGAAGTCAACGATCTCTGAAGCTGTCGTCGAGGAGATTCTGAGCGCTGGAGTTTGGCAGCCGAAACCTTACATCGATTCAAAAATTCACCGGCGAATGATGTCTGATCGTCGGTGAAGTCGGACAGAGGTGATGGAGGTTCTGGAGAATATGATGTGGATGAATATACACGCGAAGGAGGAAGGATTCTTCGGTCACGCTGAGACTACGGACTCTGTTAGAAATAGTGCTCCTTTCGCAGATACAAATATACTCACTGTAGGCGGGAGAGCGGTGGATTGTGACATTTGATCCAGGGTGATGGGTAGCAGAGGAATGTGTCAGGGGCGGGGACTCTGGCAATCCGGAGAAGGGCAGGTTAACTGCACGACTGATGTAGAAAAGCAGACACTGAAACAATGACTTTGTAACGTAGGGGCAGTCAAGGGGACGGGTCCTTGTTCAAGTTGCCTGGAGTTGATGTCTTTGGGGATGTCCTTGGGGAGAGGGTTTGAGTTGCAGCGGTTGCAGGTCAATCCGGGAGAAATGAAGAGAAGGAAAAGATCCATTGTGCAACGGTAAATATGTCGAATGCCATGCTGGGCCCTGCCATCCGAATTTTCGGAGGATAGGCCTTTGGAAAAAGACCATGATATGTTGGGGAACTGGTTATGGATAGCAACCGATGATGAAGCCGATGTGAGTGGTCATCACAAGGGGCTGGTGACAGGGATAATGCGAAACTATCAAATATGGCCAATCATACATCAGACGAGTGCAGATCAGGTGGGTCAATCCCTGTCAACTAACCTGACCTATATATGTGGCTGGTTGCGTGTGGCTTGTGTGGCTGGTCACTTTGGCTGGTCACGTGCATGTACATGGACTAAGGAGTCACATGATATTGCCTGGCTTATTCAGCCAAGATTACGGATACGTCTCACTGATTTCACGAATAGACGGAATCATCAATAAATGGATGAACTTGACGCTCAGTTCAATTGAATGTCAAACCCGAGTCAAAGGCACATGCGATTGGTGGCCAATTTCGGAGTATCCTGGACCGATGCACGGATCATCCGCAGAGGCACAAATCCCGGCCTACCTTTTAGGCTTTAACCTTGGAGATGCTAATAGCGCCGTTGAGCGGACAAGAGCTTGAAAGGACATCCGTGCATGCACAATGTACGATGCTGGCAATAGCAGAGCTTCTCCGCAAACCTATCCGCCCGTCGGTCGTCATAATCCCCTCTTTGGGCCGTCTGGGCCTCTGGGGTCCGCAATCCGCATCGGACCATTTGTCTGCGGTTAGGCTAATATAGCCTCTGCTGTGGAGTGCTCCCCATAACCCGTTGCATCTGGGATTCTGGGGAACTCCAGATCGTCAGATGAATGCCTAATTGAGCAACTAGGAGTTTTAGGGCCTTTTCACCGTTGCAATCATCTTGATACTCGGAAGGACCATCCAGTGACCCTATCTTGATGAGAACTACCGGGGATATTGATATTTGACCAGCTTCACGACTTGGAGCAATGATCCAGAAGTGAACGCCCTTGGGCGGGACCGGCAACACCGGGTCGTACGCCGATTTTACTCGCGAGCATGCCATATTGGATGTTGTAATGATTTTCCCTCTTATATCAGAGCGGTGGAACGAAGTCGCACGAAGTCACACACATATCGGAAATCAACCCGATTAATAAGATAACCTGGTTGGTGGGAGAGGGATATTGCTGACCTCGGCGAAAATCGCACTGACATTCTCGAGAATTTGAGGTGCATCATGCACTGGGCTATCATATCCACCTCTGCCCATGACCCAGTCGCTTAATTATTGTATCAGGCAGAAGACCCTGGCAACGGCCACCCAAGGGTTAGATGGGTGGTTTATCCTCAACCCCCTCAAGTTGCGACGGACTCTGTTTCTACGTTTTTCCGCGAATAAAGGGCCGTGTTTCCGTTTCCAGCATTACAGGCCCCCAGGCTAGGATATCAACCACGTCGGTCCAAATGTTCCTCAAATGGCCGGACTACCCTCGAGGATTTATTTAATCTTGTCCGAAAGTCCATGCTATTCAAGCGATTTAGGTCCACGGTCTGTCATCAGTTACCGTCTCTTCGCTGATTTCCGTCCTCCTTCCAGCGAGTAGCCATGCGTACTAAAACTCTTATCGAGCGCCTGGTGCACAATGACGCGGTGAAAGAGGATCCCCCAGAGATCTATGGGTGGAGGGTCTTCGCTTTGGCAGCTTCCGCCTGCTTTGGCGGCATGCTGTTTGGAATGGATATGGGGATCATTGGAGGTGTGCTTGAGCTGGATGCCTTCGAAGCGTGAGCTGCCCCCAGCACTGGACGACCATAGTACTCAATTTGGCCAGCGACTACAATTTGACCGAGCGGACCAAGGCGAACCTTTCCTCGAACATTGTCTCCGTTTTGCAAGCCGGATGCTTCTTTGGTTCCCTGGGAATCTACATCCTCTCGGACAAGTTAGGCCGCAAGCCGTCGCTTTTGATCTCGGCGGCGGTTGCAACCCTCGGGTGCATCATCCAAGCCGCCGCGTCGGGAAAATACGGCGCTCTGTATACTGGACGGTGAGCCAAGTTCGAGATTACTGTGAATGCCATGGATGGACACGAATTAATGCTCAATTAGAATCATTGCCGGCATCGGTGTCGGTGCTGCGTCATCGACCACTCCGCTTTATATCTCTGAAAACGTACCTCGTGCCATCCGTGGTGGACTCACTGGAATTTACCAGCTTTTTGTGCGATCTCTAGATGCCGTATTTTATGACGAAAGAACTGACAGGATCGAAGATCGTCACGGGCATCATGCTCGCATTCTGGATCAACTACGGCTCGAGTCTGCATATCTCCGGGAGAGCGAGCTACAGTACGAAATAAACTCTACATGTTCTCTTGAGGAGTCCAGTCCACTGATATAATCTAGTTGTACCCCTGGTCATTCAAGCACTCCCTGCCCTTCTTCTTTTCGGTTGCATGCTGTTGAATAAAGAGTCCCCCCGTTTCCTCGCCAAGCAGGATCGCTGGGAGGAGGCAACCCAGACACTTTGTCGAGTCCGAAACCTCCCGGCCGATCATCCTTATATCCAGGTAGAGCTCGCGGATATTGCGGCTCAGCTGCAGTACGAGCGCGAATTAGTCGGAGGCGCGAGTCAGAAGGATCTGTGGAAAGAAATGTGGCTCATCAAGGGGAACCGTAACAGGGCTTTGATTTCCATCGGACTGGTATGATAGCTGATGTATCTCGTTCTAAACTCTGACTAACGGCTTGCTGCAGATGGTATGCCAGCAGATGACAGGTACGGAGCATTGGCTACGGAGGCAGAAGACAGCTAATCTTTCCAAGGGACCAACGCCATCAACTACTACGCGCCGATGATCTTCAAGAACTTAGGAATCACTGGCGATACGACCAGCTTGTTTGCCACGGGCATTTACGGAGTCGTCAAAGTGACTGCGTGCCTGGCGTTCTTGCTGTTCGTGGCCGATAGCTTAGGTAGGAGGAGGAGTCTTCTGTGGACGAGCATTGCACAAGGCCTTGCTATGTTCTATATGGGTCTTTACGTGCGAATTGCGCCACCGGATACTGACAAGCCAGTTCCACCCGCTGGTTATTTCGCGTTGGTGAGTGGCAGGTCTTCTCGTGAATGCTGCATCATGGCTGACTCGTCCGCAGGTTTGCGTCTTCCTTTTTGCCGGCTTCTTCCAATTCGGATGGTAGGATCCTTGGCCCACTTCCGCATCCAACGTCTAACCAACTCACAGGGGCCCTGTTCCATGGATCTACTGCAGCGAGGTTGCCTCAGCACGGCTCCGATCTCTTAATGTCGCTCTTGCATCCGCTACTCAGTGGCTGTTCAACTTTGTTGTCGCCCAGGCTACGCCTCGTATGTTGAAGAACGTAGGAAATAAAGGATATGGGTTCGTGTGCTCCGGTGATAGGAGGATCGGATCGGAGGCTAACCCTTGATGCAGTGGATTCCTAATTTACGGCTGTTTCTGCTTCGCTATGTTCTTTTTTGTCTGGTTCTTGGTCCCCGAGACGAAGGGTGAGTTGAATTTTTTGCGCACTGTTTCCCTGTGCCGGACTCGGTGCTAATTTTCTACCTCTAGGGGTTTCTCTTGAGCACATGGACGAGTTATTTGGCATGAGTGTAGTGCGCAAAGAGGACGAAGAAAGCACCGGTGGCAACGAGCCTCCAAAGACGCTCAATGATGAAGGCAAGGCGCAGACACAGGTGCAGGAAGTCGAGCATGTGAAGGACTGAAGGTCTAGGTCATTCCAGGGGCTGTCGAATCGCTTGTGTCGAACGAGTTTTTGAGGCTTACGATCGATGCAATCTGTTGAAGTTAATTGCCTCGCTCAAGAGGTTTCGTAGTTTATTGAACGGGAAATAAAATGCCACTGAGGCATGGATAATACATTCCGATCTGCTGCCGGTCGAATCGATCCTCCATAATTTGGAACATGAGGGGATGGAGCGGAATGCAGCGTCGGGTTTCCGCATATCCGCATTTCCGCATTGAGCAACGGTACAGTAGCGCCTCCAGGACTCCAACTCCTAAGACAGAAGGACTCGGTGCGGATACGACCTTTTATAATGTGCCATTATTCATAAATAATATACTCTGTGAGACCTTCTTAACGAGAGGACGGGCATAAGAGTTTCGTTTCAATTGAGACTTACGGGCGGAGAGAGCAATCGTTCCATCCATGCCATATCATTGGGCCGATGTAGGGCTATTGCTGTGGTACAAGAGTAATTATTAACTCATGTCCTGACATTGTTCATCTATTAAGCTAGGGTGCCTTTACTGAATTGCCAGGAATGGGATTCCATAGGTAATTGGTAGAGTTCTAGAAGTATCGAAACAAAGAGTTAAGAGCTGGATGACTACTTCAGCTGTTCTCTACGAACCTTCCCACTCGCCACCGTCTTCCCTTTCTTTCCTTTTCGAACTAAAGACATCATTGGTCTCCAGTTACCAACCGTCCGCAAAGTTCTCTCCCTTGGAAGGGACTCGCCGATCCTGAGTCTTAGAGTCTGGAACCCCCAAAACCATCTATGAACGGTTCTGAACCAACGGCCGCATTCCGCCACACCCCACCAACTGGATGTGCACAGGGAAGCAAGACAGGGCGTGAAAGCGGAAGAGGCAGACACTTCTGAAAGAACTTCGGAAAACGCTTCCACACTGGAGTCTCGTGAATGGTCATATTGCGATCTACCTGTGTTGCCTAGGATATTCACTTTCGTTTCTGCCTTCGAAGTTCGACCATCGCCTGGAACCTTCGACACGCTCCGTTCACCTCCACCTTCCGGCATCGCCCACTTTATAAACCGCTGCGCCTGGCGCTTCGGCCCCCCCAACACAAATCGAAAATCAGAAACACTTTCGGCGGATAATCCAAGTCTGAACTGGTCACACCTCTCTAAGAGTTGCCCACCATGGCGGAGAAGATCTTGATGGGCGAGTACAAGGCCTTGTCTAAGGAGGGATGGACAAACATCGAGGTACACCAATTGCCCCCACCCCCGAACACCATATCTAGACGCCGTGACTAAACGTTTACGCAGCTTATTGACGACAATGTCTTCGAATGGAGCGTCGCTCTGATCGTCTTGAATGAGGAGTCGCCATACAGCGGCGGCTACTTCAAAGCCCGAATGACGTTCCCCAAAAACTACCCTTTCAGCCCCCCAGGTATGCCACCATTCATTCCACCCGGGTCTGTGGAGTCAGCTAACCTCTCCCCACCAGACTTCAAGTTCACCCGCCCCATCTTCCACCCCAACGTCTACCCCGACGGCCGGCTCTGCATCTCCATCCTCCACCCCCCTGGCGACGACGAGATGTCCGGCGAACTAGCCTCGGAACGCTGGTCCCCCGCGCAGCGCGTCGAGTCGGTCCTCATCTCCATCCTCTCGCTGCTCGACGACGCCGAGGTGTCCTCGCCCGCCAACGTCGACGCCGCGGTGCTGTGGCGGAAGAACAAGGGCACGTTCGACGAGCGGGCGCGCAAGGACGTCGCGGAGAGCAAGAAGGATCTTCCGGTTGGGTTCGTCATGCCGACGCAGAAGGACGCGTTCAAGACGGTGAAGGAGGACGATTTCAATATGGATGTGTGGGGCGACTCGGATGCGGAGGTGGAGGATTTCGGGGGGAGTGAGAGTGATTTTGACATGGATGATATGGATGATGATGATGATGATGACGACGATGATGATGATGCGTTGGATTCGGGCAGCGCCGAGGAAGACGAGGAAGACGAGAAATAAGGGATGATGGCTTCGCTAATTCCAGCTACTGTCTTGTCAGACGGCTAGAGAAGCATATTTCCTTTCATCCTTAGTCACGGCGATATGGCGGGGTTTCCATTATGGCGTACGGGACGGCGCGTCGAGGAACGGTTCCTTGTTCTGATTTTACAGCGCGGAGTTCGGCTTCATGCGTCCATGAGGCTGGTTATCAAGGCCTTCCTGTCGTGCAGCGATTCCGTCCGCGAGCAGGCGACGGGACTCCTTCACGCCGGAGACGGAGTTTTCTACATGCATGGATCGGAATAGATAGGTGGACTGAATTTCAGTTCGTTGAATGAACCGCTTCGCGGCACCATTTATTCTGCTTTCCTAACCTTGCGCTTTGGACTCGTATTCTACTCCATGACTCGAGAGGACCGATGTGCTGTGCCATGTTCCTAACCCATATGAGGCAATGGTAGAGTGCAATGCGGTTGACCGGTCTCCTAGTGACTCGATAGGGCCCAACGGAACGGGCGTGGACTGGATCCTGTCTTATCGGCGGTGGGTGGCGGCACAGTTGCGGCGAAGGAGGGCAAACGCAGAATGAGCCTTTCGGCCCGGAAAATGGATGCCTATATAGCTGGATGCCCTTGGACGGGCAGTCTTTTCAATCGGGTTTCTTGATTTACTTGAAAGGTTCCGAAACATCGCCATTTGGAGTAGACCATGTGTTTGGAGTGACACCAGAATGGAGACCATGAAACATGTTCAATTCATATAAAATACAAGAGCTGGGATATATATCCTGTATTCCAACTTGTCGGGACTTCGTTTGTTCCCACCCAAATCGCTCATGATTGCATTCTTTCCAAATGCCCCAACCCGTGGGTCCAATTTCCAACTCCACGACCTCAATTCTATTCGGTTGACTTCACTTCTGGCCGTAGCCGATCATGACTTAACATCTTGGCGTCAGCGGCATAGACCTCATCCCTTCGTTATTCGTCCAAGCAAGAAGCATATGAGTGAGCGGAGGCGTCGAGTCCGCTCCGTTCCCGCGGAGTGGTTTCGGGTGCGGGTCGCGAACAAGTCCCACGCAAGGCGACGATTTCATCCCTCGGAAGTTCCAGGCGCGGCCGTTAGGAGAAGTTTCGTGGCCGACGGTCAACGTCGGCCTTAGGGGGTTCCTCATTTTGTGTGTCTAGGACATGCGTGGCCGACGACAACGGTATGGTCGGCGACGGCATGTTGCCCGTACGCAGCGCAGGCATCGACGCCGTGGACATGATAGACGCAGCCGCAGACTGCGAAGCGCTCAACGACTCGGATGCACATGATGATTGAGGGTAGTGGCTGCCACTAAAGGCCAAGGGGATCGAATTGACGTGGATCGGAGATATAAGTCCAGACGACAGGAAGGGGTGTGTTAAGAATTCCGAAAAACGAGTCCAGCAAGCTTCAGAGAGGATATGAGTCAAAAGCACGGCGCTATATCTGTTGGGAAGATGCCTAATGAGAGACTCGGAAGAGGTTATATGGATGAGGATATTAATGTGAAAACAGACAGTGAGGTATGAAACGAATTGACCACCGGCCATGTTTGCATTAGTCTACCGCCCGCGCCTCTTATATGCCAGGACATCAATTCTTGTGTGCAAGACTTCGGCGACAGCGAAGAGGATAGCTAAATGATAGGCGAGAAAGCCATGAAGAGGTGGTCCGTCCAGGCTGTCATCTTTTCGGCAGGCAAGGATGACTGATGTAAAACCCCACATGGCGGTTCCTGCAGTTCCAAATACATGGCTAAGAAGAGGAAGAAAGGTCCAAGACAGAAATGGGAGAAGGCCAGAGAAAGCAGGCCCCCACAGGAGGCGCAGTACGAGGCAGCAAAGCAAGGAAGAGAGGCGTCAGATTGGTGGGTGGAGATAGAAGAATCGATGTGGCAGCCCACCCATACGGATTGAACGATCAAGTTAGAAGGAATGGCTTCGGCTCATGCGAGAGATATTTCCGATTACGGTATAGGGAGAAGTTCATACTCCGGGATATTGGACCGTACTGGTGCTGAGCGCACCTGATGGAAGCACAGGATTGAACCACCGTCATACCACACCATCGTCTCGATAGTCGTGTGCATCGTGTCCTGCTGAAAAGATGACGAACTGGAAAAGCTGCGGAATTAACAGATCGAGCTATCGTCGCTTTGAGTCACCGCACATATTGACCGGCGATGGAGTATGACGAGGAGGGATAGTCTGGCCATGTCGAGTTCAGGCTTGCTCTTCAGTGACCGGTCTCGGTCTGGAGTGGTCGAATGAACGAAGGGTCGTCCGGATGCTGACCAGGGATTCGTGCATCAAGTTGACGCACGAGCATGGACGGATGAATGACAGAAGAGTCGGTAGTGGAATGATGGCTTAAAACGACGGTATTTTCGGATGAGGAAAACGTTGAACGGAGGATGAGAAAGAGAAGGTGAAGTCATGACCGTAAGGAGAGTTGGGTGTCGTTGGCGGGACGCGCAGTCAACGGTCAACTGGCGGGGAGGAACTGTGACCGAACGACCAGGGGGGGGGCAACCAACTGGCGCTAGCAAGGGGATGCTGGAGTATGTTGTTGGAGTCTCGAGTTTTGGTTGGACGCCCTATAGGCCAGCCACCCACTCCGGCCCACTCCAACCCTCCCACCTGTTCGTATTGGGTTAGTATGGGGCCTCAGCCACATCTCACTGACCGCCACGGATGCTTCATTACTGACCGAGTCCTTCAAATTGCTACTATCTACTACCTGTAGGCGGTAAGTTATAGTTCATGCCACAACATCCGTCTACACGTGGTACAGTACACAGCCTTCACGTGCAGTTTCATAACAGGAATAGTCTCGCAGTCTCCGTCTCGCGGTCGCCCTTCTTCACTGTAATCTCTCGGCTAACGATCCGGTCTAGACCTATTTCCATACCAAGTATATGATAGCCTGTATAGGTACGAACACGTAATTGGTTTCGTGATGTTCTTCCCACAATACGGGCTACTCCACCTCATAGTAAGCACGTCGACACTTTGACTTCGATACTTCAACAGCTTCACGGCCAGTGACGGAGACAGAATGAGGCTGAGGGTCGTTCGATGCAACCTTGACGCCTGCGGCCTGTTTCTGCCTCTCTTCTGTAATCGGTCGTCTCCACCCCTCTCACGGGAAGGACGCGGAAGACGGTCACATCCAATATACGGCCAGAACGAGTGGAGAACCGCGATTTCATAAACCGGGATGCGGCCAAGGGTAGTCCACTCGCGTTCTCGCAAACAGCAAGGAGCAAGGTATCCTGGCAGGGACTGACGCAATTCGTATCGGAGCTTCCACCGATCGTTCCCCAGTTCCCCATTGTCGGGCTCGCCGTTCGCCCATCCCCCGTGACTCAATCGGTCTATTTTCATGTTCTCCCCTATTAATATCTACTTCCAGTTTAGCCTTATCCAATAGAGTATCAATTACTATGTTCGTCTAGTCTCCCCATACCGTTTTGGTATCTCGTTCCCCTGGTTCGATCATCCATGGCGGTCGGTGAAGTGGGTTGGCCGTTGGATGAATAAGTACCTGATCCCAGGACCGGGCCAATCCGAGACGAATTATAGATAGTAGCCAACCCTCATGGATGCGCAGGACTTCCATAGATTCCATATCGGCTCGAACGGGTTGGGCGATGCCTCTCAGGCCCAACCAGGTGAACTGATAGCAGCAGACAGTCTTGCCCAATCGTCAGAAGTCCAGGGTCCACGTCGATTCAATATTCGCGGACCTAAAATAATCCATTTCACAAAGTATTAGTCTAATAGAATCATCAGATACTCACGTTTACAGTAGCCGAAGTTGTAGATTATATCACCTGGAGCCCTGGTTGGTGCTCAAGGTTAGATTCAATCTAGCTAGTTTAGTGGCTGGGGCCTGGAGGTACGGTTCATGATCTTACTGCAACGAGACGAGTTCTTCCGCGACATTATCATCCCCACCCAAGTTTCAGCTTCTTTGAACCGTTTGTGCAGAGTCATGCCATGCTGACCTTACTACTCAGTCATAATTCATTCGACTATTGCATTCTGGAAACCTCAGCCACTCCAGCCTCAATTCCGACCTTGCTGGTGATGCATGACGTGGATGTTGGAGAACCCCCTTGCGCCAGAGTCACCTGCCATATGATCATTCCAGCCATTATAGTTCATCATCATGGTCTTAGCTCCAAAAAATCGCCCTTTTCATCCCATCATTTCCCTGCATCTTTGCCCCGAAGGCGATCCTGATCGCTGTTCCTGGAACCATCGTTCACTTCCCCCCCTTCTTCTTCCTCAGGTTCATCCCTGCGCCTTGGAACCGCCCTTTCTTGTCATCGTCCCCGGCCCCCTCGGCTCCGTCGGCACTTTGTTTCACCGGCACGATGCCGTACCCGAAAAAGAGCTTGCCCTCCGGCAACCGCAGTGGCAGCGGTCCATTTTCATGCGTCCGGCTAGCGGCGGCAGACGAGGCGGGCGGTGCGATCGGCAGGGCAGTGCTCGAAGATGCTGCAGATGATTCTGCAGCGCCGGGTTTCCTCGTGGTGATACGGCGGCCCTCAGATTGGAAATGTGAGCTCGTGGACGTTCCCGGTGCTTGTCCGGTGCGATTCGGAGCGATGGACGGGTAGTTGATCGCTTGGGCCATGGTCCCGTGTGGGTGAACCACTCCGGATTCATTCGCCAGAGGTGCGCCTCCAAAACCGCTTCGTGGGGTAGAGGTGCCGCTGCTGCTACCGGTTGCCATGCCTGGCCTGGCCTTGGCTTTGGCGGCGTCACGTGCCGCTTTCTCGGCGGCAATCTTCTCTTCATATCCGACGGGGGCTGCAAAGTCGACGCTTAGATCCGTCTCCAACACCGATATCGCCTTCTTAGGGTTCTCTGGTTTCGTTTCCAGGACGGCGACACTGTAGATGTTGTCGTTGTAGGAGAAGGTGAAGACGTCGTTGGTGGTCAGGCAAGAGAAGTTACGGAACGCGTTCTCTAAGACGGCCTTGGGGTCGGAAATCTCGAGGAAGTCGGTGGATTGCGGTTGGAGCTTGATGAAGGAGCCTAGAGGGAGATCGGTCGATTTGATTTGGATAAGGTCGCCGGGTTCTAGCAGCAAGGTTTCCATCAACTGCTCCATGTTAGCTTTCACAATGCCGTGGCCCATCTATCATAGTCTTCTCACCCAGTGTGGCAAGTACACCTTCCCCTCTTCGGCAATGAATTCCAGCACACCTGCGTGGGTCTGTCGATCTCTGGCGCCGTTCACCAGTTCAAAGAGCATCGGATAGGTGATATGGAGCCGGGTGAGCTTGTCCAGGGCACTTGGAGGAAGAAACACTTTGCCGCCATGATTGGCGTCTTCTCGGTCGGGCCCGGGCAGCATGACCACTGGATAGCATCGGAAGTATTCGTCGAAACGCCGCGGCGCTCCTCCGCGCCGGCCGAGCATGGCGTTTTGATACATGCCCATCGGGCTGCCTTCGTCGTAGAAGCCGGAGTATGACTAGAGACTCAACCGTCAGTCAGAATACCGTAGTGTTACTTCCTTGATCCATACCATGGCTAATTCTTGGTGGATTCGGACTCGAACGGGCTCAAGGTATAGGCTATCAGTTTGAGGTTCTAATAAGTAAGGTCGAATATGACGGATGAAGCTGTAGTCCGGCTTAAAGAGCAAACTTCTTGAGTGGATGATAAATGCTCCGTGTTAAATAATTCCAAAACACTATGGTTGTGTTGTAGTCTGTAGATGGACAGGAGCTCTCAGAGGTGACAGAAGTTCCAGGCACCTGAGCGAATGACGTGCAGATCATAGCGCCACCATCTTCGGGGGAGGACGTCCAGAGCTCCAGATTCTCAACCAGAACCAGTCTTCAGTCATTATTCACGCTTCAATCATGATTGGAGACATTCCCTACCAGCACCGAATTTGACGAATCCGACTATCTACTTAGTCGCTATCTAAGCCCTATACTCTGTACCATCATCTAATCTGTCTTTGTTCAAGCCGGACTAGTCATTATTCCAACAACACATTTCTTTATTGTCTATCCTGGAGAGCCACTCAACAACGTATCTACCACATTGAATCACAGGTAGCTATCGTCTTCTGTCAGCATCATGCCCCGACCAAAGCGTGCCGGCGGCGAATTCCACCGCGCCTATGACGAGTTCAAATCCTCCCAGCCCACCGCGAAGAAGCCGCGCTTCGACGCGCGCAACCCATCCGTTCTCGCTGCGCACGCCGACGACGAAGACGCCATCCTCGAACTCGACGAAATCGGCCGGGGCGGGCAGCCCAAGCGGAACGCCGTGAACATCGACGGCTACGAGTCGGATAGCTCGAACGACAATTTCGACGCGCGCGCCGACGCGAAGGCGAAGCGGGAGAAGGACGCAAAAAAAAACGCCGAGGTCGAGGAGGATCTGTTCGCAGAGTCGGAGAAGGAGGAGGAGGAGGAAGAGGAGGGGGAAGACGACTTCAGTCGTGCCGCGAAGAAGAGGGATAAGACTGTGCGATTTCTGGACCCGCAGGCCATCCAGGGCCAGGTCGCGGACAGCAAGTCGGGCGGGCATGTCTCTGCGGATTTTCTCCTTAGTGGAAAAGGAAAGGAGCGGGTCAAGGACGTTGAGAGCAGCAGTGAGAGTGGGAGCGATGAGGAGCGGGACCGCGTCGGGAGCGAGGTGGATGAGGAGCTCGGAGCCGGGTCGAAGAAGAAGCACGCGCCACGCCTGGAGGCATTCAACATGAAGGAGGAGGCGGAAGAGGGGAAATTCGACGCGAACGGCGCCTTCATTCGCAACGCCGTGGACCCAAACGCGGTTCACGACTCCTGGCTGGAGGGACTCTCGAAACGGGACATGAAACGGGCACGGGAGGCACAGGAGAAGCGCGACGAAGATCGACGGCGGCGGGATAGGGAAGACGATGCGGTCCCTACGAGCGACATCCTGGCGCGACTGATCCGTTACCTACAACCAGTGGAGACCATCTTGGAAGCGCTGCAGCGGTTGGGGAAGGGCAAGGGGAAGCAGAAGCCGAAATGGCAGAAGAAGCAGAGGAATGGCAATGCTATGGACGTTGACGAAGGGGCTGAAGAAGAGGATCCGGCGGAGACACAGCGAAAGCAAGCCGTCGAAGCCATCACCGCCGCCGCCGACCAGCTCCTCACTCGAGGGCAGCTAGAGATCTACGATGCAGAACGCGAACTATTGATCCGGCAGTATCAGAGGGAGACGGGAGAGCCGTGGGTCGAGCCGACCACTTCATCCGCGCCGAACGGCCCCGATCAAGCTGCGCAGTGGGAGTATCGGTGGTCAGACGGACGAGAGGACGGAGCGAGGCATGGGCCTTACGATGCAGCGACCATGAAAGCGTGGAGTGACGCCGGGTACTTTGGGGAAGGGGTGGAATTCAGGAGGGTGGGGTATTCGGAGTGGAGCCGGTTGGTGGACTTTGTGTGAAAGGACTCACCGTCGAGGTCCTGGACTACGCTTGGCCTTGTTTATTCTGAGTGTACGAGGGAAATTTCCTTACCTTGAAGCGATTGAATGCCCTTCTCTGTGTGAGGTATCACATCGGAGCTTTGGCGAGGCATCTCGCTCCCCTGGCATCGCCAAAAACAGGGGCCCATAATGCAGACATTGGTGCACAACGTCCTCCCGGCTCCCGCAGGCCGCTGCAAGCGACGGCTCCGGCAGCTTGGGAATGGGCTCGTCAACAAATCACGTTATTGGCATTTGATGCGAGAAGTCGGACAACTGGAACGGCGGCGTCCAGTCAAGCCCGGGGTTCGGTCAGGGTGCGCTGCTGTGCCTCTCACTCTTGATTGGGAGTTTTGGACGTATACCGCAGTAGCCGTTCTGATATAGACACGTTCCTTTCACTACGCAGCACCACACAGTATCCCCCACCGACTGGCTATCTTGCCGCTTGGTGATAGGAGGCACAGCAGAAAATTCCAGATGGGTTTCTTGGTAGTTGAACATGTAAAATGGCCGACAACTGAGACACGGTCGCACCCTCCCTTCCAGCATGTGATGCGCTGCAGGTCACGAAGCGCGGATTCGTGATATGCGAACAGGGGCGAGCAGGCAATGTGTTGAACGCACTCCGCCTGCATCTTCGCTACTGCATCGCGCCGTGGTTTGCATGTTGGGCATCAACATTTTGACGGAGGGGTACATTTATTTCTCGATGGTGAACCTAGCCCTGTCCGTTCATCTGCAGCAAGCGCGTAGGAGAAAAAAGTGTCGTATATGGTATGAAGATTGAAGTTTGGTGGATGAGATGATTGTATCCTGATAGATCCTTTCCCAACACGAAACCGCCTATCTCATCGCGGTATCTCGCATCCAACTCACCTTTTCATTCCACGTCTTTGCCTTATGCGCATCCTGAGTTCAGGGTGGAGGCCGTCGGGTATGGAGATGACGGATATCGCGGATATGCAATGTTCAGGAGAAACCCGAGTCGCGGCGGAACGGCCCAATTTCTCGGGGGTTTGGTTGCTGATTGGCAATACTTTCGCCGCGATGATGTAGAAGCGGAAGCAAATCATCCAGGGCTTCTTATTAGATCTTCGTCAATAATGTGCCGCGCTAACACCGGCGGCCGCGTATCGGCCCGCATCTTCCAATGCAACGGACGGGCAATGAGCATAAGGAGTACATGATACCTACCGGGCTCCCTTGGACGGCATTGCTATTGGCACGATGGGAGGGGATCAGAGCCAACCACGGGCGAGTCAGCGAGGCAAGCCGACTTAATAAATGACATTATGGATTCGCGCTATCCGACGCATTTGGACATATTGCCATGGGGATATTGCCATGAACTGATACACCATGCACTCCGACCTCCTTCCCGGATGCTGCTTGACAGGGTGAGGTTACATTTGGGTTCAACATTCGAGGAGGTTCGCGGCCACGCCTTGAAACCAGACGATGAACGGGTGGCCTATCATGACGACGGAATGGGCGGTCGACAGGTCGGCCGCAGGAGTTCTGACGGTATGCTCTGACTTTATTCGGTGCATGCTCCTAAGCTAATACCGTAATACGATAATCCGCGGCCTGGATCTGAATCGTCCATGGCGGAGTACCGGCTGCGGTGGGTCGGCGCCGGTTGATTCGTCCTCCCTCCTACAGCACCTGAGGCTATTCCACCCGCGGAACCGACTGCATGAGGGCCACAGTGCCAATGAATCGCCTCGAAGATGATTCCGAGGCCATGGAATGCACCGAAAGCCGTCGGGACGGGCGGTGGGTCGGTGGAAGACGGTGAGAGGCAGCAATCTAGCAAGCATTTCCTGAATCGCGGCCCATCGTAGGAATAAGGGAAATGCGAGAATGCTTAACGAATCCACGATGGTACATAGGGGGAGAGTACATCGTGGTATCAGATTTGATGGAATTTTATCATTAATAGGGATCAGGTACATTGCCATAATTATATCGTAATTAATAGCGGTATTAATCACTCCTTCTCTTTCGTTCCGCCTACCAGACCCTCGTTCTCCACCCACGCTGCGTCTCGAATCCATGAATGGAAAATCCCCCCAACCCGTTGAGTCGGGTACCATCAGCATGCAACGCGTGGATTGAGTGGACGACAGTATTAAGCAATACTGCATCCCTATTCCTATTGGACTCTAATACTCTATTGTCACTTTTATTCGAGAGTCGAGATGGAGTTGCTGCTGTTCATGTTACCCATTCATGTTGCCCATTCATGTTGCCCATTAATTGATTGATCAATCCACTCTCCAACCGCCTCCAACTAACTCCAACTAACTCCAACTAACAGTAACTCGGCCTCAGGCGACAAGGCCAACCACCCCGAACCACACCAAGCAGCCCACACACGCACACAGAAGTGAGAAGAGCCACACACACACCTCTCCCTCTCAGCCATCACCTGCTCATCTTTTCTCCACTGGCTTTTTCCCCCTTCTTTCTCTCTTCACAACCTCATTATTTCCTCCTCCTCCTCCCTCCTCCTCCCCCTTATCCCTCCCTCGAGAGTCTCGACACCTGCACCACTCACTCCACTTCCCTCCATCCGATCCTGCAGTTCCGTGGTTCTACCTAACTGCACTCCTGATTAGCCCCAGGTGTGTCGTTCCTCGCCGCACCGCTGCAGGGAGCACGGCACAGGTCGCCTGTTGGTGGTCCACTCCCTCATTTTCCTCCTCCTTTGTTCTTGCTGCCGCTTTTCTACCCGGCATTTTTCTTTCTCTGCTCTCTACCCTCCCTAACCCTCCACTGCACCCACCACTTCGGTCGGAAGCGAGTCCGCTCATGCTGCAGCCCGACTGCTCGTTTTGAACGGCTTTTGTCCATTGGGATCCAAGCTCTTTCCCTCGTTGAAGTGAAGAAGGACGACAGGTCAAGAATCCCCCATTCTTACCCTCCATCGTCCTGCACTCGACCTCCCTTCCCCATCGCGTCACCATGAATAATCCCAACGATTATTTTGACAACCCGGCCTCGCGTTCCCCTGGTTCGCTCCGCCATCCGAATCAGACTCTTCATCGGCAACCATCTCGTCAGTTTGATGCGTACGGCCAAGCCGCGGCCACGTATATCCCCGAAGACATGAATGCGCAACCCTTTGCGCACCGGTTCAATGAGCGGATGAATCCCACGATGCAGCCCGGTTATTACGACCTGGTGGACAACCAGACCTGGAACGGAGTCTTTCCTTCGTCCGGTTCCATGCCTGCGATCAACTCGCGAAGAAACCCCCCCATGCATCGAGGCGGCCGAGCCGGACTTCCAACAGTATGTTTGCACCTTGAGGATCGAGGAGATTCGGCATGAACATTTCACTGATATAACGCTGCAGACATGGATGGAAGGATCGGGCATCGGAGCACCCATTCCCAATTTTGGCGGTGTTGGAAATCCACCGCTCTCGATGGCTCAACGCCCGAATAGCGACATGAATCTCGGTTCCAATGACGATGAACTCATTCCCACCGCCATCGTCATCAAGAACATTCCGTTTGCCGTGAAAAAGGAACAGCTCGTGCAGCTGATGACCGACCTTGGCTTGCCGCTTCCGTATGCGTTCAACTACCACTTCGACAACGGAGTGTTCCGTGGACTGGCGTTTGCCAACTTCACGAACCCCCACGAGACGGCGGCGGTGATTCAGCACCTGAATCATTATGAACTCCAGGGGCGAAAGTTGCGGGTCGAGTATAAGAAAATGCTTCCCATTGCGGAACGCGAACGGATCGAGCGCGAGAAGCGAGAACGGAGAGGCCAGCTGGAAGAACAGCATCGCCCCTTGCCCGCTGGGCAACTCCATAACCAATCCTCCTTGTCCTCTCTCGGAGGAGGACACCTGCCGACCACATCTCCATCACCTGTGAACCAACGAAATCTCGTGCATGGTATATCAGACGCGGCATCCATTATCAGTAAACATACTGACCATGCGTTACCAGACGTGGATATGAATGACCCTACCGTGCTTCGATACTACTCACAAATTTTGCTGTTCAAAGAGGACCTCAGCCGAGACACAATCTCATTCTCCCCTCAACTAGCTCCGACCGAACGACGTGTGGTTCACACCCTTGCCCACCACATGGGGCTTTCGCATAACTCCCAGGGTGAAGGGGACAGCCGCCGGGTGGTCGTCACTCGGGTTGCATTGGAAAACATGAATCGAGGCAACATGAGCCCTCCAGGACGTCATTCCGTCGACCCGCGCCGCACGCTGAACCGAGCGGCAACGACCGACTTCACCGATGTGCGCGCCGGGGAAGGATTCTACAACACCATCGGCCGCCAGTCATCGGGACTCCTCGGTGGATATCCCGACTCTCCTGCCGGCCTCGGACCCGGTCCCAACCTGCGACCGGCCAAGTCGTATGCGGACTTGCGATCCTACACCCCATCCCCCGTTCCGTCCACAGCGAGCTTCCCGATCAATCTGAACACCAACCTCCCGCGATTTTCCAATGATCCATTCACATCGGCGGTCAACAGCCAGACCTCCATGACGCCTACGGCCGGGGGTCGCGACGACCTGGTCAACGGCATGGGAAGCATGACGCTGACCTCGTCGACCCTGGCTCCCAGTGGAAGCCCTCGCCGAGGCATTCTGGGGTGGAACAACGATGGAGCCAACCCGGGACCGATCGGCGGACACCGAGCGTTCAGCACGAACTTTGACGCCAGCGAGGGCCCCCGGGACCGTGGGGCGATGATCCCGGCCCGACAACCACGTGGACCGGTCCCGGAACGTGGCTCAGGCTACGGCAACCGTCCGCGACAGAACGGTCATGTCGGACGCGGCAGCGATGAGCTCTCGAACCAGAGCGGAAAGGAGATTGCCGTGGAGTAAGGGGACTCGACGGCCGCTTTCTGATCTGAGGACGTGATTTCGACCTTCAAAGCGATGACTCGATATCTATTGATACCCCTTCCCACGCCCATCGTCCCTCGTGTGGATGATGGACCCGTGATTAGAACTCTCTTGATAACGAACGACGGCACAGGCGTTGGGGACGCAATGACGAATGAATCAAGGAAGTACGACAACAAATGGTTGCAAACCGTCCGTTTCATCCGAACCGCGTCGACGGTTCGCATGGAACGGACCTTTGCCGCCATCCTCAATGGTTCCTGACACGAAGCTGTGGAGGTGGATCCTCCCTCTCACGAAGAATACGAACGACGATGCTACGACCGAAAAAACCAATTCCCCATGACGACAGCATTGGGCGATTGACACCCCCCTTTCCAAAATTCGGGGACATGTGCAACGGTAGAAGACATGGGAAAGATAACAAAGAATAGGCTCGCGCCTCCTTTAATCTCTTGAAATCGATAGGTGGAAAGACGAGGACGGGCGGTTCGGAGCCGGACATGAATTCAATACGCACTTTGTTTGTTTGCTACTGCTTCCTGCTTTGCCATGCGGGTTCGGGTCTCCCAGAGCTTGCTGGTTGTTTACACTCAAAACTTTTTTTCTCCATTTTGCACCGTGTTATCTGAACCATCAGCCATGGAATCTGATTCTGATTCTTACCATGTACACCCGCCTGACTCTGGATGTGGGGTCGGATCTGAACGGCCATGGGATTTATTTCGCTTCAGTTATCACGCATTGCATGTATCCATGGTGCTGCCTTTTTGTTCAGGGCATGGTAAGCCGATGGTGTGTTCGCTTTTTCTTCATCGGAGCGGCGCATTGTGATTTTGTATTTGAGTTTTAAACATCGGTCCCGCGGATCTTCCTCGCCGTACGATACATTCGCATGTGCGCCGCTCATCCAATCCTTTCTGTTTCTTGCGGCCCGTCGCTGGCAGTTGTACGTTACTCATACCGATTCTTCCTCCCTACTGAATCCTGAGGCGTCGTCCTCAGGGCGAAGTAGGCAGTGGGAATTCATTATATCCAGATCGTTTAATGAATAAGTTTTATCAATCCACATTATTGACCTTGAGGGTGGTGACATCTATGACAGCGTCCCGCATGCCAGTATAGGGTCTCGGTCATCGTCGTCACAAGCTTGCATCCGCCACTAATGTGAACCAAATTCAATGGGTGTGATGAACCGGATTTCATAGACACTACATGTCCCACGCATCCCAGCCGGTAGACGACCGGGCAGGAGAGGAACGAAAGCACGTAAAGAATAAACAAACAAACAGCAAAGCAACAACGGGGTAAAGATCCACTAACTCGCACTCGCAGCGCGTCCCGTGAGTTTTCCACACCCAGGCCCCCCATGTACTCCTCGCGCCGGCAGCGCCCATGAGAAAATCATACAACGCGTATCCCCATCCCGAGCTGGTCGCTTATCCCTCACCACACGAAAACGCGTCCATTTCCGACTCGCGCTGTGATGAGTCTCTCGGTGACCATCCAGTAATACGATTTACGCGTCCACCGCCTTGGTCTTCTTCCTCTGCTCGACCTTGAGCAGCAGGGCGCGGTTGATGTGCGGAAGAACACCACCGAATGCAATGGTGGCGCGGATGAGGGTGTCGAGCTCCTCGTCGCCGCGGATGGCGAGCTGCAGGTGGCGCGGCGTGATGCGCTTGACCTTGAGATCCTTGGCCGCGTTGCCTGCCAGCTCAAGCACTTCGGCCGTGAGGTACTCGAGGACCGCGGTGAGGTAGATGGCCGCCTTGGCGCCGATGCGGGTCTTCTGACGCGTGATGTTGCGCAGGTGACGCTTGATACGACCGCATGGGAACTGGAGGGAAAGCGAGATGTTAGTCATATAGTCTGGACGCGTATTGATGATGCGAACGTGGACTTCAAGTGCCCCGCGACAGCGATATTTTGGTTGCACCATCTTTTGACGCGTTCGACGCGTCCACTTTTGACGGCGCTCGAAGTCATCGATGAAATCGCCACGTGTAAAAGATGCCTCCATGGCAGTCGCATATAAAATAGAAATCATGGTACATACCTGAAGACCAGCTTTTGCGGAGTGAGATTTGGGTGTCTTGGAGTTCGAGTCGGCCTTTCCGCCCGTCTTGCCACCAGTTTTGCCTATATTATGCAGAAACGAGCGTCAGAGAGAGCGCAAACTAAATGAAGGAGCTGAAGCTGATTGCTGGAGCATGTAGTAATACACCCAGTTGTGAGATGCGCGTACCTTTTCCACCCGGCATGATGGACGATTTTCCGGAAACGGAGAATGAATTCTTTTCAAAGAATAAGCTTATCGATGATGGATCGGCGGAGTCCGGTCGCAGGGACAGACGATGTTCTGATGGGTGGTGGTGGTCGATGATGTGAGTTGTTGCGATTCAGAAATGACAAGCGGCGGGAAGTCGGGTGGTTGGATGTGGAAGGTTGAAGAGGCAAGTGACGGGAGGGTTGTTGTGGTTTGAATGAGAGAATCGGGAAAGGTTGGTCCCATAATACAAAGAATGTCGGCGCTGATTGGTTGGTTGCTGGGATCTGTACCACGTGACTTGATACGGCCAGACCTCGGATGCTATTCAGTATCGAATCCGAATCCGACGTTCAGCACAGTTCACAAGTCAGTGAAGTCCCAGCAGCACTTGCTGGTCATCGTACTATATAGTATGAGGTTAGAAGTGAAGCAAGGGTTGGAATGTACATCCACTTGGGGGTCAGTAACGATGTAGGCAGCAGTAGTTAGACCGATGATGGAACTCTACAGCCGCGACAGACATTCCAGTATCAGGCTGTAGCCTCTGACATATCATGGGATCGGCCCCATAAATGCTCTGAATTCATTGTGAAATGACCTGCAGGGTGATTCTTAAAAAACATGCTGAGAACGGAACTACGGATCTAGATGTTCATGATTTCGACTTTGATTGATGATGACAGATAGTGACCCATAGTACTGAAATTCGCCAATATTACAATGAAAACGAATAAGAAATCAGGGACACTGTTAGCTTGTTCAAATTGACTCTTTCTAGTGAAATCACAAAAAAGAAATCGTTTTGAAGTGCTGTATCACGACACCAAACATCTACAATGTTTGGACACCCCTGTCAGGAAACAAGAACAACTGAATGCCGACGCTTACAGCAATGAGCCATCAAAGGATACAACAGCTTTTGGGATCAAGATCAGCTTGTTGAATAGAACCTCAGAAGATATTTACTCCTGATTGATTCCTCCAATGACTGGCTTGCTGCATAATTGCGCCCAGAAGGGGTTCAATGGGTTATCTCGGCCGAGCCCCATTTCAAGACAGAGATATCCACGCTTGACGATTAGCCTCTATACAGTTACGGTTGAAATAGGGAATTCCTGTAGAAATAAAATAGCTCACTAGTTGCGTACGTCCCAATACGAAGTTGTAAATGAAACAAATTTCAGGTCCTCCCCTTTCCTGGACGGCCGTGGGAGACAGTGGACGTTAGAATTTCGAAGTCAGATTCGCTGCTGGACAGGCATTCGAGTACCACAGGCATGAAGGCATTCATAAACCCAGGCAGCTCAGCACGTGCGGGGCAGATTACCTAATGGCTAATAGCAGTCGGTATCAAAAATTTCCGTACATGGTTTAGTAACACAAAGTGTACGGTAACCAATGGCTGTGACCGTTGATTAACCAATGAAGAACCAGTGTCATGATCCCTGCATCGGCCGGGCATCATCGCGACATTGCCTCCCCCAACTATACTCCGCTCTCTCTATTCAACCGTCAACTACTCTTGATGTGATATCTGATTGTCTCATATCATAGTCTACACTGTACACGTACTTTCAGTTATCCCTACAGGACTTACTATCTACATCCCATTGTCATCTTGAATCCTTCCTTACTCTCGTCTCCTCAGGAACAATGAGGTTCACAACACCTCTTGTCTCCCTGGTTCTTGCCAGTGCCGTTGCCGCCAACCAGCCATTCCTAGGCTTGGGACTTGGAGGAAGCTCAAGCCAGGTTCATTTGAATGAGGATATCGAGGTTCCAGGCGACAATCCGCTGTGCTTCTGCGATGATCCGTCGCGGGATATCCTGAAGATAGACCAGGTGGATTTGTTCCCCAATCCTCCCCAACCGTACGTTGTTCCTTCAGATCACCCTGCCACCGCCCATTCACAAAGGGACCAACGAATACCTACCTTCTGGCTAACACTACTTTTCCTCAAGGGGCGCGACATTGACCATCGCTGCGAGCGGGACTTTGAAGCAGGACGTCGAAGATGGTGCCAAAGTCCACCTTCGAGTCAAATACGGCCTCATCACCCTCATAAACCAAGACGCCAATCTCTGCGAGCAGATCAAGAATGTCGACCTCCAATGTCCCCTCAAAGCTGGAGCTCTTACATTCACCAAAGATGTCAATCTTCCGCGAGAGATTCCTCCGGTGAGTCTTCCCCGCCACCTCGGAAACTATGTCCGAACATCATGGCCTTCCGTCAAATCCCTCACCGACACCCTGCTAACTCACATCGTCCGTAGGGCCATTATACTGTGCTTGCCGATGTCTTGAGTAAGGACGGCAAGAAGATCACATGCCTGACGGCCAAAGTCAATTTCACCCGTGGCTGATAAGATGTTGTTGTCTGTATTCCTTTCCATATCTGGGAAACCTTGGAAGATTCCGTCATACCGATAGCATACGCAATTACGCATTACTGTAGACTGGGACGTGCATTGTGGATCGATCTTGTGCCAGCAGCATCACTGGCTGCTCATGTTTCTTGTATTGGTTTGCGAGCGGCCTTTCAACTACTGTTCCACAACATTTGTCACGAATAGCGATTGTTCTTCTGTCCCTGGGCGAATAATTTGAGGTTCGCATTACATATGACGTTCAAGTTCCATCTAATATTCGTGGGGATGATAGCACGCCTTAGCGTAGTCCGTAGCCATACCAAATCCTGTTAATCAGACCCCGCTCAAACCCCGTGGGAGCACACCACGGTATCACTGTACTACAAGAAATGGCATCTGACCTTTAGAGGCTGTTGTTCATCCTCTCTGAGCTCATGTAGACAAAGCCAACGCTTATAATAGAAATCGGGAGTAGATCCACCAAATCTACTCTCCAAACAGACGCCGCACTCGCTTCAGGACACTGTCCTTCTCAGGATCGTACGGATGGTCCTTTGCCGGAATTTCCAACAATGATGGGAAAGCCGCCGTGTATGTGTCCACACGGTGTCGTATCTTATCGGCAATCTGAGAACGCCGATCAGCACCTGGGCACATCTCGGCAATGGGATGCGTATATCATACATGTTGATTGATCAACAAGATCGCAATGTCTTTCCTCTCCTGCGTAAATCTGTCGAAGGCGGCTTCGATCACGGCACTCTCCGTTTTGGCATCGACAACGAGGAAGTTCTTCTGCGCATCGGCTCCTTGGGTGACATGCTTGATCCTCTTTAGTACGGTCCTATGCTTTTCCTCGAACAAATTATACGTACACCAACGCCTGCCAAAAGCAGGCCGGTCACAGAATCCTGAAGAAAGTGAGTCTAGAGTAATATCAACGGAAAAGAGGAGAGAGGGATTACCTCGTCCCCTATTACAGCGAGGAACTGCCGGTCTTTATATTCGGCGTTTGACGCCATCGATGAAGGGTTCGGAGCTTAAATCTGGCCGAACTGTTTCGACAATGGATTCTTCTCCAATTAGAAGTCTGAAATCGTCGAGAAAGGAACTTGATGTAACTGTAAATGTGAGCAACTGAATAGTAGAGAGAAGGGTGGCGCTTTCATACCTGTATCATGGGCCTCAGCACGTGATTGGCTGGAGAGCTTCCTAGTGAACTGCAGATGAAGCTATCAGGTTGTCGTCCGCCAAATTGCCCGTAAACAACATTGGATGCTCCCATCAACACGTTCACAACGATGCGGCCAGAGAATGTTGACCCTGATATCTGAACATGGACTTCCTCCATGAACCACATTTACCAAACTATGGAACAGGAGCGAACCCTTGAAATCCCCACGTTCTCCAACCTCCATCATGCCGCGACTTGTTCGACGCGCACCGCTTATGGAGCGGCTCCAGGCTTACCTTAATCCGTGGGATTTCCTGCTATGGTTACTAGAAGAGCTGAACAGTAATGACTGGGATGAACACCAGAAGCGATGGGCGCTACCGATTGGCGTTGTTCTCAATCTTGTCTTCATGGTTGCGAAGGCAAATTCTTCTAACGGAGGTCGTGACGATGTCTTTGGAGAATACGATTCGGGGGGTGGACTTGGTGCTTGGTTGGTATGTGGTCTGGCAATTCCTTTCAGTTTGCCTACCTACGAGAAGCCAAGGACGATCTTACTGACGGCTTCTGTCCAGTGCGAGTTTTTAGTTCTGGTCCTAGTCGTCTTCTCAGCAGCCAACGCCTTCTACACCTTCTACCGCCGTCGACACTATCGACTGTTCGAGAATCCTATCAACGAGATCCCCGCAACTCCGTCCGCTCAGCGAGTACGCGTGGACTCCAGTCCTGTATCTTCACCATTACGATTCCTATCGAACATTATCGGGCCTACAACAGCTCAGGGCCGAGCCCACCCTGACCCCGAAAAAGAGGTGTGGCAAGTAGCGGTATGGGACCCAACGCCGATTTGCCTGCGTCTCTTCTGTCTGTTCAGTCCAGGACATGTGCTCGTCTATTATCTATTCCTCCCTACTACTCCCTTGGACCCCCGACCGAGCGTCACAGTCTTCACAACCATGCTGCTTTCCGGGTTGCTATCAACTCAGCTCACTCTCGTTCGAGTGTTCTTTGCAGAACAATCCAAAGATAGTGCATTTATCCACAAGGCGGTGATGAATGAATACGATCTTAAGTTTGTCCGGCCTAACCTCAACCGGCCGGTCAGGGATGTTGGAATTCAAACACCGGACCGGAGTGGTGACGAGCCGGAGCGGAAAAAGGGGCAAGCACGTTCAGAAGTGGACACTTATACACCGACTACCATCATCAATCGGGGATTCCACATCCATCCGAATCCCGCGTATGCCCAGCAGTATGACCCAGATCATGTTCTGAAAGGTCGGAGCGAGCGACAGAACGCGCCACGGCCGTTGGCTACACCCGTATTGAGAACACCAATGAACGGTTATATGCATCCTACGGGAACTAGCACGCAGACCAGCACATACTCCACCGGACCCGATTTCTCATCACCGATTCGACCGCCTCCGAATCCTCGAGCTCAACCCATTTTGCAATCATTCCAGCCGCTGCATCCTAGTCCGAGGAAAGCTCACGATGGCGGAGGAGAAGGGGGGAGTCTTGGAGTCTACACCCATGCGGCCAGCCCACTGCGGAAAGCCGCGTCCGCCAATTATCTGAGGAACGCGAACGAGCATACCGGGAGAGGCGATGCGCGCACAGGCCGTGAAAGGAGCCCCTTTAAGAGGATGAGCACCCCTTCCGCTCTTTCACGACTGGGAGGCGGAGATGAGGGCAGAAGGGAATCTGGTCGATTCTGATAGCACCGGTTGGGCGGAGTTAGGGCATGGTATCGGTAGATGTAGGAGACGTCCAGATCTGGGGTTCTGAACTGGCCGTACCATGTAGCAGACGCCAGGTTTGTATATTATGCGAAAAGGGATTGACGCATCTGACAGATATATCCCGACGACAGGTTCAAAGTTCCCCAGAAAACATGAGGAACAGTAATGCATTGTCGACCGGATTTTCAATTACGTAGCTTAATGTAGTTCTAGAATTGAAGAAATCCACTCAATGCTTCGAACCATTCCATTTACTCCCTTCATTCCCTTCATTCCCTTCGTTCTCTTCGTTGAATTAGTACGTGGGAGCCTCGGCGGGGATCACGCAGCCAATGACGTTGCAACGGCGATAATGTCTGGGCTTCACCACTTCCGTCCGCCTCCCACGTCGCATCTTCTCATCCCCCAGACCCCAACCTACAATTGCTATATGGCCCCAATGTCCGAATGATTCTGCTTTTGTTTCTGATTGATTCTTCCATCCCATAATCGGACCCCAATCCTGGATTTCCGCAGCATCTCTATGCCTCGAGACGACTCTCGCTTGTGGCCGCGTGGCTCACCGCAGCCAACATGACTTCTAACAGTCATGCTACGAAACCCAGCTCGCAATGGGAGGCAGGCGCAATGGAGTCTGCCTCTTCCCTCCGGCCGAGGACACGAAGATTGATCTCCGGCTTGGATGAAGAACTGGTCACCAGTCCCTCCAGCCGTGTTCCATCACCGGGACGAAGTCCACACTCGCCTTTCCACTCCCGATCCGCCTCTCCCATTCCCAGTACACATCCGTCCCGTACCGCCGCAAACCGTAACCTCCGGCCCTCGCCTCTGTTGGAGGTGGACGAAGGTTTCACTCCCGGGCGTCGCCAGGTCTCTTCAGGGGCGCTCTCGTCACTTTGGAGCACCTCATGGGGGTCCATCCAAGGCCTGGCATCGACTATGCTTGGCAGCGATTCGCCTAACCCTCCCACACCACCTCAGCGAAGGAAACGGCCGGAACAACCTCACATTTCCCGGAGCAGAGACACTCCGCTTAAATGGGGTCCCTCCAGCCGATCGCAGAGTTCGCCTGGTATACGGGAGGACATGGATGCGAAGGCCCGGGCACTGAAGAAACGCGATCTATTATACGGCAGCGCGCAACCAGATACCATGGGACGGTTCAAGCGGAGGAACTCAGACGATCAAAGCACAGACACTCCCGGGACCGAGGAGCAGGCAGGCCAAGCCGCGCTGGTGTACTTGCACCTGGTTCAACCTCGCGATACGTTACCCGGCCTCAGCATCAAGTATGGCTGCGATTTGTCGACGCTACGACGGGCGAACCGGATGTGGATCAACGACTCGATTCAGACCCGCAAACATATCTTAGTCCCCGTAGAGTCCTCGAATGTGAAGGGACAGCGGGTCGTAGAGCCGCACGACACGACTGAAGAGGACTTGCTCTTAGAAGGCGATGAGTTGCCTTCGACCAGACGGAGCACACCATCCATCCAAGAAATCCCCCCCAAAACGAACGGGTGGCACCTGTCGGAGAACGGAAACATTCCGGAGCCTGTACCCACCGAGAGTGCCGAACCGCCATGGAAACACGAATCATGGGTTCTCTTACCCAATGGCAAGAAGACCATTGAAATTGTGCGCCTTCCACGAAGATCAATGGGATTCTTCCCCCCGCCGCGAAGAAAATCGCAGAGCTATACCGACGCCAGCATGCCGGGGACGCCACGCCGCTCGATGGACGTCGGCCGGGCGGGCGCTGGTAAAGGATCCTCAGGTATTGCGGATCTACTATCTCGAGGGTCGCATGTGGCGTCCCCATCATCGCCTCCAGGGACTCCCCGACCCTCGTTACAAAGCTCCACTAGACCCCGCGCCTTGTCTCGATTATCGTCGACAAGCACATCAACGACCCGCCCGAAACCTCGCTTCTTCACTACCCCGGGAGTCGGCACGCTTGACCATACCGTATGTCTGCCCGGTCCCGCCGACGACCCTCTGAATCGCTTCTTTGGACATCGACTACCGAATGTCCATCCGCCGGAGGACCCTTTTGGCGGGAACGCGGGCGGGTACTCCGAAAACGGGGCGTTCTTCCCTCCTCAGACATGGTCATCGGACGCCGCGGATGGGCTGGGCAAGGGCGCGGAGTGGCACCGCCAGTTCGCGGCACTCAATGCGCAAGGGGGGCTGCAATCCAGCGGGCCCAACTTGGAGGATGTCCCGGTTCACGTGGAGCGATGGTTACGGAAGATGGCGGCACGGGCCGCGAATGCCCTCAATGAGTCCTCGGCAACGGGCAAAAACACAGATGCCGGTCTCGATGGAAAAGGCTTAAGAGACGGGGGTGGTGGAGATCTGATCGAGTTAATGGACTCATTTGAGATTGGCGACAACGATGAGCACGGGACGGCAGATGGCCCGAGTGGGACGACAGGCGTTGGATTACGGGACAATGAAGGGGTCCGGGGACGGTTTCAAGGCAAAGGGGATGGAAAAGGTGCCAAAGGTGACTGATGTTGGATATCTGTAATGTCACGTTGTTCGCTTTTTGAGGCCGGCCTACCCATACCGTTGGATTCGATGCATAGTGGAGTTGGGGTCTGTAGCCGCACAGGCGTGGTTTGGATTGTTAGAGCGCAATCATTATTGCAATGAGCGATATTTGCTCGAAGTCTTATAGCCATATTTTAGCAGGAGTTCCCGCACCTGCCATCAAGTGCTGAATTGTCTCGGCCAACAGCCTCTGAGTACAATAGGCTTCTGGTACTTATGAAACGCCAATATCTCACGAAAGCCTAGGCCCCCTTTATAAGGGCTTCTACTGCGTCAGCCGTCTTCGGAGCCGTCGTGAGGTTGACGTGGCCGTCCTTGGTGACCAGGACATTGTCTGCTCGTATATTAGCATTTCCATCTCTCCCAACATTGACACCAGGGCGAGGCCCTACCTTCGATCCGGATTCCCCCAACGACCCAGTATTTCTCCAGGACATTGGCATCGATGTACTTCTTGTGCTTCTCATCTTTCAGATAGGGTTCGATGATGAAGCGACAGAAATAGATGCCCGGCTCGACGGTCACGACGGCATCTTCCGGCACATGACCGCGCAGTCGCAGGTAGCGGAACATCGGGTCGGGGTCATTGGGGTTGGGATTCCCGCCACAGTCATGCGTGTCCATCCCCAGGTGGTGGCCTAATCCATGGGGAAAGAACGCAACCGACGTCTTCGCTGCGAAGATCTCGTCCACGGTCCCACCGGTGAGGATGCCGATGTCCAGCAGTCCCTTGATGGCAACGCGATGGGCAATGGCATGGACATCGTCCCAGATCATTCCCGCCTTGATGGCATCGAAGCTCCGGTTCTGCATCTCGAGCACGATGTCGTAGATGGCCCGGCTCTCGGGGGAGTAGCTGCCGTTGATCGGGAACGACCGTGTGATATCCGACGCATACGTTCGGTACTCCGCACCCGCGTCGATCAAAAGGTTCATCTTTCCTTTAAGAGGTGCATTGTTCTTGTTGTAGTGAAGTGTTGCGCCCGCAGTTCCGGCAGCAACAATGCTGTCGTACGCTTGATAGCGACCTCCGCGCTCGATGCATGCTTTCAGGAAGACGGCCTCGAGTTCCTGCTCCGTTTTCGCGGATGGTGCGGCTTTCATCAAGGCAGCATGAGCGTCCGAGCTGATGGCGTTGGCATGACGGATCATGGCGACCTCATATTCATCCTTTCGCACTCGGGACGTCTCGATGGCTCCCTTTACCGATTTCGTGTCCTTCGACGAGAAGGCCGAGAGGTCCACATGGTCGGAAACCTGTCCTGGGATCACGTAGACCGTTCTTCCTGAGCTCTTCTGCGCATCTGCAAGATCGGTGTTCAACGCGTCGGTGTAGCCGCAACCGTCAATATCATAGGTTTCGGTCGCCTCCTCTACGCTCAACGGTAGCCCGGACCAGATCACCTCATCCGCATGGATCGGTGGGATGTATAGTTTGAGGATGCCATCGCCCATGCTATAGGTCAGGTAACAGTCCGGAACATCACAGCCGGAAAGGTAGTAGAAGTGTCGACGTTGACGGAAGAGCACGGGTTGGTCACTGTCTTCGTATATCTGGGTTTTTTTTCCCTCCAGGTACAGCACGCCCTTGGGATCTCCTCCCTTTTCGATGATGAGATCGGCCACGCGCTTGGCGTGCGCCTTTGCCGGGTATTTTCCCTTCAGGATATCTCCCATTTTCGTGGATGGTCCCGTGTAGACTCGCATAGAGAATTTCTGATATACCGGACGTGTGCGGAGGAGAATGTTTGAAATGTTTGAAAAATTTAGGCTAGAGACTCGGAAAGACATGAAACGATGCGGAGATGAATTTGGCATGACGAGAGAAGGGTACGATTATTTTGCAACCTGGTGGGTATGATCCCGATGTTGAAGCTGCCTGATTTGGTTAGCTATGAGGAGCATTTTGTGGTCCAAATGTCGCGGTATTGTTTTAACTTTTAAGATATTTGATGCGCTATGTGAACCTTGGGACAACGTCATTAAAATTCTAGTTTACATAGTAGAACTGTAAGACTTGTTCGATATGGTGTGGTCTACATTGTGTCGACTATGAAATCCCATCGCGTGTCGTCCCATCACAATCCGTCATGCATCCAGCCTGGTGACCATTCCGTTCATATATGTTTGACACACGAGACTCTACGTCCCAAGTTGGTTGATTCTGTCCGAGCCTGCCTCTAAAGACCGAAGTTTGACAGGTCGATGCCGGGCATTGGTCTCTTGCTGTGACAGCATGATTCGTATTTGGCCCCGATCATAGCTGGTGAATCGCATCCACATCATAAAACTTCAGCGTCGCAGTTCCTTCGATGCTAGCCATAGTCATCCCTGCCAACGAGCGACACCGTGCTATCTCATAACTTCAACGTGGAGAAGTAGTACTAACCATCACGCTGGTTGATAGGCGGTAATCGGGTCTTCTGAACTCCTGAAGTCGTTGGCATCATCATGCTCGGCCAATCCTGTCATTCTTGGACTTCTTCATGGATGGAAAGCGAATGGCCGACTTCGACCTCCTCTTTTTGTGAGGCTTCGAAATCCTGGATGTTTTCCGTTGAGACTTCTTCGTTGGTTTTGAAGAGTCTTCGTCCACATCCATAACTAAAATCGATCACAATCAGCACCATGAAAGGATGGCTCGGAATAATCAGGGGATAGCGCTCAAAAGACCGTGCAAAGATTATGATATAGCGATCCGTAGGCCATTTTGAAAGCCGAATGTAATATCAGAATCTTCCAAGGGCAACGGATTCGTGACATCAGGCCCTTGGAGAGAAAAAGCACGAACTGGGAGTGATCACGTACCTTCTGCATCGGGGTCTGCGGCGACCTCTGCGGCAGCAGACTGTTCGGATTCCTTCTCCTCGTCGATATCCATTTTCGGGGATTCGATCTTCTGGCCCGCCAGTTCCTGTTGAGCCGCCGACAAACGAGCAATTCGCTCTTCTTCCACCGGACCGAAAACCCTTCTCCTCAACTGTGTTTTCTGGGCCTTGGCGGAACGTGAGCGTAGAGATTTGGCCATGATGAATTATGAGGGGACCAGTTGAATAATAAGGGTGTTAGCTATATGGGGGATTTTTTGGATGTGATTGACTTTTCGATATTCAGTTGATACGATTTGATGGATGGATTTTTCATTCCATTCACTCAGTGAGCGCCCTGCTGGTGCTCTCCAAAAAAATGCGTTGGTGCCTCATAAATCAGGCGTCAAGGCCAAATGTCTCTCACTAAAGTATCGTCTGATGTGCACAGTGGGTTGAACCGCAGCATAGAGGCTTGGAATATTACGAAGATTACTCCGTAATGATCTCGGATTCAATTGTCACATTCTACTCGAAAGGATTCCAATGCCTCTGGTCATTCTTGTACTGAACGAACCCAATGAGGTGAGTCCCGTAGGTACTAATCGCATCCGGATAGGGTTTGCTACTTAAGCCACGAACCACCGGCATTCATTCCCGTCATGAAGGCTGCAGTAGGAATCATAAAAGGCATTACAAGATAAAGTGAAAGAAGGGTAGGCCCAGGCGTTGGATTATAATAAGCCATGTCCTTGGAATTTCCGGCATTGCTAGTAATTGCAAGCCTTTAATACCCGGCATTACTCGTCCCACGCATCATCGACTTCCCACCCTTCAGGCTTCACTTTCACTCTCACCATCCTCCCACACTCGTCCTACTACTAGCCTTCTGCCCTTCACTTCGCTGTCCAACCACCCAGCTCTCCATCCATCGGAGTAACCCATAACTCATATCTCCACTCGAACGCATTCGCTCCTTTGCTCATGTCTTTATCCTCATTTCGCCATCCCGCCTCCCACCATCCACCACAACTCGACTGAACCGCCCGCGCACTTCTCTCTGCCCGATGAGCGGAACCATGAGGAATCAACTTCCACCGCCTGCTTCCTCCGCGGAGGTCGAACAGCTCTACAATCGTATGGGCACGCTTACGAATAATGAGCTCAAGGCCATTTGCCGGGCAGAGAAGGAGCTGGTGTCAGGAACCAAGCCCATCCTGCAGGCCCGAGTGACGAAGGGTAGGTTATAACTTGACGATTTAAGCCTGAAGAACACAGCTGAATATGGATCTTTTATTGTCTTAGCCCTCCAAACCGCCATCAATCGCCATGATACGGCCATGTTCGAGCGGATCCGCTATCGCTTGTTACATCGCGGGCAATCGCCTCCATATACCGTCGACTTTGGCAACGGCGATACGTTGAATCAATCCAACGGCAGCACCGCCTTCCCGTCGAGGCCTCACCAGACTTCCACTTCCACCGGTCGACCGATCGCATATCCTTCAACCGATAACGGAGCCATGAGTTTCCGGCAGATGCTCTACAGCTTCAAACCCAGCCCGTTTTTTGACATTATCGAACAAATCGGTGTCCCCATAGAGCTGCCAACTCTGCCCGAATACAAGAGGACGGTCAGCTCCACGCTAGTCCTCACGAGTCAAACCCTTGATAAAATGAAGACCAACGAGGACCAATACCGAATCATGCTGTTTGGGGCGGCCAATCCCGATGTGTTCATGGCGACCGACGTTGCTTTTCCCAGTTCGTTTGAAGTTCGCATCAATCATGATGAGGTCAAGGGAAACTTCAAGGGAATTAAGGGCAAGCCGGGGACCACCAAACCAGCCGACATCACTCGCTTCGTTCGCAAGATGCCCGCATATCGAAACACCATCGATGTCACGTACGCGACCACTCACAAAGTAAGCGGACAAATCCGACCCAATCTCACGGCTGCTGACCTGACGAAGAAATTCGTGTTGTTCCCCTATCTGGTCAAAGCCTATTCGGCTACCGACCTTGCGAGCATCATCAAAGCTCGCGCAATCATCTCGAAACAGCAAACGCTGAAAGAGATGAACGCCAAGGCGAAGGACCCCGATATCAACTTCACGTCATCCGTCATGTCTCTCAAAGACCCGATCTCGACGCTCCGGATCCAAACTCCTTGCCGGTCGACGGTCTGTTCCCACTTCCGATGCTTCGATATAACGTCGTTTCTGCAGCTGCAAGAACAGGCTCCGACGTGGAGTTGCCCCATCTGTTCCAAGAACATCAAGTTCGACGATCTTGCTGTCGATCAATATGTTCAAGAGATTCTGAAGGACACTCCAAAATCCCTGGACCAAGTCACCATCGAGCCGAACGGAGAATGGTCATCCCGTTCCGCTGACGCCCAGAACCACTCGCAGCAGGAGTCTCCGGGCCTCCGCAAGTTGAACGGGTACGATGATGGCTACAGCGATAATGACAGCGACATCGAAGTCGTACCTTCGCGAGCAATCAGCAACCTCAAGTCCGAGACGACGTCGACTCCCATGTCCGTCTTCCGAACTCCACCGTTCTCGCCTCGATCTGGGTCCGCCACCACACCCAACGCTCCGGCAATCAGGGGAACATCACGGGCGAACGGGACCACCAGCTCGGCAAGCAAGAGGCGCGATGTGGTCGATCTCACACTGAGCTCCGATGAGGAAGGGGAAAGGCCGCGGAAACGAAGGCAAACCGATGCAGTAGGGAGCAACTCTGGGCCTACCAACTTTCTCTCTAACCCTCTCTTCTTAAGCAGCAGCAACTCCAAGTCGAGCCGGCAGACTCTCCCATCCAATTTCTCGTTCTCGATTCCTAGGCCCACCACGCCGCCCGGAGGCGCTGCAGCCAACTCCAGCTTCAGCCCTTCGTCCGCGGCTTTCAACTTCAACGCCGGTCCGAGACCCGCATATGGTTCGTCGACTAGCCAGACCAACCCGTCTGCGTATCGTCCTGCCCCACACGCTTCCGGGTCGGGACGATCGAATGGCTACGGCGGATCCGGCACCTCCGACGCGCTGGGGAATTCGATGAGTCCGGATCGCGGGCGCTACGGGCACACCATACCCCGCCGGCCTTCGATAGAGGAGCAGCAAGAATTTATTCGAAGTTTGGGGGGCCTGGATTCTCTGCGGTAGAGACGGTAGCATACGTCGTTGCTTCCAGGAAGGACGGAGGTAGATTTCATATAGGGGGTTTGTTAAGAACGTCAGGGGCCAATAACACGACTGACGATGGCGGGGTGTGCGGGGTTCAACGGCCTGCAAATTTGACGGGGCGTTCGGTCGGTTCTTTCGGGTCTATATCCTACGGGACTTGTTATAGGATTCATCATAGCGACGGCGCGGGATTCATCGGTCCACGGGAACCAAGTTGCGGCTTCAGGGGGACGCTTCATGACGGGAGTTCATGCGCTGTACATAAGAATATTGGTACAGCTACAAGGGTTCGAACTAATAGAACCATCTACAGCATGGAGATCGTCATGTGTTTGATCATTATGCGTGTACAGGTTGATTGCGGAGAGGGGTATGTTTTGCCGAGCCGCGAAGCCCTGATATCAATTACACATTATAATTTTTTTATCACAAGGACGCCGTCCGACATTCAACACTTACTCAACACTTGCTCAACACAGGTGAGGTGGGTCGATCTGATATCCGCACCCACGACGCATGCAAGCCAGCCTGGACATCTGGACAGACACTAGTGAACCGCTGCAGCTCTGCGACAAATACCAACCCATGTTTCTCGGCCCAATGCCCCGGCTGTTTCCACCACGCGCTTTCGTACATCTTCATTCAATTCACGCGCTCAATCCGCCTTGCATAAGATCTCCTCTCTGGTAGGCAGTTCATTTGACCTTCTTCTCCTTGACCTTCTCCTCGTAACTCCGATCGTCCTCGCCCTCCACCTCCTTGACGATGGTCTCCATCTCCTTGGTCTGGCGCGTCCACTCTGCCTTGCCGAACTTCGTCTCGCGGTAGAAGAGCTCGATGTTGGGCTTGCGGTACGAGTTGCCGAGGCGATCCCACAGGGTGGTGAACTGGCCGTAGTTGTAGTTGAAGTAGAGGTGGTGCATCTGACGACCGGTTAGTGGCCTTGCCTGATCAAAGAACGTTCCAAACTTACGGTGTGGCACGCCGCGCCGTTGATGACGGGCGAATTGGTCGCGTACTCTCCATCGTGGATCATGATAGTCCAGATGTTGATGAACACGAACAGCACTACGTACGCCCACTTCTGCAACGGGAAGATGTACGGATACACATGGTACGGGATGCTCTGCGCGAAGCCATCGAGCGGGTTGAAGGCGTGGCTGGCGTACGGCGTCGGCATGATCCACTTGTGATGCGGCTTGTGCAAGCGCTTGTACACCAACGGATGGTGGAGCCCGCGGTGGATCCAGTAGATGAAAAAGTCGGTGAACAGGATGAAGAGGGGGAATTGAAGGATGTTGTACCACGTTCCCGGCCCGTCGGCGTTGGTGTCGTACATTTTTGAATAGCCGCGCACTTCGCCGAGGAAGCAGGGGCAGGTGAGGAGAACCATGAAAGGGATGGCCGTGAGCGCTTGCTTGATCTCCAGGGAAATTTGGTGTTTAAGGTATTTTGGGTGCTTGAACGTCGCTTTGTCGAAGATGAAGTAATAGGAAAAGGAGGCGAAGCCGAAGTAGAGGACGTAACCGAATATCCTGCGAAGGATTGGGTTAGCATTGAAGCTCTAGGATTTCTGCAGCATCCCAATGTACAATAGGACGACGAAGCCCGAGAAACCTTACCATGTGATCATAAACAGGCTCAACGCCTGCCGCCAAACATTGTCTCTCGGCCACCGACTCATATATGCCCACGGGGTCGGCTCGAACGATATGTACTTGCTGGCGGGGGTGAATTGATAATTGTACGGAGACGATGCGCCGTCGGCACCGAGGGAGGCATTGTAGCCAACTCCGGAGAGAGAATGATGGGCGAGCACTTCGGGGGGTGCGGGTAGGCACGCGGCGTAGACTCGGTCGAGGACGTAGCGGTCGAAGAACTCGAGGACGATATCCATGATGGCTTAGAGGACCAATTGGTCGATTTCGATCGCCGTGGGCGATGGGTGGACGCTCTCTAGTGGGCGGTGTTCAGATTCGTAACGGGATATCGCGGAATTTCTCAATTCCCTCGTGGATCCCTTAGATTCCGTCGGTTCCGACAATCGGGACTCCTAGATAGAAGTTGGAGATGGGAGAGAGGGAGGGTCGAGGATGAAACCAATCGGTCGAGTATCCTCTGCTTAAGTCCTAGAGCGTCACAGAGACGAAGTACTAAACGGAACTCCAAGTAAGTACCGGTCCGAAGTATTGAAGACGGATTTAAGAAGCAAGGCCGGAGAGCGGCAAATGGAAATGCGGGTCGTCACTCACTGTCACTGGCTCACTGGCCTGTCCCACTGATCTCTGACTGCAAAGGAACGTGAGTGTCGAGTGTCGAGTGTCGACGGTAGACTGGAGAGAGGAGATGCGGCGGAGGAGGTTTACTATGTAGATATGATGTGACTATTGCCATCTCGGAATCTCGATTGCCGTGCGTGGTTTTTTCCCTAGTTCGCCCTTTGCATGAATATGACTGCCAATCACTGCCCTGCCCTCGCACAGTTCAGATTGTGATTGGTGCACCTGGATAGACATTGGACACAACTTTCTTAGCGTGGACCAACCCTTAACGTTCGATGGGGGAAAGAAAGGAGATCGCGCCGAGATGATCTGATAAATCGGAAATGGAGTGATGGGATCGGAGTCCGGAAAGGACTCTGGTTGAAAGGTGGGCGGTGAGACGCGGCCTTAATATTATTAATCTTGTTGCAATTTCACATTGCTGTGCATGGATTTGCATTTGCATCCTATACTGAGTACTTTGTATCTCAAGTCTGTATCTCATAGTCTGTATCTCATAGTCTGTATCTCATAGTCTGTATCTCATAGTTTGTATCTCATAGTCTGTATCTCATAGTCTGTATCTCATAGTCTGTATCTCATAGTCTGTATCTTGTACGCTATATCTTGTACTCTATGCGCTAACTATGAGATATATTAAGTACTAGTGGTTGGTGGGATTCATCCCGCGATCACTCTTGTCATTTTCCTTTCCTGTCGTACATAAATCTACCCAACCACCATACCGGGCTTATCAAGTGGAGATATTGTCAGCCTGGAAGATGGTTACCAATACTAGGCATTCTTGCTTGATCTGCCAGAAGTCATCCGATCTGTGTCATGACTAGAATCAATCGTTGGAATCGTCAATCAACCTTCAAACTCACCCGACCACTTTCGCTCTCTCTCCGAACGACGGAGAGAAATGCGGCGGGGACTCCGACCCTCACTCCGACGACATCCGCCTCTACTGCGACAGAGTTGGCCACCATGCACTTCTACCCATCATGAACAGCCGGGTCTCTTCAACTCAGACGGCATGCACAGGCATTCAAAATATCAATCGGATATAGGCTAGTGCTGTAATATTATTGACTGCTGTGCTGTAAGCTAGCTCGGTGGCATATCCACGACCTTGGTTATGGCTGCGAGGATCTAGTTCTACCATGGATAAGACTGCAGTGCGCAACCCTCAAACCGAGAACTCGAAACCGAGTTTTCCCGTCCTCGTTCACTCACAATCCGACTTCCCGCACTCCACGCAATTCGCCTGGTCACCGAATGGATTCTTCGCCTTCAAGCTCTCCATTCTCGGCAGCCGCTTCTCTCCTTCCTCATAGGGGAACCCGGCCTTCTCCCGCGCCATATCGTTGATCCATCGCAGATTCGGTTCGATCTTTTCGCCCTTGCTCAAGGTATCCGCCAGATACGCCCATGAGAGCGCATTCCCCACCGTTCCGACTTCATCGCTCACGCTCTTCGCCGCGTACTCGCTCATCTCCTGGCGCCTTTGATCGTGGGTGATCAGCCGCGCCAGGTGCTTGGCCACCGCCTCGACGTCGCCCGTCTCGACGAGATATCCTGACTTCCCATCCTCCACCTGCAGCGGGATGCCGCCGGCCCGCGTGGCGATGATCGGTACTTCGTGGTGCAGCGCCTCCGACACCTTCACCTCAAAGCCCTCACGTGTGGACAGCTGCAACGCGATGGATGCATGCGCCATGACGGTGTTCAGCAGCTGGTCGACCGGGGGGACGCGGAGCACCACGACGTCCTTCTTGAGGTCGGGGTAATCCTTGTCAAGCGCGGAGAGGGTCTCGTCGTAGATGCGTGTGGCATCGGGGTCGTCGACCGCGCCATGGCCAGCGATGACGAGTTGAGGGACCTTGTTTGCCGGAAAGTCTTCCGGGAGGTACTTCCGTCGGACGAGAGCATACGATGCGAGCACATCGGGGATGCCTTTGGACGGATCGAAGCGCGCAATTTGCGCGATGTATGGCCGGGAGGGGTAGTCGAGTTTGTTCATCCGTTGACGATAGCACTCCGTGTTGAACTCATGGATGTAGTATCGTGAGTGGAACACGTTCATGTGCTTGTTCAGGCCATCGAGCCAGTCGGTCGTGGCGGGCATGTACCCAACCTTATGGATCGGGACGGACGCAGGCACAAACTGCCGTACCGGATGGCTGATGAAAACGTCCGCCTTCTTGGCGTGGTTCCAGACCCAATTCCACACCTCGGAAGTGGGGGTTCCCCGCGTGTCCGCGAGGTCCGCCCGGACTTGGATGTGGCTGCGGAAGATGACAGGACGATCGGGATCAATCGCCTTCGACAAATCCACAAGGCTGGGCATTTGCGGATCGTCGACCACGATCACATCCGCACCACCGGCAGACCGAGCGGCTAACGGTCGGTCGGGACCCATCCAGTATCTTTCCGCATTGGTTCCCGTCCACTCATCCAACATTGCGATTTGTTCCCTTGTGAGGCGTTCGTGAGGGTCAGCAACGCCTTGGAGGATCTATGGCAAACCGAGTCAGTAGATTACATTGGCATGGAAGTATCCTCTACCTACGTTATGGTTGGTCTTCGTAATCCGAAAGACTTCTGGCTTTGGCTTCGGGACATACCTGCGCAGCAATCAGTACGGTCGAGCGGTAGCGGACGGAACTTACCAATCGCATTGCACTCCAATCACGCGGAAGAACCGAACGAGAGCATGCCTCATCAAAGCAACTCCACCTCCTTGGGGGGTGCTGTTGAAGAACGCGATCTTGACCGAGCGCGATTGCAGCGAGCGAACGTAGTGCATGAGCGTCTGCCACGTACGATCACCCACACCGGTTTCATATTCCCCCAGTCGCGAGATTTGCGCATCGCCGCCGACATCGACCAAAACCCGGTTCCTGAAGCCGACTTGCACTCGCGGTTGGAGGTTGGGGCCAAAGAACCTACGCGTCGATCAGCATGAATGCCAGCCTGGCGGATGGGACGTACATTAGGCATTTCCTCGCCATGGAGTCGGCCTCCTCGTCGACGGTGAAAATATCCTGGGATTCTTCCATCTCCTGGTAGGGTTGGTCGACACCACGGCGGAACACCATAGGAACCGTGTCCAGCTCCGCCCACAGGCGTGCGGACAGTTGGGGACAAATGACGGCCAACTTGCGAGTGATTCCCGCTCCGATGAATTTCGCGGTATGTTTTTCCATGTATTCCTGGACGATACTAACGATGTAGTCGCCCAATGCATGGTTGATATTGACTTTTTCTAGGACCGGGGTTGCAGAGCCATTCTGCTTGTCATTCTGCTTGTCATTCTGCTTGTCATTCTGCTTGTCATTCTGCTTGTCATTCTGTTTGTCATGCTCGATCGATAGCTCCCCGCTCCCGACCGAGACCGTCTGCACGGAGAAATCGATGCTGTAGGTTCCATCGTGCATGGCAACACCAAGCTCGAGCTGGCCATTCTCCGTGTATGCCGCAGCGAGACCGAGGTAGAGTGGCTGGCAGACACGTAAGTCTCATTGACTCTGAAGAGGGTGGCATAGACTGGGTGGGGAATTACATGAAGCTCGTACCCCCAATCTTTCTCCTCTCGCACCGCTTGGAGCTGTCTTTCGCGTGTTTTGACCGACGTCACTGCCTGAAAGTGGTGGCGAGTGGCCCCCTTCTTCAGACTGATGGCTGCAGTGATGGGCCAGGAATGGTGCCGCAAACGCGCCGCCGCCGATTGGGGGTGATGAACTGTCTCTTCGGCACGATGCAATGCATCCTCTGCAAAGTGGAATGCATGCTTTGAGTCCATGATTACTCAGGCAGAGGTAGGATGGTATTACAGTCACTGGAACGATCCGTTGCAACTTGGCCCTGATGTAAACTGGATATCCTCTGGTAAGTAAGGAGGCAGTATGACAACAATCCGAATTTCCGAACGAAAGTGAGGTACCTCGCACCTGGTCAGTTACTTGGTCAGTTACGTAGTGAGGAATGTGCTTGGAATATCAAGAGAATCGTGACATCACCAGCCAGGATATTTAGATGGTGATATCACACTGCAGTCAAGGGCAATTGGACACTGCCTGGGAGTGGAAGCTGGAAGATGGAGTTATAGATGAGTTCAGTCCAGTTGTGACAATGGGGAGATTTAAGATCATTCATCGTTGGTTTGCTGGTATACGTCTTCAGACTTCTGTACTCCGTTCTTGCTTGCATTCTCGTTTGCTCCCTCCCTGTTTGTGAACCTGATGAGGAATTACGTCACCGTTCAACCAATCCGAGCTCTTGCTGGACACATGTGGTAGCCGACAAGTTCATGACGAAGAAACGGCAAAGGAAATGATGACGTGGAAGAATCCTCTACCTGCCGTTATAATTTGAATGGGATTTCCTAATCCATCGCAATATCAGATCGTGACTTTCTACTTTCTAGGTGCAGCAAGTGAGGTGGACTTTGGAGGAGCGTTGGTCGGGGGGTTAGAGTGCTGGAATTATACCAATCAGGGGTACCAGCCATCCGGTACCAGCCGAGCTAGCGTCGAGCTATCCCCGTCCCTCGCTACGCCAGGCTCCCAGGGCTGCCAACCACATCAATTGATATCACAGCATGATATGATACCGGACTGTGACTTAGAGGTCAGAAGTTGTAAGTGACACACCTTGAGAACATCGGACTTCGTAGGTGGACAGCAATAGGTAATATCTCTTATTATGCCCCTTGTACTCCCATCCCTAGTGAATCAGAGCCCAACAAATTCTCGATTGGTTGGAATCGGGCGTGGCTGATTGCTGGCAACGGTCCGATTTGCATGCTTCATCAGCCAGCGATGCGGTGTAACGGGGCCAAAAGTTTCCTGTCGAGTTTCGGATGATTCGAGGCCAATGACAATAATGGTTGCACGGCAGGGCTGGTCTGGTGGCAACCAGGAGGCGAGCAACCTAAATCGGGCGGGGACCTTGGGGATTGTAGCGTCTGACGCTTATTATATTCCATATTATAATCCGCATTTCCCAAAGAGACGTGGGAAGCACCAGTTATTCCGGCAGTTCGCGTGTGAGATGGATGGACTCGGGTTGCACCGCTTGATCGCTTCACAACGGCTTGCGGGTAGCAGCATGCAATCACCATATCACGCCTCGGAGGAGCATCCTTTGTCCATCCCAGGGATGTAATTCGAGCACGAGAAGATCGCAAACCTGGTGGATCGATTTCAACAGGGAAATAGCAAGCTGACGAATTTGAGTTAAGTGAGGACTAGATGATCCTGTCCCGAACCTTCTATCAGCATCCACGCGTCTGGCTCTTATCTGCACGTAATGTAAGCAATGGGCTGAGGATAGGGATCTCAGAGTGGGTGTTCGGATGGCAACTCGCATGGGAGCATGGGATGATAGATCAGGTCTGCTTGAGCAGGAACTGCATATATGCAGTGTATCTACCTATATATTATCCGTTAAAGCAAAGTAAGGACGGGAATACTTCCGTAAGGTGATTATTTTATTATTCACTGATGCTGGCCAGGCCGGGCAGGGTGGCTGGAGCGTTAGGCGACTACATAGTAGAGGCCCTGCTCGATGCACCTCCGCTCTTCCCCCTCCCTGCTGCAGCTCTCCGTTGTGTCTCTCGCTTGTCGGCAGTCCCACTGGCGCTAACGCTGGGTTATCTCCACACATGACAGCAGTCTCCCATCTCCCAGTCTGCAGTTCGTTGCTCCGTTGCTTTTTATTCACAATTCAGTTTCCTACCTTGGCCCCACTCGGCCACTTTCCCGTCTTTACTTTAAGCTGCAGCAGAGTTCAGTCCCATCAGTCCCATGTCGGTTTCAGTGCTGCAGTGTTCCTTTGCATGTGCCAGGGCAGCAACGAGAAGCGTAACAGGCCCATGGCTAAGGCACAGCAGGGCCCCCCTTGTAGCTTCTGTTCCGTACAGGAAAGATGAACTGCATGAGAACCCCACTGGCCCATGCGTTGTTCCACTCTATCGCACCCCATGTCTTCATGTTACACAGACCACACTGTGCTGCATGCTGCATGCACCTGCTGCAGTGCTCTGTGCTGCACTCTGGAGGCGGCAGCCGCAACGCCAGTCCCCACCAGCACCAAGCTAAGCCAAGATAAGGGCCCGATTAACGCCACATGCACGTTGCACAGGGAGGCGCCAGGCAGGGGCACGAACACTACAGTATAGCCGGGACATGGGCACCACCACCGCCGGGGACAGCCCTGGGTGGTGGCCGATGGGTACAGGATGCGGAATAATACCAGACTCCAACTTCCCTTATTAGGCGCTTATTAGTGGGCTGGTTAATAGTGGTTACTGGTTAGCTGCTGAGCTGGTTAGCAACCAAACACAATGCAACCGCCGCTACGGTCAGATCCTCGCCTTCTCCGACTGAGTCGCTCATAATTCCTCTCACCTCTCCTCTCCCCGATCTCCAAGAATCCTTAACCTCGTGCTCCCATCCATCCTGATCTTACCATCCCCATCTCCATCTCCCGCATTGCCTTTGCCGCTCTGCTCTCCACCCGCTTCATAGTCGCCTCCATCGTCATCTGTCGCCGTGGTCTGCAAAATCCATCCTCTGCTGCTCGCTCTCCTCTCTTCCCGCCCGCCGAGGCGCCGACACCAAGAGTATTCAGCCGCCAGCCCTGGTTGGCAACCCAGCCATCACATCGCAAAACCAGAAGATCCGACCACTACGGTCGCCAGGGACGATTCCATCGGATTTGTACCTTTGTTGCAACCCTAGACTGTCGGTGCCCTCATCGTATAGTGTCATCTTCGGGACCCTCACAACTCGGAAATCGCTCATCGAATTTTACGACCTCTATCGACCGGCAGTCCCACGTCGCGCGCATCGCCTTCGACCATGTACAACTCCCATCGGGCAATGGTGCCGGGTGCGCCAGGCCCGAACAATCGCCTGACCGAGCTGCTGGAACAAGTTCGCCAGGAATTCGATCTCCAGGCCAATCGCGCCGGCGATTTTGAACAGTCTGGTAAGTCTTCTTTCGCTCGTCGCTGCTGGTGCCCCTCCTGTCCCAGCTCCATGCCGCGTTTGTGAAGAGCAAACCCACTCGATCCCTTCATTAAATGGTCTTCACCCGTCGGAGATGGGTGACCGGAGATGGGTGACCGTATGACAATCGGCTTCGAGCCGAATTCACCGTTTCCGCGTCAATGGTCCATTCATCATTCCTGTCACCCACCCGATTTCTCCGTGTAGCGTCCCTTATATTTCTTCCAATATTTCCACCGTCATTTTTCTCCTTCTGATGTATGTTCCTGCATATGCCGATGCATCTGCAGAATATTTACTGCCAGAACTCTATTAGACTGGTGCATATTCGTCCTTGTTGCGACAAACGATCGCTGGGATCCTTTTCCACCATGGACACGCACTGCGCGCAAGCCTTTACTGACGTCCATGGACTAGTGGCAAACCAAATTCATGAATTGGACATGCTTCGCGCCAAGCTCTACTCTCTAGAACAGACCCATCATCAGGTCAAGCAGAAGTGAGTGCCTCCCCGCCAGCCCGACCGTCGCAGCTCACTAACTAGAACAGGTATGAAGATGAGATCGCCCGCCTGCGACATGAGCTGGAACGTCAAGGTCCCAACCAGCCTCCCCATGCCGGACCGTCACAACCGCCGCCTCCAAGCATTGGACATGGACCAGGAAATCTGTTTGGCGGAATCATGGCCGGAGGTGGTCAGCAAGGAGGGCAAGCTCTCGCTCCTCCCCAGCCACAAGATCCAGGTCAGCAGGCCAATGTTCCCGTCCATCTTGCCCAGGGACCAGCGGGAATGAATGCACAAGGCCCACCACCGCCTCCCTTTTATCCACCGGGACCAGCACCGAATGGTAAGCCACTGCTCGACCGTGGAACGCCTCACTCGGAACCATCTACTAACGCCTTTTCCAGGTTACGCACCTGGCGTTCCTCAACCGGTCGCATCTCCGGGACCACGAGGAGGTCGTAATCCCCGTGGTCCACCAGGCCCTGCCACTCCGCAGCAAAACTCCGCTGCCCCTTACCCCGGATCACCCCAAGTTCCTCGTCCGACTCCTCCTCCCGCTCAAGGCCCGCCTCTGGTCCGAAATGGCCTGTCGATGGCTGCCGGTCCGACGGGGAACACGCTGGCCGACCTGGAGATCAACGACCTCCCGCCCGAATATAAGAAAGAAGGCTCCGATTGGTACGCAGTCTTCAACCCTCGTCTCCGACGCACGTTGGACGTGGATCTTGTCCACACCCTAGACCATAATAGCGTAGTCTGCTGCGTTCGCTTCAGTCTCGATGGCCGCTTCGTTGCCACCGGTTGCAATCGCTCGGCCTACATCTATGACGTGCAAACCGGGCAACGGGTGGCCGAGCTCAAGGATGAGTCACTGGTGGACGACACGGATCTCTATATCCGCAGTGTTTGTTTCAGTCCCGATGGACGATACCTTGCGACCGGTGCAGAGGATAAAATCATTCGAGTACGTTTGCATCCCCAGTGGGATTTTGTTTGTGACTGACATCTTTGCTAGGTCTGGGACATTCAGTCACGCACCATCAAGAACGAGTTCCGCGGCCACGAACAAGACATCTACTCCCTAGACTTTGCACGGAACGGTCGCCTCATCGCCTCGGGCTCGGGCGACCGCACGGTCCGGCTGTGGGACGTCGAACGCAATGAATTGCTGTTCACGCTCCAAATCGATGACGGCGTCACCACCGTTGCCATCTCTCCGGACAACCGAAACGTGGCTGGTGGATCCCTTGACAAGAGTGTTCGAGTCTGGGATACTGCCACCGGCTTGTTGCGGGAGCGCCTCGAGGGCGACAACGTCGGCCACAAAGACAGCGTGTACTCCGTCGCGTTCAGCCCCAGCGGACGTGAGATCGTGTCCGGGAGCTTGGATAAGACCATCAAGATGTGGGAGCTGCAGCCGCAGCATATGATGCCCCATGGCGGCGTAAACCCCCCTGGTCGTGGCCAGTGTACCCGAACTTTCGAGGGTCACAAGGTTGGTTTATCTCTTGTCCTGGATGGAAATCGCACTGACGCATGGTATGTAGGACTTTGTTCTGTCCGTCGCTCTCACCCCCGATGGTCGATGGGTGCTCTCAGGCTCCAAGGACCGAGGAGTGCAATTCTGGGATCCACTCACCGGCGCTGCACAACTCATGTTGCAAGGTCACAAGAACTCTGGTATGTTGAGGATATCCCCTGGACCGACTCGTGTCGTGCTAATACTGTTCCTAGTCATCTCAGTTGCACCAAGCCCGCAAGGCGGTCTTTTCGCCACCGGAAGTGGTGATCTTCGTGCAAGGATATGGAGGTACGTTCACATCGCCATCCACCGGATGCGCTTCTCTCGCTGCAATTCCCGTATAATCGCATGCATTGTCGCTAACGTCTATATCTCCAGGTACACGGAGATTCGACCATAATTGGTCTCCTGATGCAAAGAAAGGATTATTATCCTACTCCGCGTCATTTGGTCACGAATCTAGGACGGCAAACGCATTGCTACCTCCCACGCAACCTCAATCCGCCCCCTGTGCTGTTCTACCATGAAATGTGGACGGGGGGTGACATCAGAATATAGAAAGATCCCTTTAACAGAGAGCGGAGAAAATCTCGGGACCGTGACTTAGCGGTCGAGGTTGACGCTGGGGGCCTCTCACCGCCCACGGCCCAATGCGATTCCGTTGTATATCTTTGATGTTCTATCTCTCCCAACACCTATCTTCTCCTTGGAATCTCGGCTCCCTGCACGCGTCGTATTTACCAACCTCGTTGATCTTCACACAACTTATCTATTACGTACAAAACGAGAAAACGCTTCCCCCGGTGCTGCTGGCAATTGCACGAGGTCGTCCGGTCTGTTACAGAAGGGCGATCGGTTATGGAACGGATGTTTCTTTAGGATTGGGGTTTGTGGGAATGGGGCTTGGATCGTGTTGTCCAAACCAAAAGGAGGCCGATGCGTGGACACGGGTCTATCATGTCAGTTTAGCAAGGCGCGAGTCGTGCTCCAATGTTTAAACTTGAAATATCAATCGATTCCGAGTCCTCGTGATCCTCGGAACGAAATTGGGACCTGCCTCCTGACCTCCCAATCCCCTTGTTAAAGTCGCCCGCCCTACTAATTCTTTTCATGAGGCATGAGTGTTCCGATCTTTGCTGAGAAGAGTGGCGTATAATTCGTTTGTGCGAAAATAAATACATTTCAACTGCGTTGCTGTTTGCTCTACGCGCATTATTATTTAGGGATGATGGCTGAGCTTGGAATATTCCTCCCCCGACCTAGCAGGGGCCGGGGTCTTGAATTGGACCAGGTTTCGTTCGAGAGATTGTCGCATGTGATATTAAGCCCAATTAATTATAGTTGAGCTACCGAACTAAAAACATATGGCATTAACTATGACCTATAAAATTCAGGGATCTAATCCAGCTCCAACGCTGTGCCAATCGGGCACAAGTTTCCAATCGAGTGGCATCGGAACGCCGAGGAGCGGATCGATCATTTTAGAAACCGGGATATGTATTTTCAATTGTACAGGAGGAAATTTTAAATGGCAATTTACATCATCGATCGGGTATCCGACTCTCCGGCTCAATGGCCGCCAAAAGCATGATTGAACTTCAACAACCCATTCAACCCACCCACCCAATACTCCTCTGCTCCCTCCCCATCATCACCCCTTCCCATCCCGCGAATCACACACGGGACCCCTCCCGCCGTCCCAACATGCTCTCCAGGTCCATTCCCCAACTCCTCCCCCTTCACCCTGACCACCATCCCCTCCGCGAGCCTCCCCCTCCGCACCCCGTCCACCTCCAACCCCACGCTACCCCTCCCGCCCGCGCCCAGCCGGATCTCCACCTCCGCGTTAGCGGGGAGCACCAGCGGGCGGAACGATAGGCTACGGGGACAGATAGGGGTGATGAGGAGGCTGCGCACGGCGGGATGCACGATGGCGCCCCCGGCGCTGAGCGAGTAGGCGGTGGAGCCGGTGGGCGAGGACACGATGACGCCGTCGCCGATGAAGGAGGTGAGGAACTGCGAGCGGGCGGAGGAGGGCGTGCGGATGGAGAGGGAGAGGACGGCGAGGTGAGGGGAGCGGCCACGGTGGAGGGAGAGCTCGTTGAGAGCGTAGAGGGCTTGGGGATGGGAGGGAGTGGAGGTGAGCTCCGCGGACGGGAAGTCGGAGTTGCAGGGGAGGTGGTGGGCGGTTTTAGCGTACGGGGTCAGGCTGGGGAGGGTGGGGAAATTGCGGGGGGAATCGGAGGGTAGGGGCGGCTTGGTGGTTAATGGAGAGATGGTGTAGTTGCTGGGACGGAGGTATGGGGTGAGAGACGGATGCTGGGAGGGTGGGGACATCGTCGGAGACGTTTTCGCCTCCGCAGCTGGCATAGTGAAGGAAGTGTCGGTGGTTTGAATAGAGACTTGAAGGCGGCTTCGGGGGAGCACGTATGCAGGACGCGCTCCCATCGCCATCCCGGGTGCTGCAGTCCAGCCCTCATCGCCCTGGCCATCCTGACCGGCGTGGCTCTCGTCCGAAGGAGTACTGTGAGAACGGGGCCCGGAAGAATCGGCTTGCTTGCCATAGACGCCGGCGCCTTCGAGGGCCGGACGAGCTGGTGAATGTGAACCAGAGACGTAGACTTCGCGGAATGCACGCTTGTGATCGTCGAAGGACCACGACCCAAGGAAACCCAACGTCCCCATACTAAAGGGAATCAATGGTGGGACTCGTGGTGAGCTGCTGAAGAGAGATGTGGCATGCAAGATGGTGCCATCTCCACCCAACGTTGCGATGAGGTCGGTCTTGGACTGGTAGATGTGGTTCAACAATGAGCTTGGAAACTCGGCTGCACTTTCCGGGGTCGGTAGGGATTCCGTCGTCGATGTAGTCGGGAGGCTATCAGGATGCGACGGGTCATAGGCGGTATACACCGGGAACGGCAGGTCGCGATGGACTTCGGCAGCATCGTGAGGCTCTAGAATGATGTTGATGCCAGGATAGTTGCTCTGCACATGCTTTGCAAAGGCAATCAGACTCTTGGTGCATGTCGCGCTACCTGACTTCTTCGCGATAAGAATATTCCGAGGCGGCGCAGGCCATTTCACAGCTAGCAGGCTGCTATTGTGAGTATCTGCATCAGACGTCAGGACGAGCTGTGGTTGCATATAACACGAGGGCCTTAGCCAGAACCCATCAATCGTGAATCCAATAGCTTGAAAAGAATCACTTGCCTTGGTAATTAGGGATGATCCCACTAGGCAGCTCGGTAGCGTTTCGAATTTCCAATTTGGCTGCCGACTGGGTGAATTGTCTGGTCCATTTGGACGCGGAGGGGGAAGCACTCGGGATCGCTCGAGCGAACCAACGAGACGGGGAGGGAGGCTTCATGATGACGGCGCCATTTGTACTCCTACGAAGGACTCTTTGGTGGAAAGTTGGACTTACACAGCGCCGGTAGAGGACTAAATAGGTGAATCGGTACGCGGGACAATGACGAGCGGGTGCGATGCAATTAATTAATCGTGCATGTCGTCTACGAGGCGAGTGGACGATGACCCAGGATTCCCCTCCAGTGCCCTATGTCCTAGGCATGTTCGTGTTCTCCAGCCATGGCTTGCTCACGGGATATACTAGGTATTGAGGGGCAACGATTTCGAACGGACTTTTGGGGGTTGAGGTGTTCTGACTTCTGCATGGCACTGCAGGTCTGCAGCATTGTTTGGAGTTGTATGTGGTAGTGATGGAGAGGTCATATCCATTCTTCCAACCACCCCATAAAGGTTAAAAAACACATTGCGTACTGTATTCATCCCTGTTATTATTAGGCAATTCCTTACTTAATCGTTAGCGTCGTATCAAGATAATGGCACAATCAAAGCCTTGACGTAGCTGAGTGACGTCTAAGTTATCGATAACTCTAGCACAATAAGCACATGCAAATCCACCACCTTTCTTCTTACCTCTCAGATCCTAACATGATCGACCTCATATCTACATAGTACATGCACATATGTGAACATACCAGGATATTCGTTTATTTCCCGATGTGGACTATCATGACCCCTTCCACTGCCACTGCCTCAGCACCCGGCGTTTGTGTTGTCCTCTCCTGATAGCCAGACCGCCTTCACCCCCACCTCTTCGCAGTGGCTGCCTAGCGGAAGTCTTTACCACCACGCAGATATATTTCCACGCTGCGTTCCGAGACTGCCAGACCTTTGATTGATGTTCCGGCAATCTTCGCGAATTATACGTGGGATATGGACGGGCGAGTCCGACATCGTCAAGCTGCGAAGGCAGCTTTCGTCCCTGTGACGGGGAAATCGAGTGAGGAGGTCGATGCATCCACAGGCCAGGCTCAAAACTCGTTTGGGTGGCAGCTATTCCGCTTGATTCTACTGGGATTCTATGAATTGATCGCATGTTCATGGTATGCCGCTTTAATATGTCTTGCGAGGTTAGCTACTAATTAATCCGTCAGTCTCCACTTCGTTCAGTTCCTCGCCGCGCCGCTCTACTTCTGGAATAAGCCCCTCTACTATACCTTCCAATCCCTTGTCAAATCCTACTTCATCCTCCTTCTGGCTCAGATCACCTCGATATGGGCGCCTGTGAAAGTCCGGATCTCCGCCTCCGCATCCATAAGCCCCCAACTTCACCTCTCGAAGGATGGAATCTTACGCTCGGACTTCCCTTCCAGATTGGTTCTGATTGCGAACCATCAGATCTACACTGATTGGATATACTTATGGTGGATCGCATATACCAGTGGGACGCAGGGGCATTTCTTCATCATCCTGAAGGAGAGCCTTAGGTACCTGCCGATCATCGGACCTGGGATGATGTTTATGAGTTTCATCTTTCTCTCCAGAAAATGGACGACGGATAAGCCCCGATTTCGGTACCGATTGCAGAAGCTCAATGCGCGCATGCTATTCTCACCCCGCAAGACGGCCCTTTCTACGGTCCTCGAAGATCTCAGATCCGCGATCACCTCAACCCCTCCACCTGCACCCCCGCCGAAGTCGGTAACAGAAGCGAAGACAAGTGCCGAGCTTGCTGATGAGTTGAAGCAGCAAGACTCAACAACGCTAGACCCCATGTGGCTGCTGTTATTCCCGGAAGGGACAAATCTTTCCCCAAATGCGCGCCGCACCTCCGCTCGATGGGCTGCGAAGCAAGGACGGGAAGATCTGAAGCATACGGTGCTTCCTCGATCGACCGGACTTCTCTACTGTCTGCAAGAATTGCAAGGAACGGTGGACTGGGTCTATGACTGCACGGTTGGCTACAGCGGTGTGCGCACCGGCGATTTCGCCGCCGACATGTACGGCATCTGGCGAAACTATGGTGAAGGGCGGGCTCCGGAATACATCGATATGTACTGGCGTGGTTGGAAAGTCAAAGATATCCCACTGAACGATGAAAAGGCGTTTGGTGACTGGCTGACAAAGCGGTGGGAAGAGAAGGATGCCTTACTGGAGATCTACCAGACGACCGGGAAGTTTCCCCCGAGTGAGGAACCCATTGGGCTGAATGGGAGCGCTAGAGAAGAGAGCGAGATGGTGAAGACGAGGGCGGGGTGGATCGAAACGGAGATCAAGCCGACGCACCCACTGGAGATTGTGCAGATTTTCATGCCGGTTGTGGTGCTATGTCTGGTTTGGTATTGGATTGTTGGATTGAAGAATTGGTCCTTGAAATTGCTTGGATTGAAGACGGGTTGAATGGGAATCATGACTTACGGGTAATGAGTGGTTTGGGATTGTGGCATCATAGGAAGCAAGCAGACTAGCATCTTTCCAGACTGGGATCACTGTTTTGATAAGGCTCTAGAATGAGGCGTCGTGGGAGCAAAGAGCTTGGGAATCTTGGCAGGCGTTTGGACTTTGCCTATCGCAGCAAAGGCAGATACACCCCACGATGATGGATTGCTTTGCTGGATGTACGCTAGGAATCGAGACGGTCAAATTCGAAGTGGTGGATCTAGATAGGCATGCGAGAATGGCCGTAAGATCAGCTGCTAGTCACGGCTGGGGTTTCCATGAAGCCAATGAACGAGGGTCGTGCATGAAAGGCAACCAGACAAATCAGGAGATGGTGCGATGGATCAAGAACATACTGACCGGTTTCATTGCTTATGACCCGGGCAGCCATTGGGAATCGCCCATTCTCCACTTAGGAATCACTGTACTTACATTTTTAAGCTGACCACTCCACTCATAGATAAAGGATATTGTTTCCGCCTTCCCCATGGAAATGTGGAAATGATCATCCTACATATTTTTCGTTAAATGTCTAAGAATGATTTCATTTCGACTACGTAGTATTACTCCTTATAGGTTGCCTTTCCCCTCCCCCATTGCTTTCCGACACAAGCAGCGACACAAGCGCCTCACTTTACCAAGCGGTTGGAGTCAGTTCTCGGGAGTGTTCGAACACCAATGTTGGACATGTTTAACGTCTGGAGAGACTTGCAACGGCGCTTGAGCACTGGGCCACCCCCCGATTATCTAGCCACCGCTAGGTCGATTTTGCGCGTCAGCTGCTCTTTCAGAGGGTGGGACATAAGGAAACACGGAGAAGTTCGCCCTCTCCATCGAGCTGCATTCACGAAGGAGGGGTCGTTAATGCATTGGACAGGCATGATATGTGCAAGGCTAGTGATCGTGTGCAGAAACACGTAATATTCGAACACTGCAGATGGAGCGACAGCCAGTGAGTGGTTGAGGGGTATATATATGTCCCAACGCACCGCTCAACCGATTCTAGAATTCACCAACGGTTCTAGACCTCCCTCGTCGAGAGTCATCCGTGTCGAGGAATCCACCAGTGACCCTAACTTCACTCTGCTATCAAAATGTCCGACTTTGAGATTATCGATGGGCTTGATACTTGTACCATCGCAGACCCAGAAATATCCACTTCTGGTACGGACCAAGGGGTAGCCCAAAGGGCCACAATTGCTGAAGGGAAAGTTGAAGCAGATGCAAAAATCAGTGAGACTGCTGCGAAAAACGTTCTGATAGGTTGAATGGAAACTGACTGGTGTGCTAGAGCGTTGTGACTGCAATGAACCAGTCCCCAAGCCGGAAGAGAAACTCGGACCAATGCAACAGGAGAGCAAACAACAGCAAGACGTCTCAATGACGGAATTAGCGGGGAACGATGCTATCAACTCAAGCCCCGAGGGTGTGGCTGCACCTATCACCGAGGATGCGGACGCCTTAGGCGTAAGCAAGGAGCCATCCGCCACGGGAGAAAGTAGCATGCCAGTTCCGATAACCCCTTACACTCTTCAGTCGAATCAGAAGACCTGCCATCAATTTAAGCAACCGGCAGGCCCTACGTTTGTGCGCAAAATCCCGCCGCCGCCACCGCCGGGAGACATGCCACCCCCCTTCCCCATTCCACCTCCTCCACCTGGTATGCCGGGCATGCCTGGTATGCCGGGAATGCCTGGTATGATGCTCCCACCACCCCCTGTCCCTCAGTGGAAGAAGAAGTCGAAGTCGTCGAAGACAAGCGCTGTAGGACTCCCGTTTAATATGCCACTTCCTCCAGTCATGCCAGTTGGCGCTCTACCGCCAGGTGCCGTAATCCCGCCACCCCACGTGTTTCTCCCGCAAAAGGGGAAATTACCAGATCGGACGCGGAGGACCCACCGTTCTCGTCGAGAGGAGTCCGTATCCGAATCCCCCCCGCCTCGGCGGTCACGGAGGCGGTCAAGAGCTCAATCGAGATCATGGTCGAGGAGCCGCTCCTCTTCTTCACGGGAAAGCAGCGTCGGAAGAGAGGACGACGGAAAACTCACGCTTCTTACGAGCCATGAGGAGCTCTCCGATTGGCTGGGCGAGGGTTGTTTTGTCCGCTTCCCTCCGTCCCTTTCCAACCCCATGTCTAGTGTGTATGTTACTCGTCATGATCTTAGCCCGGTTGACCTGGAGCGCTACCTCTGGCTTTTCCGTGGTGGCGAGGAGGGGTTTTGGTATGTGCGTCCGAATCCCGGCGTCCTCGATATACTCTCCTCATCTAAAGGCGCCGCGAGTGCCTCCACGGTGCTGGTACCATACAAGTTTCTGCCACGGGAATCCACTTGGACGGAGATTACACCCCGAGTGGTGCGCATCTGCGTAACGGAGGCACTGACAACTGAGCTACCGAACTTCGCGGATAACCGCCTCTATGGCTTCCCTTGCGAGTGTCCGCCCACTCAAGGAGACCCCATTCCCATCATCCGTCCCATTGCATTTTGCAACAAGTGCGGCACGCGGATCAGAGACAAAGTGAAACACGAAGGCATCGTCTACACTATGGTGCAGACCCGACTGGACTATCTGCCAGTCGGCACCAAACCTCAAACTCATTGGATGGCCATCCCGCCTCCGCCGCCGCCTCCTCCTCCGGGCATCCCTCCTCCACCGGTATCATCTACACCGAGCTCCTACCCTCCATCTGGACCGCCGCCACCTCCTGAAGTCCATCCCGCAATGGCTCCAGTGAGGACCACGCATCAATCTTGCCCACCCCTGGGACCCTGGAGTGTAGGCCCTCCTCCGCATCCCTTCTCGGGCCCGGTGGGCAGAGAAAAAGCGAAGCAGCAGCAACTCGTGCATCGGCTGATTCGTGTCGGTAGCTCGAAAGAAGCGTGTGCCAGGGCCTATCTCGATGTGATCGATGGGTGGAGCACCGTCATGGTGGTGGCGACCAAGTATGAGGGATCTGCGAGCCGCAGAAGTGGAAAGTCTTCTGGCGAATGGGTCGGTGTAGAAAGGGTCGAAAAATTGTGGCATGTTCTGGACGATAGCCCCGACGGCGCATGGAGAGTGTTTTACTAGGCATGAGTGAGTTCTTGGGGCCGTTTGTGAACAATCGTCGTGGCTTTGATCAACTCAAAGTGTATCACCAAAAGCGTTTCAGGGCCGTTCAAGCTCTTCGTAGACTTGATTAGGTCGTCAAGGACTACTGGATTCAACATCCTAGTGTGTCCAGAAAGGAGAGGTCCAATGTGCTCAGTTTAGGAGGCTATGTGGCTTGTCGATGACAATTGTAGCCTTAGGTGACAGACCCTGGAGCCTGTATTGGTCCAAGAGGAATCTCGAGGGCGATTGGCACCCAGTGAAGGCCATGACGATGGTTGATGGGAGCAGAATGCGACCGAATAGGGAGGCATCGACAACATCTGTGGCGTAGCAATGGTACTGGGGCTCTTTTTGGATGTGGCAGCGAGGCCGTGACTGATGCCCATTAAACCGCTTCTCCAGGCCATTTGGCCACTATGACATGTTCCTATAGACGGGATATGCATACACGAATCTTGGGACCGACAGCCCAACCAAGGCTTGCCCCAGAACCCTTGAACCCCTTTGGCATGACTAGACGCCAGACTTTGGAACATCATCTCAGTCGAAACCAACACGTTAAAGTGGCTACAGGCGGGCGGCCCCAGCCTTCTTCAACTCCTCTTCGACCCTCAACTCACTGGTGCACAGAATAAAGGTGTCACGTAGCGCACCTAGTCTATGCTTCTGATTCACTTCTTGATAGTCTTTGCTGCTGATCATGTCCGCAAAGTGGGTAAGCGAAGGGTAATGCGCAATGGCGATTTCATCCCACTCCATGCCTCCCTCCGTGTCGCTTCGGTTCTTCTCATTGGAACCATTGATGCTGATCACGGTACCGACGATCTTCGCATTGCCACCATGACGGTTTCCGACCTTCGATGCGAACGCCGCCCCATATTGTTGATAGCTGGTCTTCTTTCCCTTGTTGAACGATAGGAGGTTCAGCATGCTAACTGCGCCGCCGCGAGTGTCGCCGTTGCCCTCTTTCGCAATCCATTGCTGAAGCGGGTTGCTTAATTCTAGGCTCTGGCTGGATGAGGCGTTCGCGCCGCGGGTCCGTTCTCCTGAGCTCTGTGGCACACCGCCTGGAGGATGTAGGAGTTGGTCATTCCCTTCCGCGAGTTGCTTTAGTCGGGAAGAAGGGACGCCGACGGTAACGCTAAATTGTTGGGCAATGAAGGGAATCGCTGCTACGGGGAGCGGCACGTCCAGTGGAAGAACGATGACGAGATCCCACGGGTTTGATGGGGGATTCGGGTCTTGAGTTGTCGCATTGGAACCGAGAAGGGAGGTGGAAGTGCTCGTCGGTCGAACAATCCATCGTAGAGGTTTGGAGGCGAGAAGCGGCTTGATAGGAGGAGACTGTGATGCAAGGACGGAAAGGAAGGATGGGATGGAAGTGTGAAGAGCTAGGACGTGAAGCGAACAAACTGGCATGGTGACGAAGGACACGACAATAGATTTAGAGAGTGCGATGAGGGTATAGGAGAAATACTTTAGATAAGATGGCTCAATTGACAAACATCTGCAAAAACGAACGGAGAGAACGAGGACTTGAACCTTGAATTGAAACTTTCGGGGCGATGGATAAGCCGAGGCGTGAAGGTGGGTTAGGATGTCCGCTGTAGGCACGACCCTTGGTCGTTGATGTTTCATGTATTAGTGTAGCTTTGGCCATTCGTCGTATTTCCTTGGGTTCGGTACGACAGCTGACATAGTCAGATATCCCCTCATTAACATCACGTATCGGCTCTTCATTACTTTCGAACATCTGTCTATCCCAGTTTCATCAGCTTCGGCGTGCGGGGAATGTGGGGGATATTGCATGAGTCATGTAAGTTTCTACCACCCGCTTTAGGTCGTGGATGACATGACTCGTGAGTGGTAGTGCTGGATACCAAACGCCACAATCCCAATGGTTTGTAGATTGATCAATCATGATTCATGGCAACTCAATATCCATCTTCGACAGAATTATTGCTGCACTGCTCCAGCTTCATATTTGCCGGCATGAACACTACAATCCTCAACCACCATTACTAGATTTCCTTCTTAGAGTGGATGGATTGTAGTTTCTACTGGAGACGTGAGCAAGGAGATGGTTTGTTCAGCCGACACACCTCCCTCACATCCCTCACCATTGGGCCACCCCCTCATTCAACAATTCCTATTTCAACGCCCGGTTCTAGACCCCATCTTAATGTCAATTGATATCACCAGGTGTACGACGCATCTGCATGCAAGATGCATGCAGACTTCAGGTGGGGCTGAGCAAAATGATAATATTCCGTACAACGGGTAATGCTACAGGCAAGTCTACGGGTAATTCCATATAGTCGTCTCTCCTCTCCTCATGAGCAATAGTGAGCCCTTAGTTTAATTTTGGTCCATTCTCTTGCTTCTATATACAAGTATCCTGGTACTATTTCGACTGTTAGCAACGTGCGGAACTAAGACCTGCCATGGCTCCCCAACGTAATGTACTGATCACTGAATCTGGAACTCTGACCGACTTGCTCCTCCGAAGCAACCGCGACGAGCAGGAGGTCTACGATGTAATCGTCGTAGGCTCTGGCATGGGCGGAGGTGTGGTCGCTAGCGCCCTCGCGGACGAGAAGAAGAAGGTGCTGGTCCTCGAAGCGGGCTCGTTGCTGTTCCCCACCCATGTTGGGAATCTCCCTCGCCGATTGATGATTGGCAAGTTTCAGAAGCATATTTGGTCCCTTTGGGAGTATTTCAGTGTGAAAAACTACAATACTCCACCGGGATCGATGTACAACGGCGGACAAGGTTTCAACCTCGGTGGGCGCAGCATATTTTGGGGCAGCTCCATCCCCCCGTTGGCCGCATGGGAGCTGGAAGTATGGCCGAAGGATATCCAAAAGTTCCTACTCGAAGGGAATGGTTACGACCTGGCACGAGGAGTGTTCAACGCGGACGTCCCGGAGTTGAAGGATTTCCATGTCCAAGCGACTGAGGTGCTTTCCGATCTGCTACGAGAGGACTGGGAGATTCTCCCGGCCCCAGTTGCAGTGGAATATACGGGCGCCACCGAGTGGAGTGTTCCCGCTGGAATATTCTCATCTGTGGATCTCCTGCTGGAAGATTCTTTGGCAGAGGGAATGAATGAAGGGCAGGTCACTAGACAGGGCATCACTGTCAATGTGAACCACGCCGTGTGGGATGTAACTTTCGAAGATGGGAACAACAAACGCGTCAATGGAGTCCGTTGTTGGGACCTTTTGGACAAGAAGGAACGGCATTACAAAGCCAAGTCGGTGATTCTCTGCGCCGGAACCGTCGAGTCCGCCAAGATCGCCCTGAACTCCAAAATCCCAAACGACATGATTGGCAACGGGATCGTTGACCACGCGATCTACTACCGTCATTTTGTTATCCCACCAGAGACTCTTAAAATGCTTGGGCTTACCCCTGACGTCCCGAGGGTTGCGCCTCCTCGAGTGGAACCGCAATCGACCAAAATCCTGATCCGGCACCGGGCGGCAACGCTTGACAGTCATGCCTTCGACATCATCCTCGAGCTGGGCGCTCAGTTTAATCAAGGCCGTTTCGTGGACAAAGATCACATCGAGGACGATATGGATATCCGCAATGGGTATCTATTATGCGAGATCGTCTTCCAATTCTATGCGCCGCTCATGCAGCAAAACTCCGTGACTCTTGCGCCTAACGGCGACTACGGTACCCCTGTTAACATCTACATGGAGCGAGCTCCTGTGCCCCCTGCGCTATTAGCAGAGGCACGAAACGTGGCCAAAGGCATTCTCGAGAGGTTCAACGCTCAGTCAATCTTGGGTGAAGACGCTCTGATGGAAGCGGATGGCCTGCCGAATCTCAAGGAGGCCGACGTGGGAGGCGTGGCGCACGAGATCGGGACGTTGAGTATGCCTGTCAATGGACAGAAGGCCGTGGTGGATGAGAACCTGAAGTTCGAGGGAATTGAGAACTTGTATGCCTGTGATAACTCGGTGTTTCCGTGCTCGCCCGCCGGGAATCCGAGCTTGACCTTAGTTGCGTTAGCTAGGAGGTGCGCCGAGACAGTCGCGAAGCAAGTGTAAGGCAAAACGTGTATCGCCATTGGGGGATCAGGGACGACTTTTGTAATCAAAGGCGCTATTAGAAATTTGATATCTCGTGTTGATAGGTACCGAAAATCTAAATGCTCAAACGTCAACGTTAGGGCGTACAGTCGCTGCCGCGTGTCAGTGAGGAACGCTTCAAAATGAAAGAACGCTCGAACATAAAGAAAGCCCCGACGCTAATCCACTCCATCTACATCGTCGTCATTATCTGCCGGCATGAGAACAGGACTTGTTGCAATCTTAGGCCTGCTCTTAAAGACGCTTGAATACTCCGCAGCAGGGCTGAACAGCATCTCCGTGGGCGTAGCATCCCTCCTCGGCGTCGTCTTGCCCCTTAATGCTGCAAATGCTTCTCCTCCGGGACTCAAAGACGCTCGGCTAGCTCGATCGGAGAGCGTTGAAGCGCTTATATCGCCCTTAACAATTGTGTCTCCTGACACCATTGATGCTGGGTGAGCATGGGTTTTGTCGTCATTGGCCTCTACCCCAATATAAGAGTCAACTGTATGTGTACGCCGCGCCGGAAGTGGCTTGCTTGGCGGTTCCACGCCGTCATCCTGCTCATCGGCAACATTCGTCGGCTCGAAGTCATTTAGAACCCTGGGAAGCGGCTGATTCTTCCCCGTTTCTGGGCTCTCGGCCTCCCAAACGTTCACAGGGAAATGATACACGCTCCCGCGCTTTCCGGTGTGGGAACTCTTTGGCCGAGAGACCGATCGTTCATGTCTAGGTCCTGTGGGGGCATTGCCGGGATTGTCGATACCGGACCCCGCCGATTCATGTGCCACGCTTGCTCGCCGCATAGACTGACGCGTACGTTCCAGCAGTTCTGCATGGCGCTTTTCGTAGCTATCCTTCTCTTGACCAAGGTCGGTTTCCGCCGGAGGTGATTCGTCAGACTCTGAGAGAGCGAGACCCACAGGTGCCATAGAAAGTCGCGTCCGTTCGCTTAAGGAGAGATACGGTCGGCTTGGTGGAGGCATGGTGGGAGCACGGGTTAATGGGTTCGGCGATGGGTTGCTCAACGTCGACCCATTCCGCGCGTCTACGTATTCACCGGCTGCTTCACTTGCTGGGCTCCTGGAATCTGGACTGGGTCCTTCGGCGGGGGACGAGAAGTTGGATGATCGCATAGGCGAATAGCCGCGCTCATACGCAGCGTTCGGGGAAGGCCCTTGGCTCTGGCCGGGAAGTTTGACGGGCGACATAGCAAGCAGACTCAGCGGACGTAGCCCTCTAGTTGACTGTCTGCTAGACGTTGCGCTGTCTGTCCGCACCGGGAGCGGTCTGAATCCATGTCCACGGGATGTTCCAGAGTCCTCGCTGGGAGACGTAGATTCCTGGCCCCTCCCATTCGCCATGCGGGTTAGGGGGATGCTGTTTTGACGACCATGGACTGGCCGTTGGGATGGACCTCTGCGAGAGCCTTGTGACCCTTGCCCACGATGGCTGATTGCGGTTTTCTGTATACTTTCATTAAGTTCAGCGAGGACGGCCTGGACCTCTGGGTTCATTGGGCTCGCGGCTCCAGCGGTGAGCCGACCACTCCCAGACTTTGAGATACTGTCCAGATTTAGATCCAGATGCTTGTCAAACCTCGACGCGGAGGTAGTTTGGCGAGCATGCAGCTTTCGTGCGAAGGTATCGGACTGGTCGATCAGCTGTCGTGTGCGCTCATGGATGATTTTCCACTGCTCGAGCCGCTCCTGCTGGTCACGAACACGAGTTTGAAGGTCTTCCAATAGACCAACAGGGCGCTCCTCGCCCTCAGGGTCCTTTCCGTACAGGTGTTTGCGCCAAACGACTTTCCAGGGTCGCTCAAAGTCCCTTTCCGAAGGGTCTCCTTGGTCTCCACTGACTAGCACGTCGAGCCAAGCCAGATCGCCGAGCCAGTGATTCTGCAATGCTCTTTTCACATCCTCTTTGCTCTCTTGTGGACCACCCGCGTTTTGGAGCTCTCGAATCTCCAACCGACCCTTTTCATGGCGACGGGCAAGCATCTGTCTCTTGTCGTTGAGAAAACTCGCCAATGTTTCTAGCCTGGCTTTCTGCTCCGCCTTCCGCTTCAGCACAGCAGATAAAGCAGCCTTATGTGCCACTGCAAGTGGTAGTAAGGACGATTGTTGTTTGGGAGTCAGGCTGTTTGATAGAGCCAGCTTCTGGGCCGGAGACACATGACTCTTCCGGGTCGGTTTGCGAGATAGCTCCTTCTTCAATACCGCGGAGGAAAATCCAATCAGGATGTCATTGAACTTGTCCCCTTTACAATCATCGAGCATCGTGCGGCGCAGAATAATATCGCGGCCAAGAACGCCATTCTTCTTCAGCTCATTCAAACTTCGGAAGAGGGCTGCGCGGAGATTAAGGCTTTGAAGGGGTTCGAGCGGAGGAAAGAACGGGAGAAGTTTCTATAGATGACGTCCAAACAATCAGCTCACTTATCCATGGATTGCTCACGTAGTTGTTGGAGGATGGCTCACCTCCCTGGTCTCCTCGGGATTCCATAGTTCAAACAACCGGTACAAAGCCCATTCCGTAGCCTTGATCCTGGCCTTCTGATTCTGCGTGGAATCTTTAGTTGAGAAAGTCTGAGGTGATATTCCCGGCCAATCATCCAACCGATCCAAATCCAGCAGCCTTAGGGTTCTCACGAACAAGATAATGCTCAAGGGGTTGGCGGACGACTTGGAAGGAAGCTGATCGGGTGTTGAGGAATTGGAGCTCAGGCCGGACGGAGCACGAGACATGATGAGTACGGTAGCATTCTGCAGCCAATTCAGAAGGGACTATGGCGCACTCTCACGGATTGTTGTATACCATTGGGCTTTGTGAGCAGTGAGGAGGGAGTTTGCTTGTATCTGTAGGTGTATGTATGTTGGAGGATCTTAGTCTTAGATCTAATTTCCAGACCCTGTGACAGGGTCCTTGACAGGGATGGCATTAGTTTGGTTTTCTTAAGATAACTAATTACTATTCCGTAATTACATAGTACTCCGTAATAGCGCATTAGAAGTCAAGCCTCAAGTGCCTTTACGTAGTAGCCTTAAGTACGGAGTATCATTATTGATTTATCACCGTTCTCTCCACTTCTACCCCTCAATTCTTATTTCTTTATTTAGGTCCATCCAGCTACTGAGACAAAAATCTCCGGTCCTATCCCTGGTCCATCGAACTCGCATTTCGAACTTTGTCCCAAGCATCTCCCCGACGTTGTCTAGCAGGAGGACGTTGCAATTATGCCTGATGGAGCAGAGACCAACGGTGCGCCAGGTAAGGCTTTGATGTACTTGGTCTTCTAATCTATATGCTGACTACGAGACTCCGCTTCAGGTACCATGACTCCGACCGAAGCATCGAGCTCGCATTGGACCCCCGAATCTGGTACGTGAGAAGAGCGCATGAGTCCAGACTCCAGACTCCCGATGTTGGAGCAATAGCTGGCCGAACGTAGGCAGTGCCTCCTCCTACTCCCCTTCTCTCCCTCCTCCCCCATACCGCCGGAAATGACTTCCACTAGCGATGTGGAGCCATAACGTAAATAGAATGTAACTGACCCATGATAGTCATATCAACCCTGAAGTACCAGCCTCCACGGAATTCGGCGTCACCAGTACCCTTCTTTCACCTACTAGAACAGCTGAAGACAACAAAGCGAGAAGGATGGCGCCGCTTCGGATTCACTCACGGCGAGAGCGTATCCGATCACATGTACCGTATGGCTATCATCACCATGCTCGCGCCTTCAGCACTCCGATCGAAGCTCGATATCGATAGATGTACGCGGATGGCGTTGGTGCATGATATGGCGGAAAGTCTGGTCGGGGACATCACACCGGTGGACGGGGTCAGCAAGCCAGAGAAGTCCCGACGGGAACGGGAGACGATGGAGCTGCTCTGTGGAGAGCTGTTGGGAAATGTTGACAGCGGGCACGCAGCAAAGGAGATCAAAGATCTCTGGGAAGAGTACGAGGATTCACAAACACCGGAGAGCGTGTTCGTGCACGATGTGGATAAGGTGGAATTGGTTCTGCAAATGGTGGAATACGAGCGATATCGGGATGGACGTGTGGATCTCAGCGAGTTCTGTAATGCCGCATGTCGCATCGAATTGAAAGAGATGAGGGAGTGGACCGAGACCGTGCTTCGGGAAAGAGAGGAGTTCTGGAGAGGTCTCAAGGATGCGACGTTGTCCAGAGAAGGCGGATGTCTTGAACGGGTCAAGAAGGCTTGGGAGGAGATGGATGAAAAGAAGGCTGGTGGTGCGCAGTCATAAATGGCCTCCTGACTTTAGGGCCTTGCGACGCAGACGGTTGGATGACTGATACCGTCATAGAGTCCAGGCAATGACTGGTAGATTTCGGCTTTCATGTGGTAGAGTAGACTAACGTACGGAGTACTAGATATCATTTCGCGCAAGCCACCATGCATCTTGAGCGCAACTCCTTTGGTTCCTATCGTCCATTTGGTGCCATGTGGTGCCAGACAGTGGTTTGTCGTGATGGCAGCAAATGGCAGCTGAGGTGTAATTACAGCCGAAAAGCAGGGGGATGCAACCTTTTCGAAAGTACCATGACAGGTCCGTTTCACTTCTGTTCCACCTCAGCTTTCGGTTTATTGATGATCAGATCCGAAGGTTGAGATTCTTGCTGTCATTTCGCATCGAATTTGATTTATACACCTACTGGTATTAGGGTCAGAACTCAGGTGATCAAATAGCTGGTCCACCCCGACATTAACTTGCCTTACAATGGTTTACCGTCCGGCGAGGCAGTCCATTCATGGACACATCTTCATGCTCCGCCTTCCTTGCGATGATATCTCCTGATAACCATCAAGGTATTCGCCAACGATCATAACTGACCGCCTGGTGGTTGGGAGGGTCTGTCGAGAGAAGGCAGTCTTTTGCCCGATTCCATCGAACCGAAATCGCATGCACAGCCCGACATTTTTCACACTACACCTCCAAAAGTTTCCGAGATGGGAGCCTTGATATCCTTCATCATCGCCTCCATGAAACGGCGACCTCTCTCAGCCGTGTGATATTAGTCAGTTCCGTGTGAAGATCCTGACCATATAGATGCGCGAACTCTGATAACTCATATGATAGCATAGCATGGCGTCCAAGCCTGTTGGTCGACCTCCTTACAGTCCATATCCTCTTCTTAATGTGCAATTTTCCAATTTTCCAATTCTCTTATCTTCCAATCCCCCGGTCTTCTCCTTTTCTACCCCGTTTTTGAGTCCGTTGCCCTTGCTACAATGCCCTAATCCTACTATTCCATGCTGCGCAAAGCCCATATACTTCTACTCTTACCCGCCTTTCTCCGAGTCACCTCCTGATTGTCTGCAAACTGTGGTTTTAGTTGGCCTTGTTTCCTAGATCCGGGAATCAAGGTGCTCACAAAATGACGTCGTGGGCTAGCAGTGAAATTTTGAACAGCCGTTCCCACAGCACGGTCCTGCCATTGCCAGCACATTTGAAGTGCAGGGCGGATGATGGGAACCACCACAAGCAACGATCTGGTTGGAGGGAAGTTAGAGCCGTCGAAGACAGTAAGCATCTACGTACAGCCTTGCGAAGTTTCTGCACAATAGTGCTAAATCTGCAAAGATCACTATCCGCAACGGACATCCCGCCCGCTTGTCTCCTGGCCTGAGTTCTCTCCGGCTACAAATATTTCAGACCAAAACTTCCCAGTCCCATCTCGAGTGCAATTCAACTCGTTTTGTGCGAATTGCGTCCGATTGAGGTCGTTTTTGACCTAGGAGTTGATGAAACCCCTCCCATGCGGAATCCAACTGTTCAGCCATCATCGAACCGGTGAATGTTTGGAACATGCGTATTAGAGAGGTTGCTATCTGTGTACTTTGTTCTGGTTCAGTCTCCTTGACTATAATAGCAAGTTCCCCCCTAACACACAGCACCGTGAACGGTTCAAGAACAAGGCTTTATCGGCAGTCCAGGCCGGCTCAACCCTTTCTGTGGAAGTGCATGTGGAAGGTGCCGAAATATCTCTACGCGAGATGTTCCTAACGGCAAGCATCAAGAACAAGCCTGATGAACTCTTACGTGGAGCCAGAGTCTATCTGAAAATCGACACGAAATATGACAACGATCAGGGTGCATGGTTCGATCAAGGGCCGCAAAGCAGTCTCAAGGGGTTTCGTCCGGCGAGTACTGCGTCTTCCGACATATCAGGCATCGTTCCAAAGTGGATGGACGAATGCATCAAGTCACATAAACGATGCAATTCCAGTCACAAGGGGTTCCGACCCACGCGAATCATTGACGTCGGGGCCCCAAATGAACAAATGGTTAGAGTTGGTCCAACAGCGCACTTGCCGGCTAAATTGCCTTTCAAGTATGCAGCATTGAGTTACTGCTGGGGTAGCAACAGCTGCATTGGATTGACATCGGCGAATACGGCCTCTCTCAATTCCGGGATTGCGGTCCACAAGCTTCCAAAGACAATCCAGCACGTAATCCATGTGACTCGCAGCCTTGGGTTAAGGTGGCTTTGGGTTGACTCCCTGTGCATCTTACAAAACTCGAATGAGGAGAAGACTCACCAAATCACGTCGAATGAGTTCGATTCCATGTTTGAAGTCTACAAGAATTGTTTTCTTTGCATTGCTGCACTAGGATCCTCTGACAATGAGGGAGGCGTTTTTGCTCGCCGAGATCCCCTGATGTATATGCCCTGCCAAGTAGCACGAAACTATCAGGGAGAAAGCGTGGTAGCGCTCCCTCACTGGACCACCAATCTCAACGGAGGGTTTGCGAAGGATGCTGTGGATCCCGACTGGGCGTTACATAGAAGAGGTTGGGTTCTCCAAGAGCGCCTATTACCACCCCGAACGCTGCTTTTCGGCTCTTACCTAGAATGGGAGTGCCATGAAATGGTTCGCGACGAATTTGGTGTCTTGGAAACAGTCTGTGATAACGACATGAAGACCAAATTTCACGAATATATCATTAACAAGCCCATTCCGGTCATCTCCAGGTTTCTAGGGCCGCTCGAGCCCAGCCCAGATGAGGTTTACGATCATTGGCGCCAAATCCTTCGCTGCTATACAAGATCGTCTCTGACGCTGAAGTCAGACAGGGAGTTTGCAATCGCTGGCGTAATATCTGCCGTGGAGCGGCGAATGAGTTGGAGAAACATTGCGGGCCTCTGGGAGCCGTACTTAGTTCATGAGCTGCTCTGGGAGAGGCTCCCCGAAAGTGACTCAGTTGAAACAGGGATCTCGCCTTCCTGGCCTTGGATTTCTATTGATGCTGCCGTCAATCACAGGAAAGTGAAGCCTCAACCGCAGATTGCAACGGTGGAGGTTGTGGAACACTTTCCGACAGTCTCACAACATGTCGGGTTGAACATCTCGCAGGCCCCGGGGAAAGTAGTTCGGGTCGGATGCGTACCGCTGACGATTGGCGATATTTATAAGTCCACCGGGAACAAGGGCTGCTATGCCATCGCTTTGACCGCACTAGAAAAATTCAGCACGTCCACAATGAACACGAACACAGGTCCGTATTTCACCGCCGATACGACAACGCCTGTGCGCTTTCCACAATATTTCCTCCCTCTTGCTAGATATGGGACCAGTGGACTTTGTGGCATTGCGGTGTCTTCTTCGACGACACATCCTGGGACATTCGAGCGAAGAGGGTATATTCGATTCTCCTTTGATCCTCAAAACCGAAAGGGGAGCGGCTTTGTCCCCGAGAGCGGGCTTATGGATCTGCTCCACGACCAGAGCCAACGGGAAACTTTCGTCGTCGTCTGATGGGATCATATGTACGACGGGTGGCAACCAAATGCCGATTTGGAACACGGGCCATGTCTCCTTTGGTGTCTGACGTTGGAGTCGATGTTGCCTTCGTATATGGAGAAGCCTATTACTTCAGAGTTATCACGGAACAGACTTGGATACTCTATGCATTTGATGACCTTCTTTCCTTCTCTTTGCTTGGAATTACATCCTGGATGAATGGTTCACTCTCGAGATGATCTTAGGATATCTGCGTCCTAATTATCACCCTCTTGTTTAGGACAAGAATTTCTTTTCACAATTCATGCTGTATCCAGCATGCGGGAACGGACACCAAGTGTCTTTGGATGGGTACCTAGTACTCCGTACAATCGGAAACAGGTCTTCATGATTTCCCAATCCAATTCTGGGTTTGTCGTTGAGGGGACGCAGCCATCCATAGCAGGTTACGATAATAATAGTGCAAGTTTCTGTTCGAACTTCGTCAATCGAGCCTGAACTCTAGAGGCCGACCTTGTTTCAGCTGGACGGCACGACTCCTTAATACCGTAACTAGCCCCTGTTAACTGCGACGACGTCCAAGCTCACCTGCATTTTGCATGTTTCGAAGGTGTGGCAATTCCCTACATACCTACCATTTAGCTTCCAACAGACTCATCCTCAGCTTAACAACATAGCTTTCAATACTCCAAATGCCCGATTGGACTTTGGATGCTGGGTGTACCTGAGTCCTAGTCCGACTGCAAACACAGTTGTCCCGATAATCGAACAAAGATGATTGACACCCGAGAGAACGACTCGCACAACCTTTGTCTCGCGAGCGCACTGCTTTCAGCTACTGACCGACTCTGCTTTACGAAGACCGTCTTCTACAGTACTGGAGAACCGAAGGTGCCGCGAATTGCATTTGAGATTTGAGCTTTTCCCTCTGAGCAGCAATATGGATAGTGCAACCGGGTCAACCGTTGACGGGACTCATTCAACTAGCTCGTGCACAAGCACGAAGCGATCGCCAATATAGAGCTTCGTTCATCGCCTTGTGCTTTCTCTACCCTAGCCTATTATTGATGTTGGTGTATCCTAAACGGTAATATTGTGTTCAATTGCAAGAGCTGGAAATCCTCCAACCTATTCCTGTCTGTTGGTTGGATGGAATCACGGTACGCACCTAGTGTGTAGGGGCGTAATGTCCCTGCCCGGCCTAAATCTGTTCTGTTCCAGTCATTCTGTGTTTTTCGAAGTCTTGCATGGCTCATTATCACGATTTTTATTCACCGCAAGTCCATGACGTACCGGACGGAAGCCGTACGGCACATGCGTGAAGGAATCACCAAGCGAGGCGACGAGTATGCATCCAGTATCCACCCCGGAGATCACTGGATAGTGGATCGTTAAATTCGTCATCCCTTTTAACCTCTCATCGCGAATCAAGATAACCCGGTGTTTCTGATTTGCTTTCAGCATTGTATTATTAGTGGAAATGTGTCATTCGCACGGCATTCTGCCGACCAAGGTTATGGAATACCGTGCCTATAAAAGCTTGACCGTAACTTCTAGATCGCCGTAAGTAGAGATGGGAGCCTCTGTCGGCCTTCGGAAACCCTCCTCTTTATTCTCGAAGCACAGGATCAGAGAAGGTGATTCTCGACGGTATTTCCTATCTTCACCCGTTCATCCAGAGCATGCGCCGCAATGCGTGTCCCATCGTTATACCTTTTACTTGCTTTAGGCACGATTGCAGAAGCAGTCGCTGTACTTCCTCATGACCGTGGCCAACTGGAACCGAAGAGTTTCGAAGCAATAATTGAGAAGCGGCAGTCTGGGTCAGATGGCGTCCCAGATAGTGGAATCCTCAATAACCTACCTCCTGGGGTCATCCGATGTCCACCACAGTGGTCGTGGATTGCCCGGGAGTTGCGTGACCAGTTTTTGACTGATGGCCAATGCAATAGCTTCGCACGAGCAGCAATAAGGACAGGATTCCATGACTGCGGGACTTGGGAGCGCTCGATGGGCAGCAGCGGCGGCTGTGATGGCTCCCTTGCTCTAGCGGAGGAACTGTCGCGGTCGGAGAACTCAGGGGTTAGGAGCTCTGTTACGCAGTTAGCACAACTTGCAAAGCAGCATAAAGTGGGAGTGGCAGATATGATCCAGTTCGCAGCCGGTAAGCGGTTGTGTACATCTTGATGATGAGATGTATCTGACCATGACCGCAGCCGTCGCTGTCAAGGCATGCCCAATGGGTCCCATAATCCAGACCTTTGTTGGGCGTGCTGATGCTAAGACTCCAAGCCCTCCTGGCCTCCTTCCTCCAGATGACATTGGCGGCGATGCTCTTGTGGCTCTTTTCGCTGACAAGGGGTTCGATGTGCGAGAACTGGTGGCATTACTTGGTGCATTATCAAACATACTCCTTGTGTCTCTCATATTCTAACCTTATTCAAGGTGCACACAGTGTGGCCAAAACTACCCTCGCTTCGAGCGTCCCAGGCCTTGACTCAACGCCTGGGACTTTGGACGTCAAATACTACAACGAAACATTATACGAGACTGCCCCATTCCTTCTACCATCCGACAAGAACCTTGCGGCTGTTCCCACTGCCCATCGTGTATACAAGAACTTTGCGGATAATCAGAGAGGTTGGGCCTTCGCGTTTTCGAGGGCGATGACGAAACTGAGTTTGTTGGGTGTAGATAGACGTAAACTGGCGGATTGTACAATTGCATTGCTTGCAGTGTGAGGTGATTGCCCTTAAGGTGGTAATCGCTAAGTCATGGTGGAACGGCAATGGATGGGAAGGGCAGACGGCGAGATAATAGGATGCGGACATACCCACACTACTTAACAAAGATATGTATTGGGGTGTAATTGTTGTTGGCATTGGCCTGGAATATCGAGATAGGAAAGAATGATGCCATCTTTGGATGCTGATCATTAAATGAAAATGATTCTAATTCTGGAAACCATAATGAACTGATGCTAGACACCGGTATTCTGGGTATCTCGATGCAACGCTGAGTACACGTACGGACAATTCATACAATCATTACTCATACTCATATTTTGTCACAATTCGCCATCCTCCACCTCCCGAACCAGTACCGGGGTTCTCACTTTGCCTGGCCCTTCCGAAGCACCTTAACACCGTCCGTCTTCATTCTGTCAATCGCTTCCTCAATCTGCTTCTTCTTCCTCGCAACACTGTCGTTCCGCTGCGCAACTTCCAGTTCAATTTCCTCTTCCCGCTTCCGTTTCTCCTTCCGCAACTCCACCATCTTCTTCATCTCATCGGTGAATTTTTGGATGAACCAGTCGCCGGCTTCGTCCCACTGTTTAAGGGTCAATGAAGCAAGGAGTTCACTCTGCTCATCTGGAGAGGAGTGGATCTTCGCGGCCAGCTGGGTAGAAAGTGAGTCTAGCGGAATTGCGGCGGTCGATGGACTTATGGGATTCTGGAATGGGGTAGGATCAAATGTCGCTTTTCGAAGGGCGTCAAAGGACAGGGCTCGGAGCTCGTCTGGTGGATACTCCAGGGTATCAAGGTCCCTCGCTTCAGATGCGTCGCTCTTGACATGGTTTTCTTCCTCAGGAACGTGAATCAAAGGCCGGACAGTAGCGTACCCTTGTGCAGTAAGATTCTGAATCTTCTCAGCGAGACGAACATTGGCCTGCCCAAGGCCTATGGAGTGCGTCGTGCGAGCTTGATTGAAATTTGTCCTGTCGGAAGGGTGTTGTTGTACCGCCGGTGAGGTTGCGTGAGAGTCGCTGGATTGCTGAGGGGTTGCAAGGCCATGATAACCCGGTGCTGGACGTGTTTGACTGGAGTTCTGAACAGCAGGGCAAGACCCAGACCGCTTGTGGCCAATCCTGAGAGGAGCAGGCTTTAAGGAACGTCGCCGATTTTTCAGAGATGACACACTGTTTGACGTCGCTGATTGCGTTGAGCCATGGACCTCAGGCGCCTTGGGTGGATCGGGCTTTGGACTTTGCCTCTGTGCAGTCTCTGCAAAGTTAGCGATGCTCGGACGCGCCTCGAGAGGGCCGTAACGGTCTCCTAGGTATTGGGGATCAACCAGAGACTCGTCGGTTGATCCAGGGTGTTTTTCATGCGTGATTATCACGGGTTCATCCTCCTCGTAGAAGGATTCATCACAGTCGGATTGTTCATGCTGAAATCCAGGGTAATGATCTGGTTTGTCTCCACTGGCGAAGGGAGCGTGGAAGGAATCATCCCCAGCTGCCGCATTTGACCAGAGTTGGCTTCCAGGACTTCCTTCAACCTGGATGCTTGATGTTCTAGTAAGTGGATTGAATCGGACGGTGGCTTCCAGTTCATTCTCATCTTCATCGTAATCGGGCTGCTCTTCGTGATACAGAGGCTCAGACTCTGAGCGGGGGTTGCCATTGATGTGGGACAATGAATGAGATGCTCCATAGTGATGGTCTTGTTGCTGCAAACTAGGTTGATCGGCAATATTTCTGCTAGTCTGCGACTGTGTGTAGCTTTCACTCTGGTTCTTATCGAAGGCCCATCGAGGAGCCGCAAGGTTTTGGGTCATGGGCGGTTCGTATGTGTCCAATGCTCGTGTTGACTGTTCTTGGGTACTTTCCATTTGAACTGAACTTCGATTCTCTTCGTAATCCTTCGGCGGTGGAGTAGGACCTGATACATTCATATACAGCTCGGATGGGTCAAGTCTACCAGCAGTGCCTGTTCCGGTACCTGCTGCGATGCTGTCACCGGTAGTAGATTTCTTGGGGCTCTTCGACCTATCCCTCTTCAATTTCTTGTCAACGAAGATGGATACGGGCCCCCAGCTCGACCCCATGCTCCGCCGCATTCCCATTATAGAGTGCGATGTCAATGTATGTGAGCTGCAGTCAAAGCGAATGATCGGTGAGGGAGCCGACAAGCATGGTTGGATACATGTCTGAGGCTGAAAACGAAATCAAGTCGAAGCGAATGATAGACCTAGCAAGATTTGGTCATATTATATCGATGGACACAAAATCAACATTGAGGCGAGGAAAACATCTTATGTTGGTGATGTGTGAATTGGAATTTGGAGGTGGTTCGGCAGACGCGTCCCGAAAGGGCAGGCACGCGACTGAGCCACGATGTCACGGGGTTCGGCGCTCTGCTTACCATATCGATAAGCCGATCGCTCCCTCGACGACGCTCTATCTATTTGGTATTAGTTAACTTAGTTAACTATGAATTATCTAACTATCATCAGTGTAGTTAACTAACTATCCGTTATATATTCTAGTTAGAGCAAATATCCTTTTCAAAGGAGTGCTTCCCGGTTTTATCGAGCACTTGAGAGACATTCGTCCTCACAAATAATCCAATGTCTGCTCCACTTGCGGCACCGTCCGACCGGTCGGTTACATCTCAACCCCCCGAGTCAGGTTGCCCTCTGTATACGCTCCCCAATGAGTTGCTCCATCACATCCTGATGCTGCTCCCTACGATGAGGCTGTTACCTTTATACCGAATTTCGAACCGGTTCCATAGCCTAGTTGCTCGGATCCTGCACCTGAGACTCCTCTCCGCAGCCCGCCTCCACAATCACACTCTCCTTTTCGAATGCTACCACCCGAGTGCCAAGCTGACCGAACCACAACTGTTTTGCTCGTACCAAGGAACAATTGGTCTAGATGTGGCCCTGGAACTTGAAGGAGAAGAGCATGGAAATCCATATTTGGCTGATATTGCCGAGTCGGGTTACCCACTTCATAGCTTTGCAAACTTCCATAAGTTATATTCATCTTTCCGGCCACATCTGCAGGGTCCGGACGCAGATACACCAGCACGGTGGAGCAGACATCAGGCAGGGGATATTCCTGGTTCTAGGACTTACTATGATGCTCCAGGTACAGCTGGCTCCGACCCAGAGCAGGAAAACACAAGTGTTTCGTCAGCAGAAGACCAAGCGATATCACACACTATATTCTTGGACAGCCACGAGCTATTCACTCAGCTTTGTGCGGCAATCAACCTTGTCAAGGTTGGTCCAAGGAAAAGTCTCTTCCTCAGCTTTGTTGAGGTCTCAGAGGGCGTCATACGTGTCTGGCGGGACTGGCTCAGCACGATGTCCTCCGGAAGCTTTAATTCTGGGATTCAAATCCTGAACGATCGAAAACGTCGTGATAGTTCAGGCAGCAGGAAGTCCGTGGAAACCGCCGAGACCCGGTTCAATTCCATTTGCCAGGCACTTCAAGGTGACAAACGCATGCTATGGGTCGATAATGATATGAATGTTGGTATACGAGTCAGTGTCTGCGAGCGACATCTGAGGCAGCAACATCAATTGCCGATCCTTATGGGAGTAAACGAAGTTCCCGTCAGCTATGACATCGCTTTTGAAGAGATTCTCATCCGGACCAGTCATCTTTTGCAAACGGTTGAAAAGTCCAATATGTTACAAGAGAACCAAGCAAAGAATGCTGTAATCTTCGGGTCATTTGGATGAATCATTGAAGCCACTGGTGTGTGGATGGATACCTATCTATTAGTCTATTATCACAGCAGTGTACGCCATTGGAGTTCTCTTGCATTTGCTTCAGCATCTCGTATTGGGTAATGGGAATTAGACAATTCTCAGTCGTCCGCACATGGATTTATTGAGTATCTATACCGTCAGCAATTGATGGCGGCGATAGGCCAAAGTCGGGATTGTGAATGTTTCTATTCTTCATTTGCCTGGTACTGGTACGCTACAGTACGGTACGGCTGACCATAGTACATTGAACGGGGAGCACTTGCATGACGATCATACGCGACAGCCAACTACCATACTTAAGAACAGCAGAGATAGCAAACAAATCAAGTGCACGACTACTCAACAGAGCGATTTTCATACCTTGTTTCACGCATTAATCGATAAGATCTTTTATTCAAACTGATACAATCTCGAAGAAATGCGAAATCCTTTCGTGTGTATCCAACTTCTCGCAGCGGCTATCGAACAAACAGGCTGCGCGCTATGACGGATGCTCCCTCTAAGCAATATCAAGTCGCTTATTTCGGATACGGAAGCAATATGTGGCAGTGGCAAATGAGTCAACGATGTCCAAATTCCGTATATTTGGGGGTTGGGAGGCTCTACGGGTGGAGATGGATCATCAACGAACGAGGTTATGCCAATGTCGTGGAACTAAAAGCGGGCAAGGATAACCGTTCAGATTCCACGAGCATCCAAAAGCAAGGACGCGAAGGGAAGGATGCGAATGCTGCAGATAATTCTGTCTATGGCCTTGTCTACACCCTTACCGAATCAGACGAAGCAAACCTCGACTTGATCGAAAGTGTGCCGCAGGCATACACTAAAGAGACGCATGAAGTCGAGTTGTGGCCGTCTCCTGGAATGAGGAAACCAGTGAATATGGATTTGGCCCCTCGAAAAGTTATGATGTTAACATATGTCGACCGTAAAAGAGTGACAGAAGCTAGACCACAAGACGAGTATGTTTCTAGACTGAACACCGGACTGATCGATGCGCTCAAAGAAGGAGTTCCGAAAGAGTGGATCGATCGGGTGATCAGAATGTTCATTCCTGAGACAAAAGAGGACGATACCAATATCAGGCGACTCGAGCAGGCAAAAGAGCAAGCGCTCAATTTTGGGGAGGACTAAAATGGTTGCAATTCTGTATCAATATCTCCAGCTGCGATACGCAGCGCATCAATTCATAAGTCTAACAAGACAGCCTGTCATGTCCATGTACGGTATCCTATCCCCATCTTTGTTACAAGTTGTAATGGATACTGGATATTAGCTGTGACCTATAGCTTCCAATCGTGCCAAAGTGCCAACAATAATCCCTAGAAATTCATTCCTGAGACGGCGATTGCTGAGGTGACTCCTGAACACATAGGTGACACTTGAGATAGTGACTTCCGAAGAAATGACTCCTGTTTTACACCTACGGTGCGAATTTGAAAACGGTCCCTTAATCTGGGGGCTTATACTGAACGAATTTCCCTATTTTCAATGTCCCATTCTCCAGATTCCGCTCGGAATCCTCTACCCAGCAACTAATAAACTAATAAACTAATTGCTCACCAAATTGCGGATAGTGTAACAGCCAGGACGACCACGGCTGTCAAGGCACCACGCCGAAGCCATGTTTGGCATCAATGTTTGGATATGTTGCCAACATGTTCCTATAGAGTAGGTAGTCTCTCCTTGCAACTCTCACAGTCGTATGGGCACATAGATGCGAATATGAGCTCAATATGCTATAGAGAGGGCACTGACACTACTGATAAGAGGATAGCTATTGCTCTGCGATCTAGATCGGAACCGAAATCTGCCATATCGATGGACACCTAATGTGTTGCAATTGTGTGAAAACTTGGGCGGATACAACCGCCTATGGCCTCCGCTCGCAAGATAGGATGCCGAGGATCGGGTATGAGTGAAGGACGTCAACAGGGTCGGTGGACCGCGCATTCGGATTAAATTAAGCGCAGATAAGAGTAGAATGGTAATAGAATATTATGCATGTCGACTATAGATGGTGTAGTTAATGAGAGGAAGCAAAACTAGTCTGGGTGCCAGTGGGAAGGTATCCAATCTATCAACTAGAAATTTAGTGAGACAGCCTATTAGTGTGGACAGAGGCCTGAAACTGTTTTGCGAATGATTTCCATGATAGCTACCAAGTAGTCTACAAAATTTTAAATATAAAGATGAGGGGACATTTTCCATCCAAGGTAGACTAAAATGAAATGATTTTCCCCTTGATGTCGTCCAGTGCTATCAATATCAACGCATAGTTCTGGAAGTAATTGATGGCCTAAGCATCCCCCCAAGTCGTCGGAGATAATAAAAAGAGGTAATATAGGGGAAGGATGAACCAGTTTCAAAGTCCAGGTGATATACTGCAAGGCCATCAATATCGAGGCGCGATTGTGGTATGACCGTCCTAGCAGATTGGAGTCTATGTCACGATATCAGAGTTCTCTAAACTGCATGGAAATTGCACAACAGCCAGCTATGAACGCATAAGAAGTAGTGCGAGTGGTAGAATTCTGATAACAAGATCATCCGCTACACTGACCTCACGCATTCTAGCAACCTGCCGTGGAACAACTCTCAAGCTCATGTACAAACGGAGATTGCCTAAAATTCCGCAATGGGGAGATTTCGCTTGGAGATTCGAACTCGTGTATCGCCCCGTGGTCGCGGGATACAGAGTCCTTGTGTTGGCTTGGGCAACTGATGTCCTTGATTGTCAACTGGCGTAATGTCCCACAAAGACAGAAACCCAGCGACAAAGGCTGCTACTCCAGATTGAGCAATGTCAATCCCCGGGCACTTCCCATTTTCTATAGTCTGGTTAATTAAAAGTTGCTGAATAGAACCATATGACTCACCTGATGGTTGGAACCCCTCGTTGAATGGAGGGGGATGTGGATCATTGAGCTCTTCTTCAAACCGCTCCGCAACCCAGTGACGTTTCGGGGTAGAAGTGCTATGTCCAAGACTGGACATGAACACAGGAATTGCGACAAGCTCTCCGCTTCTCGTTGAAATCTGAGAGCTTCTGTCGCCGCCTTTAGAGGGGAAGGTGGTGGTTTTCCGTACTTGCCGAAAGAGCCACGATCTTGCATAGACGCGGAAAGATTCAAGGATAGAAGACGCGAGAAGAGGAGAGGTCGGGAAAACATCATCAACCATGAAGTTCAGTCGAGGCGGGGGATACATTGACATCAACGGAGGAGGTTGCGTGGCGATGACTACCTTCGAACTGCCAGAGCGAATGCGGTCTGCGAGACCCTCGATCGCCACAATGCGGAATAGCGTCCAGTAGATGATCCCGGAAAGCTTGCATGAAATAGACCATATCAGAAGCAGAGACTCAGACGCCGCTGCCCTAGCCGCTAGCTGCGTCGCATTTCCACTTGAATTTGGAGAAACGTTGTTGAACATGGTCCTGTGTATACTTTCCACAAGCTCAGAAACATCGCTGACGTCTCGCCATTCCGAGGACGAAGGCTCATCCTCTCCTGCACGATAGCGAGCAACGGCTAGGTGGTAGGATGTGAGCTGGTTCAACATACGATGACGAGCGATATGGGCGCTCGTGACTCTCGGGATGGGTGCCCACCGGGGAAGCCCAAGTGATAGAAGGAGGAAAGCATTGCTGAACATTTGGATGTCCTCCTGAAGGGTCGGTACGGCTTCCGGAAATGAGACACCGAATAGATGTTGAAGAACCGTGTGCATGACGAAGCTTTGAATGAGAGCACTGTTCCCGTTAGCTAGAGGAACTCCAATTCGGGGAAAGATAGGTACAAGAGATTCGTGTCGGCCGACTCCGTATTCTCCTTCCCCTCAACGAGAGGAAGGGTCTTGCTTGCCCTCTCCCATGGCATTTGATCGACCAGACTGTCGTTGAATGACATAAGATCTGGTAGTGTCTGACTCCATTCGCCAAGGGTTTTGGAGAGCAAGGTGTCTTCGCCGTGACCTTTCAGGTTCTGGATATATGCCTTTCGTAGCTCCCGAAGAATACGCTCCATGGTCTCATCAGGGAGTTTCTGCAATCCGAAGGCATTCCGTCTAACTGTTGCAGACACGCTGCTAAAGTCGAACTGAGCGTCGTGTCCATCTGTTGTTTGGGAAAGCAAGTGGTACGCGATGTCAGGCTGGTAGATTACATTGAGTTTTCTACCAAGCAAGAGTAGCGCGAAGTATCCCTTCTCGAATGTGGCAGTCCTGCTTTTCGTCAGTCGGTGCCGCGTATATAATCCGTTTTGTAGAATGACCTCGCGTAGTCAAGGAATCGTTCCGGAAACAATATCAGCTCTACCGCGTTTCCAACAAACGGCACCCAGAACGGGACTAACGGCGGCCTATTTTCATTGGACTTGAGAACACGGGAGCCGGTGATCCATCTGGTAATCAGCAAAATAGCAATGACGGAAATAGCTATAGCATATAAGGACACAGCCATGTTTAAGGGTATCGTTGAGAACAGATGGCGAGAAGACAAAAGCTCTACTATTGCAACATCAGGGAAGGCACCGTGATCAACTTAATTCCACCGTTGATGCTATGCGCGTAAGTCTGCACGTATCACGATGAGATGGCATGGGTTGCAATAGGTATTGCGGTATGGTAATAGTTAGATGTAACGGCTCAGCTGAGTGAGAGGCTTGAGGACTAGAAGATACCGCTATCAAATCTTCAAGGGTAAAATCACAGCACTTCCAAAAATACCACCCACTTACCTTATCTCTCTGAAGAGTTAGGATTAATTTTTCTTCTTTTCAATTGCTTCATCGAGATCCGTATTTTACACGAACGGCGAAAATGGCGCCGAAAGAATTGAATTTTATCACCGGCAATAAAAATAAGCTTCTGGAGGTCCAAGCCATCTTGGCCGGCGTGGTGGATTTAAAAAGCCAGGCTCTAGATTTGGTTGAGATCCAAGGGACAATAGAAGAAGTTACGCTGGATAAGTGCAAACGAGCAGCTGATACAGTACATTATCTAGTGGATATGGATGGAAGGAATCAGAACGCTGACTACTCTCGATTAGGTTCGAGGACCAGTCCTTGTGGAAGATACATGTTTGGCCTTTAATGCCTTCAACGGCCTGCCAGGACCATATATGTCCGTTTACAACCCCCCGTCTCCATTCCTTGACCACTGACAGCTCCAGAAAATGGTTCATGCTCAATCTCGGTGTACAGGACCTCCATAAGCTGCTTGCAGGCTTCGAGGATAAGTCCGCTCAAGCCATTTGTACCTTCGCATATTGCGAGGGCCCGGGCCATGATCCAATTATCTTCCAAGGCAGAACCGATGTATGTTCCCTAATTCCTTGGCTTGTGCTATGCTGACCATGAGCAGGGCAAGATCGTACCATCCCGTGGTCCCACTGTGTTCGGTATGTTTCTCACTCCAGCTGCGTGGATGAAGGTCGACTGATGTTCGTAGGATGGGATTCGTCATTTGAGTATGAGGGTCAGACGTATGCGGAGATGGAGAAGTCGGAGAAGAACAAGGTCTCCCACCGTGGGAAGGCTTTAGAGAAGCTTCAGGAGTGGTTGAAGGAGCAAGTCTGAACTTATGAGTCAGTAACGGCGGTTCCGGTAAAGATGGAACGGATCTGGCTTACCATACCTGAATGCGCCTGTACACGAGATATAGAGCTTGCACAGTACAGTACTTTCTGGTGCCACTTTCAACTTGTTGCCGGAGCAGTATCTCGTGTCCAATTCTCAACCCATGTCTTAATACGTTCCACATTGGTGTCGACATCCTCGATGGTATTGCTCTGTAGCTCCACCACGATCTCCTCGGCAAATCCTTCTCTCGCCTCGTCCAGGAGCACCTGCATAATCTCCGCGTCCATGTTCTCCTCTAGCTTCTTGGGGCTGTACTTTCGACCGCTTAAGCGATCATAGAGTACCGCGGTGTCGCAGCGAAGAACAACCACCAGATCAATCCAGCTCTCAGGAAAGATATCACAAGCGTGCCAGTCAATGATATATCCCCCGTCTTTAACCTCGTCTTCAATGGCGTCCAACAGCTTGTCCTCGTCTACGATCCAGCTCTTCAATTCGTCATCAAAGCCTTCGGCGCAGTTTCGGTCCTTGACGATTTGATTGATGGACATATGTTTGAGCCCTGTAGCTTCCGCTAGTTGTTCGCAATGGGTGGACTTCCCGACGCCCGGCGTGCCGGTGATAATAATGTTTGGACTGCTGCGAGCCATTGTATGCTTCGTTGTGCGCGGACTGGGAGCGAAAGTGCGATGATTGGACTAATACGTTACTCCGCACTCATTCTGTCAAATCCAGCCCACATCTGTATTTCATCATGGTGCACATGCCGGGTTACAGGAAGCTCATCGGTTCATCCGGTGGCTTCGGTTGAAGCGCGAGAATTTCCAGACCGGCGGTGGTCCGTGCGCTATAACTGAAGATTCTCGAAAGAATCGAAAACTTCCCCATCAGCAATTCTTCCCTTCACCTAGCAACACCTCTCTACACTTTTCCATCTTTTCATTCTTGGGGATTCAGCAGCTGGTCGGAGTTTCGGAGCATCCTTGAACACTGAACTCGTCTTTGTCAGACCAAATCTCGATCAATCCATCACGATGCAGCGGGCATTCGCGGCAAGAACGCGGGCTTCGGCTCTTTCCTCCGCTTCTCGCATGAAGCCATCAGGCTTCAGCCTGCAGCAGCAGCGGTTTGCTCACAAGGTACGCGCCTTTCAATCGAGATGGCTTGGTACATGATAACCAGCTAACCGGCATCAATAGGAGCTCAAGTTCGGCGTTGAAGGTCGAGCAGCCCTCCTGAAGGGTGTCGACACCCTCGCAAAAGCCGTTGCCACAACCCTGGGCCCCAAGGGCCGCAATGTCTTGATCGAGTCAAGCTACGGATCGCCAAAAATCACTAAAGGTAATGAATACATTGATGCCCTCGTTGGACCCGATCTAACGCAACGATTCTAGATGGTGTAACGGTCGCAAAGGCAGTGACTCTGCAAGACAAATTCGAGAACCTCGGTGCACGACTCCTCCAAGATGTCGCCTCCAAGACCAATGAAGTTGCCGGTGACGGTACTACCACTGCCACCGTGCTGGCTCGCGCGATCTTCACCGAGATGGTCAAGAACGTGGCTTCCGGCTGCAACCCCATGGACCTGAGACGGGGTGCCCAGGCCGCTGTGGACGCTGTGGTTGAATACCTCCGGAAGAACAAGCGCGATATCACGACCAGCGAAGAGATCTCCCAGGTTGCCACCATCTCGGCGAATGGAGACGTTCACATTGGCAAGCTCCTGTCGAGTGCGATGGAGAAGGTTGGCAAGGAAGGTGTCATTACGGTGAAGGAGGGCAAGACCATCGACGACGAGCTGGAGGTCACCGAGGGTATGAAGTTCGATCGCGGATTCATCTCACCCTACTTCATCACCGACACCAAGTCCCAGAAGATTGAGTTTGAGAAGCCGCTCATCCTGCTGTCCGAGAAGAAGATCTCCGCGGTTCAGGACATCATCCCCGCCCTCGAGGCTTCCCAAACTCTGAGGCGACCATTGATCATCATCGCTGAAGATATTGATGGTGAGGCTCTGGCCGTGTGCATTCTCAACAAGCTGCGCGGACAACTCCAGGTCGCTGCCGTCAAGGCTCCTGGCTTCGGTGATAACCGCAAGTCTATCTTGGGTGACATTGCCGTCCTCACCAACGGTACCGTCTTCACAGATGAGCTCGACATCAAACTGGAGAAGGCCACTCCCGATATGCTCGGATCTACTGGATCCATCACGATCACCAAGGAGGATACCGTCATTCTGAACGGTGAAGGCAGCAAGGACTCGGTTACCCAGCGATGCGAACAAATCCGTGGCGTCATGAGTGACCCAACCACCTCCGAGTACGAGAAGGAGAAGCTCCAGGAGCGCCTTGCCAAGCTTTCCGGCGGTGTCGCTGTCATCAAGGTCGGTGGCTCATCTGAGGTTGAGGTCGGCGAGAAGAAGGACCGAATCGTTGATGCTCTGAACGCAACCCGCGCCGCCGTTGAGGAGGGGATCCTCCCGGGTGGTGGCACTGGTCTGCTCAAGGCTGCCGCGAACGCCCTGAACGACATCAAGACTGTCAACTTCGACCAACAGCTGGGTGTCAACATCGTGAGGCGCGCCATCGTCAAGCCCGCCCGAACCATTGTGGACAATGCCGGTGACGAGGGCAGCGTCGTCGTTGGCAAGCTCATGGATGAGTATGCCAAGGATTTCAACAAGGGCTACGACAGCTCGAAGGGCGAGTACGTTGACATGATCTCGGCTGGTATCCTTGACCCGTTCAAGGTTGTCCGGACTGCCCTGGTGGATGCTAGCGGCGTTGCATCATTACTGGGAACTACTGAAGTCGCGATTGTGGAGGCTCCCGAGGAGAAGGGTCCCCCTGCCGGCGGTATGGGTGGAGGCATGGGCGGAATGGGCGGCATGGGTGGTGGTGGCATGTTCTAAACGCATTGATTCCCCGGCTACTTTGAACCCGTCTGTACTATCTTCGGCCTGTATAAATATTCCTCTCTCTCTCCGCTCCCGATCGGGCCTTTGCATCTCCTGGATTCTGAAGCATGTTCGGAGTTGGATGCTGGTTTGTCGGCCTTTGTAAAAACATCTACTTCCATAATCGGAGATTCCATCCGTGTACAGCGTGTTAGATAGCTATTCTACCCCTCGTTTAACGATTGGCGTCACCATGAATTGATGCTTCTCATAATGTACATAACAAAAGACTCTCCAATCTGGATAGCAACAGATAACAGGGTGAGCTTCTATCTGTCCCCGATGATGACGAATGAGATGGAAGCTTTCGAACCTCGGAGAATTGTCGGCCCGAACCCTGTTTTGGCCGCGCAACCTTGCTGACCTGCTTAGTAAGGTGCCATTTGCTGCGCCTTGGGGCTCTTTGTCAATCGTCATCCCGCTCCGTCCTCAGTAGCGATCATTGTTGCCTCGACAACACCTCCAAGAACCATCTCTCCCTCTCACTCGATCCTTTGGGTTTCTCGACTGCAAACTCAATCATCCCTTTAAAATCCATATCTCAAACCCGCCGTGAAACCTCCAAGACGAATAGTGGTACTGTTACACCCCAGTCGCCCTTTCATCACAACACGCCTAATATCCAAGCGAGAACCATCTTCCACAACCCATAGGCATCCTTCAATATGGTATTTGATCCAACCAAGCTCTCGCAATATTCCCGCTGACAAGTGAACCTATCCAGGCACAATCAGGGTCAGTAGTATCCGTTATCGCTCCTCTTCGTCTCACACCCGCGATGTTCTCTTGGAGAACCCCGCCCCCACCATGCGAGATAGTGGGTGACGCCTACTAACATTTCCTCAGAGTCTCCGTTGCACCCGAGTGCATTTCCGCCTTCAACGAGCTGAAGCTCGGCAAGGAGACGAAATACATCATCTACAAGATCTCAGACGACTGGAAAGAGATCGTGGTCGAGGAGACGTCCAAGGACAAGGACTTCAGCGTGTTCCGTGAGAAGCTGCTCAACGCCAAAAGCAAAGATAAGAAGGGCAAAGAAGGCATCGGTGGCCGGTATGCCGTCTACGATGTCGAGTATCAGACGGAAGGTGAAGGCATCCGGAATAAGATCACCTTTATCAGCTGGTGCCCGGATGACGCATCGCAATATGTGAGCCACTTCTTAATGACGTTGCCATAATGGATGATTGACTGATTCAACAGCCCCGCATGATGTACTCTTCATCTAAGGAAGCTATCAAACGCTCCCTGAATGGTATTGCCGCTGACATCCAGGCCAACGATGCCGACGACATCGAGTTCGACAACATCATTTCACGGGTGGCCAAGGGACGCTAAGCCTGTCCCTGATGCTCGATCCTGTTGTGCATTACGCTCCCAACCACGTTGTATTGTACGTGTTTCCTCCGCGGAAACTTATGAGCTGGGGTTATGACCGAAAACTTGTGGCATGATGGACAGATATTTTGATGGCGGAATTGATTATGACAGCAAGGAAGATGTTGATCAAATTTCCTATAGTGCATACCCACCAGCTGGCCGCTTCCAAAATTCAATTTTGCGTGTAGCCATAGACATAAATACTCGATTCTGAGGTAGAGTCGCGAGTCGCGATTCATCAAGGCCCATATGAGTCGTTAATGTACTGTGCAATCCCCTACGCGGATATAAACAAGTCCCGCTCAGGAAGCGGACTACCTAGCCCCTTGCTCCCATGCCTTCTTCCATATCTTGACGGCTTTCTCTGACGTTGCCTGATCCTTCACTCTCTGGGACAAGAACCCCTTCAAATCTTCCCAGAACGCCTCGTCCTTCATCACGTCGGCGCCGAACTTCCCTCCAGCCACAGCCGGCTTCTCGTCCACGTCCATCTTACTTCCACCCTCCGCGACCGTCTTCTCCGCCACCGGTTGCGCCGGAATCCCACCCAACACCATAATCCCCAGCGCAAGCGTCTTTGCATCTTTCGACAACTCCCCTACGCTCTTCACGTCGCCCACCGGCCGCTTGTCCTTCAGCACTTTGACCTTCGACACGCCCGCTTCACCGAGCCCGACATGCTTGGCGAACGCGACCTTGAGATCATGGACGCTTGCCGTCGGCTCGACGGAGATCGTTAACGGGGCGGGAGGCGTGCGGTGCGGTGTCAATGTCACGGAGATGGTGTTGGAGGTTGGCGCTGACGAGGCACCATCGCCGGCTGGGGCGGCCGCTCCTCGTTTTCGTTTTGGGTTGGGGAGTTTCGGGAGGATATACTGGGGAATGTCAGCTTAAGTCGTATATATGTGGGTGTGGAGCGCACGTACGGCTGGTTGTGCCGGGTGCTTCTTTGGATCGGCGATGTAGTCGCTGGACAGTTTGGCTGGGCGGGAGTCGAGGGTGGTGAGGAATTGTTTGCAGAAGCTTAATTCCGCCATGATGGCTTTAGGATGAAGGATATAGAGATTATGAAGGAGATGTCTTTCTACAAGCGGACCAAATGTAAGTTGGGTTTCTTGAGCTTCAAGTAGAGGGTATCGTCATGATCAACTTCCAGAGTTCCAGGTTGCAGCAAGTGGTTTGGTCCACCTTAAGGCACAGTATAGTGGAGCAGGGGTTATCCATAACCGTTAACAACGAGAACGCTTAACTACATGTAATAAAATATTTCATTTCTTCATCGATAATTTTTTCCACCTTTCTTCGCCGGTCTGTGGAGGAAAAATAGCTACTTATTTGGATATTCCTGGACGGTGACTACTGATCCGATCAAGGAGAAAGCGTCTATCAATCCATGACCTTGACCCAGTTCGCTTTCCACTTATTAGCATGCTCCATTATTCAGGAAGCCATGAGCCTGCTGCAGAGACACGATATATGTAAATTTCCTTGGCTTGAAGTGGAGAGTTGCAAGTGTACTCCGTACTGGAGTCCCAATGTCCGATAATGCTTTGGAAGACTTCACCCAATGGGCAAAAGAACATGGAATTAAGATTTGCGGTGTCAAGGCCCATGAGATTCCGTCCCATGGCATTGGAATAGTTGCAACTCGAGATTTGCGGGTGCGTCAGATATTTTATCTTTTAGGATTCTAAACTGATACGTTCTGGCATAGGAGGGCGAACGTGTCTTGTTCATTCCTCGCTCTGCGATGGTCACACCGGCTTCAAAAGGAGCGAAACAATTACGGCTCCCAGAAGCATCCAGTGGCCAGACTCGAATCGCGGCGTATCTCACTTTATCCTCTCAATGTGAGGAATTTGGATTCCGCGATTGGCAAAGGACATGGCCATCTATCGAAGCGCTCCAAGCTTCCATTCCTTTTTTTTGGCCCGTTGAGCTCCAATCGTTGCTTCCACCAAGTGCAGTCGCACTGCTCAAACATCAAAGTCTTTTAATCTCAGAGTCATGGCGTCAGGTCAAACACCTTGTACCGAAAGCATCGAAGAGCCGTTTCCTCTATTACTATTTCATCATCAACTCGCGTACCATGTATTGGCGCGATACCGATAGTGGAAACCACCGCTCGACTTCTGCGGCTAACAATCTCGCACTGTGTCCTTTCCTTGACTTTTTGAATCATTCGCCGTCGTGCCAGCCGGCAACACGCACCGACCAGGGGTATGAAATTCGAACCGAGCGACCTTATGTAGCTGGCGAAGAGATATTCGTGTCCTACGGAGCGCATGGAAACGATTTCTTGCTCGTGGAATATGGATTTCTGCCGGAACCGGGAACAAACGTGTGGGACTCCCTCAGCATTGATCACTTTATCATTCCCGCCTTAAGCACCGGGCAAAACGACACCTTGGCAAGATATGGGTTTCTAGGAGACTATACTTTATTCCTCGGGACTCCTGCCACGGAACAACCTGAGCCGTGCTTCCGGACCCTAGTCGCCCTGTTCCTCATTGAGCGCGGTGTATGTGCCGAATGGATTCGGTTCAAAGACGGAATAGAGGATAATCGAGCCTTCAAGCCCCTTCCACAGCAGGTGGCAACAGCTGTCGCCCGAGAACAGGAAGCATCCGAAATCCTCTTGAAGAGCTTATTGAAATTGACTTTGCCACAACATCTACGGCTGGCAGACCCAGTGCGTCGCCGGTTGTCTTTCTTGGTGGCAAAATACCAGAGATTACTAGAACGAGGGGTTTTGGCACCGTGGGCATGTCAAGCAGGAGATGAGAACATTTGACTAAGATACGGGGATCCTATTAACCGAAACTCATTCGTGGTGCGGAAGGATCTATTCCAGCCACTTCATCGACCACCACACCGGCCAGAGCATGGCCTCCAATGCTTCCTTAACCGCCTCGAGTACTTTCCAGACGGCGACCATGGCCCAAAACACGATGCCAAGCTCAAGAAGTAGCATCTTGTGCTCCTGAATAAACATGATCAACCTCTCAGAGAAGTTGGAGGGACGGAAACGGGATCTCAAAAGACACAAAAATAAGGAGGATATATGGCTAAATCCGGCATATACCAGGGCTGGTAGCGATATCCTGAGGTGAAATGTAGAGCCATACTCCACATTTGACACCACAGCTGCCTGTGACTCGACAGTACTTCGGCCATTCAGCCTGAGGATATTGGTCGTGAGACTCTCTCGACTCCGACGGTGGACCCTGAAGGACGCGCTCGATTCCACAGAAGAAGTGGAAGCTGTTCGCAACGAACGAAGAGCCGGTTTGATCGTGAAGTGCTTTGGCGACGGTTTTGGTGACCAAGCGTTGGCATTGCCGATATGCTCACGATATCTTGCTCGAATGGTCTTTGATCTGGTAGAGGGGAGCTCTGGGCTTGTAGCACACATCCCTACTGACTCCAAATCCGCTCCACTTCCTTCGCATCCGACCCGCATAGCTTTTCGGGCACTCGATGGGGTGCGTAGCGGGGTTGTGCCTTTTGTCATGTCGCTTTTGGTCGAGTCGTGGCTCAATTCATTGCGCTGTTCACTGCTCGAGCTCTCCTGGTGGTCGACATGATGGCCTCGGAAATGTACCTTGGACTTCAAACCACGGCTGGTGGTGTCTTCCGCATAAGGAATATGCTCTGCGCAAGGAGAGTCAGGCTTATTCTGATCGCTGAAAGTATCTCGTCCTCGCGAATGTTCTTGTAGAAAGGGCGAAGCGGGTCGTTTGTACGCCTGATGTATGCCTCCCTTCCAGGATAATTCAGGATGAGATATCGCTCGAAAATGCGCGAGGGGTCTAACTCTTCCGTTGTGAGCTTGAGCGCGATTGTTTGCGTTCGATACTCCTTGTATCTCTGGGCGATGACCTCGAACTGGAGTAGGCACAACAGAGAGTGGCTTTCTGCGCATGTCTCGGCCACGCCCACCTTCAGTCAGATGGCGTCTTGGAAATGAACCAGGACAATCCATGCGCGGAGGTCTTTTTGGGCTGGAGCTTGGTTCCACGACTCTTGGATTTCCCTCGGTCGGCGTGTGCCTTTCGCTACTGACGCGGAAGAACTGCTGAAGTTGTACAGGGGATAGTCCTGGCCTATACTCCGTTTCGGGCACTCTTTTGGACTTCGTTTCATAGTATCGAAATGCGTCGATCTGGTCTTGCTCCATTCCCGGGAAGTCGTAGGGTTGGGGTTCTTTGGCTGTTGGCATTTTCACGAGGAATCGATCTCCAGGTCTCTCTTCATGCTCCTCTTCTCCTCCCGACCATGCCTGAGGAAGATCGTCCCCCACAAATCCACGGACATCGATTGGCTGGGTTCGCCCCGATCTTTCCAGCTTTGACACAAATCCTACGAGTGTTTCGGGATGGCCAATGACTAGACTGGAGGTATTTGTTCCTCTTGGTGCCGGCAAGGTGCCATGGCTCACACTTCTGCTCTCAAGCTTTGTCGTGGCCCCTGCACTTGCCGGCGCTTCGATGAACCATCCTTTGCCGTCCCATTTCCATTTATGTGGCGCTGTGGGCTTGCAGTTCAAGAGACCCTTAGGTCGGGATATCCCAAGCTTCGCAAGACGGGAGCTAGGCGATGGTGGAGACGGAGAAAACAAACTTCCGAGGGGTTGAGTGCTGTTGGAAGTCAAGTGAAGATTTGAGTAGATGGAAAGTGCTTCTCCAGTGTTGCGAGGGGACGGTAGTCGACTACCGGAAGATTTGTTTGGCTGAACAGGTGTTCGTCCGATGGACAGCATTGCCAAATTCGAAAGAATTGTGTCTATGGCTGATTCAAGCCGACTTCCAGGATATCTTGACAGTTTGAAATAAATGATAAGCAAATTCAAAAACACAAATGCATGGAGACATCACCCTCTCTAATAGTGCTATGGAATCGAGTTGCGGAGTGGTTGGTATGCGTCTGGAATGTGTCCTCCGGACAACCACTCCCACTGGCAATGTGCCCAGATCCTGCTCGCTTCGACAAATTCGAATAATTGGCATCGCTCAATATCGCGAAATAATCCGCGGATATATTGGTGGCGGGTAATGATCAATTCCTAGAATTCAGCCTCGACCTCCGCCGCTTCTAACCACTGTCCGGCCAGGCCTTTCTTCCACACTCTGATAACTCCATCATCGCCAGCAGTGATGAGCGCATCTCCGAAAAAGCTCCATAGGCATCTCCATGCTGCTCCCTTGTGTGCTAGCTCGCCTGCTAAAATTGCCCGTTGCTTGATGCGGCCGATGGCCCGATCTTCTTCCAGACTTATGTCTCGCGGGCTATCTCCGATCCGCCTATCAATAGGTGCTCGCGTGACCATGTGCGGTTCCTTCAATCCAGATGTTATTCCTGATCTTCGAGTTCGAGGTGATACCCCAGAGTCATTCTCTGTGCGCGGCATGCCCAGTCCCATCTTTTCGCCCGGTTGGTGGAATTCACCACCCATTTCTCTTGCACCCATGCGCTCGCCATTCCGATCCATATCCGAATGTACCTCCCAGATGCGTACGAAGCCGTCTTTGCTTGCGCCAGCAATAAGATCATGACCTCTACATGCCATGCCCGCCCATGCCACTTCTCTGATGATATCCCTCGCACCGGACAACTCAGCGGAAATATAGAATTTTCTCTCTCGGTCTGTTCTGTAGACCAAGATCTTATCCATGGCTGCTACGGCCATGCCGATACTTTTTCTATCCAGCCCGACTTGAACCGCCGCCCAGCAAGGCGACCCCTCCTTGTGGAAGCTGACATCAAATCCCGAGTCGGTAGATCCGCCGGAATTGGGTTGCCACGCGGCGTATATCTCTCGCCATTCATTGCAATCCTCCGTGGTGGCTTCCAGGACCTGGAGGTATCCATCTCGAGTGATGAGAGCAACGCATGTCTCGGAAAGATCCCATCGAAAATCTAATCCGACTAAAGGCGACGCCGCCGGGGATCGTAGAGAATAGATACGAGGGAATCGATGACCCGATTGAGGTAATGCAAGTACATCTTCACAGAACAGGTGAAACGTTCCGTCGGTTGAGATGGTCCCCAGTATAGCAGTCAGATGAGGGTTTGACCAACGAACCTTCACACAATTAGCATATGTGCAGTATCAATACTGGTTTTAATTCACAAGGGGAATTTGAAAGCGTTGCAGAGATTGCAATTGATCTACCATCCGTACCTTGAGAACTTCGCCATCATGTGCTCTCCAGCTATCAAGCAAGCCCATGTTGCCATCATCCTTCTTTTCCCATACTTTGACCGTGTGGTCAGAACTTGCAGTGGCGACACGTGTGCCATAATAGTTCCAATCTATCGACAGGACCAAATCTTTATGCTCATACTTCCAGTCCTGGAACTCCAAAGGGTTGAACTCTGCGCTGCTGCGAGGCATCGTGATATAGTGAAATGGATTGAGGAACCTTGATGATGGGCTCAGAACTCATCCGACCAAGTATAAATCGTTCCAGAGGTCTCCTATAGCTTTCTACTTTCATTCTTGACCTGGGATTGGGTATAGGTGTTCGTAGTGACGGGCATCCTCCGCTCAGAAATGTGCCACTTTGAGGCTCTTCAGGTCATGAGGTTGCCGATATAGGGTTCGTCAGTGTTGATTGGAACTAGACCGGTCGATTTCGATTTATATATTCGAGTTTCTTGTTCGGTTTTGGTTTTTGAGGACGAAGAATGTGAGCAATGCCTCTGGAGTTTGGAGTTTGGGCTGTCGATTGTGGCTGGGGTTCCGATCGGCAAGCCGAGAGATGCGGAAGACGACATGGAAGTGCCAACCGGCTCGGGCCGATCCCAGTGACGACAACTGTCAACAATTCACATGAAGAAACTAACTTAGTTTTCCTACACTTTAATAGCAGCCCCACCGACGAAATGGTTCCTTCTCTCTTTTCTCTCTACCTTCGAGACCGGTAGCTGTGGAGGTCACCCAAAGGAACGGGCAACAATGGGTCATCTAACGCGTAACGAAGCTCTCTTCCATCTGGTTCTGTCCGGATCCTGCTTTGGGATACTTGCGAATACCTTCCAAGGCGATGGAGAGCCTCTTATTGCATCCCTGGCTTTCAGCGGGATTGCTTTCAGTCTCAGCTTCTGTTTGATACGATGGCTCGAAGAGACCTTCATAAAAGCCGGGCTGAAGGGCCGGGATATGTCGAAGTCCAAAACCATCATCATGTATGTGAGCGTACGAGGAAGTTCCCAAATTTCGCTTGTTCCAGCTTTAACAAGCGTACGACACCGGAGACCTAACGTATCAATTAGTCCGGAGACCATGGGAGCAATCTCAGCGGTGGTATTCCTTCTCACGACCATCACGTTCATTCCGTTCCCATTCTACAAGGACATTGTCGCCGCAACCTCCGGTGGTGGAAACCGCGATATACCCATGATCGATACACCAAGCGCCGTTGAATCCGGTCGACTACTACACAAATTCCCTCATAACAAGTTGGCGTCCTACCTCTCCGCGCTTCTGTCCCTACAGTCGATTGTAATCCTCGGAATTGGCGATGACCTGTTCGATATTCGTTGGCGACACAAGCTCTTCATACCGGTTTTTGCCTCCATACCGTTGCTCGTTGTATATTTTGTGGACTTCGGCGTGACCTCAATCGTTGTGCCAACACCTCTCCGGCCATTGTTTGGAGGGGCTGAGATTCTCAATCTCGGTCCGGTATACTACGTATACATGGCATTGTTTTCGATATTCTGCCCCAACAGCATTAACATATTGGCCGGTATTAATGGCATCGAGGTCGCGCAGTCTGCGGTCATTGCATGTCTAATAATGGCTAATGACATGCTGTACCTGCCTCCCTTTACATCATACAATCATCCTGCTAGGGACACTCATCTCTTCAGTTTGTACCTTCTTCTACCCTTCACAGGCGTCAGTCTTGCGCTCCTTTTGCATAACTGGTATCCAGCGCGTGTTTTTGTGGGAGACACATATTGCTACTTTGCAGGCATGGTGTTTGCGGTCGTGGGCATTCTGGGGCATTTTTCAAAGACTCTTTGGCTGTTGTTTATTCCACAGGCGTTCAATTTTCTCTATTCCTCGCCTCAACTTTTCAAATTGGTGCCATGCCCTCGGCATCGGTTGCCTCATTTCAATCGGCAAACTGGTCTACTGGAGCCAAGTCGGGCAGACTTGGTGAAGCCTCTCCATCGTCTTTTGGAATGGGGATTAAAGCTCTTGGCGCAGTTCAAGCTCATTTGGATCAGGTGCGATGAGTCAGGTCGTGTGGTGGAATTTAGTAACCTGACCATATTAAACCTTTGGCTTGTTTGGCGTGGCCCGCTCCGGGAGGATACTCTCGCCTTGGAGCTGGTGTCGCTGCAAGTGGCGTGTGGTTTTGTTGGCCTGATCGCGAGGCATAAATTAGCTTTGCTCATATTTGATACAGATAATCTATAGCGGTTCAAATTCCATACGATTGTCTACTGAATTTATTGCTCCACTTTGCAATGACAAATCCCAGAGCAATATCCTAGACAGATCTGGTTCCAACCGCCCCCGGTATACCTTAGTGTGTTAGTACAGGAGAAGTCCTAGGGTTTTGGAAGTATCTAATTACTATGAACTGTATGATTCTATATACAGTCCGACTGGGTTCTGATGGTTGTAGTCAAACGATACACATGCTGCGAAGAATGTCACAGACTGCGTGGAAGGCTCCAAGGTTGTCAACGGAAGAAAAGTATGCGTCCTCAAGCATACCAAGCAGTTAAAGAATTTCTTCGGTAAAGTCGAGTTTGGCCACACTCAAGCCTTCACAGGTACTGAAAGCATAGAGTGACCGCCGTGGGGTGAAATCGCCTTGTTGAGACGCCGCCATCTGAGCTCTATCAGTATCACTTCTCACCTCCCCCACATGCGAATTCCACCAGTGCCGTCAGTCGTTTTCGGCCAAAGTCAGCATAATTACAGCTTGAACCCATGGCAGGGTAAGAATCAAACTGCGGCTTTCCCACTCCCAGTCTGGTTTAATTGGTGAGATCTATGTTTTTGACCCTGGAGCCCAGGAGCTCAGATGAGATATATTATATCGACAGGACTTCAATCGAGGTCCCGCAATAGCTGTTGGCATTCGCTCAATCAATTCACATGTCCAGACTTCGTCAGGCCAGAGCTATAACTTATAGCAATAGCTAGATGTCACTATAGCACGTTGTCATCTGGCTGCTGCCTTTTCTCCTCACTGCTTGCTCAACTTTCCTCCGCATTCCACTTTTCTCTACACTTCCTCTCTTACTCTAATCATCCAACTTTAACACTCTCTTCTAGTCTCATCATATCGTCTTAAACCTCTATACCGTCCACTCAATTCAGTGAAACCTATTGCAGCCAATCCTACCAAGATGCCTCAAATTTGGACCCCCGATCATGTCACCAAGCTTCTTCTGTGCATTATCGCACAATCAAATAGTACGGCGACGAACTGGCAGGCCGTTGCGGATGCTATGTATGTGAAATACATGCAGCTACCCTATCTCACTGATCACAGAACTGACTTATACAGGGGCGGTTACAGTCCCAGTGCTGTTAGGTATGTGGTGAACTCATTCGTGCCACCTCAAATGCAACTATGCTCTTTGCAATCACTGCCTTGTTCAAGCAGTTAAATTGAATACCTACCAACTGCCAACAGCCAGAAGTTCATGAAAGTTAAGCGAGCCAATACGAAGCTCATGAACCAGGCTACGGGAACGGCCTCCCCTGTGACCTCGTCGGCGAACGGGAGTGCGCACAAGCGCTCTCGTCCCGGACTCGCCAATGGGAGCGGAAAATCTGCGAACTTCGAGGATGATGAAGAGCGGATCGACCACGCCAGCTCTTCTTCGGAGAACGATCAGACCCCGATCAAACGACCGAAGATCAAGCACTTTAAGAGTGAAGTCATCGACATTGACGTGAGTGACGAGGAAGAGGTTGCGCGATCCATGAAGACAGAAGCATTCGAGGAACCAAACCATTCGTATGGCTCTATCCGACAGTTCCTTCGGACCCATTGCTAACGTGTGTCTAGCGATATTTAAGCGCCTCTCGGTTCAAGGTCTTTGGACTCGAATTGGAGGACTTGGCAGTCGGAAGCGAGTGACAGTGATGTTGCAGCAGGGCCGATGGCGAATGGTATGGAATCTCCGAAAGGAGCACACTGAAATGGCATTGTTAGCGAGAGCGGTTCCCAGTGGAGGTCTTGCACTCTAGCATGAATAGTGTTATCCACCAACACGTTGCCGGAATCAAACCGTTGAGTCTTTCGTCCACTTCTATGCTACACGTGAGGTCAACGCTACCGCTTCCTGTAATCCCCAGTCTTATCTCTCCTCTCTTTCCAATCACCACCTCTACCTCCCCCTTTCTTCGCCTTTTTGAGCTCTTCAGTCTTCTCCCTCGGATCGATCACGACTAGCTCTTCTTCATTCTTCCTCTTCCACTCCAAACTTTTACCCAGCCGATCTCTCTCAAACGTCAACCGATGGCTCATCCAGCCTAGATCTGATTCGGCCTCCTTCGCCTCCTGAGCAGCAAGTTGAGTCTCCCAACTGGCGCAACTTTGACATCCAGCTACAAAGTGCAAGTCGCAGACGTCTTCTTCGTCTTCTGCACTACCTGTAGGCATGCCATTGGTGTGGATTTCTTCACTAACATCGGTCATGCCTTTGAGTTTGTCGCCTAATTCGGCCGGTTCGTTGACTTCTTCCAATTCCGGATCGGCAGCGTCGAGCGTCGCCTTGAATCTGTTCAGTAGTGCCAGCGTGCGCTCCTCATCCTTTCCGTTGGCTCCAGCACGTCGCTTACGCCCGCGGATAGCGGTCTTAGGGACCATCGCTTTGAATGGATCTTCCTCCGGTGCTTCGACTGCCTCCTCCCTGTTTGGACTAGATCGCTTCATGCTTGCTTTGAGAGCCTCGATCTGGGCACGCGTTGTTTCAACATCCGATTTCCGTCTTCCTCGTTCGCGATGTGACGGTTCGGGAGAAGGAGACAGAGATGGGGACGGGGATCTGGATGGCGACGGGCTCTTCTTGGAGCGAGCGGGCAGTTTCGTGTCTCTTGGCCGGGGCGGAGGCGAAGGTGTCGTCCTTTGATGGCCCTTGGTAGGAGGACTTGCACTCCTCTCCAGTTTCCGCATGTTCTGCTGCTCGGGGACTGGGACCTTGATACCCGCCGCCGATCCGCTGATGAGCTTAGCATTGTATTTCGGCTTCTTTGACACAGGTGCGACCTCGTCAAAATCCTCTTCATCCCCGAAACTTAGCAATGCCTTCTTCGCCTTCTTCCGCTTGCCTTTCCTTTTCCCTTCATCTTGATCGATAACTCGCGGCGCTTCTCTTACTCGTTTCACCATGTCGGGGAAAGGATTGATGAGGATTTTCGTTCCAGTGATCTTGGCTGGGTACAGCGGCCTTTCGGATCCCTCTACTAACTCCATATCTGCCATATTCGTGACCGTATAAATGGTATTCTGAATCACTCGTCCAAATAGCGTATTCTTCCCCGTCAGCTCCATGGTCTCCCCCAACGTGATGAAGAATTGGCTCGCATTCTCATCTTTCCCACCGCTATTTGCCATCCCTACCAGACCTCTCCGATTGAACTTCAGCCGGGTATGGAATTCATCCGCAAAAGGCAGCCCATCTTCAAAGGAACTCTCACCACCCGTCCCTGTTCCTGTGGGATCGCCGCCTTGGATGACAAAGCCTGGGACCAGGCGGTGGAAGATGGTCCCATCGTAGTAGCCGTCCAGGCAGTGCTGGAGGAAGTTTCTAGTCGCGAGAGGCGCCTGCTTGCCGAAGAGCTCGATGTCGATGTCGCCGGTGGTTGTATGGAGGGTCACCTGTGCCGTTGGCGGCGGTTCGAGGTTATAGGAAGTACTCATTGTCAAGGCATGTGGGGTTTGAATATGTATGAAGCAGTACTTTCGGGAGACGGTCGAACAACTCCAGCATGATATTTGGGGTGCTGCATGCTTTGACCCAAGAAATGGCCATGGGATGAAGTCGACGCAAGGTGCGCTATTGGTTGCTATGGTGCGCCGAGTGAACCCCAGCATTGAAGCGACTGGACAGTTGGCTTTTACCTTTTGGTCACAACGTCATTTTGGTTCGCAGCACAGCTGTACACCAGATGAACTTCTTATAAAGTCCAAGAATTCCGTTACAGTTCTCCTTTGTAACCCGAATTCTCTTCTATATGTATACCGATCTATGGTCCTTTATCTTTCTCAAATCCAAGTACCCGAATCCTCTGATCCGTCGATTGTCGCCTGGGATAGCGCAATGCTGTGAATATCCCGAATCGCACCTCTCCCTATTTGACTTCAACAGAACCTATTCCCAACATGATCCCTGGAATTGATGCTCGTAAGCTGCAATACTTGATATTATTTGAGCATCAAGCCTGACAGAATGTAGCCTTTGCCTATCTCGGGGGGAAACTCGGTGCTTCGACAGACGAGCGTATGCTTCTCAATATCCTCGAACTAGCATCATGAGTTGACATATATGAGGCAGTGAAGCTCATCTTCTCTTTTTTGATTTCCTATCCTCTCGCAGGGGTATTGAAACGGATCCCGGACACCAAGCCGTGGCAGAAGAATGTATTCAGCATCAGGTACTTTTTGATCTCCGTCCCAGCAGCCTGTGCTAACTGACCAGTGTCTCCTTGTTTTACCTTGTTGGTCTGTTTGACTTGTGGGCTGGACTCCGAACGCTCTTTTGTAGTGCCGCAGCGACGTATCTCATTGCGAAATATGTCCAAGGCTCGCTCATGCCATGGCTTGCGTTCGCATTCCTGATGGGACACCTGTCCATCAGTCACCTCGAACGACAGTTCGTCAACAATCCGGCAGCAGTTGACGTCACTGGTGCACAAATGGTTCTCCTCATGAAGCTTTCCTCCTTCGCCTGGAATGTGCACGATGGCAAATTCCCAGATTCGGAGCTATCGGAGCATCAACGAGACCGGGCAATCAAGCAAATGCCGGGCCTCCTGGATTATGCTGGTTACTTTCTCTTTTTCCCATCCCTAATGGGTGGACCATCTTTTGACTACGTTGATTATACACGGTACATCAACACCAGTATGTTCGAGCTTCCTCCGGGTACCGATCCATCCAAGGCGCCCCGAACTCGCAAGAAGCGAAGAGTCCCGCAAAGCCACTGGCCAGCAATGCGGAAAGCTGCCGAGGGAATCTTCTGGATCGTGATTTTCTTGCAGCTGGTTGGAAGGTATAACAATGTCACCGTTGTGTCTGACAGTTTCATGGAAAAAAACTTCTTCCACCGAGTCTTTATCCTCCATATGCTCGGTTTCACCACGCGGGCGAAGTACTATGGTGTATGGTCTCTTACCGAGGGGGCTTGCATTCTTTCCGGAATCGGATATGGAGGCGTTGACCCCAAAACAGGACAAGCAAATTGGAACCGCCTCCAAAACATCAGACCGATAGGAGTCGAAACTGCGCAGAATGTCCGAGCCTATCTTGGAAATTGGAACTTGAACACCAACAACTGGCTTCGAAATTACGTGTATCTTCGCGTTACTCCGAAGGGAAAGAAACCTGGTTTCCGGGCGTCCCTAGCGACCTTCAGTGCGAGTGCAATGTGGCATGGTTTCTTTCCAGGCTACTACTTAGCCTTCGTCTTAGCATCGTTTCTGCAAACAATGGCTAAACGTGAGCAACGCCCTCTTTCTTTTGCGCGTCGATGAAGGCTAACATATATTCAGATGGCCGGCGCCTTGTGCGACCATTCTTCTTGGATTATCAGAACGTGGATGCAAACAACGAGCCCAGTCCGACCAAATATAAGTGGGTATATGACGCTTTCACGTGGTTCATCACCCAGACCGCATTCGCGTTCGTCGTCGCACCGTTCATTATCCTTACCCTTGACGGCTCTCTACGCGCTTGGTCGGGTGTGTATTGGTATTGTATTGTGGGAGTAGCGTTTTGCCAACTCTTCCTCCTCACCCCATTCGCAAAGCAGCTCGCCGCCGCCGCCAAACGACGTCAAGGTCTTGCTCCAGGGAAACGGCCGCCAGTGTCGCGGACCACAAGCCATGAGGCAGGTGGCAGAACGCTGGGCCTCCCCGAAGATCCCGAAGGAGATATTGATGAGATTGTTGAAGAGGTCAAGGCGGAGCTCAACAAAATCCGGGCCCAAAGAGGAGGCCAGGCGCTGACCTTGACGGATATTCGTGGCATTCTGGAGGAGAAGGTCAAGGAGTTAGGGCATGCCCTGGGAGACGAGACCACGAAAACAGGCCGAGGCACTGGACAAATTGTGGACGGCTTGAAGGCTGACGTGAAAGAGGAGGCGGTCAAGAAGGTCGAGGATAAGAAGAGCAGATAGTTTGGGGAGCATTGTTCCAATATTATGCACGCACATTCCTCCAGGTACACATGCTTTGAACGGTTCCTTGAGCGAGTTTCTGACTTTTCGTCAATATGTCGGTATGACTGATGAAGCCGTAGTGTTGTAAATTATTGAATAGAATGATCCCTTGCATTGCAACAGCATTCGGATCTTTTTCCATCAGAATACCCGGTATCTCCCATCCGGCAGGTCCCTCGGTTTGTACTGGTCCCCATGTGTTCTCCGTGTTCGGATGACCTCAATCCCAAACTCCTTCGCTTACCAGACAACCCGTCCAGCGACGCCGCATAGATAACAGCTACTATTGCAGCCAACCCGAAAATAAAATGCAATACCTAAGACATCAACCCGAACCACCCCAGGCGCCTCGAATTCTCCGGGCTAACTGTATGTCTTTCTGCATGATCGTAACCCGCTTCGCATGTACTGCACACAGATTGGTGTCCTCGAATAGATGGACTAGGAATGCCTCGGCGGCTTCCTGGAGTGCCTGGATTGCTTGTGATTGCCAGCGAAGGACATCGCCCGGTTGGATCATTTGCAGCGCGACTTCGCGGACCTAGAGACCCATCAGCCATGTATCAACACTGCGGGCAGTGGTGCCGTGAGGAGAGCGAAGCGAACATACCAGACGAGCGAAGGGGAGTTTCGCAAGGAGTAGGTCGGTACTTCGTTGATATCGCCGAATTTCCCGGAGCGCAAGCGTCCCCGGCTTCCAACGATGTTGTTTCTTCGGGACAGGGTCGCCAGCTGTGTATTGGATTCGCGATTAGCTCAAGTTCTACATAGCGCCTCCGGGCCAGCTTCCAAGCTCGTGATGGGCCAAATTGAGACTGGATGTAAACATACGTTCAACCCCGCCTTTCTTCCGCCGCTGGGGCGTATTTGATCCACCAGCGCTTCGATTCGTTTTTCTTGCGGTCGTTCTACCAATTTTCGATGGTCGCTTGCCGGAGCCACCTACGGCGTAGGCTTGACCGGGCCGATGGGCCTTCGGGGGCATGGTGCGAGGTTCGATAGGGGCCCGAAGTCGTGAAGATGGTCCAGGGATGGCGGGAACGTAACGAGCAGCGAGGCTCAGGGACTCCACATCATATGTCTCTGGATGTGTACACTAGGATGAATTGAGCGCCGGGACAAGCCGAATTGTGCGGCGACGATTGATAGCTCCGGGTAATGTGCGCTGCTGCGCAAAAGCAGGGAGTTACGAGGGTCGAGATGCTCTGGTTGCGAGGCGGTTGTCGATTCCCTATGTCCCAAGCAGATGGATCGATTGTTGATAGCAAGACGTTGGCGAACAGCCTCACTGACTTGAAGGGTTGGATTGAAGGGTTGGATTGAAGGGTTGGATTAATGGGTTTGCACCGGGATATCGAGATATTTTCCTATTTGTATGTGGACTCCCCAATATCGGGCTGAAGGTTGTCAACACTTTGAAGCTCCAAAGCGCGACGCGTGGAGAGCCAATCACAGTTGAGCATGCATTCATGACATTTATTTTAATTGGCCTGAGGAATCAACATTATTGCCTGACGCCCACGACGGCCTCCCACAAGCCGTGAAGGGCAGCACCAAACATATAACGCCTTGCACACCTTTAGATAGATCCCTCCCTCATAGCAACAATTCTACGTTTGCCTCATGATTGGAGATTCCCTACAGTGAGACCCTTACACTTCTCTTGTAATCGGTTTGACGTCTCGAAGAGATCGTTTATGGATATTGGTCTATGGGGCCTCTCTCTTAACGGTTTCGACTTCTTGAGGTGATCGAAGAACGAATTCGATGTTTTCTGGCTGACGGTTTATCACCGCCAATTATGTATTTACAATATTTCGTTTCCTCAGACTTTTAAAGGACCTTCACTTATTCATAATGTCTTTAGGCGTGTTATTAGTAATTACCACTTCATGCACTAAGTTTTTACCTCGTTAAGGCCTACGGTGATCACCTGTTCTGAGCTTCGTTAGTAGGTACTCCCTGTTCCTCTGTTGACGGCAGAAGGGCGTAGACTGTAGACTAGAGGACGGCCCGCAATCGCAGTTTCAGCGAGTAGCTTACGGCCGCACACGGAGACGTCCCTCTCTGGATGGAGAAGGCCATCACCAGGACGATCCAGATCGTTTGTTAGGAATCCCATTTGAAGGACTCGTCCAATTTGCTAACGCTCCTAGAATTCACCGACACCCAGTTCGTTATCGAGTTGCCCGAAGGAGGGCGTCCCCGAAATGTCACCATGCCACGTTAGGAGCGTGTGGGAAGCGGTCGGATGATACTCTGGTGGCTTGCATTCGGGGCACTTCTAGGGCACGAAAGATCTTGGAACGGTTTCGATGATAACTTCACGCGGTGACTCGTGCGGTGGCCAAGACGGTCATCGGGTAGTACATTTGTCTTGGCCTGCAAGTCCTTGTACGGTGTTGTATAAACAAGCTTTCTAGGAAGTAACGCCACGACAAACTTGCTCAGGTGAGTTAATTTGAGAATATTCCCATTGGTCAATGGCATGTGCGAGTTTGGGGGATAAGGTAGTTAAAGTCGTGCCCGTCGCGTTCTGGATGTGGCCTTTTCAATCGTTTTTCATCGCTTGCCCAGCATTTGCGTGGCTATTGAACTGATACAGCAGCAGAGGGCCCCTCTGGTGCTTTTGATGAACAGTCCTGATCGCGAACCCATGACGACAGATTGCAATCCAAGTTTATATTCCCAATTGAAGGATGCGGAAGCTATTATATCTCAGTCTCGCCGCTCACACTGTGGCCTTCATCGGTCATGGAATCATCATGTACGATCCGGTTTGCGCAAGTGCATGTGGACGTACCATTCAGAAATTCCCTCTTGTCTGTTCCACTCACGGAAAAGGTGACCATCATGGGGGCGGCCCGATGTCAACTACCCCTGAGTGTCGAGCGAATGACACTTCATACCTAACGACACTAGCTTACTGCATGAAGTCGAAGTGTGCTCCTTCCAACATCGAGGCATGGCGCTTGGAGCAGTGGTGGTGGGAGAAAAGCACAACTGACAAATCAGTCCATCCAGTTATGGATTATGAGGAGACGTTGGCGACAGTTCGCAAAGAGCCCACTCGTGTGCCGAAAAAGGAAGATACTCTGGACTTCACTGGTCTCATAACGGACGCATCGTGGAAGATCGAGACAATGGCGGAATTGTACTTTGAAGAGCAAGAGACATTACATGCCAGATATGGGTAGGCGTCGATACGACCGCAAAGGAAATGTTCAATGACTGATGAGATATAGGCTTGTCATACTTATTGTTGGCTTCGGTATTCCGATCGTTGCGACCCTTGCTGGCTTTGTCCCCTTCATAGGAACCGCAATGGAGCGATCTAAGCCATACATTCTCTACCCATTCTCCATTCCGGGCTACCACGTTCGCTCACTTCCATGGCTAATTGGTAATCCACCTCTTGTCGGACAGTCAATATACATCGCGATCTTCTTTATCCTGAATATTGTCCTCACAGCGGGAGGCTATCGATCCACTCAACCAAATAGCTGGTTCCCAAATCGATGGCAGGAGATAATGGCATACGTCTCATGCCGAACCGGTGTTTTGGCCTTTGCGATATTACCATTGCTGCTGCTCTTCTCCTCGCGTAATAACATCTTACTGTGGTGCACCAACTGGTCCCATTCAACCTTCTTGCTGCTGCACCGCTGGGTTGGGCGCGCTTTTGCGCTGCAAGTCATCCTTCACTCAATTGTGGAGCTGCAACTTTACATCGGCATGGGATCGTACAAAGAAGAGCTGGTCAAGGCATACTGGGCTTGGGGCATCGTCGCGACCATGACGACCGTGTTGCTCGTCACTGTTTCAGTTCTCTGGTTCCGACGAATCTCCTATGAGATTTTTCTAATCCTCCATATTGTCCTTGCAATCTTCTGCATCGTTGGCTCCTGGTATCACGTAGAGCTCCTTTTCTATCGCAAATGGGGTTATGAATTGTGGTTGTATGCGGCCATCGCCGTATGGGCTTTCGATCGCATCCTCCGTGTTGGGCGGATTGCATATACTGGATTGAAGCAAGCTCATACCACAGAAGTCTGCCCGGGCATCATCCGTGTTGACATACCCGGTGTCCGCTGGCACGTTAAACCAGGGTTACATGCCTATCTCCTTTTCCCTACCCTTTCATTTCGTGTGTGGGAGAGTCACCCGTTCTCCGTCTCGCCACTTCAGCTTCGTCTGCCGTATCAAGAAAGCGATGCATCAAGTGGAGGCCCCAACCAAAAATTTGGAGATGCAGAGAAATCTGCGAATGCTACGGTGACCGTCGGCCAACACTCGAGAAAAGAGAGCATTGTCGGACTCCGCTTCTACATTCGAGGGGCTACCGGCCTCACGAGTATGCTGCGTCCCGGTTTAGTTCTCCCTTGTCTTGTGGAAGGGCCATACGGGAATCGATCATCCGTGACTATCTTGAGCAGCGACAGAGTCGTTGTCATTGGAGGAGGCATTGGCATCACCGGCTTGCTGGCATATCTTTCTTCGGGTCATGTGAACACCAAGCTGTATTGGGGTGTTAAAGAAAAGTATGCTGGTTTGGTGGCTGATGTGGAGGAGCAGTTAGGGGCTGGAGTGGAGAAGGAAGTGCGCTTAGGCAAAAGATTCGTGGCAGAGGAGGTACTGAATAGTGAAATTGAGGCTGGTTGGAAGAGGATCGGCGTGGTAGTCTGCGGACCGCCAGGGCTCTGTGACGATGTTCGGGCTGCTGTTGTTAGAGCTGGTCGGGCCGGAAAGACTGAGATTGAGTTAGAGGTCGATGCCTTTTCTTGGTAGGGCACGTAGCCGACTCATCTCACTGATCAATGAGTTTCCTCAGGTATAATCCGTATCGTCACTGCAAGTATGGGCACCCCTAGGCTGCAGGTGGACTTCATTAAATGCAGGGAATATGGACTACTGAATGCAGCATATCTTTGTTAACCTGCTCGAATGCATCATAGAATTATCCAATCGCATTGTTCTCATAAAGCAGCATGTCGATCGACGCTGGACGTGTTGGCAAGCAGTCCGGAGAGGCTTCATTCTCCCCTCCTGCGCATGAAACGAACAATCCCAAACCACCTAGACTAGGTTCTATCGTAAATTGCAAACAGTTCTCCCCATCGTTCAAGGGAGGGTCTAAAGAATGGGTGCTTGGAGGAGGTTGGGTTCACCGTAATCCGAGAAGGCGAGAACTAAACAACACCAGGTCGTAAATCCAGAGCCTGTAGCAGATATGAGCAGTACTTCCTACAGGCAAACCTGGTCCGACACCAATAAAGATAGGTGCTTTTGATAAAGATGCCAGCAATTTGTCATGATATAGATTGAAGTGGAAAGCAAACTCGATATTATTTGGAGAAGGAAACCCAGCGAAGTACGCAACTATACGACCCGGATGGCCATGATGTCAAAGAAGTTCAAAGAAATGTATAACATCCCATCATCTCATGCATCTAGACAAGACTGCAAGTGTCCCTCCAGTGCCATGAACTTCAGTTGCATTCTGAATCCAATTGCCGTATGAAAATCCCAGATTTCAATGCCCAGCTTATAAGGCTTGAACAACCCAGTTCTACCATGTTATTCCATTTTCTCAATCAACAAGCTGTATTCCGCCAGTTGTATCCATCACCAAGCACTATACCAGTCCCATTTGTCGCCAACATGCCAACAGATAAGGAAATGGCACAGTAAGTTCCTCTTACCCATGACGTATGACCGCTCCTAACACACAATAGGTTCTGCTATTCAATGCTTCGACAGCTTGACCTCAAAATCGTACGTATGATAATCGCATATTCTGTGTTTCTAGTGGGTGTTGACCATGTGCTTTGCTAACTGATATAGATCGATTGGAACGAAGTCGCTCGACGTCACCATATCACAAACGGCCATGCCGCTCGCATGCGTTTCTCTCGCTTCCGACAGCAAATGGAAGGTACTCTCCCACGACGTCTGCCGACCGGAAACCCTCGCGGGCGCCCCCCTCGAAGGCCGTGGGGCGAGGAGGATGCGTATCTTTCGAAGACAGGGGGAAGGCGAGTAGATGCCAAGGGAATGCCAGAGTCTGATGACGAAGATGTACCAATCTGGCTTGTGTCTGAGGAACGGAAGCGGAGACTGAGAGTAGAAAATGGGACCAACGGCCAATGGACAGCCTTCAAATCTGAACCATTGATCAAGAGCGACCCGATGCAGGTGGTGCCCTCGATTCCAGCGGAGCACAATACATTTGCCGCAGAAGGTTCCCAGTCTGCCACACTTTCACCGCCGGGCATCGTTCCCCAGAGCCCATTCATGAATATTCTGCCGGCGGTACCGAGAACAGAGACAATGGGCGGGTTGGAACCTGAAGTGCCGGTGGTGGGCATGAGGAATGAGACGGCACCAACTGTATCGACTCCCGTGGAAAGCGAACCAATTCAAGCGGTCGCAGATCATACCGCCTCCACGCAACTTCCAGATCTGATCTCAGCATTTGGTGGGAATCAGGAGCAGTCGACCGCTGATCCATCCTACCGAGACTCGATGCCGCCAATCAAACGGGAGTCTGAAGCCGATTATGAAACTGAACATCTGGCTGTGTATGCGAGAATCCCGACGATTAAGCAGGAGATTGCAGAGGAGCATGTTCAACAAGATTATCCGATTCAGATGGGTCAGATGAACCAGATGCAGATGCCGTTGGTGAGGTATGACTATCCACGACTTCCGACCACGATTCGAGACGATCCAATGTCAATTCAACACAACCATGTTCACCCAGATGTAATGATTCCGGGCAATGGAGGCAGGAGTATGGATATTGGGCTTGTTGAGGCTGGAATGGGACCAGAAGGAGCTAGTTGGATGTAATGCGATTGTCTGCGACATTGGTGTCTATTTCAAGGATTCGCTGGATCAAGTTTTCTAGAAGTATGGCTCGTTTCCTACCCAACTTTTCGCATGAGGCATTACCAATAGCGAAACAGTGTCCATCAGATAGTATATTCATCAAGTAAAGACATCGAGTTCGCAATAAAAACTTTCCTACAAGTGACTTAGTCAACATCGAACCTAAAAGAATCAGTAGAATATCAGCGTTGAAAAGTGACTGTTCGGGTGATCGCGTCAAACTCTCCCCCTTTCGCCATGAACTTCTCGACCTGATCAACAGCATTTGCCAATTGCCATTACTCTTCATCTGATTGTCTTCGAATTTGAGGATTCATCGAGACCGTGTTCAAGAAACCCTCCATCTCGCCGATTTGAGCTTGAAATCGAAAGACAGCGCAAGTGAGCCACCCCCTTGCCATTTCCATGGCACCTACCAAGTCTAGCACCCAGCAAAATGGGACTTCCGAGATCCGACCCAATTAGACCGCCAGAAACGCGCCACCAGATCACCACCACTGGTTCCACTATGGAAACTGGTCATCCAACTCGTGCCAACTTTAATCGAACCTCGAACAGCAACTGCGCGATCGAAGAGCGAAGAGCATGCTCTGTCGGCTTACTTTTGATTATCTTTGGACGGCTCTGCGCTTGTCTCTGGCAATCTGTCGAATTTAATGGGATCTCGGGGGCGAAGATGATATACCGAGACTCGAACTTGCGTATTCAACTCTTGAGCAGGAAGGACTGCCGGTTTTAAAAATGTGTGCCGAATCTGGCATTGCGCTCCAAGGACGGCGGTGGAGGTAGGGCCTTTGAAACGAACGCAGGGGATTGACCTCTAGCCAAGCGGCTGTCGAAGGGCATCGCAGACATCAGGGGGCAAGAATCCTTCGTGCCAACTTGGGCTCATTCGAACACCCCCTCCCTCCCGCACGAGATCTGGATGCGAAACCGGACTGTAGGGGTTATGAATCCTAAACTCACATGCCCCAGTCACTCTTATTCCCACTTGCCAGTGCCGCTGTTTCATCTTCTCTATATTCTGTTTTCCCCTTTGGCTATATCAAATCTTGCGATCGCACTGAACTTGTCTTGGATGTGCATGTGTCCCACACACATTCAAGTCTTGCTTGGTACCATTGCTGGATCCACTCCTCCCTAGGAACAGTATATAGGGACAAGGAGGCGTGAGCCAGAGTCGGGGTCAGAGAACCGGATACGCCATAGATATGCCAACAAGTGTCAACACACAGGTGATAGAAACGAGGGATATGCATTTCAGCGTTCCGCCTGTGCACCAAGGTCCCAACATGGCGTGTGAGAGAGCTAATCCAGTCTGAACAGGGACTTAGGGCGAAGGCCGAGGAGGTGGTGACATCGCTCTGAAGATGATAACATTGGATGACTTTGCAGAGGGAGTATGTCAGACTTGTTAGCGTTCTAGTGAGACATGATGTCCTAGGAACAGTTGCATTAGTAGTGAGTAAGTTAGACTCTGATCGTGCTGCGGTAAGTCTGGTAAGTGATCAAAACCTTTCTTGGTCATACCTGTTTTAGTTCATCCTTCTTGCTGTCTCTTCCATTGTCGCCGGTCGAGTCTTATCTGTCGTCTTCATGCCCCTCCTTAATTTTCTTTTACCAGCTCTAAGAGACGGGCGAGTTGCGACACCCTTGGCAGACAAGACGAGGTTGCCGATGTATCGGTCAGTTTCCCCGTCGAACCAAACAAGCAAGAAAGGGTGCCACTCTCTCCAAGGCGAAAAGCATAAGGGTTTCAGGATTAGTTGAGGAAATAGAATGTGGCTAGAGTTGCCGAGTATCCATTTTATTTGGGCACGTAAAGAAGGATGTTATGCTCTAGTCAGTACTGCGATGAGGAGTCAGACAATCGTGTCTCCCCCTGTACTAGTAGCGATGATGCTGGATACTTACTGATACGGCTCCCGTGCTCTGCGATGAAGGATCAAAGATATCGCTGCTGATGGATCAAGGGCTGTGAGGGCCGCCTCAACGATAATGGCGCCGAAGCGCGTCTCCTTAGGCTTGCGTACCCCATTCCCTTCCCTGGCCCTGTCGCTTGGATGCTTCAGGGGGGATGATACCAGGTAACTCGGGAAGATTCAGCAACGAATGGATGAGATTGGCTATCGCCTGTGTTGTGGAGGCAATTGGGGCGTGTGGGTATCCTGTTAATAGGAATGTTCGGGACTCTCATACCCCTCGTTATGGTTTAGACCGGACCCTGCGTATAACCCTCGCGGGCTCGGGCAACGATCTCGGCGCAACACAGCACGTGCGAGTATCAAACCGTTTCTACAAATAGGAAACCTAAACTGACTACAATTCGCGCTCTGTGTGGAAGAAGTTAGAGTCTAAACCACGCTAGCCACTGTCTGTTTCAACCAGGCTCCAAGGCGATTGCTACGAGTTCACCTCATAGGAACTGAGACGGGTTATATTGACAACACTCTACCCTTCTTGTTTCGTCCTCTACCACTCTTTGTTTCTTCTTTCTTTTGAAATATCACTCCTTCCCGCTTTATGAGAAGATATTCAGTCAATTGATAGTCAACTTCAATAGGTTTGTCAAGGTACATCACTGAACTTCGCTTTTCACTATCTTAGCCCATTTTCTCCCACGAGCCTTCAGCCCACTCATCAACTTCATCGTTCATCCTTGTGAAGCACACAATGAAGTGCACATGCAAAATCTGTCACGGCGAGATCATATGCAAGGTCAACAGGCAGACTTAGGACTCGCGCCTAGGACACTCTGTTCCAGTTTACCTCCATTTGATCGTGCCTTCTACCTATTCCGCCTCACGATCACTTTAATCTATCCTTCAATCCCGCCTTCAACTCCCCATTCAACCTACCCTTTATTCCCGACTTGCTCTTTCAGTTTACTCTTTTCACGGTCTCTGATCAACACTGGGCCCGCAGAGCTAATCAACCTTGCAAGCAGCTTCCATATAGCAGTCAAGAATTGGCCACCTCCGGCAGTTTCTCGTCAGCCCTAGCCAGTCGGTTTAGTCGACTCGGTCGGCTCAGTCGGCTCCAACTCCCATTCTGTACGTGGGATGTTGTTACTGATCAATAGCCTTTTCAATTTATGGCTAACAGTCTATCACAGTGGCAGCGTGGCTGCGGCACTTGCTTTCTGTCAACATGATAGAAGCTAAGCTTGAAGGCTCTAATCCAGAGACTGACTCCCAGAAGTCACCATCCGACCCTGGAAAGACGTCAACCTGCCCCCCATCAGAGCCATCAGTGCTGGAGCGAGGTCGTGGTTGTCCTCGGAAATGTCCTCTCACACAAGCCGCAAATGCCACTCCTCAGTCACTTACAATGGGAGCACTCAGACAGAATGGGGCCGATGAGAGTCTCAATGTTACTCAGCAGTCCATTCTTCCCTCTCATCACACTCTAGTTACGGTCAATTCCCACACGCAAAGTGTCTCGGCGTCACATGTCCGAAACTCTGATGCACACGACAATCACAGCGACCCTCGAGACAATAGCAGCCCCCAGTTTGCGGATGATGAGGCGCCAGACAGTACCATAAGCCAAGTTGCGGCGCCCCGGTCTCACCGTAAGAAAGAAACCAAGAAACCTCGTCCTCATACTCGCCAAATCATTCGGTGGGATAAGGATCTCATTGAGCGCACTTTGATCGGACTTGTGCATGAATCCAACAAAGCCAATATCCAGTTGCCCTGGGAGGCTGTCGGTCAATGGGTCCCTAAGAACAAGCGGAATATGAGCAGCCCTAGTGGCGAGGCCATAAGGCAGCAGATTGAGAAGAGACGTAAAAGGCGGCGAGATGACGGGGAACCTGTTCCCCCACTCTCGCCACGGGTTGACACTCCATCTTTCAAGATACGTAGGAAAAGTTCCTCGCAGCCAGCCAACAGGGATCAGAGGTGTAAGACACGTATCAGTGACCTTGCCAATTCTTCCGCCGACAGTCCTACCACCACTTCCAGCACTCCAACAACTACTTTTGACACTCATACCAACTCTATCGACAACAAACCTGGTGATAGGAATAGTGAGAATGCTGGTAGTAGTCCTGCCTACAACCCTTTTCCGACGGACACTGGTGCTACACCCACCATCAAGGAATACAAGCCTTTTACCGATGAATACATACCTTTGGTTTCGGATCGCTCCCGACGTGCTGCGGCCATTGATTCAGCCTCTCGAACTTCCCAAATCACCGACCAGGAAAACGAAGCAGAGCAATTGGCCAGCCTTGACAACAACTCTGCATCCTTCGCCGACTATGTCCTCGCTAACAACATCCGAGAGAGCCACGCAATCCACCAGGGTGCGCAAACCGGCCACGCGGACAAGCAAGCCACTCAATATCCTGGAAACTTTGGGTATATCGTTCAAGACACCATGCCTTCAGTGATGGCAACTTCTGGCCCCTCTTCCAATCCATACACACCGCCTGGAATGTTAGGTTCCGATTCGTTTGGTTCCGATTCATTTGGAGACCTGTTTGGCGATCTCTTTAGATCACCCTGTTCTGCGACTGTAGAACCCCTCGACCATAGCAACGGTGGCTTTGGCGGCATGGAATCCAACACATGGAACGATTTCGGCCCCTTCGCAGATCTCCAAGACCTAACCAACGGGGTTCAAGATGAAATCTACGGACCACTAGATCTACCTTTTGGTGGTTACGATGGGGGATACGACTTATATGAGGACATCGGACTAGAGCGTGAATTCCTAGCCATAGCAAATAGGTGCAACCCCACCCAGAATGGTGCTCCAAGGTTTAGCATTTCCCATCCTAGTGGAGAGGGGTATAACCATATTGGGACCCAATTCAACGAGTTGGTTGAGGACAAAATTCCCCCTGACAACGTTCATCCTCCTTCCACACCCCCTGGTGGAAACTCTGCTATGAGTACCGCCAAAGAAGTCTTAAATCATTCTAGATTTCAAGTTGCTGACCCTACTCCTATTGGTATTGCAGTGGATGATCCGGCGCCTGTTGGACTTCCTGCGGACGAGTCGGTTCCTGTCGGCTTTCCAGTGGATGAACCAGCTCCCGTTGGATTTCTAATGGATGAGCCAGCTCTTGTTGGATTTACAGAGGATGATTCCTCTCCCGTTTGCGTTTCTCTTCGTCAGCCCCTTACACTTGGCCCTAGGATGAATCAATGGTGGTCTGCTGATGACTCCTTGCTTCGTCGACTTCTCGTGGATGGGCCGGGTCCTGCTGGCTGTACAGCGGATGATTTCACTCCCGTAGGGTTTCCCCATCGCCGGGCCCTTATGCTTGGCCCCAGAATTAATCAATGCTTGTCTACTGATGACTTCTTGCTTCGTGACTTTTCAAGCCTTGATCTCCCGCTGGAGCCTTCTAACTGTGGTTCCGACCCGGGTCTTTCATCTTCCACCAGCATTCCACCCGCTCAAGATTCTTCAAACGCTAACTCTCAATCTGCGCCAGCAGGGCATCGCCTGAGTCTCGTTGCTCAAGTAGGGAATGTCCAGGACGCGGACAGGAATCTCGAATATGCATCAAATGGAGAGAGACCAGGGCAATCTATTTCTCGAATTTATCCCACAGAGTGGAGAACATCCCATCCTCCACACCCGCTGTCAATCTACGATGTTCCTCTTGCGCCTTTGCGTGACGCTCATGATCTGGCTGCCAGTGAGAAGGAATCGAATCCTAGCGCTAGCGAGGCCAACGGACATATCGCACCTATTGATGTCAACCACAACAACCCCGGCTGCAATGGAGACTCTGCCTGAGCTCAACGTACAAGTTCGCTCGCTCAACCGTGATGATGTATGAGGAGGCGACCGGACGAGGAGACGATCGGACGACGAAATCATGCGACGATTGAGACAAAAATGGGGGTTTCTCGGTTTTCGCTTTAATTTTCCTCTTGCGTATTGGCTTTGTGCCGTACTTAACGACCATGTCGTGCAGAGGAAATGAGGCAACTTATTGGCGTTCTTTGGTGCGGTTTTCATAACAGGTTCTGGAACGACTTTCACTTTGAAACCTCATGCGTTCGGCCTTGCGCCATACTTGACGATCATGTCATGCTGAGGGTATGAGGCGACACCTTGGTGTTCGGTGTGCGTTTCTTTATTAACTCCCAATTGCGGATCCAACGGGCACAACAAACAGCAGTTTTAGAAAGCATTGTACTATACACCGAAGTGCGAACAGACAAAGGGAGTGGGATGAACACTATTCAGAAAAGTAGTGTTCTTTTTTCTGGATGATTGAGGCTGCATTGCAACAACAATTATAGAGGATGGTCAATTTGGGGTGGCTTTTCCGACAGTGCAGCTAGGTCTTCCAGGGATAGTTAGGCGTAGTTACAAAAAACCTAAAAACTAATAAAAACCCCAACCACTTCGGGGGACACAAATGGTTCTTTGGATGTGAACCTGCCATCAGTGATACGCTTCAGTGATTTGCCAGTAGATGGGATAGAAGGACAGTGGGTAGTGCGTTTGCGTTGTTGAGGCAAGCCGTGTCATGCTAGACACTTGAACATGAGATACTAGTAAAACGGTTGATTGATCTCTTCGATATCCGAATTCCACTCGGACATGGCCAAAATTCGAAGACAAATCTAAAGCTGTGTGGCAATTACAAATTCCGCACGATCTGCTGAATGCGCCGCTCAACATTCGCTCTCTCCCACTTGAAGAGCTCCCAGATTGTCATCGAATAACTTAAAGCCGTCAGTATCTCATCGACTAGAAGCCGGTTGTGAAAAACGAACGTTATCTTCATCTATGCCGGACTGACAGGCCGTCTCTACGGCGCTAGACATTCCCTCGCCTGGCCTCGTGGCTCTGTTAGATCTCTCTCCCCCGACCTTGTTTACATTCCTCCCACTTGGACTGCTTCCGAGGGGAAAACATCGTACAAGAAGACCCGGGCCGGAAGTGTTCGTTCTCTTTCAAAGATCCGTTCCCAATGAACCTCTCCATGTCGTCCTCTCAATCACTGCTCGCACAGCCACGACATCCACAGCTCACACATTGTATGCTTTGGTTCTCCTGCAGTTGATCGTGGGGTACCCGGCAGATACAGGTGCTGTTGAAGTTGGTCTCTTTCGTTTGGATGCATCGGATGCAGCAGAGCTTCTCGTAGCCGGTCTTTTTCCATTTCGCGATGAGGTTGGCGTCGGCGTAGTTGTTCTTCAAGAGCCAGTCATATAGCTGCTTGCTGATGGCTTCTTTGGTGTAATAGAGGTCGTAGATGTATCGTGACCCTATAGCAACGAGAAGAGTTAGCATGCTTCGTTGGTCTTGGGAAGGGTGGTACATACGTTGATGGGTGATTTGGAAGATCGGCCATATCATTTCATGGCGTTTCTTGCCCTCATGCGAAGCATTCTCCGCATCTTTCATCTTGTTGGCAAAATCCAGCAGAGTGTCCTCGATATCTTCGAAGCCTTCCGGAGGAGGCTTTCGATTTCTTGCGCTTCGTATCGGAGGCATTATGATGGTCGCTGGGCGTGGGTATATGGACAGGAAGAGAGGAAGCGAGATAATCTGTGAAGCGAGAGTAAGAGCAGAAATATTCCTGTCCAGCAATATACAGTTCTGTACGGTACTCTTGTGAGGGGGGACGTGTTTGGCAGTTGAAGATGTATGGACATCTGACGATGTCGTTTGTCAGGCATCAACAATTCGCCCCGCGCATTTCGCCTCAGTCAAGTATCGTCGCCTTGGTGCCTGAATCAGCATCCCGGGAATCCCGCCCCGGCAGCTTCACCTTCAACAACTTGACATCAAACCCAAGACCACCGGACATACGATGCAAGACGCCCTGCAAAGATGGTGATCAACCCGACATACCTGGCCCAAAGGACTCGGTCCTGTAGGAGACACTTTCCAGCGTGCGCGAATTGATGCTAACAAGCGACATAGCGGTCAATTGGACTGATGCGAAGAGGAGGGTCTTGACGACCTATCGCGACTGGTTGCGATCGGTATGTGTTTCTCTATTGCTATTCCGAACTATATCTTCGTCCAGTCTTGGGCTTTCATAGCTTGAGATGGGGCCCATTCCTTCTCCGATGTCATGAAATGGAATAGAGGCTGACAGCTCGTGCAGGCACCTGAGATCCAAACCATGTATTCGCTCAACATGCCCACCTCTGCAATTCGAACGAAGATACGCCAGGAATTCGAAAGGCATAGATATGTCGCACAGCTACCGACGGTGGACGTACTTATAACACATTCGCATCAAGAGTTACAGGTGGGTCACAATCCATCCCAAGATCTATCATATCATGGACGACCAATCTCCCCGGTCTGCTGGCAATCATTTGTTCCTGGCTAATGCATTCATTGCACCACAGGAGACATTGAACTACTGGAAGCAGTTGACACATGTGTTGAAATATTTCCGGGCGGAAGAGGACAAGACCGCGGCGAAGCTGCCGAGCAACTTCATGCAAGGCTTCTTAGAGGTGAGCAGCCCCGATTCCAGTCACCTGGACCATCATATGAGATGTATATGGAACTAACCGCGCACGTTGCATAGGGACGAAACTGAGGTGTGGCTGGGAGCTTTCAAGCATTGTACATACATGTCATATCCTAGCTATAAGGACTTTTCGGGTATTCCAGGGCGCCTTGAAATGCAAAAAATGATTACCCTTGAATAACCTGTCATGAGGATCATGCTGAACTTTCTATTCCTGTTGATCATTGAACTCATCCCTTGAAATAGTGAATTTGTCGATGACAACATCACAGAGGTCCATCAGGTCATTCAAGCCCTTCTCAAGCACCTTTCGGACATTGGCACCATCTAGATAATGTTAGTTGGTTACAAGTCAAGTCCTATTGGCGAAGGTATTGTTTCGCAGCCCGTGAGTAGACATACCATATGTCTGGATCCGAAAATTCATCTTCGCTTCGGCAGGATGTGGAATGGTGTAGCCACAGAACTCGACCTCGGGGCTGAATCAAAGGTTAGCAATGATTCTGCGGTCGAAAATCATGTAGATATATGACTGCTTGGGGTTCAACTGACTTTTTCATGATGATCCATCTCAGAGCGTTTCCTAACGTATGATCTTCCTTATCGAACTGGAACGACGCTTCGGTATCTGTCGAGCCAGGAAGCTAAGCATAATTAGCACCAGAATGAATCAATGGATTTGGGTCATTAGGAGAAAACAATACCATATTGATCTTTGGCTCCGCATCTGGATCGACAAAGTCATCATCTGTATCTTCCACCGCACTACTTTCGCCATGCGCCGCTCCCGCCGTCGCTTGGGCGTCCGTCATCTCGACATCTTTTGGCTCTTCCGCACTGGCAGACATTTTCGTGGAATTAGCGGATCGCTACGGTATGAGATGATGAAGCATCTGGTGAATTTAGCTCAAGGCTGGCGATGGCGACGATGAGGAAGTTTGTGATACTCGGCCCGAAGCCCGAAATTCTAATGCACTTTCGGCATGCCGAGCCGACAATAGCCCTCTCAATATTTTTATCATCCAGATTTTCATCATCCAGATTTTCATCATCCCCAATATGTAACAGTCACCAAATGCCTAATGCTCTGCTCCCTGTTACTCGGGATACGCACCTTTGACCAGCGGGTTTACTTCAGAATTATCCAGTTCTTATCTGGATCCATAAGCCCCATATACAGACAGATTGCTCGCACCAGAGGTGCTTGCTGAATAGTCTTGCACAACGGCGAGGGAAGACACCAAATGAGTCCTATTCGACTATCTGAGCAATGCTAGATCCTAGGGAATATTCGATCAAGTGCTAGGCGTATAATTTCGGAAAGGAAGGCTGGCCGATAGTTTGACAAGCCCGATGCACAGAATGAGACCGCCATCGAATGTCGCTCCAATACTCCAATAAAGACGTTTCAAACGTGTCATGTTTATAAATCCCACCGTTTACTTCATATGGAAATGACCGTGTCACTAAAGTAAAATTTGAGCTCTCAATAATGGACCAAAATCGTAGATGGCTATCATCGCAAGTAATAATGGTCGGGGAGGTTCCAATCCCGGTAAAAGATCACCGGGCCGAATCTCCACGGGCAAACCAAACAGAGCATCAACATTTGGTCCCGCAAGCATCTATCAAAAGGCATCTCTCACCCCAAAGACCCCAACCAACCCCAACTACACCATGGCACCCTCAAGAAGCGACCGGCGGATTGCCACCATCAAGCGCGACACGAAAGAGACCCAGGTTTACGTGTGTCTGAGCCTGGACGGCGGGGAGTTGGAAAGCGATGGCTTCACTGAATCCGAGAAGCGGCACGCATACCAGATGTCGGCGATGCAGCAAATCGACATCGATACCGGCATTGGCTTCCTCGACCACATGCTGCACGGCCTCTCGAAACACGCCGGCTGGAGTCTCCGTGTGCGCTGTCGAGGCGATCTCTACAGTATGTGATCCGTCCTGAATTTCTCCTTTCGCCACCATTCTTCCCGCGACCCCAATTGATTTAAGGCAACCTACTAACCTCCAACCCTCTAGTTGACGACCACCACACCACCGAAGACGTCTTCCTTGCTCTTGGTTCCGCCTTCAAATCCTCCCTCGGCCCTTCCGGCGCCGGTGGCCTCGCCCGCTTCGGACAAGGCTACGCCCCACTCGACGAAGCCCTCTCCCGAGCAGTCATCGACCTCTCCAACCGACCGTATGCGGTGATCTGCTTAGGGCTGAAGCGGGAGAAGCTAGGGGACCTGAGCTGCGAGATGCTGACGCATGCGCTGGAGAGCTTCGCGCAGGCGGCGGGAGTGACGCTGCATGTGGATTGCCTGCGGGGGGATAATGATCATCATCGGGCGGAGAGCGCATTTAAAGCGTTGGCAGTAGCGGTGAGGCAGGCGACAAGTCGGGTGAAGGAGAAGGAGGGGGAGGAGCCGAGTACGAAGGGGGTGTTATATTGATCGCGGATGGTTGGATGTTGTGGGATGGTCTGTAGACCGGCGATGAGCAGCCAGGGCACCTGGAGGAATTGGATGATGCCCAAAAGTCATGAGAAATTCAGCGGTGCGACGGGAAGTCGTACTGGCGGGTCATCTTACTTAGATCGACTAGAAATCAAAATGATGAATTGCCGTTAAGTACATCATTCGGACTAACAACGCCTCGTGTTCCATTCGTTCTATTAACCTAGCGATTTTTGAAACTCAAAACTCATTGCCCCGATCCCTCCCTCAGAGGATTTTCTGAACCGCCCACTTAAGTATTTGACCCTACTGCACGCGGCGGTAAGCATATATCTCAACAATTAAGGTTCGACTCTATAGTTTCTCGTTGCCCCCAGTGACAGGCCACTGGTAGTTGGAGGCATCCGAGAACGCATACCCATAGGAAGCCGTGAAGTCGTCAAGGACCGCGGGACCTCGGGAGCCTAAAAAACATCAGCAGCGGTTTCAGGTTCAGTTCATGAAAAAGCTCACCGTAAGGGTACTCCATAGGGATGATCTCCTTGTTATCGTCCAGGTAGTGCAGAAGCGGGGAGAAGATCCTCCAGCTCGCGTCCAGCTCGTCGTCGCGAACGAAGTTGGAATGATCGCCCTTTAGTGCGTCCAAGATCAAACTCTCATACGCCTCCGGGATCTTGAGGTCGGAGAATCGTCGACGATAGGTGAGATCCAACTCGGTCACGACGGTCTGCATGCTCAGACCGGGCAGCTTAGAGTTCATCTTGATGTAGACGGATTCGTTGGGCTGCACGCGGATCACTAGCTCGTTGCGGGGGATATCCTTGAAGATGCCCGATGTCACGTCGCGGAATTGAATCCGCACTTCGGTCTTCTGCTCGTTGAGCGCCTTGCCAGCCTTCATGATGAAAGGCACGCCATCCCACCGCTCGTTCTTGATGTACGCCACCATGGCGGCGAATGTCGCGCAACGGCTGTCCCTCGGCACGCTTTCATCGTCCTTATAGGACATCTTGCTGCCATCCAGGCTCTTGCCGTACTGGCCGATGATGACGTTCTTCGGCTCGATGGAGGGCATGGCGCGGAGCACGCGGACCTTCTCGTCGCGAATATCTTCGGCGCTGAAGCTGATCGGGCGCTCCATGGTGATGAGAGTGAGGATCTGGAGGAGATGGTTCTGCATGACGTCGCGGATAATGCCGAATTCGTCGAAGTAGCCGCCGCGGCCTTCGGTGCCAAAAGGTTCCTTGAATGTGATCTAATGGAGCTCTACGTTAGCCTGGCCTACTGACTCGAGATTGAAGGACCATACCTGGACATTGTCGATGTGGTGTCGGCTCCATGTCGCTCCGAAGAATGAATTCCCGAATCGGAGAATCAGCAGATTCTTGACCATCTCCTTGCCGAGATAATGGTCAATCCGGAAGATCTCTTCTTCTTTCCAGTTAGGAGCAAGGGCTCGCTGCAGCTCCCTTGAGCTGCCCAGGTCCTTGCCGAACGGTTTCTCCACCTGCACAATCGTCAGCAACAAGTAATCCCGTTTCGACGGAGAGAATAAGCACAATGATCCGAGCAATTCCTGATTTAGGGTAGCAGTTTCGCTTCAGATGCTCGCTGACACTGATGAAGACGCTAGGCGGTAAAGCCATGTAGAAGATTCGGTTGGTCTCCTTCTGCCCCTTCTCGAGATCTTCAAGATGTTTGGTGAGGGTCTGGAACGAATCGTCCTGGTCATACTGCCCGGAGATGTACGAGAGGGACTCGCAGAACTTGGCTAACTGGGCCTCAATGTCTTTTGTGGGCGTCTTGATGGACGACTTCGCCCTCGACAGGAACTCCGCCCTGTCCATCTTTGTTCTGGCATATCCGACGATCTTGGCATCTTTGGGGAGGAAATTGTTGCGGAACTGGGGAGTCAGTCAATCGAAGGCGGCAATCGTAACATTGGGTACTCACAAGGCCGAAAAGTGCTGGGAACTGCTGCTTGTTAGCCTGTCGTCCAAAGTTCGCGTTGCGATTGGGGACTTGCCGTCTTCTTTTTCGCCAGGTCACCGGAGGCTCCCAGGACAATAATGACTGTGTTCTCCTTCAACTCAATCGTGCTATAGCCATCTACGTCAGCCAACGGTCCAATTGTTGCTTATCGGCATACCCGGGCATATCAGCGTCATCACCGTGCTCCATACCACAGAATCAGAGGGTGAGCTGCTCAGCGCTGGATTGGCTTCACCAAACGGAAGGGATGGAAAGTAGAAAAAGAATCTTACACTACTTCCCCATCCTCGTTCGACCTCAAGATTGTGTCCGACATGATTTCGGCGTTGCAGAAGAACCCTTGGCCCAAGCTTGGATATTCGCTGACGATTCGCCGATTGTTCCGATGGGTTAATCAATTCTCTTCCGGATATTCGCGAGGGTGGCCGGAAGGTCCGATATATAAGCTTTGACTGACGCAACTGAGACCGGAAGCGTCAGGTAAGATGAAGTTGAGGAAAAGTTTGGGTAGAATGGGAGGAGAGAGAGTTCGAGGACAGCTCAGACAGCGCGAGGTCGAGTCAATATCAAAATGGCGGGAAATCCTAGCGGCGTGGGAGTGACGACAGGAAGAATGGTGGGGTTCCCCTCAACGCACTGAGCAGATTGCACGCTGTGACCGATGATGCGGTCAACAATCCGACTTTCGGACGCCTTCGCTTCTTCCACGTTTCTACGGTTCCCTGAGTTCGGTCGTAGGCTGGAGATGGCCGTGAGGGAGGAGTTATGTTTGAGTTTACGCGAGATCACAAGTTTGGATGCGAAAGGCTGGATGGTTCAAGACTCGATATCCTCTGCTTTAATATGAATGCGATGGTGCGTCGACTTAACTAGCGGGACGCCTCCTTCGGATGGCAATGGACGCATCAGTCAGCCATGGCTGGAGATTTATAAACCCCGAATGGGCTCCCGAATCGGCCATGTTTTAAATGTCTGGCTCCAGAAGATCCTATCTCCGGGGAGGTTTCATGCCGGAGACCGAGTCGTTCAACCAAATCCATCCCACGCCCACCCCCATCGTCATGATCGGAGATGGGAATCGATACAATCAAGTCCAGGTCGATTACCATTTTTTACAATTGACTATGAAATGCAAGTACCCGATCAACCCGTCGGGCTATCCGCAGCCGACCAGCAGTGGCTTGTGGTCTCGGATCCCCCATTGCCCTCTCCCTCACGATGCTTGGCGATCCACGACACCTCAACGTCGAGCATCATCAATGGAACCGGAAGTTTTGCCATTTTAGCCTAATTATTGATTTTCGGAAAATCCCCGATCTGTGCCATAGTCTGTGAAATGCGAATGCCTCTTATCCTGTAGATACAGGAGAGACTGTATTAATATTGTGTCGATTACCCCCTCAGACCGTACTCCCGCGGAGACGATCGGTGGACGAAGGAAGCTCCGCGTCACCGTGCGATAAACCTAAATGATTACAGTAACAGGACAGTCGGATTTTGTCATGATTATCTTAGCCTCTTGCATTGCAGGGGATCTTCCATGTAGAATTTAAAAGTGATGCACACCTGCAGCAGGAATCTGATGAATTGCTTACTTGACGTAGAGATTCATGCCTGAGGCAGCAAAGAGGGCTCAACAGATTCTTCACTGCCTCAGGCCTTCAGGCAAAGGACGAAAAGTTGGGGGGCACTAGCTGTTTTGGTGGAGCAGCACGTGACATTCTCGCTGAATCATCACACAGTTCGTTTCCGAAAATCCACACCATCGCAAATCGGCAACATCTCGCCTAAGGACCACCATTCATCCACCATCACCAACTCACAACTCACACAGTGGCATCCCATCCGCCAGTCTTTATTAAATCTCTACCTCGCTGGTACGCTTGGCTGGAGTCCTCATAATCACAATGCCTTCAGAATCAGGCCACAGATGTAAGTTGCCTCTCTCCGACTCGCGATAGCTGCATATCGAATTCCACATGCGCCGATGCAATGGCTTTGACCCCTTCGAATATCGCATGCATGATGACTGACAGCATTATTCGCGTACAGTATACGTCAAGTAAGTCCCGTCGACGACTCCACATCAACACGGCTCCGCGACAATCGGCCTCTCGATTCGACATGCACGACCATCTATCATGATCCGAACGGCCTTGCTAACATGGCCATTGTAGGGGCAAGCACGTCAGCTACCAGCGCGGAAAGCGCAACACGAATCCCAACACCAGGTGAGCGATGGAACTGCATTGGGATGAGCGGCGACTGACTGCATTGAAGCTTGATCAAGCTCGAGGGTGTTGACGATACCAAGGCTGCGACGTAAGAGACCCATGTGGCATCTGTTCGGTACCTCACTAACAGTGTGCAGTTTCTACCTGGGCAAGAAGATCGCCTATGTCTACCGCGCGAAGAAGGAGATCCGAGGATCCAAGATCCGAGTGATATGGGGAAAGGTCACCAGGCCGCATGGTGCGTGGATCCCAGAGACCGATGGAACTGGACGCATACTGACCGACATCCAGGCAACCGAGGTGTTGTCCGAGCACAGTTCAGGCGCAACCTGCCCGCACGATCTTTCGGAGCGAGCGTGCGAGTGATGCTGTACCCTTCATCGATATAAGGAGCGAATCATGGCTGGTCGGAGTAAGCAGGTGGGGAAAGTGGAGGAGTGGTTCGACCGAGTGAAACTCCTCGTTCCCCACGAATTTTCACGTCTTCCTTCGTCAGATTTATGGCTCGCGTCCGGAATCATATCAGCGGAGCAGCCGTGCTGGCGAATCTTCATCATACGCGGCGAAAAGGGTCTTTTATGGACAAGATGCTTTGCATAAAAATCACGGTGGTTCTTCCGACATCCGATTTGTAAATCATGATCCATACGTAGTCCGGACAAGAGTCAATTCAATGATGATTATCCGGCAAATTGTTGACCCTTGATACCTGATATGCGACGGGTATTCCACGCAGGACTACATATCCCTAAATTGCCAGATTCTGACATCCTTGAATCCTATCCGTGTATGGAGTTGATATTGCTATGCATTGATATGTTCTCTGGGTGATCAAGCCCCCGCACGGCTGCGAGGAAAGCCGTCGAGTAATAATCCAGCAGTTCGTCTAACCTGAAGTCTCTCCAAGAACTATGCCATTCTCAATCAAACATAAACCTGACTACCACTAAGGGATTATCCAACCACACGAATCCAAAATTTCGGTGCCCATAACTCGGCTCACATCGATCGGCCCGATGTCCAGACAACGACAGAGACCAGTCGAGCAATTGTGTATCTCAAAGATGCCATGACGACCAATCAAAGTCACCTACTTAAGGTCATTTCATGAACACCACCAAACACCGGGCTTTTCTTGAGAGGTCGTGTCTTTCCGTCCTCATTCGCGTTCGTCTTTCCTCATTCTCCAACTTCTCCAGCTCCTCCGGATGCCGATACACAATGACCCCGTGTGATCCGCCCCACACTCAACCCAACGCTCCCTTCACACGATAACCCATCAACTCGGTCGGTTCATGTCGCTACCTAACCATGGATGGACACGACGACCGGCAGCGTTACAGGAAAACCGGCTCGCACCGGCGGAGGCCGAGCTCCGTCGTTCTCGAAGACCATGAAGACCTCAACATTACGGTGCCGATTGGCTCGCGGGCGGGATTCTCACGGCGCGGGAGCAATCTGAGCGAGGCGAGTTTCATGAGCGATGTGGAGATGGCAACGGACGAGATGTTCTCGGGCCCACTAGCGGAGTCGGTACCGACGAGCGTGTCGTCGTTCGTAAGGAGGGGGAGGCCGCGGTCGGAAAGCCGGACGAGCTTCACATTCTTCCCGGAGGATGAGGTGGAGGAAGACGAGGAAGTCGATGAGGAGGGACAGGATGACCAAACGTCGTTGATGGACGAGCTGGGGAGGTTGCGAAGTGAAATGGAGAGTGCGGAGGCGGTTGCCGATGGATATGCTGAAGCGGATATGGATTTGGAGCATGGAGGCAGGCCACCGTCACGTTTACGGCGAAAGAGCTCGGAGTATTCGCGAGGGAGTGCTGGAGCACCGTTGCTAGGCACTAGAAGGCGGTCGTCAATATCGAGTATGGGCTCGGCATATGGCGGACGCCCCACACGAACCACCCAGAAGACCTACCTTCGAACCGAAGATCTTACCATTGTTATTGCTGGGTTCACCACATCGCAGGTTGGTTTTGCTATATACATGGCTATCTGCGTCTTGACCGCCGGCGTGGCCTACCTTGCTTTCCGATGGATGCCCGGCTGGAGGATATGGATGATCGGCAAAGCAGCTCCATTAGGAGAGGCAGAATGGGTGGTCATTGAGAACCAGTGGGGGGAAGTCGCGATCAACGAGCTACGAAAGTCCGAGTACGACTTGAGTCTTTCCTCCATCTTCGGTCCGTCGGGAGAGAAGCTCGGGAGGGGACCTGGGCCAGGCGAATACGACGAAATAGACGAGACAGTGGTCAAGCAATTGGTCACGTTGGACTACCGATACATTCGATTCTGCTATCACCCATTAATAGACAAATTCGTACAGGGGAATACATGGAGAGACCCGGCTTGGAACGACGTTCAGGCCGTCCGACAAGGTCTCGATCACGAACAAAAAGGAAGCCGAGATTTAGTCTTCGGCGAGAACTTGATTGATGTCGAAGAGAAGAGCGTGGGTCAGCTACTCGTGGACGGAGTGCTCCATCCATTTTATATATTTCAGGTCGCCAGTCTGAGTCTCTGGTCATACGATGAGTATTACCAGTATGCTATCTGCATTTTCCTCATTTCCGTCGGCGGAATTGTCAGCGAACTGGTGGAGACAAAGGCGACGATGCGCAGGTTGCGAGAGGTCTCCCGGTTCGAATGCGACGTTCGAGTGCTCCGAAACGGGTTTTGGCGATATGAAGGTAGCCGAGACCTTGTACCAGGGGATGTCTACGAGGTTAGCGATCCGAACCTACCACAGTTGCCGTGCGACAGCCTTCTACTGAGCGGCGATTGCATCGTCAACGAAAGTATGCTGACGGGGGAATCCGTGCCGGTCACGAAAGTCCCCGCTATCGACCAAACTTTGGAAGTACTCAACCTGAGCGCATCAACCTTGCCGGCAGAGGTTGCAAGGCACGTGTTGTTTGCCGGAACCAAAATCATTCGAGCTAGAAGACCGCAGCACGATAATGCGGTCGATGCGTCCGAGTCCGAGGCCGCTGCGCTTGCATTGGTCGTTCGAACAGGATTCAATACGACTAAAGGAGCCCTGGTCCGATCCATGCTTTTCCCCAAGCCGTCTGGCTTCAAATTTTACCGAGATTCCTTCCGGTACATATCCGTCATGGCAGGCATCGCAGGCGTGGGATTCGTGGCTTCGTTCGCCAACTTCATCCAGTTGGGCATGAAGTGGGATTTCATCTTCGTTCGGGCTCTCGATCTCATCACTATTGTCGTCCCCCCGGCGCTTCCAGCGACGCTAACCATCGGCACTCAATTCGCTCTTGGGAGACTGAAGAAAAAGCAAATCTTTTGCATCTCCCCGCAACGGATCAACGTTGGAGGACGACTCGACATCATGTGCTTCGACAAAACAGGCACTCTGACGGAAGAGGGGCTCGATGTCATGGGCGTTCGGGCCGTTGTTCCTCATGCCCAAACGTTCAGTGACCTTCTTACCAGCGCCAAGGAGATTCTTCCCAGGAGACGACAAACCGATCCAAATGTCGATTATGACGTCAACCGAGCGATATTGTATACCATGGCGACTTGCCATAGTCTGCGAGTGGTTGACGATGAACTGGTGGGTGACCCACTCGATGTGAAAATGTTCGATTTCACGGGATGGGAGTTCGAGGAAGGCGACCAACAGCGTGGTGATGGGCAGCCAAACTTGCGGGATGAGGACGAGCAAGCGGCTAGCATGAGCATCTCTCCCAACGTTGCTCGACCTCCGAAATCGTCAAGCGTGTCAGATCTGGACAACCGGACCACGGACGATCCCGAGATTGGTGTCCTCAAAACCTTTGAATTTGTCAGCCACCTCCGACGCGCCAGCGTTGTTGTTCGACAGTTCGGTAAGGCAGAGGCCGCAGTATATGTGAAAGGTGCGCCGGAATGTATGAGCGATATCTGTAAAAAGGAGTCGTTTCCACCAAACTACGAGGAGCTGCTGGCCCACTACACTTACAGCGGGTTTCGTGTGATCGCTCTCGCTACGAAAAGGCTACGGAAGCTTCGATGGATCAAAGTTCAGAAGATGAGTCGCGCGGAGGCCGAATCCGACCTTGACTTCCTCGGTTTCATCATCTTTGAGAACAAATTGAAGCCACAGACCACCCCAGTTCTCCGAGAGCTTGGACTAGCCAACATCCGGACGACCATGTGCACAGGAGATAACATCCTCACTGCCATCAGCGTTGCGCAGGAGTGTGGACTGGTAGATCGTACTTCGCCAGTGTTTGTCCCTCACTTCGTTGAAGGCGGTCCTACCGAACCTCTCAGCAAGCTCGAATGGCGCAGCATCGATGGTAGTGGTTGGTCTCTCGACGAGCATACATTGCAGCCGGTTCCACCAGATGCGGAGTCCCGCGATCTAGCAAATCCGTACAGTGGCGCCCCGCGACATTACTCCATCGCAGTGACCGGCGATGTTTTCACATGGATTGTCTCCTTTGCAAATGACCGACTTCTCAAGGCAATGTTGGTGTTGGGGCAGGTTTTTGCACGTATGAGTCCGGATCAGAAGCACGAATTGGTGGAGAAACTTCAGACCTTGGACTATACCGTAGGATTCTGCGGGGATGGTGCTAATGACTGTGGTGCATTGAAGGCTGCGGATGTGGGCGTCAGTCTTTCTGAAGCAGAGGCCAGCGTCGCAGCACCTTTCACAAGTCGTGTCTTCGATATTCGATGCGTCCCGGAAGTGATTCGGTAGGCATGATATCTCTGCTTCGGGACTGCTGGACTAATATGTTCCAGGGAAGGACGAGCAGCGTTGGTGACTAGTTTCAGCTGCTTCAAGTATATGAGCCTATACTCTGCCATCCAGTTTACGACTGTCAGCTTCCTCTATGCATCTGCCTCTAACTTAAGCGATGGCCAATTTCTCTTCATCGACCTACTTCTTATTATTCCAATCGCCATCCTCAGTAAGTCACCTACTCCATTCATGATTAGAAGCTGATAAGATACAGTGGGCTGGTCTGGCCCATATCAACACCTTTCACGAAAACGTCCCACCGCTTCCCTCGTCTCTCGCAAAGTCCTGGTCCCGCTCATCGGCCAGATTCTTATTGTTATCGCCATCCAAGCCATCGCATACGGGGCAGTCCGCGAACAACCGTGGTATAAACCGCCCAACAGGCACATCAAGCCAAACAGCTCCAACAAAAACTTGAAGAATTCCGAAAACTCTGCGCTGTTTGCCGTAAGTTGTTTCCAGTACATCCTTGCGGCCATCGTGCTGAGTGTCGGTCCGCCATTCCGAGAGCGCATGTGGCGCAATGTCCCATTTGTCGCATACATTGCTCTCGTGCTGCTTGTTTCGGCGTATATCCTGTTCATTCCGGCGCACTGGGTCGTCAAGTATATGAAGTTCACTTACATGAGCTGGGGGTTCAAGTTATTCTTGCTAGTTCTGGGGATTGGAGGTTTTATGGTTGCGTATGGGTCGGAGAATTGGGCGTTCCCCCTTCTGGCGAGGTGGATAGGGAAGATGAAGGGAGAGTTGATGCCCACGAAGCAAAAGAAGCGGAAAGATTACAAGGTCATCCAGTCCAGTATTGGCCTTGTTTGATATTATAACTCCTGGAACCAGACTATACCCAATGTTTTGTCCCCGCTATGGGCATGATTATGCCTTTCTCAACAGGACATCCAGAAGTTCACTCTATCAGCTCACTCTCACTTCATTATCGTTAAGTCTTTCCCCACCGCTCGTGACATGGCCAGTGGATGAACCGGACATTCTATATTGAATCTTGTTCTTACGCGTCCGTCCTCAAGACCGGCGCAACGGCACAATAATACCATCTGTCGATACTCTTCACTATTCATCGTGAGTATGTCTGTACCGGCCTCGCCTGCGATAAGGACGATGCCAAAATTGGACCTAGCACTAATTACTATCAAATTGGGTCTGCTTGCAAGGCGATGTTATGTCTTCGGTACTCCTTATTGAAACTTGCGCATCATTCAAGTCAAATTGTTTCAAGGTTATCCGTACGATATGTCGAGGTTATTTATCTCAGTCCATAAGTCTACGATTGTCTTTTCAGGAAGGATAGGATCGAAACCAAGCACCCCTTTGCTTGGCTCGTATCAATAGCGATGTGATCCCATTTCTCACAAGTTTGGCCTAGTTCTCCTGGTCCGATTTGCCTGCTTGCTACCAACTGGCCCAAGTAATCCACCAAGAATGCCATCATGGAGTCTATCAGTAGCCGAGGAAACGGTTCGCTACGCCCATGGGCTTCACGCGGCTCTTTCGGGAAACTTTTTGCTTGCGTAGTGCTTTGCTGGCTACTTCGTCCTCTGCGCTCGAAATCTGCCCCTTTGTATAAATGTATCTTGGATTTGGATGCTTTTCAAGATTCACTTCAGCTGCGATGTCTGAAAGTGTGGTCAATTGCGCCGATTTCTGGCCAGGGAGACGGAATACTACCACCATCTTCTATCCGTTGGTTGTAAGCCCAGTAAAGTCCACGACTGGACCTTCTGTCGAAGTCAGGTACGAGGAAGCGAATTAACAGATCTTACTGCATTTGCAACTACCTTTTAGTACATGCAAGGGTAGACTTCACGAGGAAGGGCGTTTTGGATTGGGATCCGATGGTTCCTCTAACCCAATATCCAGCTGCTAGCCGTCCGCCAACCTGAGCATCAACGACCTGGAAGACGAGTGGCTAGTTTTTCTTAAGGAGTCTAGCCGTACTGTCCCGGTATGATACTGGCTGACTGCCTCTCTGCAAGTTGAACCCATTCTTTTTACATGACGACTCGCTTCAATGAGGAGCATTGCAATTTGGATCCTATGTCTCACCTACAGCATATATAGTTCATCCTACCTGGCGATGTTGATTTCGAGATGAATAATAGTGCTGCTGGTGGAAATTTGGTATTTAAATGCTTCATGGCGCGGAGTGTATATTAAGTTATTGTCGCACGTGATGTGCTAAAATGGTTAGGAGTGAGGTGCTATTGTTACAGCAGCGAAGTTGTTGTATTGTGTGTGTTGGGTGTAAGTTCTGTGTAAATTGTGTGTTCTAGCTGAATGCCTGGTCCCCCGGCCCTACAGATATACGAGAGTCACGGCAAGATTATTAATGCAGTTTGTAGCCTTGGACTCCTAGAGCTCATGCCTTGGCCTGCGACAGTGAGCGACAGTCCTTGTTCAACAGTCCTTGTGCGGATCAAATCAAGAAGGAATTCGTCGGGGCCAGAAAATGATCTCTGGCTTTTATTAACCCTTCGCCCGTTCGATAAGTGGATGAGCTACACGAGATATGCTTGCTGAATGCTCATGAAGGACCACTTTTCTCCTCAGCTCATGCCATGTAACTCATCTCCAACTCTCCCACAGCATGTCGGGTCCTGAATTAAGATACTATCACTGTCCAGTTCCCGGTTTCAGTTACGCCTCTGAATTTACCGTTATTGCACATCCGGTTCATCCGCGGTGAGAATGTCATGCACAGGTCCGTCGATTGGCCTGTTAAAGATAGCCTGCTGCTCTTTGCCCTGCATGTATTAACCACATGAAGTGGAAATTTTCAAGGAGGGTTATCCTGTTTCGACTTTTGATCCTCGACTAGGAAGTCTCGGAGATATGTTAAGGAGATGGAAACCCCTCGGTAGAATCCGCATCCTACCGTTGTTGCGTCATGCAGGCACAGGGGCAACGAGTTTAATTTGACATAGATTGGTCTTTCATATATTCTCTCCCAACCACCGCGCCCAACCACCACCTGGACATTAGCCTTGGTTTCAGTCAATTTATTTTCCCTCCTGCATCCACACTCGATAAAATATCAGCTGTCAACTGCTACGAAGTCTAAACGTTAACCAGTTATTGAGCCACTGCATGCGCGTCTGCAATTTGGGTGCCGTCCCGAGCCTGGAATATATTGACTACCGCCAAAAGCCGGGCTAAGCACCATATTTTTCAAGAACTATGATTGTCAGTGTCATTGCATTCAATGTCTGTGCAATGGATCCAATCGAGGATCATCCTAGACATACATCGTTCGCGCAAATCTTCTCCAAGTCAAGAGATGGCGAGACCATTCTACGAAATGATTGACGCGAGGGTCCTTGAAGATGACGGTATGCTTTGCCATCATCAAATGTCTGGTTCCCGTGCATCATTTGTCACGAGAAACAACTGCCGCCTATTGACAGGCAACTCACACTGTTGCCACTAAGTCTTTCCAGCCTCAAGCCCTTCGGCTCCCAATTTAATCATTTCGATAGTGGCTTCTTTGTTCTGGCCAGGTTCTGGGTCGGCAATTTCTAATTGAATATCTTGGCTTCTCCGGAAGATATCGATGAACCTTGCCCATCGTCCACACTACCGTCCACAAACCCTTCACCTTCACGGTTCGGCCGCAAGCTTGCGACACATAGTACGCCCAGAACGTGGTCACAAGGTTCCATCCAGTCAGGGAAGCCGATCAAGCCACCGCTATCAAATCGTTACGCTTCGCCGTAAAAATAGCAGTAATATCAACTTGTTCCTCCGCCGAGGCTACTGAACCTGGGTCGTCCCATCTCCTGAGATCACACTTGCGTATGCATTGAGGGGTATACTGACTTCTATTAAGTGCAAGCCTTTCCCAGTTGTGTTCATCAGATTCTTCATATCAAGACTGGTCTGTCTTTCAAATTCTGGAAATCTCTAAGGTTGTTGACAATACATTTCACCATGCGTTCTTCCTCCATCATTTCACTCCTAGCGAGCGGACTGTCTTTAGTCTCTGCGCTTCCTTCTGATTTCCGTATCACGCATGCTACGCGATCGGCTCCTCCTCCGCGTGGTGCCGTTCGGATTCGATCCATCACCTATGGCGGAAACGGTTGTCCACAAGGCTCCCTCGATTGGCAATTGTCCGATGATCAAGGCATCATTCCTCTCATCTTCGATGATTTTGTTGCTTACACTGGGGGTGATGCCCCGACTACCGAGAGGCGCAAATTCTGCCAACTGAATATCGCTCTCGACATTCCTGCTGGATACAGCTTTAGTATCTGGCAAACCGGATACCTTGGTTATGTCGCATTGGATCCCGGGACTACGGGCACTCTCAGTACTCTCTACTATTTCTCAGGCGAACAGAACCAGGTACGAGATCATGCCTCCACCAATTTTTGAACATTCCGCTAATCGACGCTAGAACGAGCATAAAACGGTCTTCCGGGGACCTCTCAATAAAGATTACACCGCCTTTAACACGGAGCCGATGGGTATTTATTCTCCGTGCGGTGGAGAGGTCTTGCTCAATGTTCGCTCATCGGTGGCTGTGAGTGGTTCTGGGAACGCGTTGATGACGAACGACAAACAATCCAATAATTTCCGCCAGTTCCTGTACTTGGACTGGCGTAATTGTTGATCATAGTCGATTGGAAGCTTAGGATTCTTGTATCTATCTGCTGCTCACTTGGAATATCATAGCCATACAGTTGCGACTGAGGAACACTGCGTACAAATCAGAATGAACAGTGTCAATTTTCACCCTTAAATCATAGGATTTGTATCAACATAATCTTGAGATGGAGGAGTGCACCTGTGAATCCTATCTTCGATGTGTAGGACATTTTCCAAACTTCGAACGACTGAGAAACCGGACTTAATCTTCCACAATCTCAATTTCGTTTGTCCAGTGTCCCTTCTCCTGGTTGTACAGCTCCCAAGCTTGAGCCGCGATGTAGCTTGGATTCAACTTCTTATTCGTCAAATTCACAGGCCCGTTGGCCGAGACCAGCGCGATATGAACATCCTTCCCATAGGTTTTGGATAGTGATAAGACAAGGCTTCTTTGAGCCGTCTTGGTGAGCGACAGGGCCAAGAGAGGCGGGACTGGATCCTTGTATAAGTCACTGTTCGGCACCAAAATGGATGGCTTGGATGCAGGCTCTTGCTTGGGTAGACGTTGAAGCAGTGGTATCGCCTAGATACATGCTTCGTAGAGGGCGATATTGGTGAGCTATCTGTGTTAGTGGACCGTTAGAGTAAGCCGAAGGGACTACATACCTTGAAATCGTACAGAACCTCTTCACTAGGGAATTTGAGAAGCTCACTCGGCACGACTCTTGCAGGATTGTAAAAAAGACACTCCATCTGCCCAAGAGATTCCGAATCTCTTAACACTCGAAGAAAATCGTCGGTGTGCGTGATGTCCACGCTGTATGTTCGTACTTCCACATTTTCTCCAGCTCTTTCCTGAATAAACCGCTTGTCCTTTCAAGTTTCTCTTCATTCCTTGCAATTAGTACCACCTTTTTGAATTTCTGTTTTGCAAAGATAGAGCCTGTCGTAGCTCCAATCCCAGGATCAGAGCCAACGACAATAAGGACATTCGAAGACATCTTGGTAATGATTTTTGATCAGGGGACAAATGAAAATCAAATTCCTGAGCATTGAAATTCGGATTTACTCGCAGATTTCCTATGGCTTTATTCAAAAGCACTGCAGGGAACGGCCCCTAAATCACAACCTTCTACATTTGATAGTCCAGTTAAAAGCCACTCACCTAGTGAACATGTTGGTATTATGCTGCAGTCTTCAACGTTAGAAAGCGTCGGTCTACTGCGTGCTGCGCCAGCAACCGTTCTAATTCGAGACAATGCGATGTTAATATTGAGGACGGCGGCCCAATGGAGTAAATTATCTCCTAATCTCCGGCTGACGGAGGTATTCATGATCAGCTTCTGCAGGAATAATTACTCCGAATTTGAATACTGTTACTCAACGGCTGAATTGGTGTGACCTTATTCGTTCTTATCCAGCCTTAAATCTGCATACCACCTTGCTAAGGCTAATGATAGATCCCGTAACTATTACTCTAATGTAGACTGACACGATCTGGATGCGCAAGGACTGCGAGTACCAAGTTCCATTAAGCTATCCATAAACTGAAGAGGGAGAAGAAAAGAGGAAATTCTCTCGCACCTTTGTGCGTGAGATATTTATAATTTAACTCTCCCCTCCACTGCTTTAACACACTTGCTCACATATGACTCCTTTTCTGATACCTATAATCTACCCCCAACCTATCAGCCACATCAGCCATATGTCGCAAGATGCCCCTGTTGGTTTCTACTGCCACCTAACATTCCTTTCACTGCCCCCTACCCCTGGGCTAGGCCTAATCAGGACTCTTCAGTCTTCTCCTATATACTTAAGTTATCTTTATCTGGCTACTAGCTATTAGATCTCTTTTCCTAGACAATGGGAATCGTTAATACCAATTTGCGTTAGTTATGACTCTACAGTAACTGAGCTTAAGCAGCAATCGTGCTTAATCGTTATCCCCGCATAAATGCAACACCATACTTAAGCACCTAGGCAACAGGCCGCCTTGTTAGCTCCGAACAAACCTGATTTTGTATAGGATTAACTACTCTACTCTACAGGCCGGGGGTGAGACTCAGTTTGTTCCACAGGCAACCACTTAGGTGCAGTATTTATTTGGTATTACTAAGAATTAGGATTTGTGAGATAAATAGCGGTTTCGCTCAATCAGGTGATTAATGCAGCGATACGGTGGGAAAACCCCGTTAGATTCCAAAAGAGCGTAGATAGATTGAACTTGATCCTGAAGAGCCGGGTCCTACGAAAACAGGCTGTTCCTGCAGCTATTTTATATGGTTTGCAATGGTGATCTTTTCCCTAAAAAGGGAAAGAATAGGGGTATAGAATCGAATTCGGAATGAAGCCGTGGGGAAACGCCAAGAAACATAGATATTCTGTGACAGGATTTGGGTGCAGGTGCATTGACTGGTTTTCATGTTGGTTGCTACGAGTCTTCAGCAGGATTTCGCTGATATCAGGAGTACAGTTGCTTTCTTTCTAGCTTCTACCCAAGAAATACTTCCGAGTAACTCTTTCCCATAGCATACGTGGTCCCACTACCTGCGAATATACCGTCGGCTAACGATGGACAAGATGGTCCAGATTGGTCTCAGGGACCAATCGCTACACAGAAAGTGAAGCATCTAGCCCGGTTAATATATCACGAATGCTCTCTCATAAGTACATCATAATAGCGCGAACCACTGATCGATCCAGTATGAGTCTAAACACTTCGATCTGAATCCAACATGCCTGTCTCGGCTATCTTTCTCAAATTTGATCAATACTGGCGCCGATCTCCACTTCTCCACGAGCCGACAGAGTCCAATATCAGCGATGTTTGGGGTCGACCGTTATATAAAGGGATGAGGTCCGCTACGGCGGTGAAGGACATCCCCGTCCGAAAAGAAACGCCTCCAGTGTTGAACATGATGTCTCTTTACGTCCTACTGCTCTCCATTACTCCCTCATTCATTTAAGCGCAATGCTCGAGAGCAAACCTAACCGTGTCTCGAGACAAGTTTTGGGCGGCTGGAATTGCTAAACAAGCTCAGATTCAGGGATTGCCGTTTACAGCAAATTCGAGATCAGTACCAACAATGTCCAGAACCCATCGTTGGCCCAGTCCGCCTTCGCGACCATGGGAGGCTATACTGACTTTGCAATCAATGCAATCGATACCGACGAATGTCAAGTGGCAACCTTTCGTGTTGCATCGAATCAACTCCTAAGTGCACGACTCAAACTAGATGCTTCTGGAGCGCTGTCGGAGGTCGAGTTCCTGCAGGCTGTTGACGGAGACCAATTCTTCCGACCGAGCGGATTTCCAAGGACCACGGAATCCGGTTGGGATCAAGCTCAAACTCCTGGATTCCCTCCACAGATTCCAGCCGGCTTCGATCCTGCCATAGGCGCACCTGCAAACGCTATCAAACACGGGGACGTGTAAGGCATCGTCTGGATCGCCTCGTCCCTTGACCCGAGATGAACTCATATTTGTTGCAAGTACATATTGCGATGGCTGCAAGGAAAACTTTGGGAGAGTTGTGTGTTGGCAGGATCATCGTGTCCCCGGAACGAGAATGGGGTACAGACAACCAGCCGATATGGTGTGGGCACAGGAATGTTCGGTTGGCCTGTGAAAGGACGACGCTGGGTCGTAGACACGGAGACAGGCGTGGTTCTGGGTGCTCTCTATTTTGATTACTATGCGAAGTTTGGGAGGGAGAGTGCTCTTTGGCTTCACGAATACTTCAAAGATCCAGGAAGGCAAGATGGTATACATCTATGTTCCCATGAAAAATCTACCCGCTCCAGACGGCAAATTTAATGATGTATGGGCTTAAACAAATGCAGAAGATCTCGGTCAATCTTCCGTTGAAACATGAATGGGAGGATGTTGACGGAGATGAATTTGTCCGGATCTAGACTCGACCGAGGCAATGGGCTTCCCCACCTATGCAGCTATCCGTCACCAAGAACGACCACAGGCTTGAATCTCCACGAAACGTCTCAAATACAACACACGAAATGTGCTGAATGTGAAAGAAATATTAGTAGCATATCAAAATCATGTCGACATACACAGCAGTCCACCTTGCAAAGCGGCCTAAATCCAGGATTGTCGCTGGGGAAACGTTTGTGACCAAGACGCATCCGGTGCCAAAAGAGTCGGATCTCAAGGATGGGGAAGTCCTGGTTCAGACCATCTATCTAGGGCTTGACCCAGCCATGAGAGGATGGTTGAACGGTTTGACGTACCAAAGTCCATTGCAAGCACCAACTGACCTCCTTCAGACGCCCGCTCGTATGTTCCGCCCGTTCAAATCGGCGAGGTCATGCGTGGTTCTGGAATCGGCGTGGTCAAGGCCTCGAAATCGCCATCCTTCCCTATTGGTACCAATGTGTCGACCATGGCGGGATGGACTGAACTTGCCATTGTGAAAGAGAAGCACCTGGAAAAGGTTGAGATCCCACAGAATGGCAAGTTGACGGATGCCCTCGGGGTGCTCGGTATGTCACCAACCGCCGCTGATTATCATCATACTGATCGTCTAGGAATCACGGGTTTGACCGCATACTTTGGGTTGATCGATATTGGTCAACCCAAACCTGGTGACTTCGTCGTTGTTTCTGGCGCAGCTGGCGCAACTGGAAGTGTCGTAGGCCAGATCGCGAAGTTGAAGGGTTGCACAGTCCTTGGCCTTGCTGGAACCGATGCGAAATGCTCCTGGTTGGTCGATGATCTTGGATTCGACTTCGCTCTCAATTACAAAGCCCCCAACTTTGCCCAGATGTTCCGTGCTGCCACCAAAGGTCTGATTGACATCTACTTCGACAACGTCGGAGGAGAGATTCTGGATATGGCCCTAGCAAGAGCGAAGCCCCATGCTCGTTTCGTTATGTGTGGCGGTATCAGTCAGTACAATGAGCCGGTCCAGAAAGGCCCAAAGAACTATCTAGTCATCGTGAGCATGCGGATTAAGATGCAAGGCTTCATCGTTTTTGACTATCAGGATCAATATCCCCAGGCTCTCCGTGAGCTTGCCCAGTGGATTTCGGAAGGAAAGATCAAGCGGAAAGAAACCATCGTGAAGGGTGGACTCAAAGAAGCGGAGCAGGCACTTATAGACCTCTATAAGGGCATGAATACAGGAAAGTTGATGGTTGAAGTCACTCCTGAGTCAAAAGCAAAATTGTAATATCATTGCAGTTAAGATAGTTGCTGGAACATCTATGCTCCCATGAATAATCAGAGGATGTTGACGGCGATTATCTACATTGATATATCTAAACCGGTAGTGGGCAGTGAAAGGGATGCTACGTGGTAGTAGAAACCAACTGAGCAACAATTCTACGTTTGCCTCACGATTGGGGATTCCCAACAGTGAGACCCTTACACTCGACATTAACTAAACCGGATGACGATTTCACAACGACCCATTTCCTCCCGACGCATCCTCCTCCGAGCGACTCGCTTTCCGCACGCATACACTATGGGAATTTCGATACAGGATGCTCATGACACGCTCCAATTCGACTGCTATCTTGGGACATATAGTCATTTGCTCCACCACGTCTATCCCACGATCGGCCAGCTTGTGTTGTAGAAATCCCCGAAGGGATCGTTGTCCGCATCGGTCCAACGAACGTACTCTAAGTCCCTGGACAAGTTCGCCGCCGTTGGCTCTCCATACACATGTGCCACAAACGCGTAAATCGTGTCGAGCGATGCCGTGATCCCTGATCCCGTCCAGATGTCTCCATCTCGAACCCATCGAGCGCGGGGAACCCAGTCGACCTTCCTCAGTCAGCAACGAATCATCAGAGCTAGAAGACCTTACATTTGGTCCCTGTGATGTCGCCCACTCCCACGCTAGTTTGTTGGTGGTTGCTCGTCGACGATCGAGAATCCCCGTTCGAGCAACCAGAGCCGATCCGGTGCACACGGCGACCAGATATTGGAGTTGAGGGTAGATCTTCGAAAGGAACGGTGCCACTTCCGCTTGCGTCTGCGAATCTCGTGTCCCAGCACCTCCAGGAACGATGAGAACATCGAGGTCTGGAATCTCTGTGTCATTAAACGCGTAGTCGGCCATCACCGCCTCTCCAAAGTTGGATTTTACTCCCTCCATCGCATGTTTCGTTGGCACCAGCCCACGCTGGTTCGCAAATATGTACAGATTCAATGTCTGACGCATCGACAACGTGTTCAAGACATCCAATGGACCAAAGACGTCCATCGCCTGAAAGCCAGGGAATAGAACGATTCCATAGTTAACAGGAGGTTCCGGAACTTGTGCAACTGCCACCGCACACAATGCAAGACTTAGGAACCGCATGATGATAATGATGATGATAATGATGATGATAATCAATCGTCGAACAGCCTTATTTATAGCCACCTGGATGCGTCAATTTGAGAAGATTCTCCACCGTGCCAAGGCAATTCTTCCTCACACCTCAATCTGGATTGAGCACATTTTGCCCTCGAACCGTAATTGTTATGATTAGGGATGTGTAAAATGGGTATTAGGCTGGTGAGATATTTCCTCCCATATTTGGGATTTTTCATCCCCGAGAGATTTTTCCTCCGGCTGGTGAGATTTCTCCCTCACACTAGTACTATAAGATAGGACCCCCGGTTTGTAACCACCCCGATTTGTAACCACTTCACACGCAGCAACACCAACAACAGAGGACTATAGATTCTGTATAATAACTCCACCAATATTGAAATTTATATATTATATCTGAAACTGTGAGCAAAGTGACTCGAATTCTGCTTTTTGCAGCTCGTCCGAAATTTTTTGCGCGTCAAATTTGGGCTTCTTCTTCGCCTCCTTCAGCTCCGCTTGTCTTGCTTCTTCTTGCGCAGCAACAATCTGATCAATCGTCGCAAATCGCTCATTTTGGTCGACTTGGACTCTTTTCCTTTTCTTAGACAATCCGCCTATGTCTTCCAGTGATTTTTCGAGCTTTGCAACTTGCGCTTTCAGTGCTGCGATTTCGACGTTCTTCTTTGAGAGTGCCTTGGCCAATTTCCCCTGTAAACCCCTGAAATCCCGTCCAGACATGTCCTCAAACTTTTTCCCCGTATACACGTCTTTTGGGCCTTTGGGTGTATTAAATATATAATCATATATGGGCTCTGGGGCCACATAACGTTGTATAGTATGGTTCTCGTTTAATTGGGTGCTATTTAATACTTTGTGCGGGTTGAATGGGCAGATTCCGGTGCCTCTGAACCCAGCGCGGATATTATGGTTTATCAAAGCTTCAATGCGGGATTTATTATAAATGTTTATAAAATTATGCTTCTTAACTGGGGCAGAGTCGTCGAGGGAGCTCAATTGGGTTAATTCCTTGTGTAAGAGTCTCACTGTCGGGAATCTCCAATCGTGAGGCAAACATTGAATTGTTGCTATGAAGTTATCTCAGCTAGGGCTCAGACGGTATCCAAGCCATGACCCTGGTTAAGCTAAACCGTAACCAGATTAAACCCATGTTTAGCGTACAAACTAGTCACGTGGGTGCAACTGTCTTGGGTACCGTCTGAGAAACGCTTGCAAAATGTGTATGGATGCGTAGATGATGAGATTTGGGTAAAATGTCGAGATGGCGAATAACATCATACGGAGAAGTTGGGTGGGCACCAGAAGTTGATGAAATATAGATAAGAGTTAGTTAAAGAGTCCTATGGCTTTTAAATATCAAATTGCTAACTGTTCATTCTGTAACTAGAGTTTTAAAGCTGCATATCGCGTCATCAAGTATAGAGGATCAACCTCCAGATCTGCCTCCATGCGAGTGAAGCGCCGGCGAGGCCGCGCCCATCAGCGTGAAACCTCCCTATACCAAAATTTAGCCTCTGTACAACCACCTCCTATCGAGAAAACGATCGAAGAACGGATATCCATAATTGCAACGACACCAGAGAAAGAGTTATGCTCGGTACTGCAAGAGTTAGTAAAGGCCTGTCTAATACGAAAGAACATCAAATACCAGCATGATATTATCTTCCATGGTTTGCAGCGACTCCTGGGTGGTCGGCTCCCACGTATCAACCAGGTTCGGGCTCTTCGACGAATTGTTTTTCGCTATGGAGATACTATTGTCTCTGCTAAGACTGGTTTTGGGAAGAGCATCATCTTCCATGCTATCCCAATCTTTATTGGCAGAATTGTCATCCAGTTGATTCCTTTAAGCAAGCTTGGGGAGGAGCAGAAGAGATCGATTGAACAGTTACCAGAGGCCAGGCCTTGCCTTATTACAGCGGAGACCAAGCATACGAATCCGAAACTGTTACAGGAGATTGCAGCTGGGTTATATACCCATATCTTAATGGGTCCTGAGCAAGCAGCTAGCGATGAGTTTCGTGATTTGCTGTTAAACCCTGACGTAAAGAACAAGATTGGTGTGGTTGCAATTGACGAGCTCCATGTTATGGAGCAATGGAAGGAATTCCGGTTGGAATATCTCAAGATCAGGGAATTACGTCGGTACTTACGTGCTGATACCATCTGGTTTGGTTGTTCTGCCACTTTGAACAAGGCCACAGAACAGGCTGTTATCTATTATGGTGGTTTCTATGAAGAGACACACCATGAACTGCCACTTAAGATCATCCGAGTCTCAATTGATCGACCTGATATCTCACTTAACATTTTGCCCATTGAGAGAGGAAAGAGCAAGGCTTACCAACGGCTATGGTTTCTAGTTGATCATGCATTAGAGCATCCAACTAGTAGGACGGAAGACGACCTCCAGCGAATCCCGAAAACGATCATCTTTGTAGATGGACTTCAATCGGTAGCCAATATCTCTGCATCCTTAGAGCGGTATCTCTTTGTTCAAGGGTTTGAACCAGCCATGGTTCGGGATGCAGTTGGTGCATATACATCGAATACCTCACGATACGACCAGGACTTGCTATACGATAAGATCAGATCCCCATGCTCTTCCCTTAGAGTAGTTGTTGCAACTACTGCTCTTGGAATGGGTATGGACATTCCTGATATTATGGTGGTTGCTCAATGGGGACTTCCAATCGGCCACGATCTTGGTGATATTTGGCAACGGGTTGGTCGGGCTGTTCGGGTGAAGCAGGCAATCAATGGGATGGCTTTTATATTCCTGCCATACTATGCGTTCGACTTAATGGGACAGGATCCTGTTCAAATGCCTAGTTCGCGTAATAATCAGCCACTGTCTCAGAAGAAAAAGGGCAGGCGGAATACACTCCGGTTACCTAATACCACCTATTCACAATCGCCATTATCGCAAGGCGATGGAGCTGAGTCTGACTGCTCTCAACAGTCTGATAATACCGAAGCCGCTAGTCAAGAGAACTCGCAATCAACTATCCCAAAGTCTAAGAAGAGGGGGAAGTCAGATAGTCTACCTACATGGACTGTTGATGAACTCAAGCATAGGGCAACCCTCCCAATAACGATCCGTTCTCTTGCAAACGCGCCATGCAGACGGCAGGTATTCCTTGCGGAGTTTAACGAGGACCAATGCGAGCCAGATACTATCCCCATTCGAGCAGACAAGAAGGTCTGTTACAATGGGAAGGAGTGTAATATAGCATTGTTCCAGTTGCCACCAATGCCTGATATCCCCCTCAAGTCTACCAAACCTGGCAGGGAGACTAAGGCAGGTATTGCGCTGAATCTATTGGTTGTATGGTGCCTTGAACAGGTAGAATCGATCTTCCCACGAGCGCAGCAAATGATTCCAGTTCCAGCTGGGGTGGTCATTCCTCAAGAAGCGCAGTGGGCTATTGCTTCTATGTATACCTGTGTGAAGAACTCAACAACGGTACCTATACCGGATCAGGAGGCATTGTCAGCCCTCTTTGACATCGAAAACTGGGAATATCAGAACACCCTCCTCGATCCTTTGCTGGCATTCCTTGTCCGGATAGTTCTAGAGGTATGCTCGAAGCATAACGCGATACTAGAGGAACGAAAGTGCAAGAGGAACATCAAGGCACTGGCCAGAAAGGCTACAGAGGGTACTGCTCAAAACTTAGAGAGTAATCCTCAAGACTCGAGTATTATACCTAATCCCAGTTTACCTAAAGAGGAAAAGGTTGCTCAATATGTCCGCAGTCGTCAATTAGCAGACGATAGGGATGGGCTCCGGGTTATCATGCATAACGAGCTACTTGCTCAGAAGCTTAATGAGTATCGGGAAACGTTCAAACCCCGCCATTGGCCCTCGTTTTCGTCACAGCCGGAGATATCGGAAGGGTCGCAGGAATTAGGAAGCTCGTTTATCGTAAGAGGGGAGTCATCGTTCGTATCACAATCTAGCGTTAAGTTAGATTCTGGTACAGATAATAAGACTACGATCTCCTCCGATATCAGAGCCCCTATACCTGTTAACATCTGGTCGCGCAGCCAAACGACCAAACGAACTACTCACAATTCTTCAGGTATACACAAGAGAAGTCGGACGCCGCTTAGGGGAGTATCTGGAAACCAGGAGAAAGGACAGGTCACCAGACAAGATAGGCCTAATACACCTAAACGAGCTGGTCTTCGTTTCTCATGTACAGTTGACGCCCAAAGGGAGGGATCTATGGGAGAAGCGTGGTAAAGAGAACAAGAAGATTTAGAAGTGTTTTGGTTGGGAGAACTTCGGATAGCCCTTTTCAGACTAATAGTATCCTTTTATTTCCAGATTTGTACCAACTTCAAAGAAAATAGGGTGGGTAGGAACCCATTGAATTATGATAATATATACATCATCTTGTAGCCCTTAATAAGGGAATTCCAGCAATGTTATCATCTTTGAAAAACACTAAGGATTGGTAGAGATACTATACTAAGACACACCTCAACCCCCGGACCGTTTCTAGAAAAGGAAGGCCTACAGATTAAGATATGCCTTACTAAGAGACAGAGGGATTAGAATAGTTATGTATATGGAGGGGACAGTTACGTAGGTCACAGGCGACAGATATCACGATTTATTTGAGGATGATTCATGCTTCATAACTTCCATTAAACTGCAATTTCGATATGGAGGGCTTCGAGGGGTATAGATGAAGTGAGCGATAACGCAGTCAAAGAATGTCATGATCTTTAACAAGCCCATCCTCACAAGCCTCAGAGTAGGTAATTACTGGTGAGATCTCAGAGTTATGAGGATTCAAATCCGTCTCTTCATTAAGGTCCTCAGGATCAGTCTGGGGGATGACACTAGAGCGGACTGGTATCCGATTGTTGAAGGAATTGACCTTTTGTTCCAAGACCTCAGCACCAATCCGGAAGATATCAGGTGCGTCCCAACCAACAGCTTCGCGAGGTTGGATAGTGAGCAAAGGACTGCGTAGATATAGTTGAAGGGCGCGACTAAAGATATCCCGTTGATCAGCTTTGGTTGTATGTCGATCGCTTTGGGTAAAACCAAATGAGTTCTCCCATGCCCCACGAATCTTAGAGAAGACATTACTTAATAATGCGACTCTACCAAAGGTTTTGTCTGCATTATGTGTTGAATTCTTTAATAACTTCATATCAATCTTGTATGCGCAATTAACGTGTTCAAGGGCTAGATCAATAGCCTTAAACTGGCCTGGTTTGCCATGCAAATTCACAAGACTAGATGATAGTATTGCGTCGCGGAGAATCTTCTCTGAAACGCATTCAGATAATATCCAACGAAGATGGAGCATTTCATCACCATACTTGTGCTGTCCAGTTGCGTGGAAGATAACTGCAAGTGGATCGATTAAACGGTCAATCCAGCCGATGTCGCTATTCTTGACTGCTTTACGCAAAGAAAGGAAGATGCTGATCAACTGGACAAGCCGGCAGAGACTTCGAAATTCAAGTCCGTATTGTGTCGTGTCCCATGCCTCTGGAGAGAATGCCAGTGTACAGACCTCTTTCATTGTAGAGATAAGTTCTTCTAGCTCTAGGTTCTGGATAATTAGATCCAGTTTTGAACTTGGACTGGTATCTTCAAGGAATGCCTTTTGGATATGTCCTCGTCTCGTAAGAACATGGTACCATAGCATTAAGACACGAGCATAAAATGATTGCCTGAGCAGAGGGTCAAACATGTAGAACTTTGGGGATTCTCGAGTATATCCTTTTCGATCCCAGTAGATGATATCCGATAGAAGCGTTGCATCTGATGGCACCGAAGGCTTCGCATCCGTTGGTAGTGAAGGCTTTGTATCCGACGGTAGTGTAGGCTCCGTATCAAAATGGATACGGACGATCGTTAGTATTAGATTCATAAGGACATGGAATAGTCCAGATGGACCTAACATCCATCTCCGTCTGTCAAAAGGTAGAATTGCATTCTTCTGTGCCTCCTTCAGAGTACGGATATGTTGGGCTGTTTTCTGATCTCCAAATACCAACCAGAGACGGTTTGTGAAGTCTTCGCTTGGTGGCTGGGATTGGAAACCCAACTGTCGGATCCAAATATCTTCATGAACTCCGTAAGTTCCTTGGATTGTTCCTTCATCAAAAGGGGCAGCTCGAAGATGATGAATGTTTGTTGCATTCCCACCTGCATATAGACGGTTGATCTCTGGGTAAGCAGGGACAGTAGACGGCTGTGATTGGAAAACCAAGTCAATACTTGTAGAATGGACGTGTTGTAGGGCCTCGTAGACTAAGTGAATGTCTATACTCTGCTTTTTTTCATCATGCTTTAAACCATCGGCTTTGCAGATATCTTTAAAGGAGAGAAGTTGGGTGGGATCGAAACTTGATTGGGATAAACCTTCATCAGGCAAATATGGGTTCTCAACCAACAGGCATGTTGTCAGATTCCGCATGATATGGGTTGAACCAATTGTCTGCTCGCGCACAGTATCTTTGAAGTTGAAGTTATCATAAACAAGAACTGTCTTTGGCTTTTTGGCCAGCATTGGGAGGCGGTTCTAATTAAGAAGTTAGAAGAAAAGATCTAACTTAAGATATAAATCAACCTGCCTTCGCTTTGAGCGCCATACCTGAAACCTCCTCATTAATACTTTGGTATGTTTCGGTGAGCCCAAGACCAGCAGCTGTATCTACAACCTGCCGCTTTGTCCCACTTGAGATCATATATAATCCCAACTGCTTAGCGTATACATTTGATGTGTTCCGCTTACGACTTCGGCATGCTACTGCAGTCATCGTGTACATTTGCCCAATTGTCCCTTTTGAAAGAGTCTCCCTTTGATCTGGTTCTTGACTGCGACAGTTTCGAAG